AATCCCTCCATCATATGCTGTCAGACATATGGCATTTGCCACTCTATTCTCATCCAGGTGCAAACTTATGGAACCCAGATTGTCAGCACTATGAAACACAAAGGCGTCGTCGATTTCGATTTCATGTGTGAGCTGGCTTTCGGTAGCACCCTCTTGTACAGCCCAAATCTCATTTGTTGGCTTTGCCTTTGGATCATCCGAGTTCCCTCGAATGACAGAAAGGAAGAATAGTCGCTGGCCTGAAGGCAAACGACTAGACTGAAAGCTGGAAAAATTCAAAAATACTTCTTCTTGACCTTCTTCAACTTGGGAGGCAATCTGAATCGGAGTTGTACAGTCCCCAAAATCGGCTCGTTCCTCCGTATTGGTGCACTCCGGTCGATCTTGAAGCCTAGAAATACCAATGGTCCACTTGAATCCATCGTCATCATTGGACGCACAGTTCTGGAAGGTGTGGGTGAGTAAGCATATCTAAACCATAAATCGATCTGTAGTTGCAAGCATCATCATCTTACGCGGTAGAAACCAGCCCAAGATATAAACACCTCCCCCACATCAACGAGATAAGATGCTGGTTTGGTAACCAAGTAGGTATGGTGCGCCCCAGGGCAACATTCCTTGTTGCAAGTGTGACTTGAATGGACACCCTTGGTTCGAAAAAAGGACTGGAATTGAACTTTGGAAGCCAATGGCCCGCGGACAATTTCAAAACCACGGCTATTGTTCTCAAAATATGTCGCATACATCATTGCGTCATTGGAACTGTTGTCAATTGAAAGGTGGCTGAGGCGCAGGCCGTGACGGGTTTCTGTGTCATGATGAAAACGGTCTGCAACTAGTTGAGGGTCTTGGCAACTTCCGTTCATCGTATTCAAAGAACACTTGTAGAGACCTTGCGAGGCTTTTCCATCGTTTTCATGTTTGAGACGATCCGATAATGCAGAGGTAAAGTACAAGAGCCTGCTGTCAGTATTCGTAGACATCATCGTGGATCGAATTTCTTCTGTTTCCATACTCGCGGAAACTGCTTCATTACGCTTTTCTCCGTACCTCCATTAACGCTTCGACTCAAACTTCATCTGCGGACTCTCTACCTGTGACCTGATGACCTCGAATCAGAAGATGGACATGAAATACGGCATCACCGATGCTACACTAAAGCCCTAGTCTTGAATTTCTGTCGCATCAAAACACTGCCAACCGGGAAGACGCCCTCTAGTCCACAGCGGTAAACATGAAGTCCAAACCAAAACTAGGAAAAGAACAAATACTACCCATGTAGAAGTGGAGAGCTGGCTTAACCGTATATTGATTACCGTACAGAAACCAAACGATTGGAATAGCAAGTGCTCGAACTCATTGAATTTGTAAATTCACCTTTCTCTTAACTAGCGTTAACATTACGCCATGTCAAGTGAAAAGATGACTTGATCAACCCCTCACAAATTTACTTCTTTCCAATCACAAATCCCTTCTTAACAGGTTTTGGTGGCGGAGTGCTTCCCGCACTGTTAGCGACCCAGCCCACGGCAGCTAGCCCACCCCAGACACCAACAACGGTGGCGGCAGCTTTCTTCTTTTGGGAACTTGATAGTCCTTTCACCTTGTCTACTGCCGACTTGGTTCCAGTTATCACGGAATCTTTAGCGCTAGCGATCTTTGTCTTTAGCTTAGCAATAGCACTTTCGGCTTCCTTTGCGGCCGCAGCGGCTGCTGCAGCTGCTTCTTCAGCTGCCTTTTTTGCCTCTGCTTCAGCTGCAACTCGTGCCTCTTCAGCAACACGGGCGGCTTCTGCGGCTTCTTCGGCAGCTTTGCGTTCTGCCTTTTCCTTAGCAATACGGGCGGCTTCGGCGGCTTCTGCAGCAGCGGCTTCGGCGGCAGCTGCTCCATCATCAAGGTCCTCAATGGCCTCCTCCATAACTGCTTCACCCTCTTGGGCATAGACCGCAGGTGTAGATGTTGCCAAAAGCAACATTAGCGCAAAAAGAAGCCATACTCTCATACTAATCAAACGAGCCATTTTTCAAATATATATTTTCTCACTATGATAAGAGACGACCAAAATGCATGAGAAACAAGATGGTGGTGAGAACCCACTGACACGTTGCGTAAAAAATTGGGAAATTGTATGATTCTTGACTCAGCAAACATCAAAACAAAGGTTTCCATCAACGCTTTTGCACCGTAGCCAATAATTATCATAACAGTAGAAAATTTTCCTTCCAAGCAAACCCATGAATCACCATTGTCACTCACAATTTCCGATATGCCGATGCTTCACGATGATGATTCACGGCGTATCCTTTGTTTCAAGTCGCTGACGACGACGAACAGAAATAAAGGTATGTAAAACGCGGTAAAATATGTATTTATGGGATAACCACAACATCATTATTTCGTGTCTCGATCTGGTATTGGAAAATCGCGTTATTTAAAGTTGGAGAAACTGAGAAAAGGAACATATTTCCGGGTTCCTTTGCAATTTCATTACTTCGCACTCATAAAGGTGAATGGAGTAGAGTTGATGGGCATCTATGTACTACGCCATTCATTCGACCAGGTGGGCTGCCATGGAGTATTGATACCATCTTGTACCGGGTTGTAGTCGCTTGCACAGGCTTAAATACTCTAGATTTTAACAGGATGATGCTGAATTGAAGCAACGCAATACCAAAGGATTTCAGCTCATTTGGACCCTTATTCCAACTTCAACATATCTTGTTCAATAGCTCCAATCTCTAGCAGTAGACCACAGATTCTCTTCTTTTCATCTTCTGGTGGTGTGTTGACCAATACGGTTTGATATGCTGACCGAGCTGCCCCTGCCAAACTGTGGATCCCAACCTTGGCATCGGAGGTGATATTCGGATTGCAATGTGGCAAGAATTCGTTGACTGCAAGAATTCGTTGATGGCAAGCTTCTACCAAGACGGTTGGAACTTTGAGTGCTCGGTCTTGAATGGCTTTGATTTCTTCTTCCGACAATGTGCAGTCCTTCTTCCATGTTGATTGAAGATCCTTGTAGGCCTTCTCATCGTCATCAGCCATCGCTTCAAGTTCAGCAATATTCATCTTCTCCACCAGCTGACGGGCATGTTCGGCAGCTCCACTTTCTTCATCTTTCTTTCGTTGGGTGTAGGCGGCCGACATGGCAGCAGTGGCGGCTCCAATGGCAGCGACCATGGCGGCAGAGGCACCACCACCTGGAGTAGGTTGCTTTGCAGCAAGATTCTTGCAGAATTCGTTGATACTTTGTTGGGATAGTGCCATCATGAAATAGCCTAGTTGTCCTTGGATGGTTGTTCGACGTTGTGGGAGTTTTCGGTTTATCTTTTTGATGGGGGTACATATACGGTAGTGAAGGCGCGACATGGATGGACGCACGGACGGACATTGACGACAAATCCGACTGAACTGAAAACTATCACAATTTCGCAAGAAGAAGAACAACTGTCATCGGGGGACAAAGACCATCACTTATCCCTTGAAGTAAATATATAACAAGCGCAAAGTTATTGTTTCCAAGGACGTCATCGAATCGTGAATTTCCAACCACCTTGAAAGTCACCAAGTTGCCGATCTAACCCTGATCATATATCTGGAAAGTACTGTTGAAAAGATGAGTGTTGCAGTGTGGGAAAATGAACTCCGACTTTTGTCGGATTTGGTCGATCATCCGAGTGAAGGAACCAACGATTGGTGGGAACTCGTCGATGAAACCGCAAGTAGCGCTGACCCACTTTGGCAGCAAGGTCAAGATCGATGGTACCAACAAGACTACCTAGTCGCCATGCAAGCCTTTCAACAGTCCCTAGTGCCACTCGATCTGGCGTGGGATGAGCACCAGAACCAGTTTTTGGACAACAGCGAATCATCTGCTGACAGCTTCAATGATTACCATGATGCGAGCGAAGCTCGAGATCGTGCCGTGCAACTGGCACATCGGCTGGTCTTTTGCTCATATTGCGAATCGGATGGCAACCAAGTCAAACAAGCACGAAAGCACTTGATCATGGGATTGTACTTATTGCTGTCCAATCGAAATATGAGAACAAAAGCTAATTCGAAAGAAACGACTCTGCTTAATGATGCTTGGATGGAACTTATGCTCAGCTTTGAGGAAGACCCAGCCTGTCGTATTCTGGCGCGAGATGTGGCGGAAATGGCCATCAAAAGTAGCAAAGGCAGAGGTGTAGGCAACTGTGGTTGGCATCATAAGATGCAACGGCCTGGATATATGGTGCCTGGTCTCAAAGGAACTCCTTACATTTCCGGGGAGAACCAACCAGCCTGGTGCAAGACTCTGGAAGACCACTGGGAAATCATTCTAGATGAATATGATGATATTGTCAAAAGCAAAACACTGTCCGTGGTGGGAGCGGGAGATCGTGGCTCGGGCCAAGATGATCACCGAGTGGTAGGTGCTGGAAGCAAGTGGACCGAATACGTCTTGTTTGGCACTGGATCTTCCACCGGAGATGCGCCAGCCACCAAAGCGCTGCTCGAACAACACCTTCCAGACGCTGTCTCTCTTGCACAGGAAGGAGGAGGTGAGATTATCTTTAGTCGATTGGCTCCCGGATCCCACATCCAATCGCACTGTGGGCCCACCAACATTCGTTGGACAGGTCACTTGGGTTTGATTGTTCCTGAATCTGCAGAGAGTTGCAAGATTCGAGTCGGCGATCAGTGGCATTCCTGGCAAGAAGGAAAGATACTTCTCTTTGACGATTCCTTTGAACACGAAGTCCGAAATGACTCGGAGCAGGAACGAGTTGTCTTGCTAATACGGTTGTGGCACCCTGATCTAAAGACTAATCAGCGAAGTAGTGCACTAGAAGCTGCTAGGACCAAGAAGGACAAGGCTGTTGAAAAACGGTACGCTCCTCCCTTCTAGCTACTAAGTGGAAGGCATGTACCGTATAGAGATATTGATTTAATGACATATTGATATCACCCATAAAACGTGCAATCAATCCAGTAAAAAATCATAACTTGGTTTCAGTCCAATCTATAAATGATATCTGCTAAAGTACTAACAGTTTCGGGATGGCTGTTTTCTTGCAAGCAGCTAGCTTATTTCTTGACACCCATGAAGCGGTTTTCCTCTCGGGCCTCATCCCAGTTCTCAATCCAATTTCCAGGGCAGATACTGAGAGAGTATTGTCTGTATGCCTGGCACTTTTCGTCATCGTCTCCAGTTTGCTTCAAGCAGACAAGCCACTCATTGTAACGATTCCAGCAGTGAAGAGCTTGGTTCTGGGAAGGGAAACGGTTGTCACGGGGAGTAGTTCGGATGTTCTTGACTTGGTGCAACAAGTCTTCCTCTTTCTCAGAAAGGGCTGGAATTTGATCACTAAAAATCTTGTTCAACTTCATTTTGGACTGTCTAAAGATTGGCAAGAAATGTGGATGTGTGAGAAACAGCCGATTGAACTACACTTTCTGTTTGCATTTCATCAAACCGAACCCAGGATTTTCAGCGGCAAAGGAACGAAAGAAGGGGACTCCTGCAGACGAAAGCTCCGTGAAAACTTGGTCCACTTCATTGTCTCTCGCAGACTTACAAGAAAGAGGTAGCACTAAACTTGGCAGATAACACACAAGGGTCTTTCGAGCGTCGTTGCCGATGCCATTGCCAAACGGCAGGAGGATGTACCAAAAGATCTCGTAGACTGCCCGTAGAAATCTGACGTACAAACAACAGAACGGTTCGCGTCGAAGGAATTTTTCTAAGGTCTTGCAGTCATCCGGAAGATAAGTTGAAACTATCCAAGTCCCACCAAGTTCCACGTGAAAATTGACATCAAACGACTTGGAGCGACGATGGGTGTGTGTGATGTGATGGCCAAAAGCATTCTCTGAAAACTAACCAACCACTTGCAACCATGAATAGAAGTGCGTTAGCAATCCTTCAGATACTGACGTTGATCGCCTCACTATCCAGAGCGTCACATTTCACAGCCACCAATGCTTGGGGCTCCAAGAATCATCCTCTAGCAATCACAACACATCATCGTACACAACAACCATCATGGAATGTCTTGGATTGTGATCGGTTTGTCAATTCGTTCCTCACAATCCGAGGTGGGGAAATTGATCTAATCGACAATGCTGCTGCTGCTGATGAGGATGGAATTTTGATTGTAAAGACGAGGAACATAATAAGAAGCGTCCTCGACGTTAGCGAAAAGAATCTACCAACCACCACCAGAATTCTGAAATCTTTGTTTTCGGCGTTGGAAGGCATCACGGGAGTCAAGCTTTTGCCAGAACCGGAAAAGAAGAAGAAGAGCAAGAAAAAGAGCAAAAAGAGTGCCGAAGTTAAATCATCGGAACCAGCAGAAGAGGAGAAAGACGAAGAAACAGCCAAGGAAATCTCGTCCAAGTCCAAAACGAAGAGCAAGCTGAAGAAACCATCCGCGGCAACGAAAAAACACTTGGCCAGCACAATCAAGAGTACCAACCCCAATTACCGAATCCAAAGAGAACTCAAAGAATTCATCAAGTCGCCTCCACCCAACCTTTCCGTCCAAGTTGGTTCTAATTTGCGTGTCTGGATTATCACCATGGTGGGAGCCAACAATACCATTTACGAAGGAGAATCCTTCAAGCTGCGAGTGAGCTTTCCCACGCAGTATCCTACGGTTCCTCCATCGGTCTACTTTTTGCAGGGACACATTCCCACCCACGAGCACGTGTATACCAACGGGGATATTTGTTTGAGTCTGCTTGGAAAAGACTGGCGTCCGACCATGACGGCACAATCGATTGCCGTTTCTATTTTGTCGATATTGTCATCGGCACAGTCCAAGTCGCTGCCGATGGATAATGCCAGACATGCAGGAAACAAACCAGGGCAATATCAGAAAGATTGGGTGTACCATGACGATAACTGCTAGTAGTGGAATATTTTCAATGATTGTCGATGTCTCCCAGAGTAGCAGAGCCACTATTGTTGTTCTGCCCCACTTTCTTCATACCTCTATTCAATGTCCTCTACCGGTACTTGTACTGTACTGTACCTGAACCGGTGTCCGGTGTCCCTCTATCGGGACTCAAACGTTTTCTTCATTCACGGATTTAGGATTTTCGAAGTGAAAGTTGCTTCGACATGTGTTCGCTCAACCACGTCAACAGTTTTGGTACTCATAGTGTAATACAAAAGCTTCTTCTTTGGATGTTTCGAACAACACAAGAAAGACGGGGTAATGTTTCAATCTCCTCCTTTCGACATTACAGTAATTTTCTAAGCTGAGAATGGGAACTAGCCGTTTATTGGCCGTGGCCATTGTTGCACATTGGTTCGTGTCTTTGGGATGGTCCTTTTCCTTTCCTCATCCAGCAGCAAGCAGCACTGCAGAAGGTCTTGTATGCGTGGAGGAAACTATGGAACGCGATGTATACTCCATGATGGAATGGGCTTTCAATGCATGTGGTGTTCAAAAGGCAGATGGCTTTCAATTGACAACAAACGACGGACAAGATTATGAAGTCTACACCGAACAGGATTTGCCAGAAGGAAGTCCCATACTCTTTGTGCCGAATGAACTTATATTTGCTTCTTACAAAGCAGTCCAAGAATTTGGTCAAATTCTCGTAGAAGCGGAGAATAATGGTCCACTATCGCCTTCGCAACGACCTCTCTTTCGAGTCTTTTGCAAGATTCTGACCGAATACGAAAAGGGTCAAAGCAGTCCTTGGTATCCTTGGTTGAATTCGACGCCTCGGTTGTACAATACAGGTTCTGCCATGACAGATGCATGCTTTGAATGCTTACCTCCATATGCTGCACAATTGGCTCTGGCGGATCGACAAAATTTCATCAACTTTCAACAAACCATCAATCTGGTGGCTGGCAGCAACCTGATTAGCCAAGAAACCTTGTCCAATGTCAAAGTATTGAAATGGGCGTATAGTGTGGCCATGACGAGGTCCACCGAATGGAACGGCGAACGACTCATTGCACCAATGGCAGACATGTTGAACCACGGAACGGAAACGGAGGCTCAGATTACCTACGACGAAGAGGGGAACTGCTACGTCTGTGCCTCGAAAAACGTTCCAGCGGGGTCACCCTTGAGGATATCCTTGGGAGATCCTACGGACCCTTCCAAGCTGTTTGCAACCTTTGGGTTCTTGGACGAGTCATCACCTACTGTCTTTTGCAAAGCTGTCCATCTCGAAAATGAAATGGATGAATTGGGCTATTCCAAATCGGATCTTCTATTTTCCACCGAAACTGGAGAGATTTCCATGCAAGTCTACGATGTTCAACTCTACGCGATTCTACAAGAGAATGATTCCAACTTGGCGGAAGCCTTTTTCCAAGCCGTCATGAGCAGCGACGAAGCTACCAAAGGCCAATTCCACAATCAATATTGGGAATATACCAAAGCAGCATTGGAAGAACATGTTGACGGGCTATTGCTTGATTTGGAGGAGTTGTCGGCCAAGGCAAAGAGCTACGACATTCGAACGCACCCTAGAGTTCCAGTAATCCTGCAGCACAATGAATTTGTGAGAAATACCTTTTGGCAAGTCAAGCAAAACCTTTTGCGCAGTGTTTTGTAATCATAGTCCTCTCAATGATTCAGAGGACTATATAAATTTATTAAAGAATTGCGATTTTTGAAATAAATATTGTGGGACACCAGTCTAGCTAGGGCTATCAGTACCGGGGTACCGGTACTCATCACAAGGTATTCTAGGTACGGTAGCAATGCTATTTCTTGTTGGAACGAGTAGTCCGTACTGCAGGCGCTGATTGGATCTTCTTTTTATTTCGAAGCTTCTGGAAGCTATGAATGCCAGATCATTGATCGCGTGCAAAACTGTGCGAGCAACCCTTTTTGGCTGACAGCCGTCAATTTCGCGCGGTTGTCGTGCGGAAAGCATCACTTTTGCCGCACCTGAGAAGGAAAAGATTTTTTGCAAGAACGGCACCCCGTTTCTGTGCATATAACTTCACTTGACAGTTGTGAACACTATCACCATGAAGTTCTCTCTTTCCCTTCTTCTAGCTGCTGCTATCCCAGCATCTGATGCTCAGGAAGTCATTCCCCTCCATGGATCCGGTACCACTAACCCCCAAAAGTGCTACTGGGACATCATGGACACCCTCATGAAGCAATCCAAGCTCCCCATCCGCATGACGTACCGTGGTGTTGGTTCTTCCACCGGTCAAGCGGATTTCATGGGTGATGCTACTACCATGCTACCCTTCAATGACTTTGGATCTGGAGATATCCCTTTCTCTCAGGAAGACTTTAACAAGTTCGACCCTGGAACCATCCTTCATTTGCCCGTTCTTATGGGAGCGATCAGTTTCTTCCACTCGGTCCCCACTGGAGACGCTGAATTGAAGTTGAACCCATGCCTTTTGGCCAGAATCTTCAGCCGTGACATCACCACCTGGGACCACCCAGAAATCATGGCAATCAATCAAGGATTGGAGTTGCCTGCTGGCTACCCCATTAAGGTTGCCCGTCGTGTCTTGGGATCTTCTTCTACCAAATCGATCACCACCTACCTCCACCAAACCTGCGATACTGAATGGCCCATTGAAATGGTCGACAGTGTCGTCAACTGGGACAATGATACTTTGCCATGCGAGGGATCTGGCGGTATGACTGATTGTATCCGTGCTAATCCTGGAACCATCGGATACATTGACAGTGGACACGGACACCTTGAAAACCTTCAAGAAATTGATCTTTTGAACTTTGATGGACAATATATCAGCAGCAAAGTTGCCAACTCTCGCGGTGGTATCTTGGCTGCTGCTGAAAGTCCAAATGCCGGACTTCCAAATGAGCTTGACCAATCTTTTGCCAACGTCAACTTGCTGAATCAGGTATGTTAGATTGTTGCTGTTGTCGATTGATTTATTCGCAATCCTTTGAACAATTCATTCTCACTGCCCTAACGTTTCCTTTCCCTATTTTAGCCCGGAGGTGACACTTGGCCCATCGTTGCCATGTCTTACATTTACGTCCACAAGGATCTCACTCGCCACCTTACACCTGAATCCGCACAATTGCTAAAGGCTTTCCTCACTGCCGTGTACACTCCCGAGTACAACGCGATCTGCGAGCAATCTTTTGGATTCGTTCCCGTCACAGGAACTCTTCGTGAAAAGGCCCTCCAACAGATTGCCAACTTGAACACCGGAGGAGGTATCGAATGGTTCTTTGAATTCTCCACTGACAAGACCGGAACTGGTATTGGTCAAGGATCGCACACCTTCTCCGTCAAGCGTGACTCTTACAGTGAGCTTGAACAAGACAGTCTTATTTCTCAAATTGCTGCCTTGCAAGCTGAGATTGCTGAAATGAAGGCCATGACGGGAGATGGTCACACCCATGATGGCGACGATGACACCAATACCAACGGCGGATCTACCACCAACGGCGGATCTACCACCAACGGTGGATCCACTACCAACGCCAACCGTGAAGCCGATGCTGGAGATGACGAAGACATGGAATTCGAACGTGACGACGAGCTCACTGCTGCCTTGGCCATGGGCGCCATCTCTATCGCCTTGTGGGCCATTGCTCTCGTGTTCGTCATTGTCAAGTACGTCTTGCACATTTGATGAGGTTACGCCAAAGAAAAGTCGATTGGATTTGTTTTGGCGCGCACGAGAAAATGGAAGGAGAATTCTTGACAATGACAGTGCGAGGACGATTGGCAAGATTATGGTGGTGTGCTGATGATCCAATTGAGACTTTGTGTGCTTTCAATTTGTGTTTTCCTAGAAGAACAAGCGTGGCTGAAGGACTTGCAGGGTGATTCTTTCCGATATATTCACCACTCTCTTGCAATGAAAATGTGTACGCTACTTCTAGATTGTAATTATCTGTATATAAAAGGAACAATGATTTCCAACTTCTCTCTCGTTGAATCGAATCAGGGCATCTGAAGAGATCTCATGATTGAATTCGTGACTAACGTGCTTTGGTGGTTTGATTGATTGATTCGATTCCACAAAAGCACATCTTTGCAAATTCCGCCCCGACAACGGAATTATTTTCGTTTCAACTATGGCGATGCACCTGAGACGACTAGGTCACAATCGAAAGCTTGCGTCTAATGTTGCTCGTCCCATAGAGCTGTGGTCAAGATCTTTTGCAGCTTCGCCGAAAGATGACGATGAACCAAAACCCAGTCAAATTCAGCTTCAGGCACAGGAGATGTTGGACATATGTTCAAGAGGCGTCGGGCAAGTGATCTTTCTCAATTCACCTACATCAGGAGCAGTCATTCTAGGCGGTCTCGCCATCAGTAGTCCTTATCTAGCAGGATTGGGGGCTCTTGGTGCTATTACCGCAACCGGTACGGCGAAGCTTGCCGGAATGGATAACGGTATGCTAAAGGATGGACTATGGACATACAATGGATGCTTGGTTGGATGCGCTGCAGCTGTATTTGGTCCAGCCTCCGTATTAGCATGCACAACTTCGACCATTGTTGGTGCCGCGGCGACACCATTTGTTTCAGCAACCCTCAAGGAAATAATGATCATGCCTCAGTGGACATACTCCTTCAATGCTGTCGCCTTGACATCGCTGTTGCGAACGCGGCCTTTGCTCCCTCCACCAGAAACCTCAACTGAAGCAGTAGAACCAATTGTGAGCACTGTCGGAATGGGAGACATATTGGTGGCGCCATTCACTGGAATATCCCAAATTTTTGTCGTTGAATCTGCGCTCTCTGGAGGTATCATCTGGTACGGAATTGGAATGGTGAGTCAATTCGTTTGTATCCACTTTCTACCATTTCTATTTAAGGATATTGACTAACTTTGATTTTGGCTTCTAGTACTCGCCCGGACTTGCAGGTCACGCACTCATGGGATCCGCCATTGGAATGCTCTCTGGTGCTCTCATGGGAGCGGATGCTTCCGAACTTGCCATGGGCCTGTGGGGCTACAACTCCGCATTGACCAGCATGGCTGTTGGAGTCTTCTTTGTTCACTCAATCCCAGCCGTCGCACTGAGTGCTTTTGGTGCGGCCGCAACAGCCAGTGTATTTGGTGCCATGAAAACGATCGGCGGGATCTATGGAGCTCCAGCATTGACGTTGCCATTCTGTACCACCGTGTCCGCGTGCTACCTGTTCGGAAAGCAAGTGAAGGGTCTGGAATTCGCATCGGCACCGCACTCTCCGGAGAAGAACAAACCATGAGAGTGATTGATCGTAGAACATTCCAAAAGTTGTCGACTGTACTGGGATGTCTTATTATATTTTATTATGCCACTTTTCGTTTCGCCACCTTAGCATTGTTCGAGCAGAATTCAGGGGCTGCTTTTAACTTTTGATGCGAGATGCGGCGCAGAACGCTGCCCAGTACTTGCTTGCACAGCAACAAAACAAACCATATGCTAACCAACACCAGTCCAATCACCAAATTGGAAGGGCAATTGTCATAGGTCGCATACTTGTAGGCTTCCTGGAGATACCGAAACAAGACACAGACCAGAGGCATTTGCGCAAATCCCAGTCGCTTGACCACTGCGTGTGAGTGATCCATATTGACGCCCTCATGACCAATTCCATTAAAGTCTCCAGCCAGTAGCAGTCCATATTCGGGGTAGATTCCACTGGAAATGTAATTGAATTTGGTGATAAAGGAATGTTTAATCCAATCCGACAACCACTCTGCCGCCCAAACTATCGCGCACATGTGAAAGTAATTCATCACCATGGTTGTATCCATTCCTTGGGACATGTTGAGCAGAAGCACCAATGTCAAGAAGAGGGCCAATTTAAATCGTTCGCAAATATCACTGGCTGTAATCTTGAACAAGGTGGCTTTGTTGTATTTTTTGAAGACCGTCGATTTGATTTCGGCAAAGTTTCCACCAATCAACAAACTCAATAGAGCCTGGTCATCTGAATTCATGGCCACATTCAAAGTGGCGACATGGACAAACAATAGGAAACTATGAAGCGTCGTGTACACTAGCACCACTGCGACCGATACAAACAGACGAGAACTTCGCGGTCGTCTCGTGGTATTCCAATACAATGATTCCAAACAATCCTGCCCCAACGAAGACAACAGCCGATCAAATACCTCCAGCATGGCAATAATCACATACAGCTTAATCATAGCTTGTCCTCGAATCCAGTGATACAATTTCCCAATACTGATGGGGAGAAGAATGAACCTGTAGATTGTGTATATGATAGCGACTTGAATCAATTGATAGGAGTGTCTGTCGATATCAGATCGTTTGGTGAGTTCAAATACTCCATGAATGTAATTCAAACCGCGTTTCATTGCTGCCTCGTACCTCCGGTGAAATCGAAAGGGACCCACTGGGACCTCCTGTTTGAAAGTTCGAATGATCCCGTACCGCAACAGCAACAAAATACTCCAAATGAATCGAATGGGTAAAACCGTCAAGACGTAAAGGAAGGAATCGACGCAGATCCAAAAACCAAATCCAAGCAAGGATTCCACCGCTCCTGGAATTTTGACAAATTCTTCCATTTGCAAATCAACATCATAGTTCGATTCTTGAAAGCTATTCAGGTATTCGAGCCATTTGCTCTTAATCATGTCGGTCTTGACCCCATTCTTGGGAGTGTCCAAATCCAAGTGTTTGGGAGTCGGACGCTCTTTGTTTTCTTTGAGGTCTGCCGGAGTGGTTAACTTCAAGGCAGTAGCAAAGTGCTCTTCGGAAATAGTCTTGGGGGTAATACTAGTATTGCCACGATCAACTTTCAAATCCGTTTCACTATCAGGCGTCATGATTTCATTAGGCAAAATATTGCCTTCATGCAGTATTTGATAGCTAAGATTTCGCTTGTGATCCGAAATGGGAATGCGCAGAGGAGCAGGAGAGTCAAGAATGGGGTGAAATGGCGATTCGTCAGCTGACGGTGGCGTGGTGGGCGGTGAAGTACTGCCGAGAATGTTTTGTGACAGACGACGCTTTCGCTTCTGTGGCGCCAAAAGAAGCGAGAGGGTAGCTAGCTTGGTCTCCAACTCTCTGACGCGTTCTTCTAGTTGCTGAGTATGATGATCGTGCATTGGTAACGAAGGGGTAGTTTCGTCTTGCGAGGCTGTCCCTTGGTCTTCGATTTCCAACTGACGAGGAATGTTTTGCGGATCACTTGTCTTGTCGTCACTCGAAGATTGCGACGTGTCATCCATTTGAGAGTCCTCTATGATCGTTTGTTTTTCATTGGTAGCTGTGTCTCTTATAGTATCGTTCTTCATGACATCTATTACTCCCGCTACCGGTGGCATTGGGAAGTTGGTTGGTTGATTTATTTGAATCGCTTCTGTCAGTTTTTTTGTGCTTCAGGAAACATTGGACGCTGATGGTGGTGAGACGATGGAGACTGTTCTCCCACGTTCTTTTGTGGGTGACGCAATTATTTCTCGTTTACAACGTACTGTAGCGCGTTTCTAGTACACTGGTACAGGATGATGTCACTAGAGTGCCGTTGGAAAGCGTTATCTCGTGTTCCAATCGAAATCTGGAAATGGACGCGTACTATTATTAAAATATGTCTAGCTAGTACATACAGACATCCGCATGTCGATTGAGCAAAAGTCGTGCAACCTCGACATGCCCCTCGGTGCATGCATTACACGATGGAGTCTCTTGCTTTTGGCCCCTAGCGTCCAAGTCGGCACCACTGTCCAATAAGAGTCGAGCAATTTCCAGAGCAAGCGCGGTGCAGTGGTGATTCGTCTCATATTGTGGCGATTGCTCCCCAGGCCCTGAATCGATCAATCGAGAGAAACATCGCTGTGAAACACTACAAAAACAGCTACAACGTACTCTGATAAATGATTCTAGAAAAGTGTTACCCTAGACTCTACGTTCTTGTTTCACAATCGCAAAGATTATTCCAGCTGAATGAATTTCTCGGGCACATCATCACTTTCACTGGTGCTCTTCTCAGATTCCTTCTGTTCCTCAGACTTGGTGGCTTCTTTCACTTTCTCTCGTACGTCTGAAATTTTGTCTCCAATCTTTTCAGTGATGCTCTTCTCTGCTTCCTTCTGTTCCTCCGTCTTGGTGGCTTCGTGGACCTTCTCGCGTACGTCTTCACGCACACCTGTGATCTTGTCAGCAAGCTTGTCAGTGGTAGTTGGCTCTATGTCCTTCGGTTCTTCAGTCTTGCTGAGCGTCTCGCGCACGCCTGTAATCTTGTCACCGATCCATTCAGTGGTGGTTTTGTTCTCTGCCTCCTTCTCTTCCTCAGACTTGGTGGCTTCGTTGACCTTCTCGCGCACATTCTCAATTCCTGCCTTGGCAGTGTCGATAGCAGTATCGAAGATATTTCCGTTTTGTTTACCGTTAGGAGCCATGGTCTCGTTTGATTTAGTTTCGAGTTTATTTTTTGACTGAATTGTGTTTGTGATGTCCATTGCTTTGGAATTGTGAGATTCATTCGTAAAAAAATGGATTTGTTCGCTCTTTCTTCGTGTCAAGAATGAAAATCTCAGACACGAAGCTCAAACGGGACTTACATGATTCATTCACGATTGAAGAGTAGCACTTTTTAAAAAATGTCATGACGACCTTTTTTGTCATCACCATTAGTTCATTGAGATGCTCATTCATGGTACGCCATTTGACGCTGATGCATTCATAGAGCCTTGCATCATCATTTTGGTCGATGATGACACTACACCTCATACCACAGCTGCGCTTTATCGTTGTACTCTGATGATAGACTGAGGATCTGATACTGAATGTTTGTCAGATGCTTGAATTGTTTCGTCTCGTCATTGTCATCCTCAACTTGTTGCGTACCCGAATCGATCACATCACCAACTTGTGATCTGGCCTCCTTTGCAGAGTCGGACAATGCATCACCCATCTTTTTAGTGTTTCTTTTGGCTAATTCCATCTTTTCCTCAGCGACTTCGTTAACCTTCTCGCTCGCATTATTCATTTGAGTCTTGGTATTGTCATCTCTTGTTCAGCGGCCTTATCGTAGAGTTGCAATGATTATCGAAGCAGCGATGCTGAAAATGAACTTCATTGTGGTTGTGTTTTGTGATGTGCAAGAGATTGATTATTTACTATTTGATGTAGCGCTTTATAATATCAAATGGTCTGGAAGTGTAAGGCGTACATCCGCGAGATAGATGACAACAGACAACGGAAAACAAGATCGATCGATTGATTGATTGATTTGGAAACATAAATTTTCAGACGCGAAAACATGATAGAAGCACTACCTCAATTATGACTCCACCTGGCTGAAGAGCACGTCCTTGATACTTTAGCGGTAGCATTGCCGCAGGTGAAACCTCACGGCGACCTCAATAGGTAAATCATAACAGACCTCGGTGACTGTTCGTAATAGTAAGATGTTCAGCAAACCCAGTTTATGCTTAGCCCATACTAAAATATGTCATCATTTGGGGCTGCTTGACCTTGTCATCATGTGCTACAATAGGATGCTGATGGTACATCATTTGCCGCTACCGTTCTGTTGAGAAGGAGATCCAAAACCGATCTGCGAAATCTGTTGGCACTATTCTAGTAAAAGATAGTCGACAACACTGCACCAGATAGTCGACAAAATGATTCTAGAAATGTGTTTTTAAAAATCTAATTTGTTAGGTCAAAGATAACTCAAGCTGAATGTGTGTCAGGCTTCTGAATTCTCATTTACTTCTTTTCACTATCATCGCTGGGACCGCTGATGGTATCCCTGGCCTTTTGCACACCCGAATCGATCGCACCGCCAAGTTTTGATCCGGCTTCCGTCGCAGATCCTGGTAGAGCGTCACCAATCTTTTCACTGGTGCTCTTATTCTCGGCCTCCTTCTGTTCTTCAGACTTGGTGGCTTCCTTCACCTTCTCACGCACGCCTGTGATTCTGTCACCGATCTTTTCAGTGATGCTCTTCTCTGCTTCCTTCTGCTCCTCCGTCTTGGTGGCTTCGTGTACCTTCTCACGTACGTCTTCACGCACGCCTGTGATCTTGTCAGCAAGCTTGTCAGTGGTAGTTGGCTCTATGTCCTTCGGTTCTTCAGTCTTGCTGAACTTCTCGCGCACACCTGTGATCTTGTCACCGATCCATTCAGTGGTGGTTTTGTTCTCTGCCTCTTTCTGTTCCTCAGACTTGGTGGCTTCGTTGACCTTCTCACGCACGTCCGTGATCTTATCAGCAAGCTTGTCAGTGGTTGTTGGCTCTGGTTCCTTCTGTTCTTTGATGTTTGCTTCGCTGAACTTCTCGCGCACATTATCAATTCCGGCCTTGGCAGTGTCGATAGCAGTATCGAAGATATTTCCGTTTTGTTTATCGTTAGGAGCCATGATTTCGTTTCCTTTTGTTTGTTTTCGAGTTTCTGTGTACTGTAGTGTGTTTGTAATGTCCAATGTTTTGGAATTGTGAGATCCATTCGTAAGATGGATGACAGAGATGATTGATGGATTTGTTCGCCCTTCTTCGTGTCAAGAATGAAAATCTCAGACACGAAGCTCAAACAGGACTTGATCTGATACACGACTGATGGAGTAGCACGTAACTGGCACATTTGTACCTACTTCAGCCGATAAGAGATTGCATCAGATGAAGCCTCATCGATCCCTAAAATACAAATCAGCGTAAAAACAAATGACTTCTGGTCTGACAGTAATGCAATCATTAACTCCATTAAGTAACCAATTTCTCATTAGTGACCCTCTTTGTCATCATCTGCTATTGAGATGCTCATTCTTCATGGTACATCATTTGATGCTGATGCATTCATAGAGAATGTATTAGCGCCTACTTAGTTTTTGCTGATACTACTACATCTCATACCGCTGCTCCCCATGATGAGTCATGCCATGCATGAATCCTCATAAGAAGTTGCATAGTGTACGCTGCCTAGTGGAACGCTTTTTCGTTGCTTTCTGGTGATAAGAGTTCAAGAAAAGAACTACTCCAGTTTGTCACTCAATCCAAGTTCATTCGATCCTGAATTTTTGTCAGATGCTTGATTTGCTTCATTTCGTCACTGTCATCATCAACTTGTTGCGCACCCGAATCGATCACATCGAACTTTTGATCACCTCCTTCTCAGAGTCGGACAAGGCATCACCCATCTTTTTAGTGTTTCTTTTTGCTAATTCCATCTTTTCCTCAGCGACTTCGTTAACCTTCTCGCTCGTATTACTCAAATAGCTAATTCCATCTCTTCCTCAGCGACTTCGTTGACCTTCTCGCTCGCATTATTCATTTGAGTCTTGGTATTGTCACTTGCGATATCGAGCATCTCTCCAAGGGTCTTATCTTACAGTTGCGATGATGGCTGAAACACTTGATCGCTTGAGACTGTAAATCCTTTGCTGGAAGGAGCAAAAAGGAAAATTGAAGCAGCGACGCTGAAAAGGAACTTTATTGTGGTTTTGTTTTGTGATGTGCAAGTGATAAATTGTTTACTGTTTGATGTAGCGTTTGATTTGTGAGATTGATTTTGCAATAAGATTGATGACAAGGAGATGATTGATCAATTCATTCACAATATTTACTTCGTGATCGAGTGTCACGAAAAAATCTCTGGCACGAAGCTCAAGCGGGACTTCGACTGACCAAGAAAGAGAGTACATACTTCAACCTGAAACTTTCAACAATAGTGATTGCAGCAGACGCGACCCCATGACGTCCTGAATGAATCAATCAGAACAGAACTGTGCTCAGCAATCGAGCTAGTTGTTGCGCCCATCCAATAAGTCATCGACATAGCCAACGTGCAGACCCTTGGACGGCTACCAGGATCATGCTCATTGCATAACATTTGAGGTTGTTGTAGTTGTGTTGATGAGGCTATTACAAATCAATGTGCGAAGTATACCAGCTGAGCATCACTTGGTCTACTTTAGTATAACACTGCATCGGATGTTGATAAAGCATAACATTTAGGTTGTTGTAGTTGTGTTGATGAGGCTATTACAAATCAATGTGCGAAGTATACCAGCTGAGCATCACTTGGTTTACTTTAGTATAACACTGCATCGGATGTTGATAAAATGATTCTAGAAACGTGATACTCTACACAGTATCCCAATCAAAGCTTATTCAAATTGAGATGTATGTTAATCGACTGATTTAACTATGTTCAGTGTCACCGGGGCCCCTGATAGTATGGTTATACCGCCAAGGCTTCCGTCACAGATTCACCAATCGTTTGTTCATTGGTATTCTTCCTCTCGGCTTCCTTCTGTTCCTCAGACTTGGTGGCTTCCTTCACCTTCTCTTTTACGTCTGCAATTTTGTCACCAATCTTGTCAGTAGTGCTCTTCTCTGCTTCCTTTTGTTCCTCAGACTTGGTGGCTTCGTTGTACTTCTCTCGTACATCTGTAATCTTGTCACCAATCTTGTCAGTAACGCCTTTCTCTGCTTCCTTTTGTTCATCAGACTTGGTGGCTTCGTTATACTTTTCACGGACGTCTGTGATTTTGTCAGCAAGCTTGTCAGTGGTGGTTTTCTCTGCTTCCTTCTGTTCCTCCGTCTTGGTAGCTTCGTTGTACTTCTCGCGCACATTATCAATTCCGACCTTGGCATTGTCGATAGCAGTATCGAAGATATTTCCGTTTTGTTTATCGTTAGGAGCCATGCTTTCGTTTCGTTTCGTTTCGTTTTCTTTCGAGTTTACTGTTTACTGTTGTGTTTGTAATATCCAATGTTTTGGAATTGTGAGATTCATTTTTTTCACGTAGATGACATAATTGATGGCTTTATTCGCCCTTCTTCGTGTCAAGAATCAATCGAATGAATAAAATCTCAGACACGAAGCTCAAACGGGACTCGCTCTGATTCACGCTTGAGGATTTGAAGAGTAGCACGTAACTGGAGCCGATGATGATTGCAAAAGGTTAAGCCCCAAGACGTCCTGAATAAATCGATCAGCTAAGAATTTCATGGTGTGCGATGGTAATAAGTTCAGCAAAGCAAGTTTCAATATTTGCGCCTATGCAATATAAGTCATCGATTTGCCATTGCGGCCGCTTGACGACGTTACGGTAGGATGCCGATGGTATATCATTTGACACTATTGTGTTGAGAAGAAGAAACAAAATCAATCTGCTAAATGTACCGACTTCCGGTACTATTATCGTAAAAAAATACATCGTACTGCATCGTACTCTAATAAATGATTCTGGACTTTTAACTTATTACACAGCAATGCACAGAGATTACTCAAGGTGGTGAAAGGATGTGTTGATGCCCGATTTACTTCTTTTCACTATCATCGCTGGGACTGATGGATTCCCTAACCTTTTGCACGCCTGAATCTATCATGCCGCCAAGTTTTGATCCGGCTTCCGTCGCCGATTCGGGTAGAGCGTCACCAATCTTTTCACTGGTGCTCTTCTCGGCTTCCTTCTGTTCCTCAGACTTGGTGGCTTCTTTCACTTTCTCTCGTACGTCTGAATTTTTTTCTCCAATCTTTTCAGGGATGCTCTTCTCTGCTTCCTTCTGTTCCTCCGTCTTTGTGGCCTCGTGGACCTTCTCACGCACGTCTGTGATCTTGTCAGGGCTCTATGTCCTTCGGTTCTTCAGTCTTGCTGAAGTTCTCGTGCACGCCTGTAATCTTGTCACCAATCCATTCAGTGGTGGTTTTGTTCTCTGCCTCCTTCTCTTCCTCAGACTTAGTGGCTTCGTTGACCTTCTCGCGCACATTCTCAATTCCTGCCTTGGCAGTGTCGATAGCAGTATCGAAGATATTTCCGTTTTGTTTATCGTTCGGAGCCATGATTTCGTTTCGTTTTGTTTTCGAGTTCAAACAGCCTGAACTGATTCATTCACGATTGAAGCAGAAAACCAATTTGTCATTAGGGACCTTTTCTGTCATCACGATCAGCTATTGAGATGCCCATATATGGTACACCATCTGACCCTGATGCATTCATAGAGATTGTACTAGCGCCTACATAGTTTTTGCTGATGATACTACGCCTCATACCGCAGCTGTTCATGACGAGCCAGGACCACAACCTGAATCCTTATAACAAGAAGTTGCATAGTGTACGCTAGTGGAACGCTTTTTCGTTGTACTCTGATGATAAAGTTCAAGAAAAGAACTACTCTATTTTGCCGCTCAATCCAAGTTCATTCGATCCTGAATGTTTGTCAGATGCTTGATTTGTTTCGTTTCGTCAATGTCATCGATCGCATCGCCAACTTTTGATCCGGCCTCCTTCGCAGCATCGGACAATGCATCACCCATCTTTTTAGTGTTTCTTTTGGCTAATTCCATCTTTTCCTCAGCGGATTCGTTAACCTTCTCGCTCGCATTATTCATTTGAGTCTTGGTATTGTCATCTCTTGTTCAGCGGCCTTATCGTAGAGTTGCAATGATTATCGAAGCAGCGATGCTGAAAATGAACTTCATTGTGGTTGTGTTTTGTGATGTGCAAGAGATTGATTATTTACTATTTGATGTAGCGCTTTATAATATCAAATGGTCTGGAAGTGTAAGGCGTACATCCGCGAGATAGATGACAACAGACAACGGAAAACAAGATCGATCGATTGATTGATTGATTTGGAAACATAAATTTTCAGACGCGAAAACATGATAGAAGCACTACCTCAATTATGACTCCACCTGGCTGAAGAGCACGTCCTTGATACTTTAGCGGTAGCATTGCCGCAGGTGAAACCTCACGGCGACCTCAATAGGTAAATCATAACAGACCTCGGTGACTGTTCGTAATAGTAAGATGTTCAGCAAACCCAGTTTATGCTTAGCCCATACTAAAATATGTCATCATTTGGGGCTGCTTGACCTTGTCATCATGTGCTACAATAGGATGCTGATGGTACATCATTTGCCGCTACCGTTCTGTTGAGAAGGAGATCCAAAACCGATCTGCGAAATCTGTTGGCACTATTCTAGTAAAAGATAGTCGACAACACTGCACCAGATAGTCGACAAAATGATTCTAGAAATGTGTTTTTAAAAATCTAATTTGTTAGGTCAAAGATAACTCAAGCTGAATGTGTGTCAGGCTTCTGAATTCTCATTTACTTCTTTTCACTATCATCGCTGGGACCGCTGATGGTATCCCTGGCCTTTTGCACACCCGAATCGATCGCACCGCCAAGTTTTGATCCGGCTTCCGTCGCAGATCCTGGTAGAGCGTCACCAATCTTTTCACTGGTGCTCTTATTCTCGGCCTCCTTCTGTTCTTCAGACTTGGTGGCTTCCTTCACCTTCTCACGCACGCCTGTGATTCTGTCACCGATCTTTTCAGTGATGCTCTTCTCTGCTTCCTTCTGCTCCTCCGTCTTGGTGGCTTCGTGTACCTTCTCACGTACGTCTTCACGCACGCCTGTGATCTTGTCAGCAAGCTTGTCAGTGGTAGTTGGCTCTATGTCCTTCGGTTCTTCAGTCTTGCTGAACTTCTCGCGCACACCTGTGATCTTGTCACCGATCCATTCAGTGGTGGTTTTGTTCTCTGCCTCTTTCTGTTCCTCAGACTTGGTGGCTTCGTTGACCTTCTCACGCACGTCCGTGATCTTATCAGCAAGCTTGTCAGTGGTTGTTGGCTCTGGTTCCTTCTGTTCTTTGATGTTTGCTTCGCTGAACTTCTCGCGCACATTATCAATTCCGGCCTTGGCAGTGTCGATAGCAGTATCGAAGATATTTCCGTTTTGTTTATCGTTAGGAGCCATGATTTCGTTTCCTTTTGTTTGTTTTCGAGTTTCTGTGTACTGTAGTGTGTTTGTAATGTCCAATGTTTTGGAATTGTGAGATCCATTCGTAAGATGGATGACAGAGATGATTGATGGATTTGTTCGCCCTTCTTCGTGTCAAGAATGAAAATCTCAGACACGAAGCTCAAACAGGACTTGATCTGATACACGACTGATGGAGTAGCACGTAACTGGCACATTTGTACCTACTTCAGCCGATAAGAGATTGCATCAGATGAAGCCTCATCGATCCCTAAAATACAAATCAGCGTAAAAACAAATGACTTCTGGTCTGACAGTAATGCAATCATTAACTCCATTAAGTAACCAATTTCTCATTAGTGACCCTCTTTGTCATCATCTGCTATTGAGATGCTCATTCTTCATGGTACATCATTTGATGCTGATGCATTCATAGAGAATGTATTAGCGCCTACTTAGTTTTTGCTGATACTACTACATCTCATACCGCTGCTCCCCATGATGAGTCATGCCATGCATGAATCCTCATAAGAAGTTGCATAGTGTACGCTGCCTAGTGGAACGCTTTTTCGTTGCTTTCTGGTGATAAGAGTTCAAGAAAAGAACTACTCCAGTTTGTCACTCAATCCAAGTTCATTCGATCCTGAATTTTTGTCAGATGCTTGATTTGCTTCATTTCGTCACTGTCATCATCAACTTGTTGCGCACCCGAATCGATCACATCGAACTTTTGATCACCTCCTTCTCAGAGTCGGACAAGGCATCACCCATCTTTTTAGTGTTTCTTTTTGCTAATTCCATCTTTTCCTCAGCGACTTCGTTAACCTTCTCGCTCGTATTACTCAAATAGCTAATTCCATCTCTTCCTCAGCGACTTCGTTGACCTTCTCGCTCGCATTATTCATTTGAGTCTTGGTATTGTCACTTGCGATATCGAGCATCTCTCCAAGGGTCTTATCTTACAGTTGCGATGATGGCTGAAACACTTGATCGCTTGAGACTGTAAATCCTTTGCTGGAAGGAGCAAAAAGGAAAATTGAAGCAGCGACGCTGAAAAGGAACTTTATTGTGGTTTTGTTTTGTGATGTGCAAGTGATAAATTGTTTACTGTTTGATGTAGCGTTTGATTTGTGAGATTGATTTTGCAATAAGATTGATGACAAGGAGATGATTGATCAATTCATTCACAATATTTACTTCGTGATCGAGTGTCACGAAAAAATCTCTGGCACGAAGCTCAAGCGGGACTTCGACTGACCAAGAAAGAGAGTACATACTTCAACCTGAAACTTTCAACAATAGTGATTGCAGCAGACGCGACCCCATGACGTCCTGAATGAATCAATCAGAACAGAACTGTGCTCAGCAATCGAGCTAGTTGTTGCGCCCATCCAATAAGTCATCGACATAGCCAACGTGCAGACCCTTGGACGGCTACCAGGATCATGCTCATTGCATAACATTTGAGGTTGTTGTAGTTGTGTTGATGAGGCTATTACAAATCAATGTGCGAAGTATACCAGCTGAGCATCACTTGGTCTACTTTAGTATAACACTGCATCGGATGTTGATAAAGCATAACATTTAGGTTGTTGTAGTTGTGTTGATGAGGCTATTACAAATCAATGTGCGAAGTATACCAGCTGAGCATCACTTGGTTTACTTTAGTATAACACTGCATCGGATGTTGATAAAATGATTCTAGAAACGTGATACTCTACACAGTATCCCAATCAAAGCTTATTCAAATTGAGATGTATGTTAATCGACTGATTTAACTATGTTCAGTGTCACCGGGGCCCCTGATAGTATGGTTATACCGCCAAGGCTTCCGTCACAGATTCACCAATCGTTTGTTCATTGGTATTCTTCCTCTCGGCTTCCTTCTGTTCCTCAGACTTGGTGGCTTCCTTCACCTTCTCTTTTACGTCTGCAATTTTGTCACCAATCTTGTCAGTAGTGCTCTTCTCTGCTTCCTTTTGTTCCTCAGACTTGGTGGCTTCGTTGTACTTCTCTCGTACATCTGTAATCTTGTCACCAATCTTGTCAGTAACGCCTTTCTCTGCTTCCTTTTGTTCATCAGACTTGGTGGCTTCGTTATACTTTTCACGGACGTCTGTGATTTTGTCAGCAAGCTTGTCAGTGGTGGTTTTCTCTGCTTCCTTCTGTTCCTCCGTCTTGGTAGCTTCGTTGTACTTCTCGCGCACATTATCAATTCCGACCTTGGCATTGTCGATAGCAGTATCGAAGATATTTCCGTTTTGTTTATCGTTAGGAGCCATGCTTTCGTTTCGTTTCGTTTCGTTTTCTTTCGAGTTTACTGTTTACTGTTGTGTTTGTAATATCCAATGTTTTGGAATTGTGAGATTCATTTTTTTCACGTAGATGACATAATTGATGGCTTTATTCGCCCTTCTTCGTGTCAAGAATCAATCGAATGAATAAAATCTCAGACACGAAGCTCAAACGGGACTCGCTCTGATTCACGCTTGAGGATTTGAAGAGTAGCACGTAACTGGAGCCGATGATGATTGCAAAAGGTTAAGCCCCAAGACGTCCTGAATAAATCGATCAGCTAAGAATTTCATGGTGTGCGATGGTAATAAGTTCAGCAAAGCAAGTTTCAATATTTGCGCCTATGCAATATAAGTCATCGATTTGCCATTGCGGCCGCTTGACGACGTTACGGTAGGATGCCGATGGTATATCATTTGACACTATTGTGTTGAGAAGAAGAAACAAAATCAATCTGCTAAATGTACCGACTTCCGGTACTATTATCGTAAAAAAATACATCGTACTGCATCGTACTCTAATAAATGATTCTGGACTTTTAACTTATTACACAGCAATGCACAGAGATTACTCAAGGTGGTGAAAGGATGTGTTGATGCCCGATTTACTTCTTTTCACTATCATCGCTGGGACTGATGGATTCCCTAACCTTTTGCACGCCTGAATCTATCATGCCGCCAAGTTTTGATCCGGCTTCCGTCGCCGATTCGGGTAGAGCGTCACCAATCTTTTCACTGGTGCTCTTCTCGGCTTCCTTCTGTTCCTCAGACTTGGTGGCTTCTTTCACTTTCTCTCGTACGTCTGAATTTTTTTCTCCAATCTTTTCAGGGATGCTCTTCTCTGCTTCCTTCTGTTCCTCCGTCTTTGTGGCCTCGTGGACCTTCTCACGCACGTCTGTGATCTTGTCAGGGCTCTATGTCCTTCGGTTCTTCAGTCTTGCTGAAGTTCTCGTGCACGCCTGTAATCTTGTCACCAATCCATTCAGTGGTGGTTTTGTTCTCTGCCTCCTTCTCTTCCTCAGACTTAGTGGCTTCGTTGACCTTCTCGCGCACATTCTCAATTCCTGCCTTGGCAGTGTCGATAGCAGTATCGAAGATATTTCCGTTTTGTTTATCGTTCGGAGCCATGATTTCGTTTCGTTTTGTTTTCGAGTTCAAACAGCCTGAACTGATTCATTCACGATTGAAGCAGAAAACCAATTTGTCATTAGGGACCTTTTCTGTCATCACGATCAGCTATTGAGATGCCCATATATGGTACACCATCTGACCCTGATGCATTCATAGAGATTGTACTAGCGCCTACATAGTTTTTGCTGATGATACTACGCCTCATACCGCAGCTGTTCATGACGAGCCAGGACCACAACCTGAATCCTTATAACAAGAAGTTGCATAGTGTACGCTAGTGGAACGCTTTTTCGTTGTACTCTGATGATAAAGTTCAAGAAAAGAACTACTCTATTTTGCCGCTCAATCCAAGTTCATTCGATCCTGAATGTTTGTCAGATGCTTGATTTGTTTCGTTTCGTCAATGTCATCGATCGCATCGCCAACTTTTGATCCGGCCTCCTTCGCAGCATCGGACAATGCATCACCCATCTTTTTAGTGTTTCTTTTGGCTAATTCCATCTTTTCCTCAGCGGATTCGTTAACCTTCTCGCTCGCATTATTCATTTGAGTCTTGGTATTGTCATCTCTTGTTCAGCGGCCTTATCGTAGAGTTGCAATGATTATCGAAGCAGCGATGCTGAAAATGAACTTCATTGTGGTTGTGTTTTGTGATGTGCAAGAGATTGATTATTTACTATTTGATGTAGCGCTTTATAATATCAAATGGTCTGGAAGTGTAAGGCGTACATCCGCGAGATAGATGACAACAGACAACGGAAAACAAGATCGATCGATTGATTGATTGATTTGGAAACATAAATTTTCAGACGCGAAAACATGATAGAAGCACTACCTCAATTATGACTCCACCTGGCTGAAGAGCACGTCCTTGATACTTTAGCGGTAGCATTGCCGCAGGTGAAACCTCACGGCGACCTCAATAGGTAAATCATAACAGACCTCGGTGACTGTTCGTAATAGTAAGATGTTCAGCAAACCCAGTTTATGCTTAGCCCATACTAAAATATGTCATCATTTGGGGCTGCTTGACCTTGTCATCATGTGCTACAATAGGATGCTGATGGTACATCATTTGCCGCTACCGTTCTGTTGAGAAGGAGATCCAAAACCGATCTGCGAAATCTGTTGGCACTATTCTAGTAAAAGATAGTCGACAACACTGCACCAGATAGTCGACAAAATGATTCTAGAAATGTGTTTTTAAAAATCTAATTTGTTAGGTCAAAGATAACTCAAGCTGAATGTGTGTCAGGCTTCTGAATTCTCATTTACTTCTTTTCACTATCATCGCTGGGACCGCTGATGGTATCCCTGGCCTTTTGCACACCCGAATCGATCGCACCGCCAAGTTTTGATCCGGCTTCCGTCGCAGATCCTGGTAGAGCGTCACCAATCTTTTCACTGGTGCTCTTATTCTCGGCCTCCTTCTGTTCTTCAGACTTGGTGGCTTCCTTCACCTTCTCACGCACGCCTGTGATTCTGTCACCGATCTTTTCAGTGATGCTCTTCTCTGCTTCCTTCTGCTCCTCCGTCTTGGTGGCTTCGTGTACCTTCTCACGTACGTCTTCACGCACGCCTGTGATCTTGTCAGCAAGCTTGTCAGTGGTAGTTGGCTCTATGTCCTTCGGTTCTTCAGTCTTGCTGAACTTCTCGCGCACACCTGTGATCTTGTCACCGATCCATTCAGTGGTGGTTTTGTTCTCTGCCTCTTTCTGTTCCTCAGACTTGGTGGCTTCGTTGACCTTCTCACGCACGTCCGTGATCTTATCAGCAAGCTTGTCAGTGGTTGTTGGCTCTGGTTCCTTCTGTTCTTTGATGTTTGCTTCGCTGAACTTCTCGCGCACATTATCAATTCCGGCCTTGGCAGTGTCGATAGCAGTATCGAAGATATTTCCGTTTTGTTTATCGTTAGGAGCCATGATTTCGTTTCCTTTTGTTTGTTTTCGAGTTTACTGTGTACTGTAGTGTGTTTGTAATGTCCAATGTTTTGGAATTGTGAGATCCATTCGTAAGATGGACGATAGAGATGATTGATGGATTTGTTCGCCCTTCTTCGTGTCAAGAATGAAAATCTCAGACACGAAGCTCAAACAGGACTTGACCTGATACACGACTGATGGAGTAGCACGTACCTGACACATTTGTACCTACTTCAGCCGATAAGAGATTGCATCAGATGAAGCCTTGTTGATCCTTATCTATAATTGATAGACGTATCGATTCGCAAGAAACTGAACTTTTCATCATTGCGTGACTATCGTACCTGTAGAGGACTAATGACTGATGACTGGCGAAGCCTCAACGGCCTTCGACAGCAGGTATGTAATGTGTAATTTTTGCTACAGTCTAGTATCTTCGTTTGAAAATCTCAAGAGACTATCTCAGATTGTCTACTGGTGCCTTCCGCTTGGTGTTCTTTTTGGATCTGTCTGCAAGGAGTCTACTGTAGCCGGTGGGTTGTGGTGTGAAGATGGTCTCTTGGGTCAGAATTATGAGACCTGTTTGCCTGCTGAGCACCATTGCCGACTAGAAGAAAGGTGATGGCGCTGCTGGGTGATGGTGGGAAAGAAAAATGAATTGGTCTGTTGATAGATGTATCAAATCGACCAATTGCAATAAGCTGAACGGTCGTTGCCTGACTAGCATAGAGGGTAATAGAGGACCAATGACTTTAAAGCCGTACGCCCTTCTACAGTGTTTATCAAATACTCGTATACCGTCTAGGTTTGAGAATCTCAAACGGGACTTGGACTGATTCACGACTTTACCGAAGAGACTTCGGATAGTACTCTAGAGTGCCATATCTATGTACTTTATCTCTTAATCCCGCGTTTTGCCTATGCTTGTTGTACTTCCTCCCATGTCTCACTCTTCATACTGTGCATCCATTCCACAAGTGCTTTGGTGTTGGCTGTGGAGGAATGGTCAGGCCCAAGTGCCATTAATTTGATGCTCATTGCCTTTTGCGACATTGCTATTGCTTCGTCCAGTTTACCTTGTCGCGCATACATAACGGCTAAGCTGTTGTACGTCTCCCCTGTTGTTGTATGATCAGGGCCAAGTGCCTGCAATCGAATGCCCAATGCCTTCTGATATCGAATAATCGCTTGGTCCAGTTTACCTTGTTGTGTGTACGTAACGGCTAAGCTGCTGTACATCTCTGCGGTTGTTGCATGATCAGGACCAAGTTCTTGCAGTCGAATGTCCAATGCCTTTTCATATCGAATTATCGCTTGGTCCAATTTTCCTTCGTTTCTTAGGACAGTTGCTAAGCAAATATAAGTCTGCACCGTATCGGCGTGCCCAGGTCCAAGTTCCTTCAATCGAACTTCCAGTGACTTTTGATACATTATCCTTGCTTCCTCAAGGTCCATTTGTTTCTGGAAGAGTCGTCCCAATGTCGTATACAAAACCGCTGGTTCCAAACATGTTCGAATAACGTTTGTTATTATCATTGCCAGCTGGTAATCGTGCACATGATTCTCAAACAGCTCGGCAAGCCGTATCATGCGATCTGTTTCCAGCGGATTCTGTATTGAACACCAAAGGGATGCCAGATTCAACGAACCGCCGTCACATAATGGCCTCAAATCATTCATTCGGTCTTCCATAGCCCCTCCTGTCGCCCCTACAAAGTACTCTCGAAAGAACCTGTAGTAGTCAAGAGATCCAAGCACTTCACTAGCATCCTTGATAACTCTGTGATGCAACTGAAGCTCGCAGATGTGCTTCGTGATTCCATCCTTCGTTGATATCTTAAGCTGCAAATTCCAGTCTCGATAGCCAGAAAGTGTTGGATTGCGAAAGCGATTTGTAGACTTGACGATTTCAATCGATTTGTCTCCCCGAAGAAGATCCAGAAAATCTAGCATTTGGCCAGTGTTGTCGAACATTACACTGCCGCGAACGATATCATGGAGCCACGATTCTGGTGGCCCAGCTTCCTTCTTGGAATAATCAACTTCTGCCTTTTCTGATGCCCTTTGTTTCCCCTTAAGTTTACTATGTCCTGGAGGAAGCCTGAACTGAACGTTACAGGACGAATCTTTATCCATAGTAGCTACTTTTCCCATTAAATTTTCGACCTTGGCAACGAAAACGGGCAGAATAATTTCTGCAACTTCGTACAACTCAACAAAGTTCTTCACAGGCTCGCCACCCAAGTAGAGTTGTCGAATAGGCCGTGTGAAATCGGGCATATCATAGTTGGTAAGTTTACGAGTGGGATCGACTTGGTTGTAGACAGCTTCAAGTTCGTTAAAGCACAGGAAATAGGCTTGAACCGTTTCAAAATACTTGACGACCTCGGGTTGTGGCTCAATTTTGGTAATGTCGATCTGGTCGATCTCTGCAAAGATATCATCGACTGTTCGTTCCATTTTGCTATCTATAAAAAGGAAAGATTGCGAAAGGAAATAAGAATACACGACGAGACATGCAACATTTCTTCATCCCGAATCAATCTATTCATCGTCGACTTGGTCGTTCGGGTTTACATACCTGAGAAATTGGACATTTTCCTACTTCTCGCCGTGGTGCTTCTACGCTATTGGCAAATGTCAGAACACGGTTTGGTCTTTCGATCTCTTTTGCTGTGGGATTATGCCCTCAGTTGCGCCACTGAAGTTTTATGCTAGTATCTTATTTTTCCTCAGTTATTTGCGCGACTGAAATTTGCTCATTCCTGCGCAATCGGGTCGAACAGGTCGAATATTGGAATTCATTCATTATAGCCTACTGGCGCCTTATGCTTGGTGTTCGTCTTGGATCTGTCTCTGACCGGTGGGTTGTGGTGTGAAGCTGGTCTTCCGGGTCAATAGGGGGACCCGGAAGACCAATCTCAGGAATCCCGTAAACAGGATTTCTGAGACCTGCTTGCCTACTGGGCACCATCGCCACATAGAAGAAAGGCGATGGTGCCCAACAGGGTGGGTGATGGTGGGAAAGAAAAATGAATTGATATTGATAATAGACGTATCAAAATCAAACCACTGTAATAAACTGAGCTGTCCTTGCCTCTCTATCGTTGCTGGAGGGCAATGACTATTGACAAAGGCCGTACGGCCTTCGACCGTATGCCAACTGTAGTCAATGTGATCGAACTTTTGCTACGGTCTACGTCTGAAAATATACCGGTACCAGTACCGGTATTTCAGAAACCGTATAATCAGGCTAAACCGGAAGAAACAGATTGAGCTACCAATAATGTATTCCCCTCTCATTCTCGAAAAGTTCGTTGGTAATGGCGACACTACAGGGAAGAAACTAGAGCTGCTGTTTATAGGATGCGAAGCAAAACCACCGTACGGACCTCATGAACATACAGCCAATCTCTTTCTACAACTGATTGTTCGGGCATTGGAATCTTGTACCACAACGACTACCAAGGTCGTCATTCATGTATATTCCACATCTCAAGGAAATTATCCTAGTAAAGATGCTTTAGAGAAATGTGACGGCGTCATTTTACCAGGATCCTTCAATTCAGCCTATGACGAAGACGAGTGGGTCTTGCAGTTGAAGGAATGGATTCAGACCGAATTGGTAGCCAAAGAGCGCAAGACACTCGGAGTCTGTTTTGGTCATCAATTATATGCTCACTCGTATGAGCAAGGACAGGCCACCAAATGTGGGGCGGGACCACAAGCCGGACGGAAATCGATCACTTTGACAGAAGATGGCAAGAAGTTGTTGTGTTCTGAGGAGACTTCCAAAGATTCATTGAACTTGTATTATACTCATGGGGACATGGTACAAAAATTGCCTTCACAAGCATCCAAGCTAGGTGGTAATGAAAAGGTTCCCATCCAATCTGCAATCTACTTTGCCAACGCTTCGCCGAGCAAGAAACCGATTGCCATTACCTTTCAAGCGCACCCTGAATTCGGTTGCGATCGGCAGTTGGGCATGGAGAAAACACTTTACGAAATCATGGAAGTTATGAAGAGCCGAGGAGATTTATCAGAAGGTGATTGGGAACAAGCCAAGGAGGATGCGGCAGCCAAATATGAAGCAGTAGAAAGTGATAGCATCGGCGTCATGATTGCTGTCGGAAAAACCTTTGGTTGGTTTTAGTTGCTGTTCTGAACATATTGTATTGTTATAAGCGACAATTTCAACAAGGTTTTGAGGCGGAGGTTTTCAGTTATTTATCATATATATATGCTCGTAATATTCTCGCTGTATACTTTGCTCTATGCTATTGTCATTATCACTCCGCCGCGGCACGTTTCCTATCATTGGTCATCAAGAACCCACCTTTTTTAAAAGTTGGTCAAGATTCGCCCTTCAAAGACACCTGCCTTGGTCAAAATGGCAGTGACACTCTCTGCCATGCCCTTTTGGCCGCAGAGCAGAGCACCCGAGTTTCGTGGAATTGGGACTCCATCTTCTTCCAAACAGTTTTGCACGTATCCAGTGCGTCCTCCCCATTCTGGTCCTGGTTGCGACAGCACAGGAACCACTTGGAAACCCATTTTTTCCCACTTGGGAAAGTAATCGACGTAACATAGATCGGAGGCCGTTTGGATGCCATAATACAGACGAGCTGTGCGGCCACCGCCTCCGCCACCAACATTCAATTGGCCACTTTCCATGGCGGCTTTAATAGGAGCAAGTCCACTACCAGCAGCAAAGAGGAGAACATTTTGAGTGGGAAAGTCGAATTTGAAGCCTTCCAAGTTTTCTTCCATGGGGAATCCATTGCCCAAGACTTGGGATATTTGGATTTGACTGCCGTCAGCAGCACCCGTGATCCAGCCGTTGCTGTCCGTTTTCTTAATCAAGAATTCAAAAGAGGGATTTTCAGCGTCAGGAGGACTGGCAATGGCCAAAAAGAGGGGTTTGGTTTCCTCGTTCAAAGTCACTTGAACGTATTGGCCAGGAGTCTTGTACTCGGCTGCAGTCTCGGCAGGAACTTGGACCATGATACGGACAGAGGAGCCAGATTCGTTGGCGGCTTCCGATTCAGTCACAGTGGCAGCCGACCAGACTGGTTCGGGACCCCATCCCATGAACAAGACGCACTTTTCGCGTTTGAAGCCATTGATTTGAAGAGGTTGAGGTTGAGGTTGAATATATGATTGGGTTGGTGCAAAGGCAGTGTTGGCGGAGGCTGCCTTGTGCACTGGAACAAAGGCGTTCACAGAAGCAATGGCGCTCAAGCAAAGAGCTGAAGAGATCAAAGACAACATAATATAGTGAATCAACTGGAATAGAAGTGATCGAAGCCAAACGAATCAATATCTTTGACAGATGTGGTTTGTGGTGATAGTTTGAAGTTGACAAATAAGGCATCTCGATGAAAATCGGAGGCCAAAGAAGGATATCTGTGACGTCAGAAACAACTTTGTAGTCGAAGAAATCATTTTTGCGACTTTTTTGGGCGGGAAGAAGGTACCAGGTACCCGGAGACAGGTTTCAGTCACAACAAAAACCGAAAGCTCCTTTGATTGTTCGTTACAAGGAAAGAGCAACCAGAATCAGCGTCTCTTGCAGTGAAAACACGTCGACTGACACAGAAAAATCAATTCAGTTCTACAATGGCTGCAAATCTGGCAAAAGCTGCGGCAGTGGGCGCCATGGCCATGAATGGCGGTGGAGGCAATGTGAACAATAACAACAACAATCCTCTTCCAGACTGTCCAAATCCACGACTAGCCCACTATCACAATGAAGACGTTTGCTTGAATGCCTTGAAACCCACTCGCCCTTCGCTGGGAGCCCACGATCGAAAATTCATTTACGAGTCCCTCAAAGAATCTGGTTTGGGAGCTACGTTGGTCCCAAATCAACAAACAGTGGTCTGCCCCATCAAGTTGGAAAGTTTGGAGAATCCCTCCGCCATGCGTGGATTGGACACTACTTGGCTTGTTGAGAATACTTCCACCAATCCTGTGGTGCTAAGTCAAGTCATTGATGGTGTCGAATGGTCTCCCTTTCAACCCAAAATCCTCAGTCCCTTGGACGATCCGCTCGCCACCTTGCAACCGGGAGAATGGATTTCGGTTCCTACCTACGAATCCTTTGTCTATCATGTAAGGGAAATCTCATCAGAGACTGGCAAGCCCGGAGGTGTCGTACTCCAACACCGAGCTGGGCTCATTCCCATTGGCAATCCAAATGCCTACGACTGCGATGCGAACTTGCCCGATGTCGAACCTGTCAATCCCCAAACGGCCGAACGCAAAGTGGAGTTTGGACGAACGCCCCACCCGCAAAAACGACCTTGTAATACAATCGATATTAGTTTTCGGAATCAAGCAGGTTGTCCCCTGCACGTCTATTGGGCAAATCGATTGGATGAGGTCCCAACAGAGGGTTTTTCGTGCGGAGAAAAGTTCAAGTTTCACTTGGGCACCAAACCGGCACCGCAAGATTTCATGTTGGATTGGGACTCGGCCACTAAGTTTGAGGGGAGCTATGTAGGACACACCTTTGTGGCTCGATTGGCTTCCGATCCCAGCGTCGTGATTGACTCGTATTCAGTGGAGCCCACGAAGATTATTGATTGTCCCAACCTGCAAAAGCAACAAATCGTTTCCAGCGTGGACGAACAGGCCGAAGCCGAGGTGCGAGCGGATGGAACGGTCCAGAACCAAGAAGGGGGCTCCACCACCGCCCACTTGCAAGAATCTGTCGCAGGTTTGGGAGGTATTTCTTCTACCAGTGGTTAAAACTTGCACGGATTCGGATGAGTGGTGTATTGAATTTCCTGTTATCTAATGACACAGGCTCGATCACCTGCCTGATCCGCATCAATCTCTTGTAGGTGGACTAATACTGTAGGATGAATAAGTATCATACTTGTAATCCATGAATCCACACTTCGTGACTCAGATTCAGTCGTGAAAGGCTCCGCAGATTTCATCGTACATAATGTACCAGGAAATTCCAGGAATCACCCCGAAAAAAAGATCCGAATCGAAAAATCACGTCACCGAGGTGGACATCACAATCACAGTTCTTTTTGTTAGACATATCCTCACCTTCATCACCATGCAGGTACGCTTCATTATCTTGTTTCCTTGGTTCCTAGCAGCAATAGCAACAATCTTTGAAGCAAACCCAAACGTCGCAGAAGCAGCACGAGTTCGAGTGGTGTCTTCACACATTTCACGGAATGACTATTCAATTGCTGAAAGCGCTGTCCGTTGGAACTTGGGTGTAGACTCCCCGGTGGTGCGTCGGATTACTGGGTTGCCAAGTTGTTGTTATGTCTGAAGACTAGCAATGGTCTTTTTGCGTGTGTGTGTCTGTGTGTGTGCTGGTTCCTTGTTGCTTTTCTCGCCGTTCCAACAATCCTAAAAATGTCGGTCGCAAAATGAAACCAATCTTTTGATACAAACGCCCTCACCTTTCTCTGTTGCAACGTCTTTAGATTTTCGTAAAGACCCTCACTGGAAAGACCATCACCCTTGATGTCGAGCCATCTGACACCATTGACAACGTCAAGACCAAGATCCAAGACAAGGAAGGTATTCCCCCAGATCAGCAACGCCTTATTTTTGCCGGAAAGCAATTGGAGGATGGGCGCACCTTGAGTGATTACAACATCCAAAAGGAGTCTACTCTTCACTTGGTTCTTCGTCTTCGTGGGGGACACTGCCAAGTTCCCTGCGGAATCTTTGATGATCCAGCCATGGTCGGCCAACTCAAGGAAATGGCTGTTACCATTCGCAAGTCCATGGCCCAATCCAAAGAATTGCACGCTGCTGGAGACTTGCAATCCATGAACCAAATTGTTCGTTGGATCAATACCAAGGAGGAGCACTGTGCCAAGATTATCACCATGGTTGGTGAATACTGCTTGTGTCAACGAGTCAAGCCAACTGTCTTTGGCAGTGACAAGGACTACGTCGATGCTCTGAAGGCCCATCATGCTGTCATGCAAGCTGCCATGAAGGCCAAGCAAACGGTCGATGTTGCTGCCTGTGATGCCTTGGACCACGCTTTGGAAGATATGGCTAAGATGTACATCAAGGATTAAGTCATTCTCCATGCTGGGCCGTGGAAGATGACTTCTCGACTTTGATGCAATTGTTTCATGCGGCACTAATGTACCTATACTTTTGGATATGTTGTGTCATCCATAATAAAAAGATAAACTACAGTATGCTTTTGCCTAATCCACTTTGTCATGTTCTACCGGTACCAGGTACCGGTAGTATGATTAAAATATACTTTCGCCTTGAGCCGGTCCTCTGTTGAAGTCAAAATCACCTTCGTTCTTTTTGTCCGGGTAAGAAAATATCTGGTACGACCATCGCCAAATCTTTCGTGGGTACAGTACCCCCTGCTACCTGGTACAGCACCGGCTGTTGGTGTAGCACCAACTCATTCGTGGGTATTACAGCATCGGTGGTGGGTCGTTGGTGCAGCGAGTGCCAACTCGAAAAAGAACGCTTGGTGACGGTCACCCTTGCATAGAGCGAGATGTGATGAGAGATGATGGAAAATGAGGGAGACTATGCTACTCCGCTTTGCAACATTTTCACAAGCTCTGTACAATACTGTAAATCTTCATCCATATATAAAGCTTCCATGGAATTGTTACCAACATAACAGGAAAGGCATTCGTGATGTTTTTCGTTTAGATATTTACAGTGTTTTATAAATTTTATCGTTCTTCTGTTTGTAGAGGAAATATTTACAGGGTGTTCAGATGAGATTTGTTTGTACAATGTTCAAGGTAAGTAATGTTGTGAACATGGGGTGCTGGATAGTAGTAGAATGGGCGCACTGGGAATCAAGGAAAATACAGGGGTCTTGATTGATCCAGTTGCCGGATTTTGTTTTGTGGCCAAGCAACCAATATTAGCATGGGCGGTTGCTTGCCGATTTGATTTGTGCAGGAAAGTTGTTTTCTTGGAAACATGTGTTGTGTTGTGTTTGTGTGTGTTTTCCCAGGAACGGATGTTATAGGTCGTCTTGGTTGAGGCGAGAAAATGCCATGACAGTTCCACGGTGTCCGCGAACAACGCGAACGGTGCCGTCCATGTAAATAACATCGACATAGGCTACACCGTGACCTCCAATAGGTCGTGTAAAGGCAAAGTTCATTTGACCATTCTTGTCCATTACAGTGGGGACAGTAGCTCCCATCAAGAGTTGGACAGCGAGTAGCTTGGCTCGTTCACCAAAGGTGTGCTTTGGTGGATGGAGGGTGAACAATTGGTTCCATGCCTTAATGTCAGCGATATCATTGCTTGGCTGCAACTTTCCGCCCGTGAACCAAATAGAGTGTCTATTTGGTACCTTGGGATCGGGTAGGCTGTAACCATAGGTAGTCATGATTCCCTTAATGGGACGGGCAACATCCTTGTTGGGAGCCTCGGGGAATGCTCTCAAAGCGTATCCAGGTTCAATTGTGAAAGCAGTCACAATGTGGTAGGTGCGAATGGTCGAGTTATCGTTCTCGACTTCGTCACGTAGTGACTTTGGCACGGCTTGAAGGATCATTGCTCTTTCGGCTTCACTGACTGCTTCAATAGGATTGAAATTTCCTTGAATGCTGCAAATGATGTTGGTTGGGGAGAACATATCAAAGGACATGCGACCCATGGTATACAATGGGTCCCCAGCTTCGTTCTCACCAAGGCAACCAAAGTAGGTAGGCTTTGAAAGCTGTAGCCACATGCCATCCAGAGTTTGACCGGACAGCAGGGCCGAGGACAGAGTGCTTGAATGGTGCTGAAGGAGGACATCGAGAGAATCCTTGAATTCTTCAGACTCGACATCGCCCTTGGTCTTTTCAAGAGTTTGCAAGAGGTTATCACGAGCCTTGGTCATGTTCTTCTGGAAGGTGTAGATGGGGTTTTCGTCGAGAGTGATCTCATCGACACCTTCTTCCACAAAGTGGACTTCTTCATCCTGGCGGCTTGAAACGTGAGCAACAGACTCGAACGGACTGTCCTCATCCTCCACATAGTGCACCTCAGCCTCGCGATCAATGGGAGTCATTGCATCTTGAGTCTGATGAGGAGGGGGAGAAGGAGAATTGCCTCTACCCTCCATCTTGACTTCTTGAGGAGGTACAGCATGTGGGTTCAAGGAAAGATCAGTTGGATGGAACATGAACGATTTTGCAGCGGGTGCAGCGGGTTCACGATCAACCTCCTTGCTTTTACCAAGGTTTCTACGCTTGGTGGACTGCTTCTCTTCCTCTAGTGGCTCAAGTCGATCTTCAGGATGAAGCAAGAGAGCCTCCAACTCAGCTTCTGAAAGCGATTCCTCAGGTGTGTCTAGACTTCGCTTCAAGTTCTCAGATCCAAAGGATGAGCCAGAAACATAAGATGGAGGGGAAAAGGGATTGGAAGCTCCAGCACTTCGATCCACAACTATTCCATGGTGGCTGGATAGCCTCGAATCGAATTGATAAAAGTCTCTGTCCACATGGGTGTGATGAGTCTCTTCCTGGTGGGTCCACTTGCGGTGCCACTCTTGTGCCATCATTGCAGCATCGTTGGTGTCTCGCATCGAAATTCCCTGACGATAAGCATCATTATAAAACTGTTCACTGACTCTTCGAGAGACAGGACGAATGCTCTTCGGTCCTCCACCAGATTTCAGCGGATCGGGATTGAGAATTCGCATCGCAGTGGGTCTAACGATGGAGGATGCTGGAATATCAAAGTTGTATATATCTGAATACTCCTCGCTCAGCTCCAGTTGATCATCATCTAGGCTGTTGAACCTTGGGGAGCCCAAGAATATTGGTTCTTCTAGCGCCAAGGACGCCATTAGATTGATTGGGGGTGTTTTGTTTGGTGTTTGTTTAGTTGTGCGGAATGCGAGAAGGGAAAAAGGAAAAGCAGCTGTTTGGTGCCAGTGGTTTATCGTGTTCGAGGGGCAAGGGATCAGGTGATGTGCGTCGGCTTAAAAAGGTTGCAATGTTTTCTATCTTGAGCCCTTTTCCGTACATTTCGAACGTGGATTGGACACTTTGTATCTGTCAAAAAACCAGACCGAAGCGTTCCATAGGTAATCATTTAACAAAAACGTGCATCACTCAACATTTCCACTGAAATTCCGCTTGAACTTCTGACGTTCTAATGGAACGGTTTATTAGATTATTGCTTGGATTGATATTCTTGGCTTACGTACCCCAACCCAAGAAGAAAGTTCTGTAGAATTCTACCGAACAAAAATACTTGATCGGCGAAATTATTTGTTTGATCGGCAAATAAGACCCGCTTGACGTGCGTATGCCTTGCTTGATCAGAAGCGAAGGCTGCGATGGTCGAATGAGTCAGAGGGTCGTTTCCGGCATTGTACTGTATGTAGGTAGCGTCTGTATGTATGTGCTGAACTTTGTTCAAAACGAAGTCGGCATCTGCAACGGCTATCAAGCCGGCAGACTATTTGTCATAAATAGTGCTGGTCACATCAAGCCAGCCCAACAAGCGTTGCATCACCTTTTGAAGAAACGAGTCGCCAAAGTGAGATTGCCTCAATCGTCGTCACATTGTGCATCATAAACAACATTAAACATTTGAAAGATGTCGTCGCTTTTCTGCAATGCACCTAAAGATAATACCTTAGACAAAGGGATCGATAGAAAGAACTCTGGAGTCGGTGACACTTACAGTGTTGGCCCCTCCTTTTCTGAGAATGGTGGTCAAGCTCCATTTGATGGAGATGAGACCGAAATGGACTACGACACTGGAGCCTCCGAGTTGTACCGTGCCATCGAAGCCAGAGATTGGGATACTGCGCTGGCTCGCCTAGAAGCCAACCCTAATGAAGCCAAGGCTTGGGTGTCAAGAAAGGAGTACAACTCGGATCGCATCCGGTGGCGCTTGTTGCCTCTGCATGCCACATGTATCTTCCGATCGCCATTGGCGTTGATAGAATCTCTTGTGGATATCTATCCAGAGGCTACACAAAGAAAAGATGATCAAGGAATGATGCCTATCCATTTGGCCTGCAGAAACGGAGCTTCCAAGGGAGTTGTTCTTACTTTGCTTACCGCTTACCCTTCGTCGGTCAATGCCAAGGATCGCAAGGGCCGCACACCTCTCGATTTGGTCGAATCCAGTAATTCGCAAAATGTAGGAGTTGTGGGTGAAGCTATTCGGGAATTCGTTGTGGAGCAAGGTGCCAAAATCGAACCTCTTCCAGAAGATAAACAAGAACAAGCACCACGAACTACCGGTACCACAAGATCAGCAGCAGCACCATCAATGGTCGTTCAAGAAACCACCAACGAGGTTGACTACGAGAACCGCACAATTCTATTTCGCCTTTTGATGAAGAAGGATTGGGAAGCCGCTACTGCTCGTGCTGAAGCTTTCCCGGAAGAGGCTGCAACTTGGATTGCCACCAAGGGTTTCAATGGAGCTCTTCGATTTCTTCCTCTTCACAAAGCTTGCGTCTTGCAGCCACCAGACGAAGTTATCGAAGCAATCATTGCAGCCTACCCTAATGGCGCCAAGTCCCAAGATCAAGACGGATGGCTGCCTGCCCACTGTGCTTGTTTCTACGGCGCCAAGCCTTCCACCATCAAGGTCCTTCTTGATGCCAACCCCAGAGGAGCACAACTGAAGGACGACGAAGGACGTCTTCCTTTGCACTATGCATGCCTCAAGGGAGCTTCCCAAAAGGTTGTTGATCTCCTTCTTGAAACCTTTGTCAAGGGAGCGATGAGCAAGGATGACGAGGGACGTCTTCCCATTCATCACGCTTGTTCCAAGGGAGCCCCAGAGGGAGTCATTGATACTCTTTTGAAGGCTTCTCCAAAGGGAGCCCAAACCAAGGATGACCAAGGACGTCTCGCCTTGCATCATGCCTGCAGAAAGTCTTCGTCGGAACGTGTTGTTCGCACCTTGCTTCGTGTGTACCCACGTGCTGCACAAATCAAGGACGATCAAGACAAGTTGCCCGTCCACTACGCATGTCAACATGGTGTGAATCCAAATGTTGTAAACATCTTGCTCACAACTCACCCCGAGAGTATCAATGTGAAGAACGGATTTGGGTATACACCCTTGGCCGAAGCCAGAGCCGTTGACAATACCAAGATGGAACCCATCATTCATGTTCTTGAGAAGTTCAAGGTTGAGCAAGACAAGATCAAGGTTGACTCTGGAGAAAATGCCATCTTTGAAGCCAAACTTGATGCCTTGACCCGACGAGTGATGCACCTTGAAAAGTTGGTTGGAAACGCCATGGATATGGGAGTTGAAATCAAGGGCAGTGTACAGAACGTGAAGGACCCTTACGTCTTGATTGATAGAATGGCTGATCGTCTTGCAAATTTGGACGTTACTGAGGAATTGGAGCCCTTGGAGACCTCGGGAGCACTCGCAAAGCAAGAAAAGACAACAAAACGGCGATTTTTGAGCCGAGGAAGAACGCGCAATTAATAAGAATTGCCAGCAGTCATGATCTGTGGTCATCGAAGCTTGTGTTCTTCTCTCTCCGCTCAAATCTCATTGATCCCTATGTCGTGCAAGGGGAAAGCAGAATCGTTTCCTGGAGCTTGGAGTAGTCACTCTCTAATAGTAGTGCTACCCAGGCCAGTTTGTTTCGGAGGACTCGTTCTTGTTGTATCAATTTGCATGTTAAAAGACTAAATAATAACAATTCTAGTACAGAAAAATTATTTTGAAGTTGCATTAGTTGTAACGGCATACCCCCGGGAATTAGTGTGGCTGGGTGCATGCATGGATGGTGCATAAAGGGTGATAATGCCGCCGGTGCCTCTGCTGGTGGCATCCTGGGTGGCAGTGCTTTCTTCACCCTCTCCTTCTCTCCCTTCTCCTTTTCTCCACGAACAATCGTTTCACATCACATGATCAGAAATGTACAGTATTGGTTCGTGTTGTAAAATTCGATGCGAACCCCAATCTCATTCTCCATGCAGGTCCCTTGTTGCCACAAAACAAAGGATTGCCACTTTACAACTGTAAGTTCCAAAGTGCGTCAAAGATCCATCGCCTATCTATCAGAGTTCATAACTAACAGGACCACCATTGTCCTCTTTTCTTTACCCAGAAATAAATACAACGACAAAATGACACCAACATTGGACGCCGGAAAAGCAAGTCACTCTCCAAGCAGCGAGTTTATGACGCTTGTTGACGTGGATCACATGTCAGACTTTAGCCAAGTTGTCGACTACCTCAAGAAGAATCTTGACAATATCATCAAGGAGGTTCACGGCTTTGACAAGCTATTGATTGACAATGAAAAGACTCAACTCAACTGCCCACCCGCACCCGAGGCAGGTGACACCCATGGATCTCTTTTGATTCGCACACTGAGTGAGAAGGAAGGTCCATTCGGATTGACCCTCAAGAGAGAATTCAAGGTTCACGATTGCGGAGTCGACCCCGACAATGCCTCCTTACACAAGGTGGAAATCCGGGAAGACGTCGTCAAGGCACCCAGTGAAAGTGGTCAACCCCCGATCATGACGGACACTGCCGTGATTGTCAGTATCAATAGACTTTAGAGATAGAGATATATTATATATGCGTGAAATCAAACAGTACAGGAACAACATAACTATATAGATGCTGCTACACTACTTTTATTATTACTTGATCTGAAATTTGTCTACTATTATATATTCTTACTCGTCGTCGAGCCCCATAATTATGAAAACAAAGCTCCAATACCAGAGCAGCTCTTAATACTTCAACCCCCGCATACCACTTTTACTATGTTGACTCTTATTTTGCTACGTACCGTATATATCAGTATCCATTCGAAGTGGCAATATGCCGCTTATCAATGGTTTTCCAGATCATCCACCTAGGCCAAATTAAGTGGAAGCTCGGAATACCCTAGGACTACCTACTGTATGTAATCAAATTGTATCTATGCATCGTTATCTATACTACCTCAGGACCTGTACCATACCTAATATTATCTAGTACACCGCGCTTGAAGGCAACCATGAATACCGTGGTACTGGTAGGACCTACTGCACCGTATTATCATACCAATAATAATAAATAGACTAGGACCTAGGACTAGTCACTCGTGACTAGTCCTATAATAGATATAATAATTTATAATTCAATCAAAGTCAAAATCACAGCAGTCTAGGACTAGTCTTCGTCGTCTTCAAAGTCGATAGCGTTTTGCGTTTGTTGTCTCTTTTCTTCTTCCAACCGAATCATTTCACGTTTGACGAGACGAGCGGTTTGGTGATCATCTTCCAATTGTCCAATGGACAAATTAGTATTTACGCATCCCACATTGGGACACTTATTGTTCCGATTGCGAATATAGTTCAAAATAACATGCTTCGAATAGACATGGTGGCAGACCTTGTTGCGCATGGGATCTTGAAGCAGAGTTCCAGTAATGGGGCATTTCAATGACACGGTGGCATTGCCTCCCACCACTTCGAGTTCATCATCTTGGTTTTGTGCAGATACATCTCCAAGTTCTGTACACATGTCCAAGTACATGCGTTCTTGCTTGATTTCGACGGAAGATTGATTGATCTTCTGCAGTTCCTGCTCCTTGTTTTCCTGGATAAAGGTCGAATACTCGGTGATTTCTGGCTGGTTCACCGTCTTTTTCAGTGTGGCAACAAAAGCATTCACTTCACGTTCGTGCTTGACATTGGTTTCTGCCAGTTGTCGAAGTGCTTGACGATAGTCATCGACCCTGTCTCCCAGCAAGTCTTCCAAACGACCTCCCTTGGACAAGGTTTGGGCCATGGTGCAAGCATAGGCGTGATTTTTTTGAATGCCTTCCTTGTATTTCTTTTCCTTGCGGATCATTTGATTGACAATCTCATTTGACGCAGCAGCCTGTGACATGTGTTGGGACATGATATGAAAGAATTAGTTGGTTGTAGAGGATAAAGGAGTTTGGTGTTTTCGAGCAACTACTGTATTGTACAAGTATGGTACACTGTACTTTCAACTTTGCAAAAAGGATGATGAACAAAGTCAAGGCAAAGCGTGTTTGCTTTGTGGGTTTTGGTGTGTCCTGCGCAGCACTCAAAATTCCTGTTTGGCGCGACGGGTAGACGGGTGGCGTGATGGAATAGTATCTCTTTTCTCATCATTCCACCCGCCCCGTACTTCCGTCAGTTGCATTTTCACTTCATCGGCAGTTTGTCCGTCTGTGCCGTTTTAACGAATTCATAGAATGACGCTTGAATGGAAAATATCGATTAGAATTTCAGCTAGAGATTGGATTCCACCTTGCATTTTACCGCGTTAAATCGTAAGAATATTATTTGGCACAACCAAAAGTCGAATTCTGGTCATCTTCGCCAACCGAAAAATCGGGCGGAAATCTTGTTTTGGTTTGCGAACTTTGAAAAAAGATCACACACAATTTTCCTCAAGATGATGTTGGCTTCACGAGTCACCCAAGCATGCTCTCGTCACTCGACGCAACTGCGTCGAGGCCTTCTTTCGAGTAGCAAGAGAAGCATGTCAGCCTTTTTGGCTGAATACGACGCCCATGTTGCCGAACGAGCAGCCATGGCCGGTGGAATTGGAATTGCTCCCAAACCATTGGACGCCAGCCAGACCAGTTCTGTGATTGAAGAGTTGAAAGCAGACAGTGGTAACGAGCGCTTGTTGGAGTTGCTCGTTCATCGTATTCCACCTGGCGTCGATGAGGCTGCTTATGTCAAGGCCACTTGGCTTTCGGCTCTTGCCATGGGCAAGGAGTCGCACCCTTCCATTTCACGTGTGTATGCCGTAGAATTGTTGGGAACCATGCAAGGAGGTTACAACGTTGGCACTTTGGTGAGTCTTCTCAAGGACCCCGAAACTGAAATTGCCGAAAGTGCTGCCAAGCAACTCTCCAAGACTCTTTTGGTCTTTGATGCTTTTTATGACGTCGAAGCCGCCGCCAAGGAAGGATGCGCTCCCGCACAAAGCGTCATGGAATCCTGGGCTAATGCCGACTGGTACCTCGCAAAGCCAGAGGTTCCAGAGACCATGACTGCTACTGTCTTCAAGGTCACTGGAGAGACAAACACTGATGATCTTTCTCCAGCTCAAGATGCCTGGAGTCGTCCCGACATTCCACTTCACGGCTTGGCCATGCTCAAGAATACACGTGAAGGGATCGTCCCCGAAGTGGATGGTGAAATTGGTCCTCTCAAGCAAATGGAAGAACTCAAGGCTAAGGGATACCCCTTGGCTTATGTCGGAGACGTTGTTGGAACCGGATCTTCCCGAAAGTCCGCCACCAACTCTGTCTTGTGGCACATGGGTGACGACATTCCTTATGTCCCCAATATGCGTGCTGGAGGTTTGTGTCTGGGAGGAAAGATTGCTCCCATTTTCTTCAATACCATGGAAGATTCTGGCTCTTTGCCAATTGAATTGGAAGTTGGTGACATGAACATGGGAGATGTCATTACTGTCCACCCACACGAGGGCAAGGTCACTCGCGAAGACGGATCTGTCTTGACCGAATTCGAGCTAAAGACCAATGTCATTTTGGACGAAGTTCGTGCCGGAGGACGTATTCCTTTGATTATTGGACGTGGTTTGACTTCCAAGGCCCGTCTATCTCTCGGCCAAGGTGAAGCCGTTGACGATATTTTCAGCATGCCTGCTCCACCATCTGACATCAAGCCCAAGGGATTCACTTTGGCCCAAAAGATGGTCGGAAAGGCTTGCGGTATGCAAGAGGGAGAAGGTGTTGTTCCAGGACAATACTGCGAACCCAAGATGACCACTGTTGGATCTCAAGACACCACTGGTCCTATGACCCGTGACGAGTTGAAGGCTTTGGCCTGTTTGGGATTTTCCGCCGATTTGGTGATGCAATCCTTTTGCCACACTGCTGCTTACCCCAAGCCAGTTGACGTCGTCACACATCACACCTTGCCCGATTTCATCATGACCCGTGGAGGAGTTTCTCTTCGCCCAGGTGACGGTATCATCCATTCCTGGTTGAACCGTATGCTTCTCCCCGATACCGTTGGAACCGGTGGTGATTCTCACACCCGTTTCCCCATTGGTATCTCCTTCCCTGCTGGTTCTGGATTGGTTGCCTTTGGAGCTGCTACCGGTATCATGCCTTTGGATATGCCAGAATCTGTCTTGGTTCGCTTCTCTGGAGAAATGCAACGTGGTATCACTCTTCGTGATTTGGTCCAAGCCATTCCATACCAAGCCCTTCAAGAAGGGCTTTTGACCACCGAAAAGAAGGGAAAGAAGAATATCTTTTCTGGAAAGATTTTGGAAATTGAAGGTCTTCCTACTCTAAAGTGCGAACAAGCCTTTGAATTGTCCGATGCCAGTGCCGAGCGATCTGCTGCCGGGTGCACCATCAAATTGGACAAGGAACCCATCATTGAGTACTTGAACTCCAACGTTGTCATGCTCAAGTGGATGATCGCCGAAGGATACGGTGATGTCCGAACCTTGGAGCGTCGTATTGCCCGCATGCAAGAATGGTTGGCCAACCCCGTCTTGATGGAGGCTGACCCTGAAGCTGAATACGCTGCTGTCATCGACATTGACTTGAACGAGTTGAAGGAGCCAGTCTTGGCCTTGCCAAATGACCCAGATGCCTCTGCATTGTTGAGCGACTACAGCGGAACAAAGGTTGACGAAGTTTTCATTGGATCCTGTATGACCAACATTGGACACTTCCGTGCTGCCGGAAAGTTGTTGACCAACTTGGCGAAGCCACTTCCAACCCGTCTGTGGATTGCTCCACCCACAAAGATGGACGAAGCACAATTGATTGAAGAGGGATACTACAGCACCTTTGGCGTCGCGGGAGCCCGAACCGAAATGCCTGGATGCAGTCTGTGCATGGGTAATCAAGCCCGCGTTGCCCCTGGATGCACCACCGTCTCTACCAGTACCCGTAACTTCCCCAACCGTTTGGGACAAGGAGCTGATGTCTTTTTGGCTAGTGCTGAGCTGGCTGCCATTGCTTCCATTGAGGGAGAATTGCCAACTGTTGAAAAGTACTTGGAATACATGGACAAAGTTAACGCCACTGCCGCTGATACATACCGCTACTTGAATTTCGATGAACTGCCAGAGTTTGTCAAAAGTGCTGACACTGTTGAAATCAGTGCAGAAATGATGGACGCAGCCAAGAGGCTCTCTGCTGAGTAAGCGCACTCGTATCTTTAACTGCATACTACAATACTTAGAGAAGAAATAGTTTTGGATATATTGTTGTACGTTGCTGCACTACGGTATTAGTTTATGGTCTTGGAAATAAATACAATATCATAACATACATATTCAGCTTACTGCTTACTGCACCATAAGTGTATGGTCTTTGAAATAAATACCATAAAACATGATTATGCGCCATAAAAGATTGCACATGAGCAAAATATAGCCGCGAGGGAGAATCGAACTCCCGATCTTTTGATTACAAGATAAAAGATTGCACATGAGCAAAATATAGCCGCGAGGGAGAATCGAACTCCCGATCTTTTGATTACAAGTCAAATGCGTTACCACTGCGCCATCACGGCGCTGCCCCGTAGTGGAATCTATAAAATAAGAACTTAATTTTTTAAGAGAATCATGTCTTCCCTCATTTCTTACAAGGATTGTTTCTGAGATTGACTACTGCGGTAGTATTATTATCATAGTCTACTGTAGATCATGCCATTTACAGCGAAATAAGCTTATAGTATTGAGTTTTTAATTTGGTAGCCTCATCTTACTCGAAGCACTTCTACTTCCCATACGAGCGGTGCTGGGAATGCAGGTTGAGATCCAAAGCCATCCACAATTCGTTGGTAAGCCACAATGGATTGCTTTCCAGCTTTAGATTTTGGAGCTGGGTTCCAATTGGAGGTCGCAAGACCAACATTAGGTGGGAGTTCTACCCGTCGCTTTTCTCCTCTTTGCATCCCTATCATCGCTTGCTCTATTCCCACAGGAACATCTTGGTGGGATCCAACTTTGTCCACTCTCAGGAAATCAACATCTAGATCCTTCACTATTTGTCCATTGCCAATATCAACTTTTTCGAATCCAAACCCTTGACTGTACATGTACGGACCTCCAGCACGCGAAATACTGTAGATGATATCGACGGAAGACCCCTCCTTCACTGCTGGGCCTCTAACTCCCGAGTTGAGTGTCTTGAATCGAACTCCAGAATCGAGACTTGTCACCGGATTCTCTTTCAAGTCTTGTGCCACACGGGAGTCTCCAATCTCTCGACATGACTCGATATCCGTACATTTCGCGGATGCAACGAATGGAGCCCCCGTTGTAGCGATAATCATGCTCGAGGTGCTGAGGACACCTTTTAGGAGAGATCTTCGATCAATGTCCGATGTAGTTTGTGGAAGTTTCTGTCGATGGTGTTGCATCACCATGCTGTCGACTGATGCCATGACTGCCAAAATGCAGAAGATCATTGCAATGGAATTTCTCTTGGGGATGTTGCTCATGATCGTATTGGTTTCAAAATCAATTGATGTCCCTATCGTTTCTACCGTATAAATTTTGTGACATCGATGTTGATCGTTTCAAATTTGTGATGGACGGGAGTACGTACCACGTCATTCATAATGATTCCATAACGCGAAGCCAAATCTTCGGCTTCATCAAACAAACAGCCTAACGAATCATGAGATCAACTGCAACATTTCTCCGTGCATGGCTATTTTTGTGCTTATTAGCTGGACTTACACAAGCATTTCAACATCATGGAATCCATCCAACGAGGGTTCGGAATGTGTCGTCACGTTCCATGGCACCAAAATATGATCCGGTAACCAACCGATGGACAGCAACCTCTCCAGACGAAGAAGCATCTGCCGGATACCCAGCATGGGGATCGTTGCTTCGTCAAGGACCATCTCCCTTTTTCCAACGCATCTTCAGTGCAGATGATTACGAGCAAGGAGTTTTGAAAATGATGGCTCGCGATGATATGAGCCGGAATGAAGCGCAAGGGAACATGGATGCCTACATTCGAAATGTAAGATACCTTATATTGTTCCTTGAATGTGTGAATAGTTGCTTTTCCTATCAATTTTTGATATTGACTAATGCCATTGCTTTGTTGTCATTTGTAATACATGTATGGTGGATACATTCAATATACAGCCAAACGATTGGGCCTTGCAAAAAGTTGAGGAGCAACGGGGAGCACCAAAGGCTGACTATTCCAATGCCAACATGAATGCTGGTGACCTCATCCTAACAGCAGGCTGGTCGAGTATTCTACTCGCGTTTATTTCTAGAACCGTTTATGATTACACTGTAGGGTGTGATTCCTTTTGCCAGGAGTATCACTTTTGAGTTGCGATAGGTTCAAGCTACTGCATATTGAAGATGATTGAACAAGACACCAACAACAACAAGATCGACAATAGTATTCTGCTTTGGTGCTGGAGTAACACAGCTACAAGAGAACGTTTGATAATGTACAAAAAACAAAATTGCTAGCCCTATTAAATCGTTTAAAAGTTTATTGCTGGGCAAGCATATATAAAATATATATATCACGATCATAGCAGATTCAGTTGGGCTCTTCTTGCTTCCTCTGATTCCACTATCACGGCGATTACCTCGTCATTTCGAGCTGCCTCCATTTCCCGCCGTTGTCTTTGGTGCATTTGGATCCGTTGGAACAGTGAACTTGAGCCATTCATTACAGAAGATGTTAGCGATGGACTTGCTTCTTCAGCCACAACAGATGATAGCGGTAGACTATCACTGGTGGTCTGGTTTCCTGCTCCTTCGACAATTATTGCTCCTGGGGCCGCCATGCCTTCACTAGAAGCTACAATGCATTCAGCTTGTGGCAAGTCATCTTCGTGACCTTCCGCTGCTTCGGCATCCACCTCGGGGATGTGTGGACGGCTCATCATAGCTTCCAGATATCTTTGGCATTCTTCGTCCAAGGCCGATGACGATGGAAGAGCCGAAGCTTCCAACTCCTGTAGAATTCCTCGCATGATTTTGGCCTTTTCGCATGGATTGCCCTCTTGAATATCACGCAAGGTATGATGCATGGCATTTGCCTCCATCAAGAGAACCGCTGCGCTCAATGCACCTCCCGCAAAACGAGCAAATCGTAGGCCGCGAGCAGCTGCAGAACTCGCCGTGGTTGCTCGGGACGCCACACTAGCTCCTCTTGCTCCCGCTCCAGCACCGGCCAACACACCAGCCTCGGTAGAAGCCACTCGTGCTGCTTGAGCTGCCATGGCACCAGCGTCTGCAGCCGCCAAGGCACCAGCTTCGGTAAGAGCAACTCCTCCCAATGCCACACCACTTCCTGCATTGACACCAGCCACTACACCACTACGATGCTTTTCAAAACGTTCCTGAACCACTTGCGCGAGATCCCCCTTTTCATCACAAATGCCATCCGTCCGGATGTAGTCTCTCATCATGGCATCCCGCAACGTACTCGTCACTCTCAATATAGAAAGCGTCATTCCATGTAAGGCAATGATTCTATCGGCAAGCTTGTTGGGTTCTGAAAAGTAATTCAATGCCTCTGTTCCAACCTGTACCGTCGTGGCACTTCCTCCAAACACAAGGGAAGCAATGAGCAAGGGAGGTCCAGCGGGTGTCAAGATGGTCGCTGCAGCAGCAATCCCCAAGACACCCGACACGACACCCACACCGCTACTACCCAACCCAATCTTGTTTTGCTTCTCTTTGGTATTTTCCAAAGTCACTGCAATTTGTTCAATATATTGCGAAGAATAGTTCAACAGAAGCAGACATCGGTCGTACAAATCAATCATGTGATCAATGTGTTTGGCCCGAATTTGTGCATCTGGCTCCTTGACGCACGTCGTAATGAATTCGAGTTGAAAGAGGCGCTCGCAATTCAAACAAACCGTAATCCCATCTTTGCGAAAACTCGGAGAACAGTGATTGGGGCAACTGGGAGAAGCGCAAATCAAGCACGATGGACTTTGTTGCTTTAATCGGTTGTCCAACAAGTTTTGAATTCTGGGTAGAACTCGGGGTGTTCCTGCTTTGGCGGCTGGCTTTCTCTCGTCTAGCATTTGGTGATTGGCGGGTGTGGATTGATTCTCTTTGGTATCAGGCAAATTGTTTTTGTGGTCGTTGTTCTTGTTACCAAATAAACGACTAGGCAGCTTTTGAAACACATTCCTCTGATTCAACGATTGTTGCCTTGTCGTCGCCGCGTCTGATCCCTGTTGTTGTTGTTGCCATTGAAAGAGCTTCGGGATTTTGGCAATGTTATTGGCCGCCGACTCTTGTGCGACGGTGGCACCTTCGTAGGCTTGTTGCAATCGTGGGAATCGCTTGGTTGGAATGGAATTGCTCAATAGACAGGTTGTACAGTGACCATGATCCACATGGATGATTCCAACGTCAAAGCATTGCATTTCCAAATTCAGTCGACGCATCTTTTCCAAGGCTTCGTAGGCGACATTGAGTGCCTCTGCATCGTCTTCTTTGGATTGGATCTTCTCAGGAACTTCCCTTGTGTACAAGGTATTTACAGATCTAGATGTAGCGGTAGCCTGAGTTGGCAGTTGAATTTCATAGATAGAGTCTTGGTATCGGTAGGCAGTGACGACTCCACTTCCAAAGGGCGTCTTCACTTTCTTTCCCACCAGAACAATTCCATGAGGTTTGATTTTCGGATTTTGCACTCGTTGCGCTGTATTTGTATTAATATTTGCATTCGTTATTGGGGTTGGAATGTCAGGTTTGCCTTCTGTTGTCATTGTTTGTAAGTTGTTCTTGTTGTATTTCTGATATTTTGATGATATATATATTTATGATGATGATGATGATGATGATTCTATGGGTAACTGCAACATCAACTTCTTGTTTATTTGCCGCGCTGCGTTTGTGAGTCGTGTAGTGGAAGAATTTGGAGTTGAAGTGATCAACTTTTTTCGTGCCGCAAGTGACATGAAATCGCGCCGGACCGTATTTGTGAAAAACGACTTGGGTCCGATTTGGGCGAGAAAGATCGACGGATTCCAAAAGCGCCAAGATCCAACTGTCGCGGGTTTCGCGTCACATTTTGGACGCGAAAATTATGCAAGAACGAAATTCAAACTTGTCACACACTCTTGTTGCTAGTTGTCAAAAAAATTATTTCATCATGCCACCCTTTTCAGGAGATACTGTGGAGCTTTATAACAACACCTCCTATTCGCGACGAGGAGATGTAGATGACAATGATGGTGACGATGATTCCCCACCACCATCTCAAACTAGTGTTTCACAGACAATTTATAGAACCGTTCGACGATCCTTGTTTTTCAATTCTGCCGACTTTGAACCTTGTCCTGGAGTCCAACCAGTAATTATTGATGCTGAAGAGAGTATTCATAGAGCAGTAGTCAAGAAGCAAGTGACCTTTAACCTGGACAACAATGAACGTCATGAAGTATTGCACGCCAAAGACTATTCGGAATCGGAACGTAGTCTAACTTGGTTTTCTATGGAGGAACTCAAACAAATAAAGTCGGACTCTCGATTAATCGTCCAAGCCTGGCATTGTGCTGGTGGAGAGTCGGGGTACTGCATGCGTGGTCTGGAAGGCAAAAAGAGTGAAGCCTATAGACTCAAGCGAAAGCGAAACAAGGCCGATATTCGTTTTGCGGTCATGACGGAACAAGCGAAACAAAAGTTTGCAACCGGGGGAAAGATACTAGACCATATGCGTCTTGCCATGGTATCCATGGACTGCTCGGAACTCAGTCGGATGGAAGCCCAACGAGTGGGAGTGGCAGACGAACAAGCTGCCGTATGTGATGGTAGTATCAGCATGTACAAGTGTAGCAAACAAGAAGCAGAGGCAAACGCAGAGCTCAGGGGTTATGACTGTACCGGCTTGTTCTTGTTGGCACAGTCAGCTTACGCTTACTAGACCTGGGGTTATGGTGATTTCTGCAACAAAACAAATAGATAGCTACTAGGATTGCCCTAGATAGTCATGAACATAAAGTAATAGACTTACGCAAAGAATTGCCTCATCTGTTTTCGTCCAACCCGAATTGAGTGAATCTTGGATTTCTTCGTCCTAGAACTATTTCATCTCTCGCAGTCACTGATACTATACAGTGTCTTTTGTTGTTTGCTGAGTGGTGCAGCGTGGTGTGAAAATTCTCGAAATCGCCTAATATTTAAAATTATATGACTAGATCGACCAACGAAGAACGACGAGCCACTTCAACTTGACTACCTTCTTCGCGCCCAATTTTTGGGGTTAGAAAATGCCTCCACCCTACAGTAGCAAGCTCTACAATAGCGCGCTTGGATCACAATATCCTTTTGGCAGCAGCAAATCTTTGTTGGTGAGAGACATTGCAAGTGTAGCGAGACCTACCTTCTGGAACTTGAAGGCTGGGAAGGGATACCCAAAAGGGGACGCCAATCAGGCTCTTCCACTCCAATATTTGGTTTGTGGTACGCGCCATGTCAAGGCCATTGCTGGCAACATTGGTCCTGGTATCAATGCCAATGACTTCTTGTACCTTCAATTGAAAATGAAAATGGAGGCATTCGTCAGGTTTCTAAAGATTACCGGCATTCGTTTTCGATTGACTGGGAAGCACCATTTTGTTCCTTTCCCAATTTGAAGTGCCCAGGTTTGCCAGCTACGCCTAGGTTTCCGGCACAAGGTTGCAAGACAAGTCCTGATAATATCGACACTGTTGGCTTTTGTACTTTGGGCGCCCATATTGATCCAGAAAGTCATGGATGTCCTGGTATCATCTTGTGTTGCAACTGCCATCGCAAAATGGAAGTTCGCGAGTTGAATCTACTGTTGCATGCCTAGCAACAGAATGGTGTTCAATTGACACCTCAACTTCAAGAACGTCTTGGATATCTACAAGGTCGGACCCGAAACGAACAGCGAAATCAACAAAAGAAAGCACTGGGCGCTGAAGCTGTGCTTGCCATGGAACGCACGCGAGTTCAGAGCCGCGACGTCAATGCGGGCACACAAGAAGCTGCAAGAAAGAGAGCAAAGAAGTGTGCCAAAACAAGTGGAGTGAATCGGATTGACAAGCGGAAAGTCCAACCATATCCAAAAGACTTGGACAAGATTTTGGGCAAAGCCTTGGTTTACTTTTTCCGGTACAATCCATTGCGCACCAAGGACACCAAAACTCAAAACGCAGCGACGGAGACGGCTTTCAAAAAGGTATATCTTGCCATGTTTGACAGAGCCGCGAGACCTAATTTAGAACATTTTCTCTACCCTTTTACCCCATGATTACAACAGATCATTACTAATGAATGAACATCGTTTCCTGAAACATCAAAAAGGCGGATATGGCGCAGTGGCACCGCATTCGATTCGTAATCGAAAGATCCCGGGTTCGATCCCCGGTGTCCGCTAGTTGGTTTTGGCAGTCTGTTCAATTTTTGGCAGTAGTGAGTCATCTACATGTACAGTTGTTTCTTGGCAAATACTGGTCCCAATTTCTGCAGGATTTCTTTATTGTTGTTGATTGCAAAACAAAAGTTCACCCACATCCTTGCAGCATAATGATTGCAAATACAATCTATATATATATTTCAGAGCAGCAGCTTCACACAAGAATATTAGGTGTGGTCTCACAAAACTAATTTTTATCAGTAATATAAAAATACAAACAACGAAAAAATCGTCTTGGGTGAAATACTGCAGATAGTTTAAAAATATGCTCATTACTTGTACATATTTTAGTGTGGGGGTGTTTCTGGTTGTCAATGGACCTTGTCACATACTGTACACGGTAGCTCATCACTTTTTCGGGTTTTCGCATTTTACGTGGCGTCAAAAAAATATTTTTCCAGTGTTTTTTACACGCCGGAGAATCTCAATCATCACCTCCGAGCACGGATTGCTCCGAGTCACCACGTGTCACCTCCTCCGTGACACGGTTATTCCACGCGTGGGAACGGGAACCCAGTCTGGATCATGGCATTTTTATGGGCAAAACGAACAATAATTGACGAGGGGAAGGGCGATTTTCATAGGAAAAAGGCGACTAAAGTAACGTTTTTGAAAATCGACGTCATACAGTATCAAGTACAGACTCGTTGTGCAGTTTCAATCAGAGATCAATCTTGAATCTGCACTTCCATCCATTGATTGCATTTCCATTGATTGCATTTCCATCGCTCTAAAATACAGGTACAAAAGAATTGACACCAAAACAAAAAGAGCACGATTCAAAGCAAGCAATAGGCTAAGCGGTGCACAAACCAGAAACGCTTGAAAAACAAAAAAGTGTAATGAACAAAGCGAATTTCATTCGTCGCGACAAGCAGCATTCTGCGGTCACAATGGCTGCCTATTACACCTTTGGCATCGTCCATGAGCTAGCGCATCTACTAGCTGCAGAATCCGTAAATTTGATGGCTGCAACTCAAGGAGAACCTGTGAATCAAACTGGCAACATTTGCTGGGATAACCTTTTCTCCATTTTCATTGACCGACAAGTTCACATTCACATTCATATTCACACCGACGACGTCGACATGACTAGGCATCAAGAAATGTTCGTCCGACATACCGGATGGATTGTCAGTCTTCTACTTGCTTACTTCGTCTGCCGTCGATTTGGAACATCTTCGGCTATCAGTATGGCAGCTATCATTACCGCCGTTGAAGGTCTCTTGACTGACCTCTGCGGTTTCGGTCAATTGCTTCCATTTGGAAATTCCAACACAAACACACTTTCAGGAACAACATTTTTCTGTGGTAATTTTGGTGTTCTCTTGTTGCACCATTGGTGGCTGACCAACAAAGGAAAGAAATCCGCCCTAGACTGTCTCGAGCAAATGGTCAGTATCACCATGATGCGAGGTGCGCAGTCGGGAGGAGTCGTCACGTATGTTCCTAACGGAAAGAACAACATGAAGGCCATCCGTACAAGAGTCGTCAATGGTAAACGAACGGACCTATCCAAACAAGTGCGAAGCGAAGTACAAAAAACTTTCAAACCAAGACCTGGAACAGATGCTGTTCTTCTCGCTGGTCATACCCGATTCGCTACTTCGTCAAAGGCCAGTCTTTCTGGAACACATCCCCATCGGTGGTCTCCTGGTAGCTGGAAACGAGTGTACAACTGGTCGACAAATCGAGTGGAAAAGACATGGGTGGAGAACTTTATTACTCACAATGGAGACTTTGACTTTTTGGCAATCCGAGGTCAGACGTATGATTTGGAAGCGATCCAACGTTGGCTTAGCGTGACGACCGGAACACCAACACCAGCAGTGGTCGACTCTTGTGCCGTTGCAGGTATCTTGGATCTATTGAGAGCGAAAGGATGTTTTGCTTTGTCGATTCGATATGCCATTTGTTTCGGTAATTTCGAAAAGGGGACGAATTCCAAAATGGCCCAGATTCTTTCTGGGAGTACATCTGACCCGAATGACTTTCCGATTTATAGTGATCTGGAGAAGATTGGTACGATCTTTGAAAAGGTCCTTGACGACCTTTTAGCAAAGCCAGAGCTCGAGGCACGTGGTGGGAAGAAGTGTCAGTCCTTGGCAGATATTGAAGACAGTGTGACAGCTCGTACGATGCTTGCTGGAAAGATCTGCCGATCTATTGGTACTCGTAGCATGAGTGCCATGAAGCCTATTGCCAGCTTTGTAGACCTATTGCAAACCGAATATGAAGTGAACGATGCTGACGAGGAGGCACTCGATTATACAAGCTCCCGTCTTTTTGCCTTCTGCATGATGACGGTGAATGCCTTCTTCGACAACGACCTCTTCCAAAGTACAAAGCTATTCTTGGAAAATGCCAAAGGGTCTTTCGGTCTTTCCACATCCAGCACCCTTGATGCTGATCATCAAATTTGCTTTGCGGCTCGTGGTCAGACTCTATCAGTTTCGTTCTATCCCAGCAAGGGCATTGTTTGCTTTGGTTCCGAACAAGCCGCCACTAAAGCAGGAATGAATGCCATTTTTGGTGGAAGCGACATGAAAGAACATGGCGAGTGGCATCGACTTGATCTTGATGACCTGGGAGGTGAGATCGCCGTCCTCGATTGGGGATCGTCCAAGTCAGCAGTGTCCAAGCCCAACCGTCATTTGGAATCTCACAGCATGATGGGTGGGAAACTTCGACTGGTACTGCACCAAGAATCAAAGAGTTTGTCCACGGATGGTGAAATTTATCACAGAATGACCCAACTCTCCGACAACGTGCTGATCAAGGCTCCTCAGAGCTCAAAGAGTGGAGGCTCAAAACCAGACCTGGTCCTTTCAGATATCGAATCGATTCCGGGCGTCATCAAGAATATTCAAGACTCTTGGCACTCATCTAACGCTAGCATTAGCATGAACCGACTCACAGCACACACTTTTTCTTCTTGTTTGAGGGAAAGATTGAGGGAGCATGTGAAGGGTAATGTGGCTCCAAAGGCTGTCGATATTCTTCTGACAGGATGTGAGGTATCATTGTGGCTTGCAGAACAGTTTGCTGCCGACCTGCAAAAGTGCTTTCCAAAGCTCAACATTGAAGCCATCAGTAGTAACAAGCTGCTGGGACTTTTTGGACAAGATCTTTCGATTCCAGCAACAGGATTCAAGTATTCAGCAAAGACAACCAACTTGAACGACTCTATCGTAATAATTGTGAGCCACAGTGGTGGTACATTTGCTCCATTGGCATGCTCCAATCTCTTGCAGGTATGTATCCTTGCATTTGTTCGACATGCTGTCCTTTCTGTTGTCGCTAATCTTGTGATTATAGAGTGCTACGCAAAACATTTTTGTGGTGACATCCGAATGGGATACTCAGATTGGAAAGCAGCTTCGTGCGATGGACGCAGACGATAACGACCATGCTACATGCCGAATCTTTTCGACAGAGATTGGCGTTAGACCTGCAGAACCATGCTCGGTTTCGGTTGCAGGCACACATCAGCTCTTGACAAGTTTGCTCCAGTACATCAGCGTTGTGATTTTGAGTGATCCAACCTTTCTCCGTGTGACTGGCGCCGTCATTACGGAACAAGACATCAAGATACTGGAACGATGCAGCCATATGAACGTTGAAGCTTTGAGTGAAATTACAGGATCAAGCTCATTCGGTTATGCTTTGGACAGAAAGACAAAAATACAGAACCATCTTCACTCCGCAGGTGACTTGTGGGCAGAACACATTTTGGAAAACGCAAGAGCTTACATTATGAGTTTTGTCTACGTATTTGTCACTGTAACGGCTGGCTACCCTTTGTTATCGTTCGTCGCTGGGATGGCTGGTCTCGATATGGGCAATAGTCCATGGGCGTATGCAGTTCGATTTTTGGATGCTGCGCTGTACTTCTGGCTACCACAGATCAATATTATCTTGATTCGCTTGATTCAAGGACGGGAATTGAAGCATAGAATGGTTGGAAGAACTGTTGTTATTGGCGATATCCCATGGGTCGCCCAATCTGCAGAAGCTTTCCTCAGTAAGGTAAGCCATGCAATGATATGCATGTCTCCTTTTGCCTTTCTTCCAAGTATCTAACTGAGACTCCAATACAGATCTTTGCCGTTTCGTACAGTATTGCCGGTGTGAACGTCTTGAGTGGCAACCCTTGTGATCACTTGGTTCATCGCCACACTCACCGAGTCGTTCGAGGGGCGCTTGCAATCTTTGGAAGGCCAGATGGTCGTCTATCAGCTCTCTCGACAGCAGAAGCATCCGTTTGTTTGTCTGTGAACCAGGCTAGTAGCATTCAAAGTCTCGGAGGAACTTGCGAGAGTATCACGATCGGTCATAACCCTTTCAAATTGGATCTATCAAAGAATGGCATATTCTTGAAGCGACACCGGCCGCTGTTCCTCTGCGAACGCTTGTTGATCGAGAGTGATGCTGATCAAGAGAAATTGGCAGCGTCGCAAAGACTTGGGCCAATTCCAGAAAGCACATCGAAATGGAGGATCTCCATTGTCAGTGAAATTAAAAAGGTCTTCTTACGCCGGCGCCATGAAGACACTGTGGGCCGCTCGATCCATTCCATTCTCGATTGCAGTATTTCCGTTAAAAGACCACATCGTCGATCAGCCCCTGCATTGCTTGGAGCATACTTGAACATCGAAGAAAACGAGTTTTTCAGTGCAGACAGCGAAGATAAGTCAGAGGATGGCAATGAAGAAGACAAGATTACTGTGGCTGACGTTGTGGCTGAAGAAATATCAAGTCACAAATGGTCCTCTGAAGTCCGACGTATCTTTGAAACCTTGGATGACAATAGTGACGGCATCTTGAGTCGAGCTGAGTTCATTCGTGGATCAATCAAACTCAACCCGAAGCTCTCAGAAGAAGAGGCAGAGCTAATGTTCCGGGAGGCAGATCGAGACTCCAGTGGAAATATCAGTATTGACGAATTCACGCAGTTCATTGCCGGAACTGAATCTGGGTTGACATTGAAGGCACCAGCAAGTCATCGTGATCACCGGGGTATAATTCAAGTTGAAATGTCCAACGAAAAATTCTTTGGCGAAGATATCCGGAGGTTGAATGCTGCAAGAGACAAGAAGGATGTCGACTTTGTGCTTGCCCGAAGCCAGCACCTCTGCCAGGAGTTGTATGAAAGTCGAGTTGCGTCCCTTCAACGATTTGTCTCCATGACTGTCATGTTCCATCACATGGGACGACGAGTTGAAAACTTCTTTTCCAACATCAGTTTTGGACTTTTGGGGTACCGAATTGATCGTACGCACAGCATCATGCGCATTGCAACCACTGCATCTCCCGTCAGTGGATCTGATGTTCGTCACCGCATGGAGCACATGCGTTTGGTGAAGAAGGTGAAGCGTTCGTTGGATGTGATTTCTTCAGCTTGGCTGCGATATCGCAAGCAAAAGAACGATTTGTCGACCTCCATCCGTCAATCTTGAAATGAAAATCACTAGCCAACCTTTTTTAGGGGACGAAATTTACTCGTTCCATTTTCATGCAGTATTGAAAATTCTGTGGTAGGGTTGTGCATCGATAACTCCTCCTAGAAAATAAAGTAAACAAAAAGTGCTTTTGATCAAGAACATGAATTCGATGATTCAGATGACGACAGCGTTCTTGAATCAAATGCAGCTCGCAGACGCAGACGCAGCTTCTTTGGAAAATTGAATGGTGTGTCAAGCAAGCAATTGAGTTTCAGAACCTCCAGCAGCACATGGCGTTCCAAGCGCAGCGGGTCCAGATGGGGCTCGTGGAACAAATCGATCGATCGATCGATCGAAAGATGGAACCTCGTTCGACGGGGATTCTTCGATAGGAGGAAACTCGATGAATTCATCAAGACAAAGAGCAAAGGGTAATATCTTGAGCAATACGAAGACCAAAGGTCGGTCTGCTGCCGCATTGCTTGGAGCTTGCTTGAACAGTGAAGAGGAAAAAACCTCGGAAACAACTGGTGAAGGCAAGAACTCTGTATCTGGCGTCATAGCGAAGGAAATCTCAGCGTTCGTTGGATGTTCTTTCTTCAGCTAGGTTGCGATACCGTAAGGTAAAATATGAAACGGAAGTCTAGGCCTCTAGATTCAAAAACACATCCCAGTAGGATGCATGATTCATGAATAGTACCTGGTAGGATATTTCTGCAACATAATCGTTTTTCTTGATTTGTTGATGGGTCACATATATGTTCAATGTCACATCATCCAGAACTTTCTGACCTTGAAAAAGCCGTTTGTTCTCCGTGACCTACTTCTACCCCAGTAGAGAATGTACCAGTAAAAGAGATGTCTTTGTGACAGATTTATGCCCGATAGGTTTTTTCCTGTGGGCCAAGTCAACGCACAAGACTCGACTTGTTGGTGAGAAGCATTTCGGAAGTCATCAGCCTACTCGTACATTCAACATACAGTACATTTGTGCGTTACTTTGCGAACTACGATACTTGCATCATCACCACTCCTCCAATAGGTCATTCAATCACAAACAAAAGCTACGTTATTTATTTTTTAAACCACCAGTATTGAATGAGAAAGTCGCGATAATATGAAGGCGTTTCGCAATGATGCTTCGGGCACGATGACTTCGACTGCAAAGAAAGTGATGACATCGTTCCGCACCAAGCAATCGCAATGGGAAGAAGCAATTCCTTTCGGGAAGAAGTCGTCCAAAAGAGCTGAAACCCCACTCTCATCGGCAGCGACAAACATAAGGCCCAACATGAAACCGAGAGGTTCTAAATCGGATTTAGACATGCCTGAGTCAGTTGCCAAAGCAGCCAAGATCATACCCAAATTAGATCACAGTGAGTTGGACGACCTTCCCATGGCAACGGCAAAACCTTCTGAAATCAGAGCAGCTGCTAAAGCAAAGAGAATCGCCAATAAGGCGGAAACTCAAAAGGCAAGAGAACGACAGCAAAAAGCTGCAGAGCAACAATTGAAAATGAACAAGTATCGAGACGATATCGCTGCCATCAAGAAGAAGCAAGAGAATGAAGCAAGGTCCAAAAGGAAAAAGAAGGGGCAAAGGAAAAAAAGTGTGATTGCTGATCATGCAGTGCAAAAGATATTGACCAAGGAGGTGACAGAAGAAGATGAGCATGCTGTTTTGGGATACACAGAAGAAGATTTCCAGTCTGATGATGGCTCGCACGACAGAGAGGGAAGCGTTGGCGACTCATCGCGAAAGAAAGTCCGTAAAGAAAAGAATCTCAAGAGAGCAAGTGTCCTGGATGAAATGAAAGGAAACTTCAATGATTTAGCAGATGATGGTGCTCATGGTGCTTCTGCTGATCCTCTTGCCGTTAGCATCAAGTCAATGTCCTTGTCAATTGAACCGCCGCGGCAAAGGGAATATAACGCTGATAAGGATGGTCGTCTAAAGCAAAGAGCTCCGAGGAGAGGAAGTACAGCTGGGGGAGGGGGCAAGATGAAAACCGGCCCTCCAACCAGACAAGCATCGACGGATCTTGTTCCAGAAATGCGTCGCCGGCCAACTACACGAGACCTTCTTTTTGATGACGCAGACCCACAGATAACGATGTCAACACCGAAAGGCAAAGGAAAGAAGTACGTGGGAACGCAAATGGTCAAGAAGAAAATGATAGAGGAGAAGCAGCAGAAGGAGAAGCAACAAGTTCAGGAACAAAAGAAGAAGCTTGAGGAAGCAGAAGAAGCGTTCAAAAAGGGACACAACCTTTGTTGGCAAATTCGTGACTCTGCTGGTGCACGTAAGTTTTTCATAGGTATCCTTCTATTGAATTGTCAAAGACTGCAACTCTTTCTAACCGCACTGTACGTTTGCTATCCTTCAACCACGAACCATAGTGGGAGAATACCGCACGGCTCTATTCATTCGAGAATCATTATTGGGAAAGTATCATGAGCAGACAGGGCGAACTTACTTTTGGATTGGAAAATCATTAGTCAAACTTAACGAATTCTCTGAGGCACTTGTTGCTTTTTCAAGAGCGTTGAGAATCTTTGAGCGCGTGGTACGACGACAACACAAATATTACAAATGGACAGTCGATGCGATTGATCAGTGTATTGAGAAAATGGATGACCCCGACTTTAAAACTGAGGGTTACAAGTCACGGTTGTATGCCAGCATTCAGTATGAGCGAGACGGCGATGCATTCCGGAAAAAGGGGAAAATGGCGGAAGCCATTGCAAAGTACCGAGATGCTATTGGTAAGTTTTCACTTTGTGTTAACTCCGCGTAGACAATACTCTTCTTTCCCCCTTGGAACTCTCACGCTTACCTTGACTCCTTTTCTCAGGGAATGTGGAAGACTACCATCCAGATGCAGCAGATCTTTATAGCAAGATTGCTCTCATTCTACGGTCAGATGGCGACTTTGAACGAGCGCAAGAAGAGTATCGTTTTGCTTGTGAAATCTATGAAATGTCATTAGGGGCAGATCATCCGGAAACTGTCAAGGCGCTCAGCGAAGTCATGGAAAAGAAGAGGTTGGGCCAATTGTCCAATATGCTGAAGAACAAATTGAACTTGAAAGCGTAGTCCTAGTCTTTACTACGCTTGATTGTGTTGCTACCAGCATGCAAGCAAGCAATTTGTTTTCTACTCTCACTGTACAATTTCTGTTCTACTGTAGCTTTATTTTTGTAATTTCAATCATTTACTATATTTAAAATAAATAAACCGAGTATTGTACAGTTGTTTTGTAAATAGCTTTTTGTGTTCCTGCTGTATTACAAGGATGCACGAATTGGATGAGTAGCGCTGGCAGTCGCAAGTGGGTCCTGAGACTTTCCCATTTCGTCAAACCACCTGTGGCGATCTGCCGGTCCCTTGGAGCCATAAACATAAGGCTTGGGACGAATGTTATCCCGTTCGATGGAATGGAGGAGAGGTGAGAATAACTCCCACGATCTCCTCAATTCATCATCACGGACAAAGGAGCCTTGCTTTCCGCGCAAGACATCTAGCAAAAGTCTCGTATAAGCATCGGGGTTGGACAAGTTAGGCATCTCTTCATAATTCATTTTCATGATGCTTGCCATGGGGTTGCTGGGAAGTCCAGGCGTCTTGATATTATTGTGCAATTCCAGACTTGGATTGGGTTGGAGTCGAAAGACCAATTCATTGGAGCATAACTTGGTGGCGTTGTTGGCACCAATCGATTTCAAGGTGGTAGGGGGCTTGAAGCGGACTCGGACTTCGCAGAGTTTCTCGTCCAGTGCTTTTCCAGCTTGCATGAGAAAAGGAACTCCCTCCCATCGAGGTGTGTGAATCCAGCATCGAATAGCTGCGTAAGTGGGACAGTTGGTGTCTTTATTTTCAATGGTTGGATCATCGGAATATCCATCGTATTGACCCAACATGACATCGTCCAGTGAAATTGGATCCATCTTGTTCAAAACGGCAAGTTTGGCATTGCGAATGGAATCTCCATCATCACCAAGAGGTGGTTCCATTGCCACGACGGAAAGAACCTGCAAGAGATGGTTCTGCAAAATGTCTCGAATGATACCAAAGTTGTCAAAGTATCCACCACGACCTTCGGTTCCAAAGGGTTCCTTGAAGGACAAAGTCACAGATTCAATGACGTTTCGATTCCACATGTGCTCCCAGCAGGAGTTTCCAAAGCGGAACATCAAAAGGTTTTGAACGACTTCCTGTAGGTGGTATTGATGGAGCAAAGGAGATTCATCATGAGTTTGTTGTGTTGTATGATAGAATACTCAATCTCACTTATTGCGTGCACATTGCATACGCGTGTGACGATACAGTAAGGTAGATAAAACCTTCTTACCTTCCCCAAATAGTGATCAATGCGATACATTTGATCTTCTGTCAATTCCGCCGCCAAGGTCTCCAAAAGTTCATTGCAGGTTTCCAAATCCCGACCAAAGGGCTTTTCAATAATCACTCGGGTCCACGAGCCATTGCCAATTGCCATGCCGACCTGTTTGATGGCCACGGCCGAGTCACCAAAGACATTTGGGGGAATGGCCAAATAAAACAATCGATTGCAGGTGGGACTGGGAGATTGCGATTCGAATTGTTGGATGGAAGCAATCATTTCCGCATAGGCCGCTTCGTCGCCATAGGATTTGCCAGAATGATAAAAGCACTTGGCCAAGAAATCCTTGACCACAATTTCAGAAGCCCCCGTTTGAATGAGGTGAGGAAACAAGTGATCTCTCAATTGCTGATGCGTCTTGACGGAGCGAGCATATCCCCAAATGACAGTATATTCTGGAAGTAGATTATCTTCGAATAAGTTGAGTAAGGAAGGGTAGGTCTTCTTTTTGGCCAAATCGCCCGAGGCTCCAACTACGACAATGGAAAGAGTTTGCTGGAATGACGAATGGATGAATGAATTAGTGATGCAATGATGCAATGATGCATGAGGATCGGTGATGAAGAGGCAGAGGTGAGTGAGAGATTGAACATTCCGAACATTGTTCGAGGAAGCAATCTTCGGTCACGTCAAAACCAAAACCCTAACGTACATGATACCACGGTTCTCGTGCCACGGCCCGATGCACTGCATCCAATTCCACTCCAGAAACATCACCATTATTGTCAACACCATTGTCCGATTGAAAGGAGAATCTCGAATCCAACTGATGTCGGATGAAAGGGTGCTGATCTCGTGGATGACTCATACTATTGCGATGGTAGCTTTGTGTGTAGTCTTCGCGAGGCTACAGTACTTCTGCAAGAACTTTCTTGATGGTTCTCAACCTGAGGATTCGATCCATCAAAAAAATGATTGGAGTCTGTCGTAACTTCGTGCGTCATGGTACTTCAACCTACTTGCCGCTATTTATTTTTTTAGAGCGCAAAGGCGCAGGCGGGCCAGATTGATTTGTGTCCTGCTGGCACCCTTCGATTGACTCCTAGGACTTCAGTGTCAAAGCCCGCCATGTCAAAAAAGAGAAGGCTCTAACAATAATCCAACTGCTGCTGAATCTTGGAAACGACCACAACGCATTGTACGGTGCCTACTGTAGTCAATCAATCGATCTATCAAGCAAAAAGCGACCTACTCCGCAACTGGAACCTTATCGAGACTATAGCGAAAACCTGCATTGTCGCTAGCTATTGATAGGAGTTTGTTATTATTATCAATATCAATATCAATATCAATATCAATCAATCATCATGGAGAACAAATTCCTTCACCAAGCCATTGACATTGTCCAAAAGGCAATTGAAGCCGATGACAAGGACGAACACGAGTCCGCGTTGGCGCTATACAAAGATGCCCTGGAACGATTTACCATGGGAATCAAGCACGAAAAGAATCCCACTCGCAAAAAGATGGTAATGGAAAAAGTAGAAGGATACATGAATCGAGCCGAAGCATTGAGAGAAATCATAAAGAAGGAAAACGACAAAAACGACAAAAACGACAAAACCAATCCCAAATCACCCGAGAAAAAGGGCGAAGCAGACGCTAAAGATGGAAAAGGTGGCAAAGGAGAAGACGGCAAGCAGGAAGAAAAAAAGGACGACGAAACCATCAAGTTACGGGGAGCTCTTGCGGGTGCCGTCGTATCCGAAAAACCAAACGTTCGATGGGAAGATGTCGCCGGATTGGAATCGGCCAAAGAATCTCTCAAAGAGACGGTCATTATGCCCGTCAAGTTTCCGCAATTGTTTGTGGGAGAACGTCGTCCGTTCAAGGGCATTCTATTGTTTGGCCCTCCCGGAACGGGCAAATCCTTTTTGGCCAAGGCGGTGGCCACCGAGGCCGATTCGACCTTTTTTTCTGTCAGCAGTGCCGATTTGATTTCCAAATGGCAGGGCGAATCTGAAAAACTAGTTCGAAATCTCTTTGAAATGGCCCGGGAATCTCCAGGCAGTCGGGCTATTATCTTTATTGACGAAGTGGATTCCTTGTGTGGGAGTCGACAAGAAGGAGAATCGGATTCGGCCCGTCGGGTCAAGACGGAATTTTTGGTCCAAATGGACGGTGTGGGCAAGACCGAGGGTAGTGTGTTGGTGTTGGGAGCTTCCAATGTGCCCTGGGATTTGGATGCTGCCATTCGACGGCGGTTTGAGAAACGCGTGTACATTCCCTTGCCCGCTGCACCAGCCCGAACCTACATGATCAGAATGCATTTGGGAGACACTCCCAACAATTTGCAAGAATCAGATTATATCAAATTGGGCCATATCTCGGAGGGTGCTAGTGGATCTGATATTGAAGTCATGGTAAAAGAAGCTTTGATGGAACCCTTGAGGCGATGCCAACAGGCCAAGCAATTTGTCACGGACTCGAAAGATATGCTGATCCCCTGTGAGAAGTATCCCAATTGCGCCCATTGCATTCCCAAATTGTCCACCGACCCCCCAGGCAAGGATTATACTTGTCAAAATTGCGGTGCCTTACGGATGACCTTGTGGGAAGTAGAACCCTCGAAATTGGAAGCTCCCCCCGTGCGTGTGACGGATTTTGAAAAGGTCATGCGGCATTCCTGCAGTACCGTGTCCGCGGAAGAACTGAAACGATTCCAAGAGTGGACGGCTCAATTTGGGCAAGATGGGGCATAAATAGATGATTTAGTAGATGATTTGATGATTGTTAGACTGATGGTGTGACTTGAGTGGTAACAAGAGAGATTTATATCTAATATAATGGATAGGACTAGGCTATATTTAAAAAAAAGTATTAAAGATTAGTACTATAACCTAGGCCTAGGGCTACCATAACTATGATGCTATAATGTGTATTAGCGTTGCTTCGTTCCAGTGCATGCCATTTGGCATGCCAATTAGTACGCCATGTGTGTCTTGACACTTGCTGGATCCACTTCACCAGCCTTGAAGCGTTCGGGATCCACCTTGGGTGGCACAGGTGGCTTCAACAAAGAACGCTTTCCCAATGGCCCTTCGCAACTGACTTGTCCATTCATTGGGAGTGATCCCCACTTGCCTACTTCTGGAAGCTTATCTTGCTTCATTAGTTCTAGCAATTCAATCATGCTGTCCTTGCTCAAGCACTCATAGTAATCATCGTTGATTTGGACCATGGGAGCATTGGCACAGGCCCCCAAACATTCGACTTCGAGTAGTGTAAAGTAACCATCTTTGGTAGTTTCTCCATTCTTTATTCCCAAATGATTCTGAATGGTTTGCATGATTTCCTCACTTCCACAAATCATGCAGGGAGTCGTTCCACAAACTTGCATAAAATACTTGCCCACCGGGGTACGGTTGAACATTGTGTAAAAGGATGCCACTTCGTAAACTCGGACCGGAGCCACGTGACAAATTTGGGCCACCTTGTCCATGGCCGCCAATGGCAACCATCCACCTGCTTGGCGTTGGGCCAAATCCAAGAGGGGAATCATGGCAGCTTGGCGGTAATTGTCGGGGTACTTTTGGAGGACCTGGTTGACCCGCACATAGTTTTCTTCACTGAAATCAAAGTAAGTTTCGGCCTTGTTGTTGGGAGATTCCAAGTGCTGAATAATGGTAAGGGTGATGATTGCGGTGGTGGTGGTGGTGGTGGAAGTGAATAAGAATCACAAAGAGAGAGAGAGAGAGAGAGAGAGAGAGAGAGAGTATTGTAAGTGTGAGCACAGGGTGGTTGTTGTTGTTGTTGTTGCTTCCATAGAATGGTGATGGACAGACGTTTGGACTGTCAAAGTGATTCATTCATTCATTCAATCTACTGTACTGTGCTGTACTGTACTTACAAAGGACTTGGCGGTACCCATGGAACGGACCGATTGTTGTTGAAATTTCTTGGCCACTGCCGAAGCTACCCGTGATGTTCTGGTGGACAACATGGTAATGAATTGTCAAGTCTGCCTTCAAAGATGTTTTATCTACAATACCCTGACTGCGTGCGCAACGCAATAGAACGAACGTCTGTTGCGTTGGTGTTGTTTCTTTTTTTCTCTGCGTTCAGCTATTATACATGTAGCAACGGACGGACGTCAGATGACCGTGTGTGCGTATCTCCGCCAGTATGACCGTTCGTCGCGCTCGCATTGCTTTTGTGCATTTTGAATCTCCTCCCAAGCAACTCTTGGACCTTGGACGGGCATCAGTCACACACACACACAACACACAACAAGTCATCGTCAACGACACTCTTTGGATCTAATCTATATTGTTGTTGCTGTCTATACCACACTCATCCCCATATCCAACATATACAGTATATACAACAAACACACATAACAAAAGATGTTGTCCCAACAATTCTTGGCCTCGCCCCAATTCAAGCTCGTTCTGTTGGTGGGAATGGTCCTTCAAAACTCGGCCACTGTCTTGGTGGGTCGTTACACCCGTTCGGCGGTTCCTTCCAATGAACTTTATGTGGTCAATCACTTGATTCTAGTGACAGAGATTGGCAAAATGCTTTTGTCATGCGCCTTTGAACATTTTACCACAGGAGGACAACTCATGGATTCCATTCAATCCAACATTATTGATGCTCCCTACGATGCTTTGAAGATTCTGGTTCCCGCATTATTGTATCTAGTCCAAAACTCGCTCTTGTATGTCGCTTTGAGTAACCTAACGGCTCCCATCTTTCAAGTTACTTATCAAGCCAAGCTGGTCACCACGGCTGTGGTTTCGGTCATGATGTTGAACCGAAAATACAGCTTCCAACAATGGGTCTGTTTGGTCGCGTTGAGTATTGGTGTGGCCATTGTCGTTTTGGGAGAAACGGGGGACAATAAGAAAAAGGAAGAAACGGCAGCGGGAGAACAATCCTTGACGGCGGGGCTCTTGGCCGTCACCGTCGCGTGCTTTTCCAGTGCCTTGGCCGGAGTCTACTTTGAGAAGGTGGTCAAGGCCACATCACCAGGAGCGCAAAAGAAAAAGCCAGTCTCCGTGTGGATGCGAAATATTCAATTGGCCTTTTTCACCATTGTCACGGCTTCCATGAAGGATTTGTTTACCGTTGCCCCTGCTAGTGCTGCAAATGCCGCTGTCAGTCAACCTTACTTTCATGGATTCACTACGTGGGTCTGGATTTTGGTCTGCTTGCAAGCTGGAGGTGGTCTATTGGTGGCGGCTGTCATCAAGTATGCCGATAATGTACGTTTTGCTTCGTGCAAGTTGTGTGGATGCTCTGTGGAAGTTGTGTGGTTCTATTTATATCGGAATGAAGGAATGAATCAATTTCAATTGTGCTCGCTCTTATTTCATCGTTTTATTTACTTACTTATTGCAGGTTTTGAAGGGACTGGCCACTGGTGTCAGTGTTTGCTTTGCCACTGGAGTTTCTACCGTTCTCTTTGGAACACCGCTCAGTTCACAATTTGCGGTGGGGGCCCTCCTGATTCTCGTGTCGGTCTATTTCTTTTCCAATCCTATCAAGACCAAGGAAAAGTCCATGGCACCCGAAGCAGAGGATATCAGCAGAAGTCCATCCTCCAATGAACATGTGCTTCCAAAGTAATATATTGATTGATTGCAATAAATTCAAAATACACATTTGCACAAATTTGTTTACTTTTGGATTTACTGTACCAATACTGTACTGTACTTTTTAACTGTAGTCCTACAGTCCTGTAGATCCTTGAAATTATTGTGGAAAGCGACCCGATCCAAAATTAAAATCAAACAATCAATCAATCACTCCTCAGTACCACTTCGAAAGGAGTTTCGAATTTCTTCCGATGGATCAAAGTCAAAGTTCCCTGTCATGGATTCCTTCACAACTGATAAATGTGTCACATTGTCATCCTCTTTCATTTTACTCAGCTGCTCTTCGTTCAGACTTGTCTCCATAATGGCATCCATGCCTATTTGTGCCGTATATCCATGCTCGAACAAGGTGGCAAAACCCTCGTAATCGATTTTGTCAGTATCTTCAAAAATGAAATCAATCTCTTCTTTCAAACTGGCATCATCCACTTTTCGTTTTCGTTTGGCTCCCACTACCTTCAAAACATCCTTCTTGGTAATGTATTTGCCATTTTTGGATATCACTTCAAAGGCTTCCTTGATTTCCGATTCTTGAATTTCTCCAGAATTCTCCAAGGTGGCCGCCAAGAATTCCGTGTACAATATTTCCCCATTGCAATTCACATCTAGCTTGACGAACAAATCGTTCAGTTCTTCTTGTGAACTTCCACTGTGTTTGAAACCGTCCATGAATTCATCTCGTGTCAAGGTTCCACTCTCCGAAGTGTCCAAATCTTCCCACAGGCCGCTGTATTTCGAGGCATGTTTCTTTTTGGCCAACACGTTCAAACCAAGTCGTTTCAAAGGCGACGAGAGCCGAAAGAGATCAAAACTGACCACCAATTCGTTGGGCAAATTCTTTTTGGCAATGGTCTTTTCAATCCATGGATGTTTTCGGGCTTCGGCGGATCCCATGCGTTGACCGGCATTGACATGGCAGCACAACTGAATGAATTCTTTGGCCAATGACGAGTGTGACCAGCCCCGATAATCGACGGATCCTTGCAGAATCTTTCGTTCCGTCTCGTCACTGTGTTACGTGATGTGTTGCATTGTATTGTATTGTGTTGTATTGTATTGTATTGTGTTGTGTTGTGTTGTGTTGTGATGTGATGTGATGTGATGTGATGTGGTGCGATACACACAAGGGTGAATAAGGGTGATGGGCATTGTACAAACCTGGCGTTTTGTCATAGCACGACTGAACCCATCACTATGATCAGACAACTTACATTGTTGTTCCATGTATCGGTGGCTGTCCATCTTGCAGCAGCATATACGTTACAATTCCAATGGACCATACATCCACCTTAGGTCCATACCGCTGTTTAATGACCTCTGGGGCCATGACATGCATCGAACCGGTCTTGTCGTGAAGAAATTTAAAGCTATCATGAAGGAGTGTGACGTCAGTTTTGTGATCACGACAAACGCAACGATAGGACGGTCGGCATCATACTTACGCTCCCTGATGACCTGGAACCATTTCCAGAAAAGTTGCGCTACCGAAATCTACCAGCTTGATATCCGAGTTCTTGTCCTCGGTAGCGTACATGATGTTCGAACATTCAATGTCACGATGGACAATTTGCTTACTGTGGAGGTACGCAACTGCCGAGCATATTTGTCGAACGACACGGGATGCCATCTTTTCCGTGTATGGGCATCGATCTAGGACGGGGCCTCCACTGCAGAGTTCCATGACTAATGAAAGGTTCTTCCCCACTTTTGCAACTTCAAATAGCTTGACAATATTCGGATGGTCACATTCTCGTAGGATTTCTGCCTCTAATTTCAAATCAGGCTGAACCTCTGCTTTTCCATTGTAGAGCTTAATCGCTACACCCGTTGACCGTTCTGTCTTTGTGTACTTCTTCGACGTCCCCTGCTTGATACTGGTTCTGGTTCCCTCTCCTATCGAGTGTTCGCTGATATCATATGCATCGTCCAAATCGTTTGTCTGTTGCACTGCATTCTGCTGTATACCCATCCGCCCTGTTTTATCCAGTTTCTTGCTTGAATGATTTCCCATTGTTCTCTTTGGTTGTTGTGTACGACTATCTGCTGTTGTTGTTGTTGAATCACCTCTTCAGAGTTCCATGGGGGACGACTGAAGATATGGCCTGAAAATGTCAGTGCCGAAATTGTACCGGAACATCCTGCGAGATTCAAGATTCGGTGTTCGTTCGTTCGCGACTTTCAATCCGGACGGACTGACTCCTCCGACCAGTAGACTATAATAGCCTAAGAAGACAGAAGTAGTCCTAAAGTGGCACTTCGTAGTGAGGTGGCAGGACCAACGTCTCAACGTTCCTCAAATCCATCCCCATCACATACCCATCCCCATCACATACAAGAGATCGGTTTCAGGAGACCAATCAATCGACCAACTATACACCAACTACCAACCGTTACATTCTTTCCTTCCATTCTGGTTCTATTGGAGGGATCTACCTTATATGAAAGCAGAGCTATACTGAAAAAAGGCATTGCAACAATATCCGAATACTAGTTCAATCGACCCTACAATTTGAAAGCAGCTTTTAAGCTTCGGGTTCGCAAGAGTTTCTAAAAAATAATGCCCAGCAGCATTATTATCAGCAATGATGAAAGGAGTGTGGAATGTGTTAATAATTGTTCTCTTATTGTCCAAGCAAACGCCGGGCTTTGATTCACAACCAAGGGGGCGGCTTGGTTTTCTCCCAGGAAATTCGTTTGCCTTGTTCGAGAAGCCCGGCAGAAGAGAAAGGAAGATCCAAGAGAAACGTGAAGAGTATCAACTTCGAAAAAGGTTATGGTTAGAACGTTATGGGACAGTTGAAGCGCTACAGCAGACATTTGGGGTGGCACCGCCGTTCGGTGACTTGTCCCCAGAGCAGACCCGACGACTTTATCATACGCTTCTGCCTCGTTCTTTGCTTGGATTGTATGAGATGGGAGTGATGAAACCTGAGGAACTGGCTCCACTGGCGTACAATGCGAGAATAGCTGCAAAAGAGTATGCACGGTCAAGATGTGTTTGGACCGCACGGCTCATGACAACAGCCTTTGACATTTACAGAGGTCGCCTAGGCAAGTCATCCTCCATGTCTTGGGAAGAGTTGTACAAGAAGTATGAAGCTCAGATCGTCGAAGAAGAGTGCAATAGTGAATTGAATGGTAATCAATCTGACGACGAAGACTTGACCATGAGAATATACCTTCGTATTTTGGAGAAAAGCTGCTCAACAAACCAAGCATTTGATTCCATGTTTCTAAATGAAGAAGAGGACGATGAAGATAGTGGCTATCTTGACTCTGTTGCCACAAAGCTAGAAGATGATGTCCGCTATATCTTATTACCTCCCAACGAACGAGCTAAAGCAAAGAAAGTGAAGCGCCAGATGGAAAAGGCCGAAGAGAAAATGGCAGAGAAAAAAACAAAGATTGAAAAGAAAGAACTTAGTAGGCAAAAGGCTGTGCGAAAGCGACTTCGACAAAAACGACGACTTAAGGCTGCAGAAGACAGCGATCACGAGATTCAACACGACAAGGCTACCACAGTAAAGAGCACGAAGAAGACTGTTGAGGATTCGAACAGCATGCCTTCGCAGCGTTGGACCATTCTGAGGATTCTTGCAGGAACACGTCGTAAGGATAAAAAGATCAGCAAAGAGAAAATTTAAGTGGCAGAGATAGACTACCTGCCTGTTGCTAGCAATGTAGTAATAAAAATAATAATGAATCCATGAGGATGTAACAAGACATTTTGTACACCAATGTAGACGTGGTAGCCGCCACGTTGAAGGAACCGGAGTGCGATTTTTACTGCTTTACTTCAATCTTGACAAAGCACTTACCTTATGTATTCTATCACAGTTCTTCAGTATCGCTAGTATCATCTCGCCTAGGTCATTTTGGCGAAAGGTATGAGGACTCGGATGCTCCGAGTTGCAATAGCTTCCGAGTCCAAGAGGTCGAATATATTTGTACACAACATACGGTACTAGCGCTACAGATAGGTGAATTGGACTATTCGTTTGTCTTATAAAGTGGGTGTTTCGTGATCCCGAACGACTCAGATTGTCTGTTTTAAAATTTGTCTTCACCGACATTTATTGAGGCGCTGTTGTACCATTAAATGTCAATTCTAAACCAAGACGTGTCTTACTTAGGGAAGCTATCGCCGACAACTTTTCGCACGACATTTTGAAGTATTTTTTCCCATCACAAAGCACACCGAAAAACGACTAATCACAAAGCAACAACGACTCATGTACTGATTGGTCATGGTAGCACCGAAAAACTCTACAGCGAAAAGCGACTTTCAAGAGCACCATCTCCCAAAGGAAAAGAAAAAAATTCCAAAGCACATGAGCAATACCTTCTTGCCTGCCATCTCAGAAGAACCATCGAAAAGCTTCATGGACGAGGATGTTTTTGATGAAAACGAGTTTTTGGAAACCGAAAACGAAAACGAAGGACTTGTGACTCCAACAAAGACCAAGCCTGATGAAGCTCTGAGTACTCCCCAAGCTCCCAAGAAAAAACCAGCGATGAAAAAAAGCATTGCAAATGCCCAAAATGCCAGCAACTCTGTTGATCCTGTACAAGTTGGACTTCCGAGCAAGTTCGATGTCCTCTGTGGTCAGTCCCGCATATGCGCCAATCACACTGGAAATTGTAGATTTCAAGTCGTCTTGGACATTTATGCATCGAGGTACGAAGCTGCCAAAAGTAAACAAGAGAAAATGATGCTTACCAAAGAAATAGTGGGTTGTATAGCTACATCCGGAGGTAGGTTTCTGAAGTACAAGGATGGATTGTGGAATGAGATTTCCAGCGTAACAGCTCGAGACAAAGTCAGTCATGCACTGCGTACCAAAGTGCAAACACGGAAGAAACAGCAAACTGCGAAACCTTCATCGAGTGCTAAGAAGAAAGGTTCCACTCGGAAAGGAAGGCACTGCCGTAGACGCTCGGCACCAGCATCATCAGCCCACACTAATGATCTATCTGAAGTTAGAGCCGTATCATTCGATGGCAGTGATGGCAGTAGTACATCATCAAATGCCATCATGGACGACCTTCTGCGTGCGCAGAGGGAAATTTTTGAGCAACTGACAAAAGGTGACAAGCAAACAAATACCCCAAGAAAAACAAACCAACATCCTTTGAAACGGACTGAAACTTGGTCGTAGATGTCTGAAAGCTACTTGGTGGTGGGATATGCGTATATTATATGTGTAACACTGAATGATAGAGCGATTTGAAGAGTAGTAGTATTTCAAGAGAGGAGGGATGTAATGTAGCTGTCGTATAGAAATTGTCAAAGTAGCTAGACGAAATGGAATGGCCTTGTTCTTGCACCAGGGGCACCAGAATTATTTGTGACTCATGCATGTACAGAGTAGTGGAAACTGAAGTAGCGAAAGATAGCCACATGATAAGCTAGGTAGAATGAGGAAGCCTGCGAGATAGGAATATATTACCACTCATCTAGTCCTACATCTCCTGCTCCGCACCACTACATACTGTGACGATCTCGATTGATGATCGATTTTCAGATGTTCTCATATGATTACTTCGAGTGCTCAGCTTTCGGAAGTGATTTCAGAGTTTTCGCCGAATCGTTAAATGTAAAGCAACACGAGTCGAGCTCTACTTATCAAATGACTCCGGATCAGCTAATTTAGCCAACGATTTAGGCCAGCTTGAATCCCACGGGGCAGTCGGATAAGTCATAATCGCCAGACGTGCAATAGAAATGTCCAATTCCGGGATTGTGCTTCTGTAGTGCCTTTTTTGTGATCTCCAACCTGATGTCACAAAACCAAAAGACTCCAATCCGACAAAACATGATTCCTCAAATGCTTTTCAACGATAACGACTTTCAAGATGATTTCCTCCTCCATACACTAGATCCTAAGGATGACCTCAATAATAGCAACGGTGCGCTCACCGCCATCTCTGACGAATCTTTGCCCGATCTTATGGACGACAGCAATTTCGAAGGAAGCGAATTCTTGCAGTCTGACAATGTTGGATTCGTCACACCCAACCACAGCTTTTCCGAAATTACTCCAGAGAAAGAAATCGTCATGCCAATTGTTGTTGTTTCCCAAAAGATCAAGACTGTCCGCACACAATCTGAAAAGCCAACTCCATTTGACGTCCTCTGCGGACAATCCCGAACATGTGCCAACCACAGTGGAAACAAGAGATTCCAAGCTACATTGGACATGTACGCTTCAAAATATGACGCTGCCAAGAGCAAGCAAGAAAAGATGACTTTGACCAAAGAAATTGTTGGACGCATTGCTGACAATGGTGGAAGATTCCTCAAGTTCAAGAGCAACAATTGGGTCGAAATTGCCAACGTTACAGCCCGTGACAAGGTCAGCCATGCTCTTCGCACCAAGGTCCAATCTTGGAAGCGTCAACAAGCAAGCTCTTCGTCAAAGAAGGCCCCCTCCATTCGCAAGCGTCGTCACAGTCGCCGCGCGTCCTCTGCAGCCCCCAGCTTGACCGAATGCAAGGCAGTCTCCTTTGATGGAAGCACTGCCTCTTCAACTTCGGTAATGGATGAACTCCTCCGAACTCAAAGAGAGATTTTCGAAAAGCTCACTCAATCGAATGAAATGCATCCATTGAAGTAAAATTCACAGAATGCAAGCGAATTGTACTGTATGTTTTTGAGTGGGGACAAGGGAAATTTATTTGTTGTAGAAACTGGAGTAATAGACCTTCTTGAACATAATCAAGGAGATAGATGTAATTAATGATAGACCAAAATATGAAACAAAAAACCTGATTCTTTTATGATGCCCAATTCAAAACTTCACTCCTTATCACCCCTACAATAATGGTGGCGAAGTTGATCTGATTCTGCTACAGTATTGTGTCTATCGGTTTCTTGCAAAGGGGGGTCTCGTAAGCCTCCTAAAACTAAGCTGTCCTCTCCCTCCCCTCTTCATGTCTCAAGTAAATGAACGCGAGCTAAATTAGCCAACGAGTAGGGCAACTTGAATCCCACGGGGCAGTCCGATAAGTCAATTTTGCCAGACGTGTACGAGAAATGAAAAATCCGGGATTGTGCTTCAGTAGTGCCTTTTTTGTGATCTCCAACTTGATGTCACAAAACCAAAATCCGACGACAAAGATCACAACACAAATTAAAGCAATGATTCCTCAAATGATTTTCAACGATAACGACTTTCAAGACGACTTCCTCCTTCATTCGCTCGTGGAAGACTTCAATAGCAGCGACGGTGCCCTGACCACCATCTCTGACGAATCTTTGCCCGATCTTCTTATGGACGACAACAGGAGTTTCGAAGGCTTCTCTGAAGAACCAACTCCATATGATGTCCTTTGCGGGCAATCCCGAGCATGTGCCAACCACAGCGGAAACAAGAGATTCCAAGCTACTTTGGACATGTATGCCTCTAAATATGACGCTGCCAAGAGCAAGCAAGAAAAGATGACGTTGACCAAGGAAATTGTTGGATGCATTGCTGCCAATGGTGGAAGATTCCTCAAGTTCAAGAACAACAAGTGGGTCGAAATTGCCAACGTTACAGCCCGTGACAAGGTCAGCCATGCTCTTCGTACCAAGGTCCAATCTTGGAAGCGTCAGCAAGGAAGCTCCTCGTCAAAGAAGGCCCCCTCCATTCGCAAGCGTCGCCACATCCGACGAAGCACACCATCTGCATCCACCCCCAGCTTGACCGAATGCAAAGCAGTCTCGTTTGATGGAAGCACCTCCTCTGCGGCTTCTGTAATGGATGAACTTCTCCGAACTCAACGAGATATTTTCGAAAAGCTGACTCAAGCGGATGAAATGCATCCACTGAAGTAAAATTCACAGAATGCACGCACATTGTGCTGTATGTTTTTTAATAGGGGCAGAAATCGGAGTGATAGAACTCCTTGAACATAATCAAGGAGATAGATGTAATTTTAATGATAGACCAAAATATGAAACAAAAAACCTGATTCTTTTATGATGCCCAATTCAAAACTTCACTCTTCATCACCCATATATTGGTGGCGAAGTTGATCTCGTACTGTACTCGACTATTTCTCCTGTTCCTGCATTTTTACGTGTCTATCAGTTTCTTTCAAAAAGGGGATTGCTTACAAGATGACCCCTTACACTAAGTTTTCCTCTCCCTCCCCTCTTCATGCCTCAAGTGAATGAACGCGAGCTAAATTAGCCAACGAGTAGGGCAACTTGAATCCCACGGGGCAGTCCGATAAGTCAATTTTGCCAGACGTGTACGAGAAATGAAAAATCCGGGATTGTGCTTCAGTAGTGCCTTTTTTGTGATCTCCAACTTGATGTCACAAAACCAAAATCCGACGACAAAGATCACAACACAAATTAAAGCAATGATTCCTCAAATGATTTTCAACGATAACGACTTTCAAGACGACTTCCTCCTTCATTCGCTCGTGGAAGACTTCAATAGCAGCGACGGTGCCCTGACCACCATCTCTGACGAATCTTTGCCCGATCTTCTTATGGACGACAACAGGAGTTTCGAAGGCTTCTCTGAAGAACCAACTCCATATGATGTCCTTTGCGGGCAATCCCGAGCATGTGCCAACCACAGCGGAAACAAGAGATTCCAAGCTACTTTGGACATGTATGCCTCTAAATATGACGCTGCCAAGAGCAAGCAAGAAAAGATGACGTTGACCAAGGAAATTGTTGGATGCATTGCTGCCAATGGTGGAAGATTCCTCAAGTTCAAGAACAACAAGTGGGTCGAAATTGCCAACGTTACAGCCCGTGACAAGGTCAGCCATGCTCTTCGTACCAAGGTCCAATCTTGGAAGCGTCAGCAAGGAAGCTCCTCGTCAAAGAAGGCCCCCTCCATTCGCAAGCGTCGCCACATCCGACGAAGCACACCATCTGCATCCACCCCCAGCTTGACCGAATGCAAAGCAGTCTCGTTTGATGGAAGCACCTCCTCTGCGGCTTCTGTAATGGATGAACTTCTCCGAACTCAACGAGATATTTTCGAAAAGCTGACTCAAGCGGATGAAATGCATCCACTGAAGTAAAATTCACAGAATGCACGCACATTGTGCTGTATGTTTTTTAATAGGGGCAGAAATCGGAGTGATAGAACTCCTTGAACATAATCAAGGAGATAGATGTAATTTTAATGATAGACCAAAATATGAAACAAAAAACCTGATTCTTTTATGATGCCCAATTCAAAACTTCACTCTTCATCACCCATATATTGGTGGCGAAGTTGATCTCGTACTGTACTCGACTATTTCTCCTGTTCCTGCATTTTTACGTGTCTATCAGTTTCTTTCAAAAAGGGGATTGCTTACAAGATGACCCCTTACACTAAGTTTTCCTCTCCCTCCCCTCTTCATGCCTCAAGTAAATGAACGCGAGCTAAATTAGCCAACGAGTAGGGCAACTTGAATCCCACGGGGCAGTCCGATAAGTCAATTTTGCCAGACGTGTACGAGAAATGAAAAATCCGGGATTGTGCTTCAGTAGTGCCTTTTTTGTGATCTCCAACTTGATGTCACAAAACCAAAATCCGACGACAAAGATCACAACACAAATTAAAGCAATGATTCCTCAAATGATTTTCAACGATAACGACTTTCAAGACGACTTCCTCCTTCATTCGCTCGTGGAAGACTTCAATAGCAGCGACGGTGCCCTGACCACCATCTCTGACGAATCTTTGCCCGATCTTCTTATGGACGACAACAGGAGTTTCGAAGGCTTCTCTGAAGAACCAACTCCATATGATGTCCTTTGCGGGCAATCCCGAGCATGTGCCAACCACAGCGGAAACAAGAGATTCCAAGCTACTTTGGACATGTATGCCTCTAAATATGACGCTGCCAAGAGCAAGCAAGAAAAGATGACGTTGACCAAGGAAATTGTTGGATGCATTGCTGCCAATGGTGGAAGATTCCTCAAGTTCAAGAACAACAAGTGGGTCGAAATTGCCAACGTTACAGCCCGTGACAAGGTCAGCCATGCTCTTCGTACCAAGGTCCAATCTTGGAAGCGTCAGCAAGGAAGCTCCTCGTCAAAGAAGGCCCCCTCCATTCGCAAGCGTCGCCACATCCGACGAAGCACACCATCTGCATCCACCCCCAGCTTGACCGAATGCAAAGCAGTCTCGTTTGATGGAAGCACCTCTTCTGCAGCTTCTGTAATGGATGAACTTCTCCGAACTCAACGAGATATTTTCGAAACGCTGACTCAAGCGGATGAAATGCATCCACTGAAGTAAATTCGCAAAATGTAATCAACTTTTGAGCGGGGCAAGGAAATTTATTTGTTGTAAAAATGGAGTGATAGAACGCAATCAATAAAATGATAGATCAAAATATGAAAAAACTATATCTTTACACCATTATTGAGGCTTCTCATTGTTTATGAGCCATATAGCAGTGACAAGTTGATACCTACAGTATTCGCTTGATCCATTCTGTTTTTATCGTTGGAATTTCTTCACGACAAACAATTTGAAATCCAGCTTCTCAATACCCATTTTTCGTCCTTTTATCTTCATTATATATTCGAGTGACTCTTCCAATTGCAAGAGTGAAACGTGGACTCGAGCATAGGCCCCCTCTGTTCGAAATTCTGGTCTACCTACCAAATCCATCAACCAAAACTTGTTTGCACTCCCCTTGGGCGGCAGACAGATACAAAACGAACTGTTTTTCACTTCCATTACTACCACTTCCCATCCTGTTAGTTGTTCATTACGAACATTGGCCAACAAACGTCGCAATGATCCATCTCCTTGAATATTCTCCGCCTCAAAAGCGCCCACCTTGACGGTGGATGAGATCAATCCCAGATCCCCCGTTCGACCAAATCGCATCAAGACCTTACCAACATTGTATTCGTCCGTAGTTCCCGCTCTTTGAGACAAGGAATGTCCTTCTTTTACAATCGAGTTGAGGTAGGTCGAATTGACCATGCCGCCATTCAAAAAGTTACGGGCGGCAATGCAAGTACAAAATGGACGGGATCCGTCGTCGTAAGCCCCCTGATTGGTGACCACCATTTTGGGAACATTTTTGTTCGTTGGATTAACCGAAGTCTGATAGTTGGTGTAGGATGGTCTTGTTTTGGTCGCCTTTTCATGAGTATGATGGTGATGGTTGTGACCCGATACCAATATATCTTGTTCCTTTTTGCGCATGAGCTCAATTTGTTCTTGTTGGAGACGTTCTCGTTCTTCTTCTTCTCTCAAAAATTGATTGGCCCTTTCCCGGGCATCTCCATCTGTTTGACTTTTTGGATCGGGACTACCAATTTGGCACGAGTCCATGACGTCGCCCATAAAGGCTTGTCGGCTTTCCTTTTCCAAAAGCAAAAATCCAACCGCTTGATCCAAATCACCGTCCGAGACTTTCAAGGCTTGTTCCGCCTCATCCATGGGATATCCCATTTCCACCAGCTCCATTACCTTTTTGTCATCCACGCCACCACCACTATCGTCTCGTATGCTCGAACTCATGCGCATGCCATCCATATCCGTAATGTCACTGACGGTCGATCGAAAGGAGGTCATGTGGGGGACGCTAATGTTACCAAAACCTCGTTGCGGAATTTCATTTCCAGGAACAAAATCCATTCCACTAATCTTCAGGGCATCAAAGGTATCCTCTACAGGTGCTGGTGGTGGTGGTTGGGATTGTAAAGGGGGCTTTTTGAGATTGTTGCTGTTCTTGGCTGGCGGTCGTGGAGGGGGCGTCGAATATTGGGGAGGTGGTTTCAAGTTGCTAGTTGTAGGCTGACTGGGAGGCGGCATCTTGTCATAATAATCCGAAAAGGCATCTGCCTGTTTCGATGCAGCCGCTTGTGTGGATTCCCCGGTAAAACCACCGCGATCGGACGAGCTGAGCATCAGAAATCCAACGGCTTGTTCCAGGTCACCGCCAGCAATGTCTAGCGCTTGTTCGGCTTCGGATTCAATATATCCCATGGATATCAACTGTTCCACCTTTTCGGGCGCTGCCATGGTTGTTGTCGTTGAGTTGTTGTCGAGTTGTTGTTGTTGTCTGTAGTGGGGAATAATAATATGAGAGAGTAAAAGTGTGACTGCATGCTCCTGTATTTTTGTTGATGGTGGTTCTTGTTCTCCGCAAGATCTAGATTTTGGTCATTTGAGTCATTCCTTTTTTATTTTATACGGATTTGGAAGCTAGCTAAGTACGTTTTTGCGTTGCCTGGTCCATCGTGCGTCCGTCCCGAAAGCACAAGCCACATTTTAGAGTTCTTTTTTTCGTTTCCGGGAAGTTCGTGGACAGCTCACATCGAACGATTGCAAGTGCAAAGCGAGCACATATAATAATAACATACACATCAAAAGTCATTATTACTGTACCACAATGAAGCTTCTATTACCAGCCATCTTTGTTTCCGTTGGATCCGCCTTTGTGATTCCATCTTCCCATCAACCTCTCAGCTCTTCGCTCCAGGTGGTCAGCGATTTGTTTGTCGACGAAACCCGAGCTTCGGTCTCCAAGTACTATGGCGAAGAACTCAAAGGATCTGACGATTTGAAGACGAATGCTTGCTCTACCGCTGCATCTCCACCAAAGTACATTCAAGATTGCATCAGCAACATTCACCCTGAAGTGGTTGCCAAGTATTACGGATGCGGGCTCTGCTTGCCCCAATATCCTTTGGAAGGGGCCACCGTCTTGGATTTGGGAAGTGGATCCGGTCGTGATGTCTACATTGCCAGTCAATTGGTTGGCCCTAAGGGCAAGGTCAGTAAAAAGAAAGAGATGCTTTGGATTCTGTCACTCGTTCAAGATGGATTCCATTCTGCGAATCTATTCGTTTCTTTGAATGGTCTCCTATCGCTAACTTTTCCTTTTGCTCATATATTTCAATATTCCGATAGGTTGTTGGTGTCGACATGACGGATGAACAATTGGAAGTTGCCAATAAGCACTTGGATTACCATACCGAAAAGTTTGGCTTTTCAAATGTCGAATTCAAAAAGGGATACCTCGAAAATCTTGCCGATTTGAACTTGGAGGAAGGATCCTTTGATGTGATCATCTCCAATTGCGTCATCAACTTGTGTACCGACAAGGAAGCCGTCTTGAAGGAGTGCCTCAAATTGCTAAAGCCAGGTGGTGAATTGTATTTCTCCGATGTCTATTCCAATCGACGTGTCCCCAAGGTCTTGCAAGAGGATGAAGTCTTGTGGGGCGAATGCTTGTCGGGTGCCTTGTACTGGAATGACTTTGAAAACTTGGCACGCAAGGTTGGCTTTGCGGACCCACGCTTGGTCGAAGACGCTCCCATCACCGTCCAAAATGCCGATATCGAACGATTGTTTTCGGAATCGGGCCATGATGCTCTTGAATTCTACTCGGCGACCTACCGCTTGTGGAAAATGGACTTGGAACCACACTGCGAAGATTATGGGCAAGCTGTCATTTACAAGGGAACTATGGATAGATATCCCTCGGGTTGGTTGTTGGACAAGCACCACTTTTTTGAGACTGGAAAGATCCATCCAGTCTGTGGAAATACATGGAACATGTTGGAAAAGTCTCGATTGAAGGATGACTTTGAGTTCATTGGAAACTTTGATAAGCACTTCGGAATCTTTGAAGGATGTGGATCGACCATGCCATACGACAGTCAAGAGGCTTCGTCTGGAAAGGGAGAATCTACTGGAGGATGCTGTTAACTAGGTAGCGATACCGGTACTGTACTGGTGATTGTACCTAACGATTCAAGTACTGGAAATTGTAGGGTTTAGGAACACTGAATATCAATATCTTCGTTTTCTAGTACCGTAGCAGTGGTGCTGAAAGAGGTTCACGTTCACAAGCCGACTGACTCTTGATAATCACATTACTATCACTTGCACACAACTCTAGGTACATATTAAAGTTGAGAAGCGTACAGTATGGTAGTAGATGGTAGTATGCGAACTCTTCATTTGACGGTCCAAACTGTCATTCATTCCCAAGATTTCTCCCACGAATCTTTTTGGCACGACCTCCATGCTTTGTTGTTTGGGCGTACTGATTTAGTGTCTGATCTGACTGTCGTCATTGTTTCGTAACAAAAACAAAACTGAAACTAATATCACGCACTGCAGTGCTTTTGCACAGGTATAGCATGAAATCTTCCAGCTCCTTTACCGCTCGCAGCTCTGCATTAGCAGCTCTATCCGTTTCACTTATAGCCTGCATGGTCCCTGTGCAAGCACTTGCTCCAGTCTCCTTGTCGTCAAATTTACAAGTCCGGTCGACAATCACCAAGCTCCACAACATATACGACGATTGGCGATCCGATGCTGTAGTGGATACCATGTTCCTGGATGAAGATAATGTCCGAATGGTATTGGAAGAATTTATCGACTCGGATTATGGAGCACAGATGTTTGGTTGTCACGAACGGGCGGCATCCATTGGAGTGACGGGATATATTGAATTTGTCGAATTGTGTGGCCCGGAAGTGACACTTTCCTTGTCGGGGCAGTTTTGGCACCGCCGCGATACTGTACTGGGTAGAGCCGCCATGTGGCTCAATGCTCGAATGCCGGAGATTACTGACGTTGTGGTTGCAGATCAGGACGAACTGAAGGACTTTGAAGATGTCTTGGATGATTTTGGCGAAGTACTTTACCAGAAGGATAAGCGGAGTCCAGATTACAATGGGGACAGGGAAGCAATGGAATACCAAGGACGGGACCCTGATATGCGCGGCCCATTTCCTCAGGGACCAATGGGCTCTGGAACAATGATAAACCCAGTGTAAGCTATCCAACTGGCTGTTGGTGGTCGTTTGGAATGCACATTGAAGTGATACCGGATGCACGAGAAACACACGAGGGCCCAAAGAAGACGACAAAGCCCCTTTTACAATACACACAGGCGCAAACAAAATTCTACGTAACTCAAATTTTAAAAATCGGAGACGACAGAGAGGGACGATGGCCAACAACTTCTGTTGGAGGATAATCAGGAGAGTAGGTGTGACAGCAGCCATATAGAACATCACTTTTTTAAAAACTAGGCTTTGATTCATCAAGTGAGCATATGGGGCCCGCATGAACTTGCAAAATATTAAATATTTCTGTACTCATCGGGCCGCTATTTGGTACACTTGATCGTGTACAACGTCGTATTAAATTGAACTTGCTGCTTCTTCTTCTTTGTCATGTGCAGGCAGGTTTGCTTGCTTGGTAGGGAAGCACAATCCTTGCATTTGCAAACCCATGATTTACAACTCATTCCCACTAGCTTGCTAGCATTTGCAGGAGGAAGATGCATTTTCATCTTGTCAGCAAAAGTGCTGGCCTTTCAGAACATTCAAGATCCCAACGTTTGGTTCGCATTGGTCACAAAAACGATAGTTTCAATCGTGACCCCAATCAAGTCGTGATAAACCTGCACTTTTTACATTTAGACGATCCTTGAAGGTCCCACAATATCTTCTCATCATGCAGACAAAACCACTTCTATTAATTGTTATCCTCAGTCTCACATCAGTCACCTCCTTTCAGTCCACAGCTATTAGACGTGCACAGTATGCGAATCCCTCAAAGCTGCGTTCTCAGACCGTGAAGGATGAAGAAATAAGTGAAGAGCAGTCGTCAACTCCTTTCCTTGAGGACGATGACGGCATTTACTTCAAGAAGGGAGTTGGCGGTGGGTCCAACAGACCAGCATCGGCTTTCATCCTTGGCTCCGAAAACTTTGTAAAGCAATCCAAGGCTATCGGACTCCAAACGCTTGCAAAGATGGGATTGACTGGAAAGGATTTCAATCCTGAAGAAATTCCACCGCAATCACTAAAACTGACCTTGAGCAACCAAGCTGTGAAAGACGCCGAAGTACGACGAGAAACTCAGGAGGGACGAGTGGAAACCAACGCAGTCGCACGATTGCTCTATGATGTTGGATGCTATGTTCTCGATGAGCTATTTACCGACAGACCGATTGCTAGGTTCTGGTTTCTCGAAACCATTGCCAGGATTCCCTACTTCAGTTACATCAGTATGCTTCATCTTTATGAATCTTTTGGCTGGTGGCGGGGCGTTCAGCTGCGCAAAGTTCACAATGCAGAAGAGTACAACGAACTCCATCACCTCCTGTAAGAATCTCAATTGTTGTCGATGCAGCCAGTGAATCATAGTAGTTGATCTCACCTCCTCTTTTTCGACCCTCAGGATCATGGAAGCACTTGGAGGCGATGCCGTTTGGAGCGATCGATTTCTTGGCTACCACATTGCTATTGGATATTATTGGGCGCTCATTATCGTATTCTTTTTCAGTCCCGCAGTGGCATATGAATTCATGGAGGTGAGTTCCTAGAGAATGCATATGGCTATCAGTACTGTCGAAGTCGCATCGCTCATAACTAATTTGATAACAGCTCCTTGAAAGTCATGCAGTGGATACATATTCAACTTTCTTGAACGAGAACGAGGAAACGTTGAAGAAGTTACCTGCACCGGCCGTAGCTAAAGGTTATTACACTTCCGATGATCTCTACCTCTTTGATGACTTCCAAGTGAGCAAAAAGGCAGGTTCGCGAAGGCCTTCTTGCGACAATCTTTATGATGTCTTCCAGAACATTTGCGAGGACGAAGCGGAACATGTCAAGACAATGGTTGCTTGTCAGGACTATGCCCGTGTTGGGAAGCTGGTTGAATCTCCACATGTTCCAGCAATGAAGCGTAAAACCGGATCGAAGAAAGACGAGGAAGATTGGGGTAGTAGGAACGATGAAATGCAGCCATAGGAAGACATATTTGCTTGTTGGACAAGCACAATCCATATATTTACGAATTCATTGTTTACAACTCATTCCCACTAGTTGCTGGTTGTGTATTTGCAGAACGAAGTTGAATTTTCATCATGCCAGCAACGTGAACATACCGTACCTGGTACAGTAATAACGGTAGTAATGGCCTTTTGAGAAAATTTGACTTGCGTTCGCATTGGTCTTCGGTCGCAGAAACGATGGAAATTTCGAACACTTCGAGTCGTGATGTGTTCCCTTTTCCCGCACCACGATCCTTTCATTTGTCGCCACTGTGCAGGTACATCAGTATTAATATCTTTTCGATGCCACAACGTATCACCATGCTGGAAAAACTACTCCTATTGCTTGCTATTCTCAGTCTCACATCGGTCACCTCCTTCCAGTCCACGGGCATCAGACATGTGCAATATGCCAATCCCTCAAAGCTGCGTTCTCAGACGGTGAAGGACGAAGAAATAAGTGAAGAGTCAACTCGTCCTATTGCTGAGGACCCTGACAGCATTTACTTCGAGAAGGGATTCGGAGGCGGGTCCAACAAACCAGCATCGGCTTTCATCCTCGGGTCTAAATTCTTTGTAAAGCAATCCAAGGCTCTCGGACTCCAAGGACTTGCAAATGTGGGATTGATTGGAAGGGATTTGAATCGCGAAGTGATTGCACCACAAAAACTGGGATTGACCTTGAGTAACCAAGCCGTGAAGGACGCCGAAGTACGACGAGAAGCTCGAGACGGACGAGTGGAAACCAACGCCGTCGCACGAAAACTCTATGATGTCGGGTGCTATGTTCTCGACGAGCTGTTCACCGACAGACCGATTGCTAGGTTCTGGTTTCTCGAAACCATTGCCAGGATTCCCTACTTTACATATGTCAGTATGCTTCATCTCTATGAATCTTTTGGCTGGTGGCGAGGTGTTCAGCTGCGCAAAGTACACAATGCAGAAGAGTACAATGAACTCCATCACCTCCTGTAAGAATCTCAATGGGTTTTGATGTTGAAAGTGAATCATAGTAGTTCATCTCACCTCTTTTCGACTCACAGGATCATGGAGGCACTTGGAGGCGATGCCATTTGGAGCGATCGGTTTCTTGGCTACCACATTGCTATTGGATATTATTGGGCGCTCATTGTTGTATTCTTCTTTAGTCCCGCAGTGGCATACGAATTTATGGAGGTGAGTTCCTAGAGTATGAAAGGCTATCAGTACGTGCTTTGTAAGTTGCATCATAACTAATTTGATAACAGCTCCTTGAAAGTCATGCAGTGGATACATATTCAACTTTCTTGAACGAGAACGAAGAAGAATTGAAGAAGTTACCTGCACCAGCCGTAGCAAAAAGCTATTACACTTCCGATGATCTCTACCTCTTTGATGACTTCCAAGTGAGCAAAAAGGCAGGTTCTCGAAGGCCTTCTTGCGATACTCTTTATGATGTCTTCCAGAACATTTGCGAGGACGAAGCGGAACATGTCAAGACAATGGTTGCTTGTCAGGATTATGCCCGTGTTGGGAAGCTGGTTGAATCTCCACATGTTCCAGCAATGAAGCGTAAAACCGGATCGAAGAAAGACGAGGAAGATTGGGGTAGTAGGAACGATGAAATGCAGCCATAGCAAGGCATGTTTGCTTTGTAGACAAACACAATCCATGTATTTGCAAATTCATTGTTTACAACTCGTTCCCACTAGTTGCTTGTTGTGTATTTGCAGAACGAAGTTGAGTTTTCATCTTGACAGCAATACGCACATACCGGTACTGTAGTAATGGCCTCTTGAGAATTTTGAGAAAATCTGACTCCGTTCTCATGCATGCAGTGCAATACATCACTGTCATCATGCCTAGAGTACGTGTACCTGCTGGTACCAGTCAAGCAAGTCTCAGAAATCCCGCTTTACGGGATCTCTGAGATAGGCATTCCGGGTCCCTGTGTGACCCGAAACACCACAACCCGCAAGAAGCGAAAGAACCACAGAAACGAAGAAACAAGGGGAGGATGCCATAGTCGGCGATTGATAGTGGCGGCACCCACATGATCCGATTTGTCGATCGCGATATCATACGTGTGCTATGCCTCTTGTGGGAAGCCCACACTATAGGGTGATGAAGAAACCGACCAAGTGTGGCAGGGACGATTATCAACGAAGAAAGTTGTCAAACTCGATGGATTCGCTCTTGCCGAAGTTGTCAATCCTCTCAAGATATTCATCGACTTCGAATGGGCAATGTAAAGTTTCCATGTGCGCCTCCTCGGCATGGATTGAGGAATTGATTACACTCATATCTGCAAGTGAGTGTGGGTTGACGAAAACTGACTTGAGTTCCCTACTGCAGTATGGCTTATCGAATTCTGATCAAGTCGAGTCGTGATGTGTTCTCATTTCCTACTGTTCAGTACCATGTCACTTTCCCTTCATTTTTCGCCGCTGTGCAGGTATCTTCAAAGATCCCACAATATCTTCTCATCATGCAGACAAAACCACTTCTATTAATTGTTATCCTCAGTGTCACATCAGTCACCTCCTTTCAGTCCACAGCTCTTAGAAGTGTACAGTATGCCAATCCCTCAAAGCTGCGTTCTCAGACGGTGAAGGACAAAGAAATAAGTGAAGAGGAGTCAACTCCTTTCCTTGAGGACGATGGCAGCATTTATTTCAAGAAGGGAGTTGGTGGTGGATCCGACAGACCAGCGTCAGCTTTCATCCTTGGCTCCAAAAACTTTGTAAAGCAATCCAAGGCTATCGGACTCCAGACGCTTGCAAAGGTGGGATTGACTGGAAAGGATTTCAATCCTGAAGAAATTCCACCGCAATCACTAAAACTAACCTTGAGCAACCAAGCCGTGAAAGACGCCGAAATACGACGAGAAGCTCGAGACGGACGAGTGGAAACCAACGCAGTTGCACGAAAACTCTACGATGTCGGATGCTATGCTCTAGATGAGCTATTTACCGACAGACCGATTGCTAGGTTCTGGTTTCTCGAAACCATTGCCAGGATTCCCTACTTTACATATGTCAGTATGCTTCATCTTTATGAATCTTTTGGCTGGTGGCGAAGTATTCAGCTGCGCAAAGTACACAATGCAGAAGATTACAATGAACTCCATCACCTCCTGTAAGAATCTCAATTGGTTTTGATGTTGAAAGAGAATCATAATTGCTCGTCTCACCTCTTTTCGACTCACAGGATCATGGAGGCACTTGGAGGCGATGCCATTTGGAGCGATCGATTTCTTGGCTACCACATTGCTATTGGATATTATTGGGCGCTCATTGTCGTATTCTTTTTCAGTCCCGCAGTGGCATACGAATTCATGGAGGTGAGTTCCTAGAGTATGAAAGGCTATCAGTACGTGCTTTGTAAGTTGCATCATAACTAATTTGATAACAGCTCCTTGAAAGTCATGCAGTGGATACATATTCAACTTTCTTGAACGAGAACGAAGAGGAATTGAAGAAGTTACCTGCACCAGCCGTGGCAAAAAGCTATTATACTTCCGATGATCTCTACCTCTTTGATGACTTCCAAGTGAGCAAAAAGGCAGGTTCGCGAAGACCTTCTTGCGACAATCTCTATGATGTCTTCCAGAACATTTGCGAAGACGAAGCGGAACATGTCAAGACAATGGTTGCTTGTCAGGATTATGCCCGCGTTGGAAAGCTGGTGGAGTCTCCACATGTTCCAGCAATGAAGCGTAAAACCGGATCGAAGAAAGACGAGGAAGATTGGGGTAGTAGGAACGATGAAATGCAGCCATAAGAAGACATAATGCTAATCCAAAACCAAACCGAGCTATTACAAACCTCCCTTTTTGTAGTTTGGTGAATCTGATCTAAGGCTCTACAGTCTGTGCCATGTCAAATCAAAGTCACTAGCAGAGATATCCTTCGGCCTCAAAATGGAGACTTTCATTCCAGTGTCAGAAATTTTGCAACTATGCCATGTGAAAAGAGCTCGTTCGGCCTGCGGTGACAATTCGGTCTCAACCAAGCTCTGGATCGAATTCTTGTCAAAAGAGGGCGATGCAAGCATCGCCAGGAAACCCCCGCCGCCTGCACCACATAGTGCATGACCCGTGATGGCTGCCTTTTCGGTAAGATGTTGTACAAGCTTCTTCACAACATCTGGCTCCACGCCCGCGTCTTCCCCAGCCATCTTAACTTTCAGCTCAGCGTACGTGGTCAGTATACCCCCAAGTTCATCTACTCTACCTTCAAGCAGCAGAGATCTAGCATGCTCAGAGCATTCGACGAGACCTTTCACAGTATCAAGGACATCAGATTCTCTCCGCGCCCATCGCCGTAGAACCTTTTGCAATATACCTTTTGCCAATCGAGTCTTACCAGTGAATACTAATACCAGTCTTTTCTCCAATATGGATAGACTGTTGGTATCAACTGGAAGCTTTTCAATTGAAACGCTCACTGGCAACTCATTCGCTCTTGAGCGAAGAGTTTTAATTCCTGGTACAAGTCCATTTGCTTGGTCTTGCCACCCACCTCCAGATGACAGCAACTGTTCCGCCATGAGGACAGCATTCACCACTTGGTTTTCATCCAGGTCTCCAATGCCGACACATTTAGCCACTGCACCAAGGATGCACCCAGCAAGGATAGAACTTGTTCCCATCCCTGAGCCTTGTGGCAAAAGAGATGTCGTAACCACCTCCAACCGCGTTGATTCAGTTGAGGAGCAAAATTTATCGAGTAGGTCTTGTATCCTGGCACCAGATTCGATATCAGCTTCTTTTGCAAGATTGAGAACAATCAGGGCGGCTTTGAGAAGAGCGCAATCTGCCCTGGGATCCCTGAAGTCGCCCAAATGCTGAATGTCCGAAACCTCCACTTCAATGGCCGAGGATAGGGAACCAGTACCAAGCTCTCTGCTTTCACTGCGAAGTAGAAGGCCTGACTTTTCTGGAACTATGCGACAGCGACAGGAAAGGGGCATATGGTCATCGACCAGAACAGCCATCCCCGTCACCGAACCGCCGTACTCGTAGCATATGGGCGGTGTGTCACTCCAGCCGCCGGCAATGTCAATTCGAACTGGCGAAGAGGCAATTACCCAAACTCCAAATGAAGGGCCCTCTCTTCTCCTTACCAGTTCTTCGGATGCGCTATCTGATACTTGGCAAACACACATCTCGTTCATTTTGAGGGCGATCATTTCAAGAATTTCCGAGTATTCCTCCAGAAATAAGAGATTGAAGGCAGACTCGCAATTTCTCCTTTCCTCTTTCAGAGTGCACAGAGCTTGCTTTGAATGACTCTTTGGATCCTTCTGCACAGAGCTGGGTGCCATAATCGTTCGAGCAACAGAGGGACCAATTTGATCTTGATCGGCTTCCTTTTTGACTAAGACTTTCTTTCGCGAGGTGAGAAACTCTGAAACCAGAACGCTTGCGAGCATTAATGATCTCCCACAAATATCATAGTTCTCAACCTCAATTTCACTAAGGAAACTGTCCTCCAAAGCTTCAAGTAACCTCGAAAGCTCCTTCTCCGCTTCATCCTCTCCAAGTTCGTATAACCATTGGACGTCACAGACTTCGTCATGAGATCGCTGCGTAAGTGCTTTCTGCAGGCTTGGAATGAAATCTGCTTGTTGTCTTCGGAGAACTGCCAGCTCAAGATTTCGCCGGAACGCCCATTCTGCATTAGCATCTGAAATACCGTGAAGCTCCTTCAGACTCACCCGAGGAGACTGACGCCACAATTGAAAGCTTTCGTTTTGAAGGAAGGATTGTTTCGAGTCTCTAATATCTTTGAGCCAACCGAAAACAGCTTCAAACGACGTGCCAGCTCGGACTCTTGGGTGTATCCGAGCAGTCCACATTCCGGTTCCACTTGGCCAGCCCAATTCGTCCAGCAAATTACCGCTCAGTTGTTGAAAGTCATCAACAGGAACTCCGTACAAAGTTGAATCCTCTCGTGGTGATTTGATGGAATCATTGGTACCGTATACCATGAAAACAGTCTCATTTGAATCTCCAGTTTCAGCATTGGGTGTCAATTGCTGGACGCAGATATTCGAAGGTATCATGAGGGACGATTCGCCTTCTCCTAGATCTTTCCAGCCGCTAAGGATACAGTTGTCACCAATAGTCACCGCTACATACTTCGCCAAATCACAGTACTCCACCAAACTACCAGTTCCAATACTTGTACTAGGCGGGAAAGTAGAATGTAGAGCAACACTTTTGGTCTGCTTTGGACAATCCAAACACTGGAATGATGATTGGAAAAAAGAAAAGTGACCCAAATCAGATGGTAAGTCGCTCCGGGATTGCAACTCTGGATACACCGAATGCGTCATGAATGACAAAAGCTCCGAGCTCGTCCCCAAGTGCAAGAATGCTCCCTTGGGAGCAAGCAAAATCCTCAGAGGCAAGTCCGAAAACATTTCTTCAAAAGGGTTTGTACTGTTATCCTTCTTTGCACCTTGCCCAGGCCACGAAAGATTGTGAAGAATGTCAGTGTATAAGTCAACCTTAAGCGCATTTGCTTTTGCGAAGACTTCCAATGATTGTGACGACTTTGATTGTTCTCCTTTGTACATTGTCTCGAGACCCTTTCTGGTGCACCGCGACAAACCAGTGTCTGCTAGCTTGAACAGCCTTGCTGCAGCTCCAGGGAGAAAAATGACCAGCCCTGTATCAATCCATGCGCGACGATCTCCAAATGAATCTTCGAAGCTTGCATTCGCCGGATCCTCGGTCGAAACAAGTTTCTCTATTGACGGTTTTTGCCAGACAGCTAATGGATTTTCTATCCGAAGGGCTTGGTCACTACTAATTTCACCAGTCGGTTCGGACATAATGTAGACACCATGATTCTTCGCCGTTGTCAAAAGTGCTGGAACCGCAACACCAATCACAGTATTGGCCGAGTACTCAGCATTACATGTTGGGAGTTTGCCACCACTATCAAAAAACTTTAATAGACAATCTGTTGCTGCCACAACCATTGTACCTTTTGGAAATTGGGCTACGCTGCAAAGATCCACCAACTGGTCAACCAGCCAAATTGTTGGATTGCGGTATTTTGGATGAGGGAGATTCGTCCATGCTTTTCCTAAAATCATCTGGGTTGGACATCTGGAAGAATCTCCACCCGCATGCAACACTAGAATACTTTCATCAGGCGAGGCGTATTCCAAGGCAGCTATCGTTCCTCCTCCAGATCCACATCTTGCTCCAAATGGATCAAAGGTGGAGACAATCCGGATTTCCTGCTCGTAGGTTTCCTTCAGGTATCGTTTCAGGAATTCAACTGCACCATTCGAGGATTCTGCAGAGGCAGCATCGGGCGATGTTACGACGACGCAATCAAATGGAAAGCTTCGCGTCATCCGGTTACTGCAGTTGGTTTGTACATGTAGACTATGGCGGACAGTAAGTGTGAAATAATTGATGGTTTGGTCGTGTTGGTCGAAGCCAATGTACCGAAATAGTCCCCATTTTGGCGCGTAATTTTGTTGGTTCACACTCGAATATCATCCGCAAAAAGACTGCTACACATCATTGTCACCCTTTTGTGCTTCACCGATCACGTTAAAACCAAGACATGCAACCAGAATTTCAAGGATCAGGTCGTTCGCCTGAAGAAGATACTCGGGAAAGTTTCCCCAAGAATGCAGATCTTGTCGACGACATTTCCAATTCAGCATTGTTGTTGGCACTTCTACCAGCCCTCGACGATTTCAATTGCCTGGACGCTCCAGTATACAAAGGTCGGCGCTCTCCTTGGGTTCGCGCCTTTTGTCAACTCTATCATCCCTCTGGACCCTGGGGTGAAAATACATTCAAGAATGTTCCAAATCAGACTTCCAATTCGCGACACAGCTTTAAGAGCTATAAGATCCCCAGGATATTTGCTTTGCTGGAAAACTGTTCTCATCTGGAATCCTCGGAACCTCACAAAAGAGTATACAAGAGACTCAAGGATTTCAAAGAAAAAGAAAGCTACTATAAAGAATTCATGGAAGCTTGCAAGACCTTGGCAGTCGAGGAAGCGAGCAAAGAAGCCTCTGAACGAGCTCCCATTCCAAAAAATGTATCAGAATTGCCAAGGAGCGCGCCTGTTGCAGGAAACTCTCAAAATGTAATCATTGTTGATGATGCAACTCCCTATGAAGGGAAACGTATATTCTTGAGGAACGGGGTTTATGTAACCCAAAGCAGCTCCTCTCAGGCCAATGGAGCTGTACCCAATCAAGATACTGCATTCGCAAATACACACAACGCCGAGAAAAACAACACTTCCTCTGAAACAACTCAGGCACAAAATACTGCTGCTAATCGAGATGGGGACAGAAATGTAGACCGGACGGCGGGTACAGTCGACTTTGACAGGGATGCTCAGGGGCACGACAATGCAAAGGACAATGCTACCAACCGAAACCGTGAAAGAAATGTAGACCTGGTTGTTGATACAGTCAACAATAAAGCTTCCACGCACAATGCTGAGGTCGGCGCTTCCTCTGAAACAATACAGTTACAAAATGCCGCTGTTAACCGAGACGGTGACAGAAATGTAGATCCGACGGCGGATGCAGTCGGTGATGAAGCTTCCACACGCAATGCCGAGACGTGCCCTACCTCTGAAGCCATGCAGGTGCAAAATACCGCGGTCGACCGGCACGAGGACAAAAATGCAAACCCGACGGCGGATGCTATCAACGATGATACCGTTGAATTTGAATCTTCCTTTGACAATGATCCCGACGAACAGGAGAATGATTGGAGCTCTCAAGAAACCGATGAAGTGGAAGCAGTCCAAGTGCCATTGACCCAAGATGCTGTGGACTCGGCCGGCAACAACGATAAGATGGCTTTGGACAAAAAATCATCAGGTAAAGACGCACATGCCAATAACGATACAGAACCAAGTGGAAAAAAGCGTGGTTCTTCTTCGTCAGAGTCATTGTCGCCGAAACGACGAAGGTTCGAGATGAGCACCCCTACTGGAAACGAACCACACGAACCGTCGTCACCTGGCACAAAAGGAACAATGGCGTCTCTAGTCAAACCTGTCTCTCCAGACACACGTCCTACAACTCCTATTGATAGAGAGCAGATTCTGAACCGCAAACGCGACAAGTTGTCGAATATGCTGCAGCAACGAGAGAGTCGGTATGGGCAGGAAGATACAATCATAAAGAAGCTCCACGGCCAGATTATGATTATTGACGAGGAACTGCTAGAAATGATTCTAGCAGAATAGCTTGAGTAGATTGAGGAAGAAGATATCATGAAAAAGTAAAATATCAGTTGAAGTAAAATGCAAACTATAAACGGATAATTTTAATGATACAAAGGGCTTGTACTAAAGGTCGTAGCAGATAGTGTATGCCTACTGTCCTGCACGGACGGCAGCGATGACTGCTTGGATGGCCTCCATCTCCTTTGTTTGTTTCAGCAAACTGTCCTTCACGTTCATTTGCTCACTTTCGTCTTGTTCTTCCAATTGGAGTAGTTCCTTCATCTTCTCTCTGCGAAGAGCGGCAACGGTGGTCCATTTGTCCTCTCTCTTGCGCAACGAATTGAGGACAGTGTTTTGCTGTTCCATCATTCCGTATAGACTAGCATTAAGTGACCCAAGTCGGTCACCAAGAATAACTGATTTCATCTTCATCCGATCGTGTTCTTCGGCCAACTCGGCAAGAGTTTGACGTAGGCCATCGCGCTCGTCGTTGGCGTGTTCAAGTGCTTGGCGAAGACGAACAATCTCGATATCCTTCTCTTCCGCAGTCCTTGGAATAGCTTCATCCAAACCGACACAGGTCATACCCAAACCACGGCTGTTGCTAGCAACCTTGATTTCCATCTTGTCAAGAGTTGATTGCTCCTTAGCAGGCGCACTAGCAGTGGGAAGCTTGTTCAAAGACACGAGTCCACGGGTTTCTTGCTCTTCAGTGACCCAACGGTTCAAAGCCGCAATGACAGCATCGCGTTCAGGATATTCTCCCTCCTTTGCAAGATCCATGGGAGTGTTTCCATCCACATCCTGGGCGTTAGCAACCTCACGGTTGGCAACCAAGACCATGTCGACGACTGAAATGGAGCTTGGTCCCCAGCAGGTCAAGTAGTGGATTGGAAGCATTCCGCGGGGATCTCTCTTCTTAGCAGCTTGTGGGTAAGCCATAAGCAATTGACGAATGACATCGCGAGAAGCTTGGTTACCGCAGGCATAGTGAAGAGGGTACATTCCTTGGTCATCAATGCACTTGACACCATCGGGGTAGGAACTGACCAAAGCCTGGATAACAGCGGCAGGAGGCTGACGAGCACAAGCACTGTGAATAGGTAGGAAACGCCACATGACTTCCTTGGCACCATCGCCTTGGTCATCATAGTGGCGAACGACCCAAGTCTTGGATTCAGCAGGGCGTTGTTGGGCGCATGCGACCGCAACCTCCCAGTTGCTAGAGGTGATAGCCTCATACAACTTGGTGATGTTCTTGTCAAAGTCAACCTGCAAAGCAGAGGGAGTGAAGTGGCTCTCGGCCATGGTAGTCATCTTAGATTTGCAGTGGAAATTGCGATAGGGGCAAAGTGAAACAGTTATGAAGCTATTGGAGGGATGTTGCAATTTGTGACAAAACTAAAAACGTCGCTGATTCTGAAACTTAGTTATGAGATTTTTCGCCCTTGCGTGATGTGCGACATAACTGGCCCGCTCTGAATCGCTCAATTTTCCGTTGAATTTGTAGTCGAATCGAAAGAATCAATCAGTTGAGTTGTAATATTAGAATCGAATGAATCAATGCCTTTGCGTAACAGTAGTTTTTTAAAAAGTTAGTTTCAGCAAGTTACTGCACACTGCGTTTCGTTGCGTTCTTGCTGTTTGGAATATATTTCAAAGAATCCGTTTGAGGAGGGAAGGCATGCGACTCGATGATTGGTAGATCTCTTTGTTGGACAAAGACTACCGTTTCTGGGGCTTGATCGTTGGAAAGAAGGGCTATTGGCCCTGAAGAAAGGAGTCGTAAGGGCTGATTGTCTGTCGACCATGCACCGTGAAGTCTAGTCGCTTTTGGGTAGGCTTGCGAAGTTGGAATTCCTCGGGGTGATTTCGTTGATGGAACTGGTTCTTTGGAGAATCAAATTAGACGGGACTATATCGGATAAAGAATGTAGTGATCGAGAATGTGGTGTTACTATTGTCTTAAAGGATCTGTTGCCCTTTCTGAGTGAAAAAGTGGCGTTAAGAGCAGATTCAATATGAAGAATCATCCTAGTATTCGACTAGCTACAAGTGAGCTGGATGTATAGCGGTGGGGCGAGTTAAGCAATAATTGGAGCTGATAAGCCAGAGGGCGGAGGTATACTTGTACTTGTGCTAAAGTATTTCTAGTGTATAGATTGTAGGTAAATGATACCAGTTCTGCAGCACTCATAAGTTGACTTTTTTGGGTTTGGTCATCGCAGCTACTATGGTCGTTGGCACCAACTTCTTCAATAACAGTAGACAACATCTATACCTGGTATTATACCACTCCTCTTGATTTGACTCCTTGACACCGGTTTTCTTTGGTCTCCTTCCGGTACAGTCGACTTTACTACAGTCTCATCGTTTTGACTACTCATTAGAAGAGCGCTACAGCTTCATCAAATCAAGAACGAGTATTAATAGAGACTGGATGAAACAACTTTTTGTCTTTCTATTACCTGAGGAGTCCGTACTCTATGGATCATCGGTTTTCTTCTCGTCACCCAATATGCCAAAGATATCTTCTTTGAGTTTCTTTTGTTGGTCTAACAAGAATTTTTGGGCGTCATTCAGAACCTCTTTTTCGTTCAGTATTTGTTGCTCAGAGGCTTCAATGAAGATTGACTGTATTTTTCGTCTCTCTTCTAGCAGCGCTTCATAGTTTGTCATTAAGTTTGCAAACTGTCGCTCGTATTGTTTTTGCTGTATCAACAACTTTTCCATCATATTCTTCAGCACAATACTAGTATCATCCATCTTTCGATCGTTATGTTTAGCTTTGATGGTCTCATTGGATTGCTTCAAAGCAATTGTCATTTCCCGTAGCTTGTCCGTCAGTTGCTTTTCAGTCGTTCTTGCAACGGATAGATCCAATTGTTGAGATTGGGTCTTATCACGTAGCGTTTGATTTTCTTCCTCTAGTTTCGCTATTTGTGCTTGGTTCCCATCCTGTGATTCCTTAAACTCTTTCTTCATATTTTTAACCTTGTCATATTGCGTATCTTGCAATTGCGAGATGGTTGCTTCCACCATGCTTCTCGACTCTTCTTGAGCAGACTTACGGACTCCAGATTCCGTAATCTGAGCGTAAAGATCAAGCACGCTACAAACAGACCTGAATGCCTGGCTTGCAGGGTACTGTGATGAAGCTCCGGACTTTTGCGAAGAGTTTCCTGATATGTGAATTCTGCTCCCACAGTCCAGCGGCGTTCTTCCCTTGCGATCGCAAACAAAGATGGCCTGCGGAAAAGCTGTCATTAGTTCTTCAATAGTCTCCCAGCTGGATTCGTTACGGAATGCCAAGTGAAGAGGAAGCATTCCCTGATCATCTTTCGACTGGGCACCACGGGGAAAATCAGCTAGAAGCAACTCTACCAATTTCAGTGGACATCGAAACATGACGGCTGCATGGAGCGGCAATAATCTCCATCGAAGTTGTCCGTTAAGTTCCTTTCGCAGTACCCATGTTCCTGCTTGTTCCTCTGCTTCATCGGAATGAATAATGTCCATTGCATGTTCCCATTCTTTTCGTTCGATTGCAGTGTACAGATCAGTTGGATTCTTGTCATAATCGCATTCCAAAGCTCGTGGTGATGACACTTTTTGTGGTGGAACATTAGCAAGGTCGCCACCGCCTTCCGTTTCATCCATACTAGCAATGCCCATACCAGTACTGTGATGTTGTCGATGATCGAACTGCAGAGGTGAGAAGCTGTCCTGTGTGCAAGCGTGTTTCAAAATCAAATTTTGTCTGGCGAGCGTGCCGGTTTTCAAAGCATTGGCAGTACACGTACACGTGTACCGGTACGTACTGTAGTCGCACCAGTCAGTCAGTCGCATCAAAATTTTAGACACCTCATTTTTTCAACATACCCGGTACAGGACTACACCAGGTAGAGGTGTGAAGATTATGCAAGGTACTGCATTGCCTAATGATCATCATATTTATATTTGTTCATCTATGTCTTCGTTGTGAATGGCGTGGTAGATTTCGGGACTGACGTTGATGTACTGATTGAAGTGTGCCAACTGACCCTTGATGGAGTCTCGGATTTCGTCCTCTTTCAGCTTTTCCACTACCACAATGCAAGGTAGGTTGTTTGTCGTTCGGACAACATTGACGCTCAAAAGTCGGAATCTTCCACTCAACTTGCGCACAATCCGAGTGATTTGAAGGCCACGCAAGACCAACATGACGATTCTACCACCTGGTTTCAGAACGTACCAAGCCGTTCGCAAAAAGATTTCGTACATGGTTTTCAAGTCCGAAACGTCCTTGTGCCCAGTCATGATACCCCATGGCAAGTTGCTAATGATAGCATCCACAGAATCATCCTCGAGATGTTTTCGAAGTCCTCTTGCGTCACAGCAAACAAACTTGCAAACATCATCGCCACAATTCTCGGCCACAGCATTTTGTTTCGCTCCATTGGCACTCCTTCTCGATACGTCCATTCCAACACAGAAAAGTTTCTTATGGTACACTTCAAGCGCCTCCAATATCAATGTTCCACTTCCACAAAATGGGTCGGCGATGCGATCGCCAGCCGTAATGTCTGCCAATCGCACCATGGCATAGGCAAGGTTGGTCTTGATGGTGACAGCATTGCGGAACTGTAGAAAATGCCTTTCCTTGGACAAGTCGTTGACATTGAGCTGGGTTGCTACTACCACTTGATATCCAATGACAAAGACATAGACACAGACATCGTAATCCTCCATTTTGGGCTTGATCTTCGAGTAGTATTCCACCATGGCACCACCCATTTCGAACTGCACTTGGGAAGACTGAAAGGCATGTGGACCACCAATTCGTTCACAAGTGACGCGGAAGGTGCCCTTTCCTAATTTCTCCAAAGGAGGGACTGACATTTTCCCTTCTACCAGTTGTTTCTTGTAATATTGGTAGAGTGTCTCGCCGTCGACTTTTGCAGGGTCTTCCCCAATCTCTTCCAATCCAAAATGACTGTGATAATTCAAGACGTGCTGCGCCGAGCGCAGATTCAGAAACAGTGAGGTGATTTGGCGAATGAGATCAGTATCGGGTTCCTTTTCCTTGGACGAGCAGGCCACCAGTCCATCCAACCCCATAGGGGCAGCGACAATGCTCCACATGTCCATTAGTAATCCAGCGGAGTCTAGTACTTCCGTCATTTCGGCAGCACAATACCGTTCTGCTCCCAGATTGGTGCTGACCAAGAAATATATTTCGGGATAGTCGGGATCCAATTCTGTGGAACGAACATTGTCGCCAAAGACAGACTTGGTCGCATCCGATACCGGAGACCATCCAGAGGCGTCCGCGGCCATGCCATCTGTCAAATTCATGATGCAATTGTCTCGCAATTCGTGTGCTTCTTCCCCTAACGTCAAGTCACCTTCTTCTTTGCATCGAAATGTAAGATTTATCCGCCCCGTTTCAATCTCGGTTTGTTTCGGCACACTGTGCAAGTATTCCATTTGACATGCATTTTCCATTATTACGAGGGAGCCATTGGCAAGGTCCAAACTGGCGCGATCTTGGACTCCGTTGACCTTGGAGCGGATCAAAAAATGTCGAGGGGTTCCCAAACTGATGGATGCAATGGGAGTGCTTCGTCCGACCTCTTCGCGATCGGAATGCCAGCCTATCCGTTGTTGACCATTTTCGTAGTAATTGAGCAAACAGACGTTGAATTCCACCCTTCGGCCGGCTTCTTTTTCATACCAATCTTCTGCTAGTTTACGAATGTGATCAACTGTTTCATGGAACCCTTGTTGGGCTGCCCCTGGAGCATCACGATACTTGTAGTCCTCCTCGCCAGTCAAATTGTGATGCAACGAAACCCAGCGATTGATCTTTGCACTTTTTTCCCATTTGATTTCCTTTAGCAGTTTCGCATAGTACCCATCAGCATCACCTTTTGGCAAAAAATCTTCATCGTAAAAGACACAGGGAGTTTCCAGCGGGATAAGAAAGTCTGGATTCACCATGGTTGTCTATCTTATTTTCTGTGGTGACGGGTTTCGGTTGCCGATTTACAATCGTTGCAGTCGACTGAGAAAGATCAATGGATGGAATGTCGTGTCAGAAATCAATCATCATCTCTTGGACGGTGTGATAATTCAAAATGCGAAGTGCGCGGTTTTCGCGGTCATCATAACCGCAATCGTTGCAACTGTTCGCTCTCTTGCATAAATGCAATCCGAAGTTCGCGGGACATCGTACAATTTTGTACGTAGAGAATACGTAGGATCTGATTGGCGTTGTTCTTTCGTGCTTCTGGTCGAACCTCGTTCTTTGAGGTTCAATTTGAGGGTGATAGCCCCATTATTCATTATTTGCAACGATTGACATCCATACTTCATTTGGATACCAAAGATTACCTATCATTGCTTTCCCATCCTCAAAACGCATCATGTGCCGCGGATGCACCCAAGATCGATCTCCTGTTACCGTCCCGGCTAGCCTTACAAAGCCTGCTGGACGAGCTGCTGCCTTTCGCAAGCGCAGCATGGCACAACGAACCGTCACCAGTATTGAATCCGAAATTGAACTCTTCATGAGCAAATGCTCCTTATTGGCTTCCTTCGAAGATGAAGAATCTTGCGTCGCCAAGTTTCATCGCAGTGAAATAGAAGTTGGTGAACTTCTGGGGAAGGGTGCCTTCTCGGAAGTGTATCAAGTCAAGGCTGTGAACCCATGTTTCGAACACGAATCAGAAGACGAAGAGAACCTTCGATGTGTGGTCCACCAAGCCTGCGAAGCCCAATGCAACGACGATGCCGATCAATTCATTGTCAAGCATCTTCGACCAGAGCTTCTGACGCAGCGAACAGCCTTTAACAATGCTGCTGCGGATCTGGTACTCGAAGCCAAGTTCTTGGCTGCTCTGGAACATCCCAACATTATCAAGATCCATGGTTGGGCAGCCAACGGCGCCTCAAGCTATAATGATGGAAGCCACGACGGATTCTTCATCATCCTGGAACAGCTGGACGACATACTGTCAACCCGCATCTCTCGATGGAGAAGGGATCCTTCCTGTGCACCTTCACTGGAGCAACGATTGGAGTACGCTACACAGATTGCCTGTGCTCTGCAGTACCTGCATTCCGAGAATATCATCTACAGAGACCTCAAGTGTGATAACATTGGCTTTAAAGATGGAGCTATTCGGCTCTTTGATCTTGGTCTATGCCGAGAGCTTCCCGAGAATTCCTCTCGAGATGATAAGTTCCTCATGTCCGGTGTCGGTACTCTCCGATACGTGGCACCCGAAATCGTGTTGGGTACCGGATACAACTTGGGAGCTGATGTTTACAGCTTTTCCATTGTATTATATGAGCTTTTGGCTCTTGCCAAGCCTTTTGATTTGTACAATATTGGCATGTACAAGATGCTCGTCTGTGAAGATGGAGAACGTCCACAACTGGATGCCTCGTCGTTCTTGCCGCAAGAGCTACAAACCCTAATAACCAGCATGTGGGATACAGAATCATCGCGGCGTCCTACCATGGATCAAATCCACTCGCAGCTATATGATATTCAAAACAAGGCATCACCTGGAGCTCTCAAGAGCTTGTTTTCATTTCCAAAACGCTTGGTTCGAATGGCCACAGGAAGCTTTTCCGAAGGAACTTCCACTACTGTTACATCAGCTGCTTCGTTAAATAAATAGATATATACTATACATAATGGCTACTACATATATACAATTGCAAACATTACTATCAATCATCTTGTGCAGTATACTATACTCTACGCCTCCACAAGCTACGAGGGTGAAAAGGACCACCTTATTGATGAGGCCAAGATCCAAGATACTAGGCGTGGTGCTGGAACGTGGAACTTGGAGTTCGGGTTTGGATACTGACTCATTCATCGAATGAATGAATGGGCACGGGGGTTTGCAGAATTGGAGCAGATCCGGATGAAGCACGTACGATCTGAAAGGAATGAGGAAGTGGTCCGGAGAATCAGAGAAAGTGTGGTAAATATACCGTATTGGGTATTATAGCACTTGTTCAAAATGTTGATCTCAGAAGTCGGAAGACCTCCAAAGGATGTTATGATCCCCATCAGTAGTACGGTACGAGTTATATCATAAAGTGGAAACATGGCGGCTTTTATTTCTTTGAGTTTCTTCTTCACTCATGGATTGTTTCCATACCCATGAAGATGAAACAAACATCCTAAACAAGCGAGACGATCCACTGCATCTGGAGGTCGTACAACTTCATTGGCAACACAAACGAGAGGGAAATCTCCAGCTACAGTCGGTTCTTGTCAATGGAGAAACTCCACTCATTTCAATCTTCTATTCTCAACTTCCTCCTTGCAAAATACAACCTAAATGCTCTCAACTACGTACAACTCTGCTTCAACTCGACTATAGAGAAACACTCAAACGATATATAGGTACATAAAAAAATGATACACGGATGCAAGGAGTTTTGGATCTTTTTTTTCTTCTATTAGCACAGTCGGCTTAGTAGTCACCACCGTCACCGCCGCCATCCCCTCCGAACATATCCATACCTCCACCGATCTCGGCTTCTTCTTCTTCCTCTTCTTCCTTCTCTTCCTCAGCAGCTGCGCCTCCTCCGGCTGCAGCACCACCGCCGCCGCCACTAAAAGATTGGAACAAAGACAGGGACAAGGATTATTGTGAGTCATGAATCTTGTCAAAATTTGCTACAATACAAACTCCAAGAAAACCATAGTCTCCAGCATCCAGCATATTGATCACTCACCCGCCGCCACCGCCACCTCCCATTGGCACATCCTTCATTTTATCCATTCCTGCGGCCAACAATTCGTTGATGTCCTTTCCCTCCATATCTGCAGTCAACTTTGTGATGGCATCATCGTTGGCTTCGCCTCCAGCGGCTTCAATGATAGCCTTGATATCAGCGGCACTTCCGGCCTTTCCACCAAGTTTACACAGTACTAGGGCAGCAATTTCCGACATGGTCAAGTTATTTCGTTAGTATTGCAACAGCAGGGCTGATTTCGCAATCATCGTTGTCCGTCCTCGTCAGGTGTACTGCTAAGCATGTAGAAAGGTACTGGGGTAGACCATATATTCAGTAGGGCGGTAAACTGAAATTTCGAATCGCCTGTGCTTCGCTCGGCAAAGGGAAAGCTTGTAAAATGAAACAGGCTACAAAATTTCCATCCCAGGAATATGCAGTGTCCAATGCCCTTTCCTGCGCTTCCTCTTGCATCATGAGGCGGCAAACACGATATCGAGTTCTAGCATGGTTCTCAATGGTCGCTATGATTCTTTCATTTCTTCCATTTGCAATTTTGCCCGAGATATCACCGGAGCCCCCAGCCATCTCACTCCACCGCCCCAAACTATCACCACCAACGCTCCCAGCAGCAGCATCCTGCGCCCTTTGCTTCTTTGGTCTTCCTAGAAGCTTTGAGCTATTTGTGCTACCGTCAATTATTGAGAATATTCTCAAAACCAACAAGGGGAATCGATGCGATATTTATTTTCATTACTATGATGTGAAAGAAGAACAAAAGAATGTCCGATCCGGAAGTGGTGGCCAAATTGACGTGCAAGCGGTTGAGAAGCTTCGAGAGGCAGTCAAAGATGTCTATGGCAATGATGATCCGAATCTACCTTTTGTCTCCATTATTAGTGACACCGAGTCGGAATTCTTGAGCAAACGAGGTCAATTGATGGAAAAGTATCGAAAGACCAAGGCAAAGGATGGCAAATATCTGTACTTTCCATGGATGGCCAAATCCTTTGTTTATCCCACGAGCATTGACAACATTGTCAAGCAGTGGCATAGTATTGATGCGGTATGGAAGGAAATGGAACTTGGCGCTGCAAAATTACAGAAAGAGTACGCCCAAGTGGCCATGTTGCGAAATGACGTCATGTACGTGACACCTTTTGACATTTACAATACATCTCGGACAACGAAACGAGGAGCATACCACAAAAACAACAACCTAGATGACTATGTAGGTGTTCCTGCTTGGGCTCGATTTCCAATCAATGATCGTATGATTTATGGATCTTACAAAGGGGTCAAGATCTGGAGTACGGAACGATTTCAACGATTGGAGGATCATGTCTTGACTTATGAACCGGGGTATGGGATGCACTCAGAACGATTCTTGAATCATTCCATCTTTCCCGCCATTCGAGATTTGGGAATCCAAGTGGTGGAGAATCCGGATCTATGCTTTTTTCGGGCTCGAGCGGATGGGTCAGTATGGATCAGCGATTGTGCCACCAGGAATGGGGCGGCGAGGGGATTCCGCAAGATGGATACCCAACGCCTAGTGGAGAATATTATTGGTAAATCCTGCCAAAAGAGCAAGTACAATCGAGTCACACTTCAATTGCATTGCAACAATGAGCCTCAAAAGAATAGATGACGTATCTCTTGTTTAGAATTGTAGCAATAGAGTACTCTTGTTTTCGTTTCCTTAGCTTTTGTTAACCACTACTTTGGTGCCTCTAAATCCACTTTTGGCTCCGACTTTGGCGCCTCTGTTTTCGTCTCGGCTTTTGCTTCCGTTTTGTCCTTGTGCTTGGAGGACTTGTCCTTTTTGTGCTTTTTACTCGATGAGTCATCACTCGTCCCTACTGCATTCACCAATTGTGCCATGCCAGAAAGCAATAGATATGCAGCTAGTCCAATGGCAATATATCGAAAGGATTCGGCGTATTCACCCACAAGGTCCAACAGCTTGTCGGCTGTTTTTCGCATGGATCGATCCAATTTGAAGGTGAATAGATGCTCTACCTTGATCGCATCACCTTCGAGATAGGCGTCGGTCGTAGAACCACTGATGGATCCGCTCAAACTACTCAAATCTCTCATTCTTGTATACCAAATATGAATGATGAGTGAGAAGCCCTCCTTGCAACAATGATATGCAACCTACTCCGCGGCAACCAAGGAATACTACGGAAGATGAAGATTTTGTGTTTGTGTGATGCCTTCTGTTTGGGGTGGGGTGGAATTTTGGGGGCAACAATGGACTGACTCAATGACCCGGATGACTGCTAGCAAAACGAATGAGAAATCGCAACCCGAAGATCATTTTGCCATTGATGAAACAGGACTGTTGCTATCAACACAAAACACAACCCTCAAGACCGTTTTACCTTACAAGATTAGCACAACCATCATGGCCGACGAAGTAATGAGAATCCAAGTCAAGCGTGGCGTCAAGAATAAGAAACCCGCTTTCGAAATCGAAAAGCGTGACGATGGATACTATTACATTACCTCGGTTGCCGCCAAGAAATCTAGCATCAAGCCTGGCGATCGACTGGTAGAAATCAATGGCGTCAAGGATAAAGACTTTAAAGATGTTGAAAAGGTTCAGGGATTGTTTGATATGCTGATAATGGACATCATACCAAATGATGAATCTGAGGAAGAATCCGAAGAAGAAGAAGAAGAGTCAGGAGAAGAGGGAAGTGAAGAAGGAGAGGGAGAAGCTGAGGATTTGGATTAAACTGCCATCCAAAGATGCTGCACTGTACTGGATGTAATCAGATTCAGTTTTGCTTGAGGTACTGATGATGCGATTAGAAATGGGTAGCTTTTCTCTTCTAGAATTCAATCACAATTCTCAATCAGGATAATTATATCTACATAAGACTATTTTTTCGTGACACACTCGTAGCAGCTGCGGCGAGGAAGGTTGGTGAGTCAAGTTTTGGTTGGTTTCCGATGCCTACAATGTTTGATCATCGATCGTACGATTCAGCAACAGTGCTGGGTTGGCGCCACGACAGACGTATTCCTGGGGGGAAATTCAGTTCTTCATATAGAAACATGAACCATCATCTAGTAGAGGGATTACAATAACAATAGGATGATATTCAAGCATCTGTTTCAGTAGCAATAACGAGCTGCTCAAATTCAGTTTGATGAATCAAAGGTGTCGAGGTAGTCAATTGGATCCTCGAATCGAATTCGAAGAATAGAAACAAACGTGAACGTCAACGAAAAATGTGTGTGTCTCCAATAAAATCATTCTGCATCATCAAACACAATATCGATGCTGCCATAGCAATGACAACAACCACAACAACAACAATATTGTATTGTGTGAGAGAAGGCGATAAACAGCCATGGAATTGATTCGAGCGGCGACTGATGGAGACGCATTGATTGTCCAAGCATCATTGGACGATGGAGCTGACGTAAATGCAACCGATCAGTTTCGATCCAATAGGACATCGTTGTATTTTGCCTGCGAAAGAGGTCATGCGAATGTAGTTGAACTGTTGCTACGGCATGGTGCGAATGTGGATGCTCTTGATAAATTCAATCGTACTCCATTGCGTGTTGCATGCGACAAAGGCCATGCGAATGTTGTTGAAATATTGTTGCGGAATGGTGCAAATGTGAATACTGTTGCTGGTGCAAAGAAATGGATACCACCATTACATGGAGCGTGCGAGAACGGTCATGCGAATGTCGTTGAAATGTTGCTGCTTAGTGGCGCGAATGTCAATGCTGTTGATTACACGAACCGCACTGCATTGCAGGAAGTGTGCGATGGCTATCGACAAAGCGATGCGAATATCGTTGACATATTGTTACGGAATGGTGCTAATGCGATTGTCGCTGATACAAAGAACTGGACACCATTGCATGGAGCATGCAGAAACTATCATGCGAATTTTGTTGAACTACTGCTGCGGCACGTGGATGTTGTTCTAGATGATGACGACAATAGTATTGAATTGAGTGGCCGTAGATCTTTATTTGGAGAACATGGTCGTGGGAAGATTATGGAACTATTTGCTCGGAATGGTGGAGACATAAATGCCAGGGATTGGAATGATGCTACACTGTTACATGGAGCCTGTGAGAGTGGTGAACTCGACTATACTGAAGCATTGCTGGACAATGGTGCCGACATGGAATTGGCGGACGCAGAAGGATTGACTCCTTTGCTCATTGCCTGTATATCGGGAAATCGGGGGGTGGTTACATTACTGCTCGACCAAGGAGCCAGTATGGAAGCTCGAGACGAGGATGGATGCACTCCATTGCACCAAGCAGCCAAATATACATTTGTTGATATCGCTGAGCTCTTGCTGAGTCGAGGAGCTGATTTGGAAGCAAGGGACGTGCATGGCAATACACCCTTACATTTGGCATTCGATGCAAATAACCCTGTCTCTGTAGAAACTGTGGAACTTTTGATGGACCATGGCGCTAGCTTGGAAGCAAGAAATGACTTTGGTGATACGCCATTACTTTCAGTTTGTCGAAGTTGGGAGTACGATGACATTGTTGAACGTGCTCGTCTATTGCTTGACAAGGGTGCTGATATGGAAGCAAGGAACAATACCGGCTGCACGGCTTTGCACATGTCATGTTCCAGAGGAGAGGACTTGAGTGTTGCTCGTTTGCTATTGGATCAAGGTGCCAGTTTGGAATCAAGGGACGTTTTTGGTTGCACACCTTTACATAGTGCATGTTCGAAAGGCAAAATCGAGGTTGCCCGTCTGCTATTGGACCGAGGTACCAATTTGGATGCAAGGAACAGTAGCGATATGACCCCTTTACACATTGCATGTTCCAAAGGTAAAATCGAGCTTGCTCGTTTGCTATTGGACCAAGGCGCCTCATTGGAAGCAAGAAACAATGAAGACATGGCAGCTTTGGATATTGTATGTTCCAAAGGCAATATCGAGGCTGTTCGTCTACTATTGGACCAAGCAGTTGCTGATTCGTTGGAAACGATGAACGATATGGGATGCAGGCCGTTGCATTTTGCAGCTCTCAACAATCGTACTGATGTTGCTCGCCTACTTCTAGATCGGGGTGCCATAGTAGATTCCAAGACCCTTGCAAGGACGACACCGCTGTCCTTGGCATGTCAAAAAGGCCACGTGGAGATGGTATGGCTGCTGGTGAGGCGATGCCCATGGCTTGTAGATGGACAGGTATAAGATCAAGAAAACATAAAAGTAAAAAGTAAACCTGCGGGTACAATTCGGTATCTTACGACGCTGATAGAAGAGCTTCGCGAGGAGAACTTGCCAGTTGGGATGGTTTCCATAGCCCATCGCAGTTTTCATCAGTCGTAAGGTAGTATACGGCAGCAATAATAAGGTTCAAGCTTCTCAAAGCATGCTGCACCGTACTCGATGAGGTGTGAACGAGTTCAGATGAATCGAAGGCGTCGAAGTAGTCGAAACGAAACGATAGATTTGAGCCAGGGAGCCGATGCTGCTATCATCTGCATCACCGAACACGATAATGATGATGGCTTAACAGCAGCAACCAAAATATATTTTGTGTGAGAGAGAGGACGACAAACAACCATGGACTTGGATCGAGCGGCGGATGATGGCGACACACTACGTGTCCAAGCACTAATAGATGATGGAGCGAATGTAAATGCACGCAACAAGTTCGACAACAACAGGACACCATTGCATGTTGCTTCTGAAGCAGGCCATGCAAATGTAGTTGAAATCTTGTTTCAGAATGGTGCGAATGTGGATGCTCTTGATGAATTCAGTCGTACTGCATTGCATGTTGCATGCGCAGAAGGCCATGCGAATGTTGTTGAAATATTGTTGCGGAATGGTGCGAATGTTAATGCTGTTGATGACACGAATCGTACTGCATTACACGAAGTGTGTGATTTATATCCAGAAAGTGATGCGAATGTGGTTGAAATCTTGTTGCGGAATGGTGCGAATTTGAACACTGATGAAGGTAACTGGACACCGTTGCATGGAGCATGCGTGAGCAATCATGCCAATATTGTTGAACTATTGCTGCAACATGAGGACATTGTTGTGGACGATGAAGTCAGCAGTAGTGAATTGAACAGTCGTAGTACGTCATTTGGAGGCCGAAGTCGTGGGAAGATTGTGGAATTATTGGTTCTGAATGGCGCAGATTTAAATGCCAGGGATTGCGCTGATGAAACGCTATTACACGGAGCTTGCGAGTTTGGTGACCTCGACTTTGTTGAAGCATTGCTGGACAATGGTGCCGACATGGAACTAGTGAACGAACATGGGCATTCTCCTCTGCACCATGCTTGCTCAAATAGACATCGGGGGGTGGTTCAATTACTGTTGGACCGAGGTGCCAATATGGAAGTGCACGCCGATCATGAAGGTACCCCATTGCATCAAGCAGGGCTTCATGCATATGTTGATGTGGCTGAGCTCTTGCTAAGTCGTGGTGCAAATTTGGAAGCAAGGGACGAGAGTGGCCACACAACTTTGTGTAATCAATTCTTCCTCAATGGCTCTATCTCTGTCGAAATGGTGGAATTGTTGATGGACCATGGCGCTAACTTGGAGGCAAGAAATGACTTTGGCGACACGTCCTTGCACTTAGTTTCTGAAAGTCCGCGCTGGAGGTATGATACTATTGAACGTGCTCGGCTATTGCTGGACAGGGGTGCCAACATCGAAGCAAGGAACAATGACCTTTGCACGCCTTTGCATGTGGCTTGTTCCGGAGGAAATGAGTTGGGTGTTGTTGTTCTTCTTTTGGACCGAAATGCCAGTTTGGAAGCAAGGAACAATAACGACATGACACCTTTGGATATTGCGTGTTCCAACGGCATTGTCGAAGTTGTTCGTTTACTTTTAAACCACCAAGCAGTTGCTGATTCGTTGGAAACGATGAACGATATGGGATGCAGGCCGTTGCATTTTGCAGCTCTCAACAATCGTACTGATGTTGCTCGCCTACTTCTAGATCGGGGTGCCATAGTAGATTCCAAGACCCTTGCAAGGACGACACCGCTGTCCTTGGCATGTCAAAAAGGCCACGTGGAGATGGTATGGCTGCTGGTGAGGCGATGCCCATGGCTTGTAGATGGACAATTATAAGATCAATACAACATGGAACTAGATTGTATTTTCTATCTATCTATCATTCATTTCATACTATACTACTATACCTTAAGGTACAGTATGCGTATGTTCACAACACTGGAGTCGACTACGCCGACCAAAAACTTCGGCCATGTTTACATGATCGATTGATCGATGATCAATCGTGTGGGACTGAGTGAGTGATGGATTGATGATGAGTTGATAGGTAGCACCGGACTGATACGAGTATAAAATTCAAAATATTGGATGACCCATGTCGTTTTTCTTCTGACTCAGCATATAAAATTATTCATGGCTGGAGATCGTGCGAAATCCAGGAGCGAATCAGATTGCATTCCAATCGTCCAATGAACGATGAGCGGGGAATTTGTTGTTCGTGATCCCTCTTCTTTCTCTCAACTTTGCAAGTGCACTTGTCCAAAACCCTGGAATATCACACCAGACGACTCATTGATTACGATCGATCGTATACGATTCATTTGCTGTCAAGAGAAAGGCTTCAGTTAGAATTCACTGATTTCCTTTGAAGCTCATATTACAGCAACATCAGACAATTCACGTCGTCGCTGGATTGGTGAAAGTAAATTGTTTGGTGCTGAAACAAAAGTGTTCATTTCTTCTACTTCAATCGATAGAAGAAAAAACGCCACATTATCTGTTTCATTGAATCGAAAACGTTAGAATGGGTCGTACGATGAATCTCTCGAAGAACAAGATTAGGGTTCTGGTGGTTGCACTGCTAGTTGTCATTTTGGCGTTGGCTAATTCCATTGTCTCAGCAAATACTGTGGAATCGAAATCACCGTTCAAAATTGTAAGTTCTGTCTTTGTACGAATGAATGCCACAGTCTTCCAGATCGTCATCTAATTCCATCCTCCCTTTTGTATTTCAGATTCTGGATGGTGGCTCTACTGGTTCCCGTCTTCACGTATTTGAATTTGTCAAGAAGCGGAATGGAGAGGAGAAAATCATTCGACGTGGCTCTAGTAAGGCCAATGTTCCCATTTCCTCCTTTGGTTCAAAAGCTAGTCCTTCCGAGGTGGCCGAACACATGCTGCCACTCTTTGACTTTGCGGCAGGCGTCATTCCACGAAAGTACCACGCGGCAACGGAAGTCAAATACGCTGCCACGGCTGGCATGAGATTGCTGAAACAGGAGGAACAGGATGCCGTATACACTGCCTTGCATCAAGGATTGACGGAATCGGACAAGTTCGTCTTTACAAGCTTTCAGCTGGAGGATTTGGCAACGCTAGATGGGGACCTTGAGGGTTTCTTTGGAGCTGTAGCCGCCAACTATTTGCACGGAATTGTCGATACCAATCTCAGGGTAAAGGAAGAGATTGAACACGATGGACCAATTGGAGCATTGGACATGGGGGGTAGCTCGACGCAAATTGTGTTCCTGCCGGGTGAAGGAAATATTCTTGACCAACAAGAAGGAACTTGTGATCCGGAGGACTGCCTATGGGACGGCGATGGTATTGAACACATCAACGGTGATGATTTCTTTACTACCTCCTATCTGTCATATGGAGTTGATCAGTTTCGACAACGTTTGTGGAACACGCTGATTGATGAGAAACAAAGCTATTGCAACTCGCCGTACACCGCTATTTATGACGGAATTGACCAACTCAAGAAGCTGCTGTGGAGCAGTTTGGTGAGTGAAAGACTAGACGAAGGCCTTGGTTCGTCCGATATCTGTGTATCAAAGGAAGTACAAAATCCCTGTGCCAACAAGGGATTTGTAGCCGAATTTGAAGGATTCCACTTGGTGGGAACGGGGGATACTGAGGAATGCATTCGGCATACTCAACGATTGATTCCGCATCCAGCGAAAGCACACGATAATCATGCCCAAATTGGAAATCAAGTTGGGGGAGTGAAGCATCCGCCCGTTCGTGGAAAATTCTTGGCCATGTCACTGTACTATTTTGCGTTGGACAGTCTTCGAGTATTCTCCAAGGCCAATGATGAAGCGCATCAAGCGTTGAATCTATCATGGCCCAATCCGAGTATCGAAGAGTTGCACAATGCATTGGACGGACTTTGTTCGAGAGACTGGCACGAAGATATGGCCTCGGAGGTTGGAAGCCATTCCTTCACTCGAGAAGAAGTGCTTCCACATCGGTGTTTGGAAGCGGTCTACATGGTCACTCTGTTGAAGGATGGATATGGTTTTCATCCAGAATCGAGAGACATTACCTTTACCTTTGATGTTGATGGATCTGAAGTCGAATGGACTTTGGGTATGGCCTTGTCGATGAATGCCGCCAATTCACAAATTGAGGCACAAAAAGAAGAACAAGCCTCCATCAACACAACCTTTGATGACAGGGACACGGAATCATCCATGCAAGCATTATCATCGTCGAATGCTGCTATTATTGTGACATCGTCGCCATCGTTGGGCGACGCTTCATTATCACCGTCAACGTATATGGAGTAACGAAAGTGTTGTGTTGTGTTACTATTCTCACGCAACTACATTTGAAAAACCGCACACACACACACACACACACACACACACACCAATTGTCTTGCTAACACCCGTGCTGAGGAGCACACCCTTGTTCATTTCCATCATACACATACCAGTTCCATAATAATGAAGTAAATAGAGGTACATTTTTTCGGCTACATTTGGCTCATATATCTTTCTTCAGGAATGAATGATTGATTCAATCAGCCCTTTGCGTCACCAGAACAAAAGGGGTATCTAATAGCTACTCTACCTTCCCCTATGGGAGATGGAACAGTTGAATATAAGTGTGCTAGTTAGCTAGCATCAGTAGTTGTTATAGTGGTAATAGTGCTTATGGGTGATATGTGCTGTATGATAAATGTGTAATAATGTGTAATGTTGCTGCTGCGATTGGATAGTTGAATTAAGATCAATGATCAAATAACCTAGTATATGTTGATTGATTGATTGATTGATTGAGCCAATTGATTGCGGCAATCGATTCATTGATACTCCTGCCACCATTGCTTTTTTATATATAGTGTGCTGAAAAATGCTCACCTTACTCTTTTTTCAGCAAGGCCTTACGTAGCTTGTCCTGTTGTTCTGGTCCAAACCCAATCCAATTGCAATATCCTTCTACACTCCCATAATTTTCTTCAATCGACAAAAGAGTCGCCGCCATGACTTCTGGTGGTGCCCCCAAAAATGTCTTGGGGTCCAAACTCCGTTGTGAGAGTGCGCCGACCATGGCTTGATGATCGTTCATTTCCGAATAGACATTGGCCGACAAGGAATAGTCTTCCACGATATCTTCTGGTTTGGCCCCACAGAGACTCAAAATAATGGCGGCAATGGAACCCGTCCGGTCCTTTCCGGCCGTGCAATAAAAGGCCACGGGGTGCCGGGTTTCGTCCGCGCACAACTCCAAGACATGCTTGATTCCGGGAGCTCCAAATCGTAGGAGCAATTCGTTGAGCATGCTGAGTCCACCCTCATTGATTTCATTGATAAAGGGTTTCTTCAACGAGTTCCATATGCGTTTGGACAAGACAGCTCCAGGTGACTTGAGGATGGATTTGGCAATGGTACGCTTGGGTAGTTTCGAGACGGTTCCACGGACATACTTAAACTCGTTCATGAGGGAGACAAAGTGACGTTCCTTGCTTCCGTCTTGGGTATTCTTTAGGAAATCTCCAGCAGGTTGGGATCTTGGATCGTCGCAGCCGGCATCACAGAACGTATCCTCTTCGGCTACGACTGTGGTTGCTGCTTCTTCCTTTTTTCGTTTTCGAAAGCGCTTCTTGTCGAGCGGTGATTCTCCTTCGGCCAATACTCTAACACAACCATCCTTTCCGCGGCCGTCTTCCATCCAAACCAGATTGTTAAAGCCTTTGAAAACATCCGCCATGAGTGTTGGATCATCCTTTAGCTCGGTTGGTGATCTCAGATCCACTAGTGTCTTAATTCCTCGCTCTTCAAATAACAGTTTCTGATCTTCTGGTGTCGCATCACCCAATCTCCCCGTGCGATACAACTTTCCTGGTAGAATCGGCGAGTTTTGTGTCGAGCTCAAATCGCGGCAATTCTTGACTTTTTGGAGCGGCAAATTTCGTTCCTGACAGAGTTGTCGAATGGCCGCTTGGAATTCGAGATCGGCAGCCGCCACTGCTTCTTCGTCAATCTCCTCCACATCAATTTCAGGAACAGCGTCCTCGGCAGTGGCTTGGAGGCTGGGAGTCATCATTGTGCTGCGTGAATTTGCCACCAATCGATTGCCATTCGGGGTCAAAAGTGACTCTACGACATTTGGCAATAAGAGCAATGCCTGCAATGGCAGGATTACCCAGCTGTGATTTCTCATCTTTCTCTGAATAAACTGTAATTGAATCAATCAATGAATGAACGAATCAATGAATGAATCAATCTGTCAATCAATCTGTCAATCAATCTGTCAATTCTCAAATATGATCTTCTGCAACAGCTTGTCTCTGGTAAACGACGTGGTGGTGTTCCAAAATCTTGATTTGATGATGTCGAGGACTTGAAAATTGCGAGTCGTCGTCGATTTTGATAGGAGGTTGACTCATAAAGTACTAGGGTGTACATACGAGAATTTTTCACATTAACACGTACGATACTACTATACAGTACTTCGCAGGTGGGGGAAAAGTACTCCTCAAATAGTTTGAGTTCTAATGTTCCCCCCAATCCTCCAGCGTACATTCCAACGAGTCTAATGTACTGCAAAGCTCCGATTCAAACGTTCGGATATTCCCACCAACAAGCAAAGAAAAGACAGTTCGACATGTCTCAAACGCATTCATTCTACCATGGTAACTACACCTACGACATGCAATTCAAAACCACCATGTCTTGTTACCATTCTACCATGGCAGTTGAAATCAACCGCGAACGCAACAGCGAAGCAACAAAACGCATCTCTATCCCACAACAGCCAGATTGATTCATTCTCAGAATGAACGGAAAAGCACACAATTCCAAACATCTTGGCATCATAAAACCACCAAATCATCAGACTATCGAAACCAAACATCAGTAAGTCCTCATAGGCATCTATTGCTGTTGAACCAATCACTCCAACAGTCTTCTCACACATTATAACTCCTTCGCCCTTCTATGCTGCTGTATTCTTCAGTGAGCTCCTTTTACAACATTCCTTCTGAAACCACCAACTTTCGCCCTCGTTCTCCATTGACTGTTCCCATCATGACAGAAGAGCATGACAGCAATTATTGTGTTGGAGTTTACCACAACACCAATACTAATTCCCCACCTGTCTCTGTTTGGTCCCCGGATGCCTCGTTGGAAGATTCGGATGAACAGGAGGAGCACATGAAGAAGATGGACGATGAATTGTACATTCGTCGAGTATTCTCCTTTGACGAATGGGAATACAATCATCCTCAGTACAAGACAAAGAGTCCCTTGCACCGAGAACCCATTTCTTCCAAATACGACATGAATCGCTACAATGATTCCTTGAAAAGCTTGATCCAACACCAGCACCTTCCAGCAGAACAACAAGAACAATCCCCACGCACCTCTCCTCCTTCCTTGTTTCAAGAAATTTGGAACAAGAAACTAGAGGAGAAGAAGGATTGCTGTGGTGGTGCACAGGAACTAGGATATCGCAATGCTTCCTTTGTCACGACTGCCTCTACGTCTCTAGAAACACATAGCATTCCAAGCCCCGAATCGGCCTTTCGTCAATTCCAAAACAAACATGCTGTATCACCAATTGACACCACTACTGCTGCTACTACTACCATGAATGAGGAGGCTCCTTGGACACCCTGCATTCCACGAGAATCATCATTATCATGTGACGAAGGATCCTTTGTCCACATTGATTTGGATGATCAGGAAGATAATTCTTCCGGTATGATGATGATCATCCCACCATCACAACGACCACAGCAATCATCAAGACCACATTACGCCTCGGCCTGGTTCGGCATTCCCGAATTCGTTTTGGTGCCGCGGAATAATAACAGCAGCAGCAGCATCATCATCATGATGGAAGAGGAAGAAGAAGAGGTAGAACTTTGATTCTTCTTTCTTCTGTGGTTTTATTAGGGATAACAAAGCGTAGAAAAGGCGTATTCATAAAAAGTTGACATGTCGAAAATTCATAAAAAATTAAAACTGCATAATATATAATATATATAATACAATAACATGATACCAATTTTAAAAGTATAGTCCAAAGAGAGGGAGCAATAGACTTATAGCTTTATTTTGTTTACTTTTTTACAGTCTAATGATCCATGATTCCCATGAATGATCATTGTCAACAAATTATTAATTTACATGACCACCACTTGTTCCTCAGTAGACAAGATGGTTTCCACAGTAACTTCGTTGAGCACGTAATTGGAATCGTCGGTAGAATCGTATCCATCTTGGAGTTCGGTGCGTCTGGTCCGTTGAGTCTTTCGCAATGCTCGCAAGTCCGATAGCAAATCGCGGTACTTTTTGCGTTCGAACCGTTTGCCTTTGGTTTCTTCCAAATACAAGGCACGTTGACGTTCCTTGTCGGCCTTTTCGAATTGCTTTTCGTATTTCTTGAGGTTTCGTCGGACATTGTTGGTTTCCTTTTTGGACAACAAACGTTCGCGGGGACGCCACAAGAATTGATAAAAGGTTTCAAAGGACTCTTGGTGCAATTGTTTTCCTTGGAAACTCCATAGAATGTATCCATTGTCCATGGCAAACTTAAAGTGACCTCCACCGACTGGTTGGGAGACGCAAGTGGCAACAGATCGACCATCGGGATCCCACAAGACTTGGTTGGCACGGTAATGCTCCTTGATGACCAAGCTCTTGTTATCGACATCGTAAAACTCCAGGGTTCCTGAAGCAGAGTCTCCCAAAGAGGCCAACAAGATGGTTCCTCCAGCTGGACTCCAAAAGATAAAGTTACATTGCTTTCCTTCCAGAGTACGAATCTTGTTCAATTCCTTGACCGTGACAATCTGACTCTGCTTTTGTCCCTTCTTGGCTCCCTTTTTGGAAACGGTAATTTGTTCCGTTTTCTTATTCATATCATAGAAACTGACCGAGACCTTGGCTGCAGATGGATTCTCGGCATGAATCATGGCAAATCGCGATCCCCGAGGCTCAAACGCCAGAGCCATGACCGCATCCTTAACGTCCAACATTTCCACGGGAACGCCGGGTTCATTGAGACGAAAGAGTTCAATATTATTGTAAAAGGTCTTTTTGGATTTGGTGTGTCTTGTAACCTTGACAGCCAAGTATTCTCCGCCTTCTTGCCAGACCATGTTACATTTGGTAACATTGAAAAGATTCTTTTGTCGAAGCTTTTTCCGGGAAGGAATTTCGATGAGGTCCACGTGTGCTGGAGAGTTGGCTTGTTCGGGAGCCCAGCAAGCAATGACGTTGGCCTTGGGCGACCATTGAAATTCGTGGATGCCTTCGGAAAGGAGAGACTTTTTGTCGAGCAATTTCATGGAAGGTGTGGCGTAGATGGAAATCAAATTCGTGCCCATGCGTGCAAGGTATTTGCCATCGTGAGACCATAGGAATGCTGGCGGTGGAATGTCTTCAACTTCTGGAAAGTCGGCAGGGTACAAGGGAAAGGCGCGCAGTAGCTTTCCGGATTGAATGTGATAGACCTTGATGGCTTGTTGATCGTCCTGTCTCATGTTATTGGTGAGCAGATAGTCTTCTTGAGGACTGAATAGGATAGTCTTCACATCTGGAGCCACAAATCGTCCAGTCTTTTCGTAGGAAGATCCGCTCCACAAAATGACACCACGTTGGGGAACCAAAGTAGCCAAGTACGATCCCTTGGGAGACCAATGGCAATAGTATGCACACCAGGCAACTCCAGCTTCCTTTTCGCGAGATCCATCGTAATCAATAATCGGTTCATTTTTGGCATCAAACCACGAAACAACAGTCTCGTCTGCTTGCCGAATGACAAATTGATCTCTTTGACTGGCATCTTCCAACCACGACGTGGCATTGGGGTTTTCCACAAACGGAGCTGGTTCCGGTTCCACAAACTCCTCAGTCTCTTGCAAGTCTTTCAGCTTTTCTGCAATAGCGTAGGGAGACACAGAAATGGTGTGGTTCTTGTCAAATTTGTATCCATCGAGGACACCCAAAGCGTTCTTGGCATCTTCAGGAGCCTCATAGTCCACAAAACAAAATCCCAAAGTAGTGCCCTTGGATTCATCAAAAGGCATGCTGACTCCAATAAAATCGTCTGTGGTGGCCAACGCTCCAATTCTCGATACCAGTTTGATGACAACCTTTGTCAGCTTGTCCAATTTGGCTTGGGGAACCCTGGGAAGATTGGTAATAATGATGGACGTATCAAAGGACGTCTTTAGAGGTGGGTAATTGGGTTGAGGATCCAAAGGAGCATCGGAAAAGTATCCATCTAGTTCAGCGGCTTCCTCAGCGAGAAGATCATCTACGTCAGCCATATTTATTGATTTATTGTTTCTTTGTTTGTACTATGGAATGGATTATGTCTATAGCAGCAACGAGTTGTTGTTGTTGTTTCTTGTTTTGAGGTTTGGGTTTCAAGTTTGGTCCAAAGTCAAGTGGAGCGATTTGAGGCCCCAGGTGAACTTTGCGACATCGCAGGACGGACGTCCTCGGATGGATCGAAAAAGTCAAAAGGAGAAACGAAGAAAGAAGAAAGACCATCATGACACCTCCCATTTATTTCACCACCACCACCATGTCTCAACAACAACAACACGAACAATCATCAAAGGACAATGAAAAGCAGTCAAACGCAACAGAAGAAGATGAATCGCATCGATTTCCCACTCTTCCAGCATTCACCGTCCCAGTAGAGGTCCGAAATACCCCCCAATACGGTCCCACCGAATTTGGAGTCTTTGCCTTGGAAGATATTCCTGCCAATTGCCGGGATTTTTGGGTGTGGACAGACCGGGTCCAAAAGATTCATCACACGGAACTTGAGACGTATATCAAATCCAACTTTGAAGCGACCAACATTCGACAAATTCGACAATTCTTGCGGCGTGGCTTTGTCTTACCACCACCCAAGGATGACCATTGGAATTCCAATCCGACGGATGCTGGGTCGTTTATGAATCATTCTTATACACCAAACTGTGGGCAGCCATATGGGACTCTACGCAAAATAAAAAAGGGAGAAGAATTGACTATGGATTACTCGGGGAATGGGAATCCAAAGTGGTATCAAGATATCTGTCACAAGTACGGGATTCTAACGGGAGTGGAGATTGCTTCCAGAGAGAAGCAGAACAATGGTCAAGTCCAGGAGGCTTCGTTTGATCCGCCAGAGGGATTTCCAACTTATTGACAGAGGCATCCTATAGAGTGAATCGTCTTTTTAATAACTCAAATGATGACTCCAATTCATTCATTCATCAGTCATCAATATTCAAATAGCTTTCACCATTGTCCCGAACGACTTCGTCAATGTGATCAAAGGCTTCGTCCAATTCCTCTGCCGCCAAATCTTGCAAAATGATCAACACGGTATTCATACCCAAGCCACCAAAGCCTTGAAACTCGTCATCGTCTGACCGAAGCATTCCCCGTAACACTTCACCAACCTTTTGGCGTCCCACTCGATCCAAGTGTGTCAATGGTTCGTCCAATACACATAGAGATGGTTTCAATTTGCCGCGGCGGGCAAATAGCTCGGCAAAGGCAAAGGATAGAGCCAAAGAACATCGTCGCCATTGACCGCCAGACAATGTCGACAAGGGCCGGTCTTTAAAGACTCCGTCCGATCCAATCACTTGCGCCGTTCTCGAAATCCGCTCGCCCTCGTCAATTTCCAAGCCCAATCGCAAGGATCCATCGCTCAAATTGTCGAGATAGACTTGAGCAATGCTTTCCAACGAAGAAACAATAAATTGTAAAACAAAGGATTGGACACCCCGTTGGCCAAACCGATCGCTCAATTCGCCCATGATTCCCACCAAGTTGGATTGTTTTTGCATTTGTGTTTCTAACGATGCCAACAAATCGTTGCCTTCCTCTACTTGGGTGGTCAAGGTATAATAAGTTTCGTTGGCATACTGGACGGCGGCGATACCAGCATCCAAGGATGCTTGGGCGGCCTTGTAACGGGCAATGACTTGGGCCCCTTTGGCCAAAGTAGACATTTGTTGCGAGAGGTCGGCAAATTCAAGGCGCTTTTGGACAATGGCATCATTGGCTTGCTTCACTTGTTTGTCCCAATGGGCCTTGGCCTTTTCCACTTCTTTTGCAAGCGTTTCAATTTCCGTTTCGCAAGCCATTCGATTCTCATGATTTTCCTTTGCTTCCTGGTTCAATCGTTCCAATGATTCTTGAGCACTGCTGATTGATTGCAAACCTGTGGCAATTTCGTCTTGCACTACCGACTGCATGTTCTGATGCACATGATCATGCCCCGCGGCGGCACCATCTGGTATCGTTTGCAAGCAGGTTGGACAAGTTTGAGGCAATTCCAACTCGGTAGGAATAATTCCAGCCGTCAGATCAACGGACCACTTTTGTTCCAATTTGGAAATACCTTCTTCCGCTGTCGTTAATCGCAGCGATGCGCCATGAGTCTCCCGTTCCATCGCCATGGATTGGGCTCGCAAAGAGTCCAAAGACTTTTCCAAGCTGCTCAGATTCTCTTGCAACGGTTTCAACGTCGACTCTTTCTCCATTGTCACGGTCGCATATGTCTTTTCTAGCAGTTCGATCTCGGCTGCAGCCAGCCGCATTGCCTCTTCGATTTCTGCGAGCTCTTCGTCACTACTCTTTTCCAGGTCCTCTGATGCTTCCATCATGGCGCTTTCCTTTTGCAGTGACTCCAGCTCATCTTGTTTCAATTGCAGGACTCGTTCAGCATTGTGCTGACGATCTAGAATCTTGGCAACATCCTCCGATCGTACTCTGTGCATTCCGTTTAGCTCGTCGACCATCCCTTTGGCGGCCCGACCTTTCTTTCGGGCAAATGTTGCTGCCGACTGCCACAGCTCGATTGGGACCAGTAAAGACAGCTCCTCTTTGAATTTTGCATCTGTAGACTCGAGCATATCATTCAAGGCGTGCTGCCCGTGAAACATGGTCCGGCTTAATATCTGAGAATCCACTCCAAGTTTCTCTTCAATCATCATTTGTGTCTCCTTGACTGACTGCGTCGTCAGATCGTCGCCATCGAGAAGAAATACTAAATTGCCCTTTGTCGGCGTCTTGCTCCTAGAAATGGAAAACGGTGAACCGTTGATCGATCCCTCCAGAGTTACCCGAGCGACCTGTAGACGAAACGAATTAGCTTGAAACACCGAGTGAACAACAATGATAATATTGTTGACATACCTTGGAATAATCATTGATAATATCCGTAACCTTTCCATCATTTGCTCTTCTTGCATCCATCGATCCCGTCAATGCCCAGAGCGCCGCCATGGCCAAAGATGTCTTTCCGCTTCCATTGCTATCAGCACCGCTGTCCGAGTTTCTTCCTTTCAACAAGACCAGTCCGCGATTGTCCAAAGGATAGGTGATGCGAGATTGAAATGGACCAAATCCTTCCATTGATACCGATTTCAATTTCAAGTCCGTCACTGCATCGGAATCTTCTGGAAGCTTGCCGCCATTCGTCTCAATTTCTTCCATGAGTTTTAATCCTTCTTTCAATAAGGAATCTGCTTTGGCTTCAGTCAGTATATCTCGCTCTTTCTCTCCTTCAATATATGCTTTCCACGTCGACTCTGGCGTCATTTCTTCTCCAACGGGTTTGGCACCCGATAATTCCGACTTGTCCAATGATTTGGCCTTGGTTTCTCGAATTTCCACTGTCACTCCCGCTTCTCGTAGCTCATTGATACGCGTGGCGATAGACACCGACAACGAATTTTCCTTGGGAACCGAAACCACCATGCGATCTCCGGATCTAGCTTTGCCAACCGAGCGTTCCTTGGATTCCTCTTCTGCCAAATCATGCCGCAGAAAATCCTTCCAGGAAGAAAATTTGAAATGCCGTCGTCCAATACTAATGGGAAGGTACTCTTCACAATTCCAGTCCTTGTCAAATATGGCCAACATTTTCGATTGCTGCGCTTCCGCCAATGATACTTCATATGGCGATCCAAGATATTCAATCACCACATTGGATGCCTTGACCGTATGCGGTTTGTGAAAGTGCCCAGAATATATTTTCTTATTGGGAGGGAAGGATGCCGGTGGCACTCCACCCGTGGATATCAGCAGGTCATTCATCAATGCCCCTGTCACTTCCGCGTGAATGAAAAAGGCCGACGATTCGAGCGCTGGTGGTGCTTGCAGCACCGATTCCATAGTGGCAATGTCTCGAATATGCGGAATGAACAAGGCGTCGCGAAACTTGGTGGGATACGACAATACCAGTGGACCGGGAACACCCCCAACACGGTAGGCATTCTCAAAGGGAATCAAACTATGACTGTGCCCATCCAATGTCACTTGGTCATGATTGCCTGGAATCATCACCATGGGGACCTCCCACGAACGAAACTGATTCAAAATAGCATTCAGACAGTCCACCCGCAGCGTTCCCCGATGGTGCCAAAAGTCGCCTAGAAACAAAACCCCCGCATTATTTTCCTTGGCAACCGAATGAACCTTTTCCAAGACTTCCAACGAGGTATCCAATGTGGCTGGCGAACAGTGCAAATCTGTAAAGGCCACCCACTTTTCAAAGGACGCATGATGTTCCACTTGCTTTAGAAATTCTTCATTCTTAGCAGTGCTGTGGTCAGTTGCTAGTAACGCGGCATCTAAATCGTGTATCGTGGGAGGAGGCAGCGCCACCTTGATCACGCTACCATCATCTTCCACAGCAATTGTCGGGCGCATCCGATTTTTTGCACTAAAGGTCTCGACTGTGGTGGAAACCAAAGCCGTCGAAGTAATGGGAACCAATTGGCTTGCCCGACATTTTATTATCGTCTTGTCTTTTAGTTCAATAGAGTACCAGCCCGCTCCTCGGGCTTCTAGGACCGACGCCTCGATCAATTCGTCATTGTCAACTCGAACTTGAACGGAGTCACCAACATTCCATCTTGCCATGTGAAGAGCTGTGGAGCTATGTATTTGTCTTCTTCTAGAATGGACGTATTCACTTATTCTTGGTGGATCTGAAGCAAATGCGTTTGCGATAGACAGAGGAGACTGTCGCCTCAAATGATGGCGATGGATCCATCCTACCACTGGTCGTACTCGAGAAAGTAACATGAATAGTAGGCAATAGGAAAGAGATTGACAAAGCCAGATTCCTCGCATCCAACCAGTCCGCCGCCTACAAGTGATTGACGAGTATTTCATTCAGCCCCGTTATCAATTGCTTGTCCAACTCCGACACCTTGTATTATTCATTGACGACCGTTCAAAACAAAAATCTTTGGGAATGAGTGGAGATGGATTTGGTGGTACACACTTAGTTCTAAATGAAATCGAAGGAATCAAAACGACTAATTACGCCGAAATCCCGCAGGAAAACCAGAGTGACCCAACGGAAAAAGACCCAGTGTGGTCGCCATGGTCGAAGGTCAAAAGGCTCGGGAACTTTGCAATTTCCACGAGAGAACGCGCAGAAAAAAGCTTCACTTGTATCACGACTCAGTGAATGCAGTTCGACAGAAACTTATTCCGCTCTGTTCTACGTAGGATTTATACGAATGACTCTCACTGTAAATTCACAGTTTAACGCGTCTCAAGAGGTCTTTTCTACAACGGAAGGAATTCTGGTGCCAGCGATCTCTGGTACCGACTTGATTCCCGTTCAAAAATCTACTACAAACCCCGTGGATTGGACATTAATCGTGGCCAGGTGGCGATATCGCGCAAGTGGAGGCGTACGCGATAGAAGTACCGAGTAATTTAGTTAAGAACACCAGAATTCACGCAAGGAAAACTCCCTACTCTGCATGCCACAGACAAGCGCATAAAAAATATATCGCTCGTTTTGAAAACCAAGCATGACAATCATTGTAGAAAGGGAAGCTCTGTTACGAGTGCTAACAACAGAACCATCAGGGACTTCCTCATCATCAATAGGATGTGGAAACACATGCATACACTCCGACGGGGAATATGTACTCGTCGATAGCATACCAAAACCATTATCAACAGTTGAGAAGAGTCAAGTAGGTCCAACGTCTGACGATCAGTCCACATGTTCGTTATCTACGGATGATTCTCTATCATCTGGTTCATGCCATTCTCTCGAACGAAGAGTTACCTTTGCGGAAACTCTCATCTCTGATGAATGGACGAGACCACGGACTCCACGAGACCAAGTCTTGTCTCTCTTTTACTCGACAGAGGACACCCAGAGGTAGGTAGTGTGAATCGCTGTTTTTCTACGTGTGTTTAGTACTGAGTCCCGGTAGACTGGACGTTTTGGGATCCAACCCAAAATACCTACTGGGCAATACTACTACTATACAAACACAACGGTCCATCCTTTAAAGCCTTCGCTCACCTCTCTCTCTTTCTTCTCATCACCAGGTTTCGTCAAGAATACCGACTGGAACGTAAAGTTCTCAGCGAGCTGTTGTTGGACGCTGACTTTGTGGACAGCGAAGATGTATCGAAGCTTATCTCCACTTCTTCTGACCCTCAATCGGGGCGTCATGGCATCTCGCGAGTGGTGGTAATGCACAACCACAAGCTCGAGACTTTTTGCAATCCCAAACAAGAAGAACCACTCAGTGGGGATTTCTTTGATAACGATAGTTTCTGGAGTGGATCCCTCACCTGGTATTAGCAATCAGCTGTCACTGCTTTTGTATATTTCATATACATTTTGCATAAGTGCACTGTTTCTATAATGGGTGTTTTATAACATGGGTCCACTGCAGCTGCTGTCATGGATAGTCAAAAAGAAAGTCTCGGGTTTGTTGGAATAATATATCGGAAAATGGAGGAAATAGAATGGAATGGAATTAGAGGATTGGAAACTGGAAGGGGTTAGGGGAGACTTTTTCTTTGTACACTACATCAAGTGTTTTTTGGCTATACGGAAACTATGCTGTATTTTTGGGGTCATGTTGCTACATATACTTTCATTATTGGACTACGCGCTTCTGCATTAAAGAAGCAGTGAAGTTCTTGTACCTTGTACCATAATAAATAATTATTAGATTGGGAATTAACATGAAACTCTTGTCTTCTGCTGTATTGATTGAGATTGCTAGTTACGTGAAGGTTACAGCAGCATCTTGGCCAAGCATAGAGTAGATTGATTGATTCATTCATTTATTCCGCCGGTAGCAGATGAGAACATAGAACATGCCAGATAAAACAACGAGAACTCCAGATTCACGATTGAAAATGGGATAGAGAATCGAATTCTGTCTGATCTAGGAACCAAATATTCCAGGCGTATCTTCCGGATTGCAGACTGGAAGGTAGTTAGAGTAGTCCAAGATGGGCTTGACATTCGGTGCGGTATGCACCCTTGACCCTTGATTGAAAACTCAAGAGTGTCAAGGGGAGGGCTGCAAGGAGCAACAATGTAAAGGACGAGGAAAGTTTCGAAGCCATTTCCAGCAATGAACCACTTATTCCTTCCTCGAAGACGACATTCGGAGCCACCAATCCAACAACGACTACAGTAGGTAACTCAAATCTCCGACAGCGCCCTATAGACCAAAAGGGACGGGTGGCAAACCCGCTCCAGTGGTGGTGGCAATAAAATATCCACGCGATAGGTGGCGGCAAAATGCCAACAACGCCCGAGGGAGAAATTGAGTTGCCCTGATTGATTTCTGAACCTCTATCTTTTAACAAGGATAAGACAGATGACGAGAAAGAAGACAACGATTATCGCTGTTGGAGTGCGGAAGAACTAGGACTACGGGATGACTTGTTTAGCACTATTCGAATCAATCTCCTGAAATGTCCTTGTATCAGCGACAGGCACTAGTGATGACCATACCTTCCGTAATGATGGTTCAACGGCGTGACAAGGAGTTATGAAGTAGGAACAAGATAGGAATAGTAGATAAAACCCTGCTGTTTCATCATCATCATCATCATCATCGTTGACATGGCGAACTTCCGAGTTTCGATTTTCTGACGTTTTTGTGATGGAATCGAATTAATCGATCGATGAAGTCAACATACGATACGAACGATTACTTCGAATCATTCAATCATGACTTTGAACTTGATTGCTTTGACTTATTCGCAATGCTAATGAAGTAGCAATTGAAGGCGACGCTTCAACATAGCGTGTGGGCCATTCGAGGTTAATTTATATAGGTGTGATATGATATGCATGCCTATGTTGGCAACCAGTGAACAGCTAGTACTGCACCCGCATTATTTGGCACACCTCTATCTTCTTTTTCAATGCTTTCATGAGTTTACTGGCTCCACCCGTACTATGTAGCCCTCTGCCAGTAATGACAGTAATCTTTTTCACAACTGGCAAGATCGCTTCCACTAGTTAGGCAAAAATATCTTCCAGTTTCAAAACTGCGTGACGCAGACGTGATGCAGGGTTGAAAATGGGAGATGGATAATGCTTCACGTCACGCATCTTGTATCATATTTTGTTTTATATTATTAGATTGGGAATGAACATGAAACTTTGTCTACGGTATTGATTGGGACTACTTGCTTGGTATTACAATGAATGCAGCTGTAACTTTGGCATCTTGGCGAAGGTAGAAAATGATGATTCCGGTAGCAAACTGGTAAGATGCCGAATAATGGAGTCTCATTCGTCTACCTAGGCACCAAATATACCAGGCGTATCTTCAGGACTACATACCGGAAGGTAGTTGGAGTAGTCCAATATTGGCTTGGCATTCGGTATGCACCCTTGATCCTTGACCAGACTCAAAAGTGTCAAAAGAGCTGCTAGTAATGTAAAGGAGGAAAGTTTCTGTGCCGTTTCCAGGGATGAATCACTTGTTCGCTCCTGAAAGATGACATTCGAAGCCACTAATCCGACAACAATCAGATAACTCAAGCCTTCGACAGCGCCCAATAGACCAAAGGGGCCTGCCGGCAAACCCGCTCCTGTGGTGGCCACAAATCCTAAGGATACCCATACAATGGGTTGCGACGCAATACCAACGACGCCCAAAGGAGAAATTTTGTTACCATCGCTGATTTCGAAATCATCATCGTTTGACAAGGATCGGGCAAATGGCGAGAAAGATAGTGACGATTGTCGTTGTTGGAGAACAGAAGCACAACGGGATGACGAGGTTTTTATTCGAATGTCCAGAAATGACTTTTTTGTATCAGCGACAGACACCGATGATGGCCATGATTTCCGTGATGACGGCTGATATGCGCGACAAGGAATTGTAGCGTAGGAACAAAATAGGAACAATAGACCAAAAAAGCCATGTCGTTTCTTCACCATCATCGTCGTCGTCTATTAAACATCACTTGTCGAGTTTTGATTTTCTGACGTTTTTTATCGAAGAAGTCAAATATTGAATATATAAAATACGACTTCAAATTGAACTTTTGGCTAACTGAAACGAGCTACCTTTCGCATGGCTGTCATAGTACTGTAGGCACAACAATTGCTATTTACATCATGATATTATTCTTATTATTACTATTACACTTGTTCACCGCATGCTGATGGTGTAGTACTAGCCAAGCAAGGTTACAATGGGTATATTTGTCTTTTGAGAGGACGCCGAGCGACTTTCTGCCTTCAATGAAGGTACCGTAAAATACAAATACATACAGTCATTTACGCTTCTTTTGGATACCAGTCATCCCGAAGATCGTCGTTGAAAACATCATCATCGTAATCAATTGGTGGTGGGGGTGGTGGGTCATCACTTTTCTTGAATTCATGAACCCATGTGCTGTCCACGCTGTTCAGTTCCTCCAAATGTTCAATGTATTTCGTCATAAAGTGAGATGTTAGATCATCAGGTCCAATGAAATGAGGCTTTGCATTCCATCCAGGTGGAGCACCGGCATAGTGGAGCTCTTCGTTGCCATAGTGTTCAAAGTATGATTCCACGCTAGTTACATTGGTAGAATTTTTCCAGAGTTGGATGGTATGTCCTGCATGATAGAAAAAGTCTGGCAGCCGTGGAACCAGATCCCAACCCAAAACTATCCGCCAGATTGCTAGCTTATCCTTTGTGGGAGACGTTCTATTGAAGAACTCGCTCCACGGTTTGTTTCCAGTCTGCGGACATCCAAAGTTGATGGATTTAACTTTGTGTCCTTGGAGGCTTAGGGCAGCCGCTGTAAGCAGAGAATTTGCTGCACCAAGACTATGTCCTGTACTGTAAATCCTATAGGAAGGATGTGCAATGACCAACCGTTTTATCCTTGAGGAAATTTGCTCCCACATTCCTTGTAGGAACACAGCGTTGTCAAACCCGGAATGCACACGAATACCCTCCGGAAGACTGATGGTTGAATTGTTCCCAAACGGCTTTTGTGTTGCATGTGCATCTTCCAGAGAGGTTCGAATGTCATCCGTTCCTGCAAATGCCACGGCAATGTACTTTTGTACCTTGTTGGAAACTATCAGGACTTGCGTGCCAAGTCGCTTGTTGTGATCGTACCACTCGCACCTGGTTCCATCCGAAGGTTTGTATTTCTTGCAAAAGTCCTTGTCCTCATGCCTGAATTCATAGGCTGACTTGGACAATTTTGCCATCCACAGGGTTTCTTCCAGAGAGGGGAACTGATCCGCGAACAATTCCAGAGTGTCACTACCATTACCATTATTGATGGATGATGAAGTTCCAACTACGTTCCAGACCACAATGCAACCAAGGCTGACAATGAAAATGAGACCTATATTCCACAACACGTAGGTGGATGCACCCCTGGAAGTGTACAAATTCATCATTTTGCGTTTGCTTGCTGATGTATTATATATTACATGTATTATACGGCAATAAAGAAGGAAAGAATATATTATAAAATAGGAAGAATATATAGCTACGAAACGGAAGGCGTCAACACGCGTTGAAATTCAAGCTGAAAGCGGCGGAAGAAGTTTTCTTCAGGAGTTAATCGGAGAAACCGTAAAACGGAGCAAATCTGCCTCGTCCAGCTACCGGAAAACTCTCACTTGATTCATTCACCTGCACATCTAACTCCTAATTTGCATCCAATGATGATTGAAACTAGTATTTAAAAATTGTTATTTATGTATCATGCTCTATTAAAATCCTATATATTGTATAGCACATAATATATATTGTATTGTGACATGGCATGGCGGTGCAAAGCACTGCAGCAGTCGCGTTGTTCCATCATGTTGCCAAGATCATACAGTACAGTCATATTGTATAATAAAGTTACATAAACATGTTGTCTCCCGCAAACGAATTGGGTGGCTGCAGATGATCCGGATTGGGATTTCCAGACCTACTGGGTCGATTCCGAAGCGGTTTTCCATCGATACCAATGTCGACCGCACCTGGAGGAAGGACGGGATCAAATCGTGGTTGCATGGTACCGGGGCCGCCCCTCATGCCTGGTCCACCACCACCACCACCCATCCATCCTGGTCCACCACCACCACCTCCCATGAATGCTGGATGATTGGGACCCATGAGATTGCCTCCCATGCGTCCATTACCACCACCCATACGAAGTGGATCTCGCAAACCAGCCGGTGTCAAATCATCGGCAAAGTGTCCTTGATTCGTCCCCACAGCAATCCCAGGAAAGGCTTGGTCGAGCGTCGAAGGAACATGGCCATTTTGCCATGGGTTGCTGACCGCTACTGGCACACCAGTCGGTGGTTGTGGTGGAATCATTGTAGTAGATGTGGTCGGTAGACTGCTGCGGTTCAAAATGTTGGTGGTAATGGTATTGTCCACATAGGGGATCGAATTGCTTTCTTCAGTATCATCATTAGGACTTCCCAAATCGTACGTTTGACAAAACTTGGTAAGGAGCATGGGCAAAAACTTGAAATGTAACGCGGGGGCAATCTTTTTGGTTTTGGCAGTCGCTGCCTTCCAGGAATCCATATTCAAATGTTCCTCCATAGCAAAGTCAAGGGTCTGACTGGGTGGTTCTTGGCTATTGGCGGGGACCAATTGAACTTGCACCTGTTCATTTTCAGTTAATTGCACAATCAACTTGATGGCACCGGATCCATCCTTGCGGTATCGCAATTGGACCAGTTTGCGGTTATTGTCCCACCGTTGGGGCACAAATTGCGACTTTGGCAATTCGCGTACCGGAGCTGCAAATCCAGAAGTAGTGGCTTCTGGAATTCCGGTACAGCTAAAGCCCAAGGACCGCAAGGCGGCGTGAATTACCAAGGCAATTGCCGAGAGGGGTGTGGACACTTTCATATTGTGTTCGGAGATCTTGTCAATGGCGGATTTTGTTAGTTCGCGACCCAAATACGACGACGAAGAATCCTCACGGACCTCGTGTTCGATTGCCTCGTTGCTGTTGGTGGGTTCCACGTCTTGCCATTCGGATTCCATAGCGGCATCGTCCTGCTGCTGCTCCTCTCCCATTCCAATTGCTTCCTTGGCACTGCTGGGAGGCGCCATTACCAAGACTCCATCGGATAGGGCCGAGTTGTTCTTCTTTTTCGTTGTTTTATATGTAGATGACATAGCCTTGCTAGCACTGCTGCTAGAAGTCGTAACAGACTGAGCAAATCTGCTTTGCAGTTTGGCGTCTCGGGCTTGTTTCGTTTCTTCCTTTTCCACTCCTTCCATTGCGGCTTTGATTACGGGATGATTGGATGGCAAGTGCGGACAATCTAACAGGTATTGCTTTACTATGGCAAAGGGATTCTCGCCTTCTTTCTTTTGCTTCTTGGGTTGTGTCATTCTTGTGTTATTCTACGAAACAACGATTTGATAGGATTGACTCTCTCTTCAAAGAATTATTGTGAATGAAAGCACGTCTCGATATACTGTATGATTGCTAGAATAGAGGATCGGGAATTTTTTCTAGTACAAATGTACGTGGATCCGTCGTAGAAAGCATCTGCCCAATCGAATTCGGTAAGCATCTGAGCGTTATTGACTGTTCCGACTACCCGATACTTTAGTCTGAGCAGTCGGATTCTCCACAATCAAGTCTAAGCTAATCCAAATCCAAATCAAAATCACCGCAGACCACAAAAGACATGCAATGATATTATAATAGCATGAAGTCAATCCGGAGAACCACAACCACACTCAACTACGCAATATTTTGCATTACAATACTGCTGTTAGCTTCACAAAGTCAAGTTGCAAAAGCTTCCTCAGCAGCAGGAACAGAAACCTTGGTGGGAATTGTCGGCAAGGATTTTGTCTTGGTGGGTGCGGATTCCAGTGCCTCCCAAAGCATTGCCTTGACGGCGTCCAATTTGGACAAGATTGCTCCTCTCAGTGAACAATTTTATAATTATGATCAGCAGTCAGAACCAACACCTCAACTGGTAAAAAAGGAGCGGCAGAAACAACTCCAACAACCCTGCATAGTGGCAGCCGCTGCGGGAGATGCGGCTGGATCGGATCGTTTGTTGGGAATGCTCAAGGCGCAGGCGACTTTGGAAGAATACGAGAATGGATTGGGATGTGACGTGGACTATATTGCTGCCAGTGGCGACTCTTCCTTCTCGTCGTCGTCCCCCGGTTTGGACGTGGACGCCATGGCCAATCTGGCGAGAATTCAAATTGCTCAGTCCCTGCGGAGTCGAACACCCTTTTCGGTCTGCCTCTTGATTGCGGGCATGTCTAGCAGGAAAAAAAATTCTGGATTTGTGGCTCAACGAATTCAGCACCAGGTACGAAATGCTTGGAATGCCAAAGAGGAAACGCCAGTAGTAATAGACGATACTGGAGAGGAGGAAAGCTTTGTGCTTGTCGAAACAGTTGAGACGGAACCCAAAGAGGAAGAAAAGTCTCCAACATTATCCTCGTCGTCTCTTGAACCAAAACTGTATTGGTTGGATGAATATGGATCCTCGCAATGCATACAATATGGGGCTCATGGACATGGAGCCAACTTTTTATTGTCCATTTTGGATCAAGGGTTTGCCGAGGACATGACTTTGGACGAGGCCATGGAATTGATGAAGTCGTGTTTTCAACAATTGCGGACGCGGTATGTGATCAATTCGCCACAGCCGCCTTGTATCAAGTGTGTTGATGCCAATGGAATTCGATTGATTCGGTGATTGGAATAATGAATCATGAATATTGAATATATATGAAGGAATGAAGGAATGAAGGAATGGATGAATGAACATGTGAATAGATGAATGGAATGATTTGATTGTTGGTGGAATGCAATGGCTAGGAAGAAGAAAGAGATTGAAACTGAAGTGAAACGATTTGGCAAATGTGCGTGGTGTTGGTCTAATAATGGTAGAAATCTTTGACAACGCTTTAGAACCATAATGTTCATGGAGTTTGGATACCCATAAAGGACTGCAACAGGTTTCACCTCCCAGGTACCTGGTACGATCCATCTACCTTTCAGCATTATAACATTTGCTAGTACGATTTATAATGGATGTAATTGATGATAAATGTATATAGGCTACTGAACAATTTTATGATTTACAACTACTTTTGCACCACGGCCATGGCACCTAGTTCGATACCTCTCTTTGCCAGACTCAGCAGCGTCAGATCGCAAACATGCTGATTGGGTTCCAAATCTTGCAATAAGCCTTGCAAGTTCAACACACGACATTGACGATCCGGTTGTTTCTTGAGTTCACCGATGATGGACAGGATGGTATCATAGGTTTCGGGTCGCACTTGCAATCCTCTCGGTCGGGTAGGGTCGTCCGTTATTGTCACACTGGCACGTTCCTCTGGGGTTGCCGCCCGAATAACAGAGGTAAAGGTGATTTCCATGGCTGCCAGGGGTCCAACTATGACAGCCGCCGGCGACGACGACGACAATGTTCTTGTGGTGGTAGCCGAGTTGCGAGCGTGTTCCAACAGTGCCATCCGAGCTGGAACGGCGCGTTGATTGTGATTGTCAATCCGAGCGTGCAGCTTGGAGAGCAACGAGTCGACTGTAATTTCCTCTTGGAGCATTGATAGTGCGGTTGATAGTTGACTTTGTAGCGTAGCTGGAGTGGTACTGGCCAAGGGGAGTGTCGATTGGCGATAGTCGATAACATTAGTGAGAATCCGATTGGTTTCCCTGGAGATTAGACCAGCCAAACTCCAATCGTGCGTTGCAATGGCAATGGTGACATGAAAACTCAGATCATTGCTCGGGCTGCTTGCTTCATGGACAAATCCACGGGGCATGTACAAAACATCACCTGGTTGCAGTGTCGTATCAATACAAAGAGGACCATTCAGAATGGTTGGATGTACGGGTATTCCTTCTTTGCCCACTTGTTCATCAGGGTAGGGATACGGAATGGGCACTCGTTCGTAGACCTTCCACTGTTTCGACCCCACCAACTGCAGGATGAAAACGTCTCGATCATCGGCATGTGGAGGGACCGCTTGGGAATCTGGTGGGGTAAGATAAGTGTTTGCATATACATGTGGAAATTCAGACTGCAAATCTTGGCAAATGGCAGCGATCCATGGTGACAGCAAGTCACCATGATTCAGGACGACCGAGCAGCCGTCCAGGTAGGGAGCAAACAAGCTTGATCCGTACAGACCCTGAGTTTCTTCTTGGGACTTTAATTCACGATTTTGAAAAATTAGGGGCGTATGAATAGAGCTATGATCGACTCCATTATCACCTCTGGAACGGGTGCGACTCTCGGCTTGTTCGAGCAAATGCTTCAGGATATGCCAGCTCTGGTGCAACGACTCTTCGAAAGGATTTTGTTGCATCTCATCATCCCTCCATTCTCCTTTCACTTCTGGAGAGTGGCTATCATCTCCCTCAAATGGAAAGTGCACCGGCAGCTTCTGCCAAACATTCTGCAGGAAAACGTCACTGGAGATATCTTTGCTCTTGAGTATGGAACGAAGTGTTTTGGACAACTGTCGTTTCACTCCATTTCCATTCTGTACGGTCCCATCATCGTTTGGTCCAGGAACCATTGCTCTTCTCGGAGTCTTTCAAATGTCGAATGCTCGTGTATGGATTAATGGAAACCCCCCAGCAACAAGAAGGAGCAAAGGCGTCTTCCTGTTGTTTCAGGTTTCAGACCAAATGATATGTATGTGATGTGAAATTTCGTTTCGTCGTCCAAGTGTCTGTCCTTTGTACGACCGGAGATCTAAAACTGAGCTACTGTAGTTTGAAATATAGTCCTAGTTCTATGTACCTATGTATAGTATCAAATACTACTCGGTTGAGCAGCATGAATCACGAGTTGGGTCGGTTGATAATGCCGACCAACCTCGACAGTGATCTTAGCAGTTCCTGTTCATTCTTGATTTTGGATACTCGCGTTCAAATGAGTAGTGCCGAGTCGGAACAATCCATGTCCCAAGCTCTATTTCTTTCTCTGCTCTTGCCACTGGTCACATACCACTGTTCCGTGATTGATTGAGGAACACTCACTGTACAATGTACTGGTCCAACTCAGTCTCGTTCTCAGAGTCGCCATCCTCATATAATATCGTGATCCTTCCAGATGGACGAACGTTTTGAATCTTGCCACCCCACCAGTCCCCCAATCGAAGATAGTTTCCACGGACTGGAAGACCCTCTACAGGCTGAATTCGAGGAGATAATTCTCTGATGGGAACCTCGATCACTGGCTCGCTGTCAAATTCATATGCCCATTCTCCGTATAGAGCAATCTCAGCATACTCGTCGTCGTAAAGACTAAGGATCGTGGCAGGAATTAGTTCGCCTACTTCATCTTCAGAGTCCTCGGTATAATGCCAATTGACTTCCGAGTACGGACGGAGTTCGGGTAACTCCTTGTTGAAATCTTTAAATAGATTTGTCGACGCCCTGTCATCTTCGAGCACTCTTTCGCAGGATGGGGTGACAACCGAAGCTACGTCAATCTTGAGTTGCGATTTACTCTTCTCTGTTACTGACGAAAAAGATGCCAAGCGACGCCTAGAAGTAGAAAATTCCTCATTGTGGTGCGTCCTTGTCAAAAGCTTTTCCAGTGCTTGCAGACGAGTCTGAGAAATTTTGGACATGGCCATCAATCTTGCAAATCCAAAACGATAGTCGCCAAGCAAGTAGTCAATTTCGCCCTTGATGGCAGCTTCTACCGTATTGGTTCCGAAGAACAATTTCATTCGAATGTATTCCAAAGATTCTGCCTCACTCATGAGTCTCCAGTCGCCCGTTCGATAGTCTTGTTGCAAGAATCGGCCATTGTCATATTGAATATCTTGCATGGCACCTTGCACCACAGTGTCCGCCAAGATGGGGAAAGATGTCTCAAGTGAGCGAAAGAACTTTCCACCAAACGCAGAGACGTCCTTCATAAACTTTCGATTTCCCGGATGAAAGTCGTGCCAGCGAGAGTAGACACCAATGGTCTTGGAAGCAAGTCGTGTGCCCACCAACACATCTGTTCGTAGTGGCACAGTTGTAGGGCCCTTGACAACGGAAGGATCATCTCTCATGACATCTTTGGCCACAGGAAATGGGCGCATCAGAGTTTTTCCAGCAGAAATATTCCGAGCCCACGGTGACGATTGAACCTTGTTGAGAGCGAACCAACCTAGCGCAATCGCAATTCCATAGGTGCGGAAAAGGAGCAGCAGATTTCCCGAAAAGGAGCGGGTGGGTGATCTCGAGCCAGATCGCCCCGTCAGTGAAGGACCCAAGCACATCACAAGATATAAAGCAATGGCAACTGCGTTGGCCTTGATTAGAAATGCAAGGGTAAGCTCAACCGTTTCGCCAAGGTAGATCTGCCATGCTTCCTCATGTTCCAAATCAATGGTACCGTCAAGCCATCCTGGAAAGCCATGCTTGGCCAAAACATTGAGCAGACCTTCTAAATCACCTGGCTCACATCCCAGTTGCTGATTGGCAATCCGAAGAGTCGCCGCCGTAAAGAGATCATATCCCCACTCACGGCCCTTGGCCTTCCACAAATGGAGACAACGAAGCATGTTCCAAGGACTAGCCATGGAAATGGCGGCATCCGCCAAATCTTGCCAGGTGTGACCCCACATGTTCCACTTCATGTGAAAATAGGTACCTCTCGCTAGTTGCCGGTTGTCCGTGGGCCGCCCAATAAAACTCAAAATGAAAAGAATGCGTTCTTGTGCATCTGGATCCGTATGCTCAGTACCTCGATGCCAGACTTGTTGATTAAGTAAGACAGCATCCCCAGCCTTCCAGATTCCTCCATCACGAATTTCGTGAAGCCCAATCTTGTTTTCTTCGCATTGGGCGTCAATCCAATCAGCACAGTAATGGGTTCCTGGACACAAGTCAGTAGCACCCATTGCTCCTGTAGTATTCTGCAGTGGAATAAACAAGGAATATGAATGACTATAGGTTCTTCCAAATTGGACACCATTTCCATCGGGCTTGACATCTGGATGCCACGGCTGATGGGACGACCCATAGCGCGATGTAATGGCCGTAATTTCCGTCAACGCTGGATTGCGTCCAACCAATCCTTCCAAAATCCCCTTCAACTGTCCATTATCGTGTACAGCCTTCAAAGCTCTTACTACCGTTGGATGTTCCGCTGCCTCAATCCCATAACTAATTCGATGCTCCCCCGCCGTGACGGGATATTCATCATCCGTGCCACTGACAGCATGGTTCTTCCAAACCACAAAGTCGCGGAGTTCTTGGATCATGGAATCCGACAAGACTTGCGGAATCATAATGGCTCCATGTGTCATCATTGTGGGAATAGCGGTCTCTTTGGAATCCACAATCAATTGGTTGGCTTCTTCTTTGGTAGCGGTAATGTCGACCACATTGCAACGTCGTTCGTAATACGTGTATTCGTCCACTAAATCCTCGTCAGTCCTGCGAGCCCTTTCAATCAATGTGACAAAGTAATCATCGTGGATGATTTTGAGAGTATAGGTCGCGGCCAATGCCAAACATAGCACAAATAGAACGGCGTGAATCAGGTAATGCATTAGACCAAACATTGGGCGAGCTTTGGAGGCTGATGATTTCGTTGGTGCTGCTGACTGAGATGCTGATGTAGCTTTCATTCCACTGCTGCCATGTGGTGATGATGACGATGACGACGGTTTCTCCTCTTTTTCGATGGAAAATCCTGCCTGGAAGGGTGCCATGGTCAATCAATGTTCGTTGAGGATAAGTGAAACAAAAAATGCACTCAACGTTCGATGAAAATTGGCGACAAAGGGGGTGGATCTCATTTTGGGGTTCGGGTTTGTCGCGAGCCTGCCCGTCCCATCTCACAATTTTGAATTTTCCAAAATTGAGTATTGAATCAATGAAAGTCTTCAACGGATGGATTTGCCACGAGAATTGCTATGGGGACTGCAGATATAGGACCATTTTCTGTTGCAACAGGAACAAAGCGACACTCCACCAACAATCCAGTTCTGGAATCCTTGGCTTTTGGTTGTGAAAGGGGAGGGCGTTCCACTGAAAGCGACCAGCACCAACAAGAAGAAGCGGCCTTCGAGAAAGAACCATCATGACGACACTTTACAAAGCCATACAGAATGATGACATTGACCATATGGTGACATGCTTACAAGGTGGCTATGATGTCAATAAAGTGTACCGTGACTGCCATCGTTGGACGGCATTGCACCTCGCGTCTGCAAGGAGAAACGTTGGAGCGGTTCGGCTACTCTTGGACAATGGGGCAAATGTGAATGTCAAGGACTTGAACCGAAGAACGCCATTGCACTGGGCATGTGAGATGGGATGGTTGTGTATTGTTCAGCTTCTGGTGGATCGAGGTGCTGATGTGAACGAAGTTAGCGGCGATGGCAGTACACCCTTTTCGATTGCACGGTACCGCATGCATTTGGATGTTGCTCAATTCTTGCTGGAGCGAGGCGTTGCGTTGGGCGGCAAAGATAATGACGATGGTAGATGGTTTTTACGTGTCGCTTGCGGACAAGGGAATTTGGAGGTTTGTAGAATTTTATTGAATCGAGGTGCCAATCCCAACCGATATAACTGCAGTGAGACTACACCGCTTCAGCTGGCATGCCAGAATGAGCACTCGGAGGTTGCTGATTTATTGTTACGTCACGGTGCCGACGTGAATGAAAAAAGTGGCAGTGGCAGAATTCCCTTAATCTATGCATGCGAAAAAAATCATTTTGAGATTGTTCGCATACTATTGCATCATGGTGCCAATACGGAAATAGAGGGTAAACATGGGTGCAAAGCGTTGCATCGCGCTTGCTGTTTGCAACACCTGAGAGTCGCTCGGCTTTTGTTGGACAGGGGGGCGTATGTGGATGCAAAAGATGAAGGCAATCACACGACTTTACATATGGTGTGTTGTTTTGGATCTTCGTTTGAGTTGTGCATTGCCCGTTTATTGTTGGACAGAGGTGCCAACGCCGAAGCAAGGAATGAACACGAGGCTACGCCATTACACGAGGCATGTGCAAGTGGTAACTTAAGAGCTGTACAACTGTTATTGGATAGAGGTGCTGATGTCGAAGCGACAACGGGAGGTGTTTCATCCCTCGAAGTCGCGTGCTGCACCAGCAACCTTGAAGTCGCGTGGTTTTTGGTACAACGCTATCCGTGGCTGATTTTCCGAAAGCGGAAAACATAACATGCATTCTTAATATTGATTGATGTGCAACCTGCTACTACTTCGACACAACCAATGCAAGTGTCCAAGACTACTGTCTGCTAACAGGCGACTATCGTTCTTGGTGGAATACGGTGAAGCCGCCGCTTCGACGTTTCGACAATGGCTATCGAGAAATTGACAATTTGTCGCAGATCTAGTGTAACTCATTCTAGTTCTATTTTAGTATTTATGTATTCGATTTTGATCGTCTCTTTTCATTTCCAACTACTCCTAGATTTCCTATTATCAGGCATGTCGTCCTGCCATTTATTCTGAAGCTGCAGCACCAGATGTAATGGGAATATAAGTTGGCGAAGCCTTCTCTGGCTCCTCCGTCTTTGGAACAGTAATCGTCAGCACTCCATCCTTCAAATCAGCTCTAATCTTTTCCTTGTCCACATTGGAGGAGCCAATGGAGAATTGACGTTCAAAGGAGCTGGTTTCAAACGAGGTCCCATCCTTGGATTGGAATTGACGTCCACCGCTCAAATGGAGCGTCGTGTGACCGTCATGAGTATCGTCAAGCTTCATTTCCAAGTCATCCGCGCTGACTCCTGGGAGATCGACCTGGAAGACATAGTTTTTGTCATTTTCATGAGATGTCATTCCAGATGGTTGCCACCCAGAACGACGAGGCATCAATGATTGTTCATTGCGATAATATGGTGAGCGGTCAAATCCATCATCAAATGCAGATGTAAAGGGATCGTAGCGAAGGAGCGACATTGTTTTGGTTTCTTGGTTGTTTTCTTTTGAAGTTTTATACAGTGCGACTGAGAAGTTGTTGTATTTTTCAAATTGTGAGCACATGGATCTGGCTTGATTGAGTTCTCATTTTCGATCACGATTGGAGTCCAATTCGATCGAAATACTAAAATGATTCGAAAACGATGCTTTCCGACCGGAAACAAAAAACAAATGGGAATAAAAGCATCAGATTGGACTAGTCCGAACACGATAGGACATCAATATTAATTGATTGATTACCCAAATACGATTGGCATTACCTGTTCTTCAATGGCTCATCTTCCTGCAGCAGATATCAGTGGTACGGGAACATCCAGCAGTACAGCATGTCCCGAACTATGAGAGGCCGTACAAGAAAACATACCCAAGACTGCACCATTCCTATCACACCTTCCTTGATGGAATTGCCTAATTGAATTGATTGACGCCGTTTAGACAATATACTAGCCAACAAATAGAAAGTTCGAGCTACGAGTGAGCTATAGTTGCGGATTTGTGTAATTGCGGCTTTATTTTAGTTCTATTTGAGGTAGTGTATGTTATGTGTGTTTATCATCTCTTCATTTCCAACTATCACCAGGAGGCATATGATTGTCCTGCAGCAATCGCCTATTCTGAAGCTGCAGCACCAGATGTAATGGGAATATAAGTTGGCGAAGCCTTCTCTGGCTCCTCCGTCTTTGGAACAGTAATCGTCAACACTCCATCCCTCAAATCAGCTCCAATCTTTTCCTTGTCCACATTGGAGGAGCCAATGGAGAATTGACGTTCAAAGGAGCTAGTTTCAAACGAGGTTCCATCCTTGGATTGGAATTGACGCCCACCGCTCAAGTGAAGCGTCGTGTGACCGCGATGAGTATCGTCAAGCTTCATTTTCAAGTCGTCCGCCTTTACTCCTGGGAGATCGACCTGGAAGACATAGTTTTTGTCATTTTCATGAGATGTCATTCCAGATGGTTGCCACCCAGAACGACGAGGCATCAATGATTGTTCATTGCGATAATATGGTGAGCGGTCAAATCCATCATCAAATGCAGATGTAAAGGGATCGTAGCGAAGGAGCGACATTGTTTTGGTTTCTTGGTTGTTTTCTTTTGAAGTTTTATACAGTGCGACTGAGAAGTTGTTGTATTTTTCAAATTGTGAGCACATGGATCTGGCTTGATTGAGTTCTCATTTTCGATCACGATTGGAGTCCAATTCGATCGAAATACTAAAATGATTCGAAAACGATGCTTTCCGACCGGAAACAAAAAACAAATGGGAATAAAAGCATCAGATTGGACTAGTCCGAACACGATAGGACATCAATACTAATTGATTGATTACCCAAATACGATTGGCATTACCTGTTCTTCAATGGCTCATCTTCCTGCAGCAGATATCAGTGGTACGGGAACATCCAGCAGTACAGCATGTCCCGAACTATGAGAGGCCGTACAAGAAAACATACCCAAGACTGCACCATTCCTATCACACCTTCCTTGATGGAATTGCCTAATTGAATTGATTGACGCCGTTTAGACAATATACTAGCCAACAAATAGAAAGTTCGAGCTACGAGTGAGCTATAGTTGCGGATTTGTGTAATTGCGGCTTTATTTTAGTTCTATTTGAGGTAGTGTATGTTATGTGTGTTTATCATCTCTTCATTTCCAACTATCACCAGGAGGCATATGATTGTCCTGCAGCAATCGCCTATTCTGAAGCTGCAGCACCAGATGTAATGGGAATATAAGTTGGCGAAGCCTTCTCTGGCTCCTCCGTCTTTGGAACAGTAATCGTCAACACTCCATCCCTCAAATCAGCTCCAATCTTTTCCTTGTCCACATTGGAGGAGCCAATGGAGAATTGACGTTCAAAGGAGCTAGTTTCAAACGAGGTTCCATCCTTGGATTGGAATTGACGCCCACCGCTCAAGTGAAGCGTCGTGTGACCGCGATGAGTATCGTCAAGCTTCATTTTCAAGTCGTCCGCCTTTACTCCTGGGAGATCGACCTGGAAGACATAGTTTTTGTCATTTTCATGAGATGTCATTCCAGATGGTTGCCACCCAGAACGACGAGGCATCAATGATTGTTCATTGCGATAATATGGTGAGCGGTCAAATCCATCATCAAATGCAGATGTAAAGGGATCGTAGCGAAGGAGCGACATTGTTTTGGTTTCTTGGTTGTTTTCTTTTGAAGTTTTATACAGTGCGACTGAGAAGTTGTTGTATTTTTCAAATTGTGAGCACATGGATCTGGCTTGATTGAGTTCTCATTTTCGATCACGATTGGAGTCCAATTCGATCGAAATACTAAAATGATTCGAAAACGATGTTTTCCGACCGGAAACAAAAAACAAATGGGAATAAAAGCATCAGATTGGACTAGTCCGAACACGATAGGACATCAATATTAATTGATTGATTACCCAAATACGATTGGCATTACCTGTTCTTCAATGGCTCATCTTCCTGCAGCAGATATCAGTGGTACGGGAACATCCAGCAGTACAGCATGTCCCGAACTATGAGAGGCCGTACAAGAAAACATACCCAAGACTGCACCATTCCTATCACACCTTCCTTGATGGAATTGCCTAATTGAATTGATTGACGCCGTTTAGACAATATACTAGCCAACAAATAGAAAGTTCGAGCTACGAGTGAGCTATAGTTGCGGATTTGTGTAATTGCGGCTTTATTTTAGTTCTATTTGAGGTAGTGTATGTTATGTATGTTTATCGTCTCTTCATTTCCAACTATCACCAGGAGGCATATGATTGTCCTGCAGCAATCGCCTATTCTGAAGCTGCAGCACCAGATGTAATGGGAATATAAGTTGGCGAAGCCTTCTCTGGCTCCTCCGTCTTTGGAACAGTAATCGTCAACACTCCATCCCTCAAATCAGCTCCAATCTTTTCCTTGTCCACATTGGAGGAGCCAATGGAGAATTGACGTTCAAAGGAGCTAGTTTCAAACGAGGTTCCATCCTTGGATTGGAATTGACGCCCACCGCTCAAGTGAAGCGTCGTGTGACCGCGATGAGTATCGTCAAGCTTCATTTTCAAGTCGTCCGCCTTTACTCCTGGGAGATCGACCTGGAAGACATAGTTTTTGTCATTTTCATGAGATGTCATTCCAGATGGTTGCCACCCAGAACGACGAGGCATCAATGATTGTTCATTGCGATAATATGGTGAGCGGTCAAATCCATCATCAAATGCAGATGTAAAGGGATCGTAGCGAAGGAGCGACATTGTTTTGGTTTCTTGGTTGTTTTCTTTTGAAGTTTTATACAGTGCGACTGAGAAGTTGTTGTATTTTTCAAATTGTGAGCACATGGATCTGGCTTGATTGAGTTCTCATTTTCGATCACGATTGGAGTCCAATTCGATCGAAATACTAAAATGATTCGAAAACGATGTTTTCCGACCGGAAACAAAAAACAAATGGGAATAAAAGCATCAGATTGGACTAGTCCGAACACGATAGGACATCAATATTAATTGATTGATTACCCAAATACGATTGGCATTACCTGTTCTTCAATGGCTCATCTTCCTGCAGCAGATATCAGTGGTACGGGAACATCCAGCAGTACAGCATGTCCCGAACTATGAGAGGCCGTACAAGAAAACATACCCAAGACTGCACCATTCCTATCACACCTTCCTTGATGGAATTGCCTAATTGAATTGATTGACGCCGTTTAGACAATATACTAGCCAACAAATAGAAAGTTCGAGCTACGAGTGAGCTATAGTTGCGGATTTGTGTAATTGCGGCTTTATTTTAGTTCTATTTGAGGTAGTGTATGTTATGTATGTTTATCGTCTCTTCATTTCCAACTATCACCAGGAGGCATATGATTGTCCTGCAGCAATCGCCTATTCTGAAGCTGCAGCACCAGATGTAATGGGAATATAAGTTGGCGAAGCCTTCTCTGGCTCCTCCGTCTTTGGAACAGTAATCGTCAACACTCCATCCCTCAAATCAGCTCCAATCTTTTCCTTGTCCACATTGGAGGAGCCAATGGAGAATTGACGTTCAAAGGAGCTAGTTTCAAACGAGGTTCCATCCTTGGATTGGAATTGACGCCCACCGCTCAAGTGAAGCGTCGTGTGACCGCGATGAGTATCGTCAAGCTTCATTTTCAAGTCGTCCGCCTTTACTCCTGGGAGATCGACCTGGAAGACATAGTTTTTGTCATTTTCATGAGATGTCATTCCAGATGGTTGCCACCCAGAACGACGAGGCATCAATGATTGTTCATTGCGATAATATGGTGAGCGGTCAAATCCATCATCAAATGCAGATGTAAAGGGATCGTAGCGAAGGAGCGACATTGTTTTGGTTTCTTGGTTGTTTTCTTTTGAAGTTTTATACAGTGCGACTGAGAAGTTGTTGTATTTTTCAAATTGTGAGCACATGGATCTGGCTTGATTGAGTTCTCATTTTCGATCACGATTGGAGTCCAATTCGATCGAAATACTAAAATGATTCGAAAACGATGTTTTCCGACCGGAAACAAAAAACCAATGGGAATAAACCATCAAATTTGGTGGGACCGAACTCCGAACAAGAGAGGACACCCCAACGCAACGATTGGCGTCACTGTTGAACAGCTCGTCTTCCTGCTGCAGAGGCCAGCGGTATGGGAACATCATGCACGAACTATGGGAGGCCGTGCAAAAAAACAACTTGGCGCTTGTCAACAAGCTATTGGACGATGGTGAATATGATTTGAAAATACCATTCGAAGAGACTGGTTACACGATGCTACAGACGGCATGTGTTCATAATCTCGTGGAAATGACTCGACTTCTGCTGGATCGAGGTGCCAACGTGAACGAAAAAAACGAAGAGGATGGAACACCGTTGCTGCTGGCAGGGTCTACTGGCTGTTTGGATATTGCCCGACTATTGCTCGAAAGAGGTGCCAATGTCGATGACTATGACGAGGACGGTACCACTGCCTTACAACACGCGTGCTACAGCGAAAGATTAGAGGTCGTTCGACTACTGCTAGATCACAACGCGAATTTGGAAATAGCGGACTCTGAGGAACTCACGCCATTGCATTTGTCATGCACAAATGGCAATGTAGAGATTACCAGGCGTCTTTTGGACAGAGGTGCCAACATCGAAGCAAGGACTGCGCAAAATTTGACTGCCTTGCATTTGGCATTTCAGAAGGGTCAGTTGAGAATCGCCCAGCTGCTCTTAGATCGACATGCTGATGTGGACGCGAAACAAATGAATGGGCTCACTCAGCTGCATGTGGCCTGTCGCGACAGTAGAATTCATGTTGTAAAGATGTTGTTGGATAGGGATGCTGACGTCGAAGTGAGGGATGACGAGGAGTGCACACCGTTGCATCACGCTTGCAGAAGTGGTCTTAGTCCCACTATTGTCGATTTGCTGTTGAACCAAGGTGCCAATCCAAATGCACAACAAGCAACAAAGCGTACACCGCTCCATGACGTTTGTATGAGCGGATTTTCCGAGGCTGGTCAAATTTTGCTGGACAGGGGTGCTGATGTAAATGTAGTTACTAACGAAGGTATGACACCATTGCATGTCGCTTGTCAGCACGATCGGCCAGAGCTTGTATGGTTGTTGTTGCACCGGCATCCTTTGTTAATTTTTGGGCTAAGAGGCTAAAGTATCAGAGTCACTGCAAATGCTTATGATGCACAGTGCCTAGAGTGAATATCATATACAACTCCGATCTACTTTAACAAATTATTGCAATTTTATATTTTCCATGGTCACACCCTCTTCGAAATCTCCGTCATCATACTGAATATCGTACCTCCCATCTCCATGATCCTCGTCAATGACGCCGGGATAGTACTCATCACCTTCTCCGTATCGAGCAATCACTCGACGCCCTTCAAGATTCTCCTTCATGCGGGTTAGTCGCCGTAGAAGAGACGGGGAGACATCATCAAACATGATTCCCGATGAAGACTCCTTAACTCTCACCGAGTCCTCGTTCATCATTTCGACAATAGTTCCAGTGGTCCATTTTACACCGGCTTCGGTACGAAATCCCACCTCCTCACCAATCTCGTATGGTATTGGGCGACGGATGCAAGAAGAATCCAGGCCTTCATCGACATCTCCATCAGCATATTGGATCCAATAGGTTCCTTCATTGGAAACGGCATCAATAATTGTTCCTTGGTACCAGTCTGGTGTGGAAATGGAATTGAGATCTTTTAGCCACGAAGAAGTGAAGTCAGAAATGCAACCAAAGCATGATTGTCTTACCTTTGCCCTTGCATCTATATTTTGCTTCTACAACTTCGCCAACTTCCAACCAAGCTCCCGAGAAGGGTTCTCGAGGTTTCTCTGTTGGTGGAAGTGGCGTTCTCTTTGTGCGTGATCGCTGTACTGTGGATGGTGCTTCTGTGGAGATTCTCTGGGCCAGCTGCAATGGAGAATGGCTTGAATTTGAAATTTGCTTCTTGATTAACTTTGATGTTGGAAGGAATCTAGCTTCCCAAGTATCAAGATATTGGGGCGTGAACTTCGTGTGAATTGCCATGTCTCTAAATCGTCCATTTTTAGCATCATCCTTGAGAATATCGACTTGCCGAAGCATGACTCGTGTCAATTCGTCGGAATCGGAGATAACCTGTCTGTGGCAAGTACTAACGAGACTCGATTCCTCCGTAATTCGTTCCCACTGTCGGTACACATTCGGTTCCAAGAATCTTCGATTGGTTTGCATCCATTGCACCATTGACCGGCAAAGATTTTGCTGCAACGATTCGGAAAGGCTTGGGTACCCAGCCGACATTTCTTGGACCAAATTCTTCCATGCTCGATTTCCTGGATGAGCAACATCCAAGATCTCCGAGTAGCGTGCAAGCATATCGGTTTCATACAGCTTTGTTATCAAAATATCGTCTTTGGTTGGGATGGTCATGGCCAAAAAGTCAGCGTTATTCTCGGGACTTTCGAGTCGGGAAGCTTTCCCGCTCGCGATATCCTTTGCCCAATTACTGTCGCGGACTACTTGCATTGCCAACCAAAATGTCAAACATGCCACTCCGTGTGACACAATGAGACTCTTGATGCCTCCAAAAAGAAAAGATCTTTGCTTCCCTACCTTTGGCTGCAGCAGATCCAGACCCAACGAAAATGCAAGAAAGCCACCCACAGCCTTTTTATTGAACCCCTCCAACTTGTCTTCCACTTTTTGCAAAGTCTCCCACATGAATGTGTACCACAAATTATCTTCGCTGTCCTCTTGCTCTTCGTCTAGTGCTTGCCAGGATTTTGGAAGGAACGAAAACCCGCCGTCTTCAATGAAATCCTCCGCGTCACTATATCTGATAGGAATAATAGTCGACAAAAAGTGAGGGGCCATAATACTTATGCCAACAACTTTCTCATCTTTGTCGACGCATCCTTACCCGTATTCAAAGTTACTAATTCGCATCGATGCTTGCGCCACAAAATTCCAACCGTTGCCCTTTAGAATCCCCATACTTCGCAGATACTTTTGTACTTCCGTCATTCTCGAGTCGGCATGCACGAAATCCGAAAAGGTGTTGCCCCAATGATTCCATTTGAGCGAGTAACTCCCACCTTGGCCAATCATTCGGGTCTCCAGTTTTCGTTTGGTTTGTGGTCGGGGCGCAAAGGTGGCAATGAGCACAATTCGGTCAGGGCATCCCTCACAAAAGTGTCCCATTCCCTTGTGCGTCGTTTGCTGATTCACCAAAGCACCCCACCCCGTCTTCCACACACCGTGTCTTCCGGACATTGCCAAGTTGTTTGGGGGGCAGCTTTCCTCGCATCCTTCACTGCACAGGTGTGTACCTGGACATACGTGAGTGGCTCCCATGTCGTAGGTTGTATCTTGCAAAGGACTGAGTATTGATGGACGAAGAAATGAAAAAAATGAGAAGGAGTGAATGAGAAACTCAAAAAGCATTTTGTAATTGTGCAACACAAAACAAAAATTCTTACATGAACAGAGAATACGACGGAATGAACGACCTTGCAAACTTGGCACCACTTCCCGGCGGAACCACATCTTGATGGTCGTGCTGGTCTACTGCTCCATACGACGAAGTGATGGCAGTGAATTCAATAATGGCTGGATCCGGTCCTACAATCGATTCCAATGCTTTGACCAGTTGTCGATTCGATGCTAGCTCTTTCCAATACGTAGGAAAGGCTGGGTGCATATTCATATCAATTCCCCACGAATATCGATTTTCATTTTGAATGACATGCCAGCCCTGTTGTCGTCGATTTTCCTTGTCAATAAATTCTCTCAGGGAAGCTGCCGTTTCCGGAGTCAACAAGTTGGGATACATGGATGCTCCATGTTTCAACATGTGCTGAGTAGCTTCTTCCGTTGTCATGTTGGGCGAAATCAGCAATTCTTTTACGGAATTGGCCGAAATATCGCTTGCATCGCATTTGCGATGATAGTACGTCAATTCGTCATAGTCTCGTCCATCCGCTTTCCATCGCATGAGATTCAATTGTGGATAGAGGTAATCTTCGGTGATTTCGTGCAGACCAACGGCTGCCAGATAGGGGACAAACAATGCCAGTAACGCCAAACGAACTAAAAGAAGGAATATGCGGACAAAGACGCTTCGCGTCGGTTGAGCGGAAGATGATTCTTCTATACTTTTGGCTGGGACAGAAGACTTGGTAGTTGCATTTTTCTGCTGCTGCTGCTGCTGCTGCTGCTTTTTCTCTTCTGTGACGAGTGGAGCGTACTGCATATTATTGTCACAACTTTCTTCCTTCTTCTCCTCGACAATCTTTGGATCTGTTCGTCGTTTTGTCATGGCAAGGCGTTGAAAGTTAGATGATAAGATTCTTCGAAATGAGAATGGTTCGGATTGGTGCAGCATGCACCCTCGACGACTTAGGTGTCTTGAGCGTTTGGGTCAGTTATACGTTAGTTGGAGTTTGAAACTGCGGACTCCTTCGACTACTACAGAGGTACTGGAAAAGGCCTCTGTAAGAGCACATGTTTATACAATATACAGTAGCTTGCGTCTTTCTTTTCTCAACACATACGGTATTTTCGCATTCACATGCTGAGACTTGCACAACACTGGGAATATTCGAAACTACAATAGGTGCGTAGAGCACAGGAACTACTTATTCTCAATTTTAAAAATTAGTAGGATTCTCTTTTTCACAGAAACCACAAATGTAGTGATTTGCAACTGTTTCACAGAAATTGTTACTGTACTAAACACCGGAGCATCCAATTTGTTGATTTTGTCCTCTAGTGTCCTGGGTGATGCGATCAATTAGAAACTCGGATGACGAATGAATACCATCAGGGTGCTTTCAATGACCTGCTGTAGCATGATCCACAACCTTGACTGTATTGCATTTTGCGGCTGGGGAGATTTTGTAACAACACGGACAACTGATCGCAATCGCATTGTGCGACACTGATAGTTCGGCAAAGCAGTTGGCACACTTTTTCACAACGGTATCTCGCGATCGTATTGACCCTGTCGCTCCAGAGTTTACCAGTCCCTTGACCAAATCGGCTTCTCGCTTCGGTTTGTGTATTAAACACCTCCGTCCTAATCTGGATTCTGGCACGGATGGTTCCAATGGAGGATAATTGGGTCGTCGTGGTGGTACAGCAATCTGAAGTGGTAATGCTCCGGGAATAACCGCGGCTGCAGTGTTCAACCTCGTCGGCGCACCTCCTGAAGCCCATCGATCCTCGTTTCGGGGAAAGGAAGTCGCAGACCCTCCAATTGTGGAATCCTGATGATCATCTCGAACCATACTGGCATATGGACCACCAATTGACGGAATATCAATGCCTATTGGTACTTGTTGCATTTGAATTGCAGCTGGTTTCTGATCTGTAGACTCTTCTTCAGAAGCAGATGATAATTCATCTGACAATGATAGATTGTCCAGATCATCGTCAAGTCCTGCTATTGGCGGTGCTTTGGGACCCGCTGAAGGACTCCGTCGCGTGGGAATTGACATCGTCGATGAAGGCATTCGCATAACAGAGGGATCATAAGTATTTCGCCGTCGACCGGCGCTGACATTAAAGGGACTGCTCACATCCGTTCTGGACACTGTTTCGGAAGCCCGCGTATTTCTCATACGAGAGCTTTGCGGTGACATCATGGGAGGTTCATCTTGTCTATTGGGATCATTTTGCCTCATGAAATTCTGAAAGTATTGTTCTTCTTCCTGCTGCGACGACCAATTGCGCTCTCCAAACCTTCGTTCACTGTGATCCATTTTGGTACAATAATAGTACACACTATTGAAATGATTGATCCAGCCGTAACTTCCGAATGAAACTTAGAGTAACTTGAGGGCAACCTTTTGACTATTTGTCCAACAGTAGCGTTGTTGATCTTCTGTATCGGCAAATGATCCAATCACTGCACGAATGATGATATGAACAACAAAGGAATACTGGCTTGCCTCATCATTCGTTCATTCTTGACTTGGCTTCAGTCGGGTCTTTCCAGGCACGGGCTCGCTTGCTCGACCCCTTCGATCTGTTTGGAAACTATCCTTATCCTTTTCGACAACTCAGATGCCTCATGCATACCGGTAGGACCACTGGCAATGAACCGGGCTGTGTTGCCACCATGATCATAAGAAAAGCATAACATAAGAAATGAGAGATGCTTTGAAATGTTATAATCGAATACCAACTATAGTGCTTGATAAGAATTGATTTTCGGTCTCTGCTGTAAAAATTCTATTCTAGGTATTCTTCTATGGTACTGCTATCCATAGTACTGTGCAATTCAATTTTTCTGGTGCGGACAACACAGCAAGTCTTATTCTGCTATCAACTGCGGTTGGTGCGATTCTACTGCACGCTTGGAAACATGAACCACAGAAACTTGTCAACGACGGCGGCTGATGATGGAGCGAGCAGTCGTGCACCTCAGGAGTACCGTAATAGCGCACATACTACTGTTGCTGTTCCTGCGCAAATGGCGCACTTTCCTCCACATTGGAGGTCACATCGGACATTGACTGCGAACTCAACTCTCTCAATACGACCGAATGCAAGTGGTCCTTGCTGTGAAAGGGAGCCTCCTTGGTAAAGTTGACGTCGTATCCTTGTGGGTATACTATATCAAAAATGCCATAGGGACCGGGGCCATCCTTCTCTGGCAAGGGAGTGCCATCATGATGAGACAATTTGGAAAAGGGTCGTCCATTCACAATCAACTCGAATTTGATAAAATTGTCGCAGACCTTGTCCTTGGCAGGAGTGTGAGACGACGCAATGATGTGCAGTTTCGCGCCACGAGAATCCCACTTGTGAAAGAAAAAGTTTCCCTTCTTGGTTTCTTCGTAAGCATAATCATCATCGTTACTACCGCCTTCGGTGACTTGGCGCTTGCCCGAGTTCTTGCTCCAGAGAAGGACCACGGTCCGTTCTTCTTTGCCCAAGAAAAAGGTCCAGGATATTCGCTTCTTGCTTCCTTTGATGACGCTACCCACGTCTTGGACAGTTTTCTTGACTTGTTTTATTGATATATTGCTGCTTCCCGTCATAATTTGATTTGTGTTTATTGTCGTTCGTGTGTGTTTGAGATATGAAAGATTTTATGACGAACAATTCGAAAGAAATTTGAACGTTTTATCTTGACTGTGTCAGACACGCTTTTCACGTGAAGAAGCGGGGTAATAGCAGTACAGTAAGGGTACCCTTATAAGAGAGTATTGTGCGATAGCGTAAAATGTCTCTTAAGGCGGTTCCCCTCTTATTAAAGGGGGTCTGGGGGCGTCGCCCCCAGTGGATTGGGGGGCTGGGGGCAGCCCCCAGCGGGTCAAGGGCGGAGCCTTGCGGGGGGTATCTAGGGGGGCAGAGCCCCATTGGAGAAGAAAATTTGCAGTTTCAGGTAACAATTGAACCAAATTTTATAAGAAAACTACCACAATCTTTAAGGTACATTTTAGATCTGGTGCTGCGCTGGCCGCTTCATACATTCAATGCTTCCTAAGCAGTTTTTTGAGCCTGCTGTTAGCATTGAAGCATCTAGTTCCAAATGATCCAGATGATTCGGACGCTGAGGAAGAGGTGTGATGTCTTTCTCGCCACTCTGCTGTAACAAATCCTTCTGCTGCACTTCCCCCAGAAAGGCTGGTTTGCAGGCGAAGGACAGACATATGGGCATGAAATGGTACGGGTGACAGACGGACCGTGAAAGTTGTGTCTCTTCAAAATTTGTCTCTTAAGGGGGTGTTTCTCTTAAAAAAAACCCTCTTAACAGGGTACCCTTACTGTACCAGCATACGAAACGCTAAATCGTGGGCGATCTATTTGAACACTTTGAGCACTTTCAACTTTCGAACTTGAGTTTTGGCTTCGCGTTGCATTCAACAAGGACCGCCTATTAATACTTATTACTGCTGTAGGGCTACCCTTCTGCAAGGGCATTCTACTTCACCGGTATATTGGAACACACAGATCGGCTCAAAATGAAATGAAATGAAATGCAATGCTTTCTCGTAGGGTTCATCGAAACTGCTGGTACCAGGGTAGTTGCTAGTAGGTAGGTAGCAAGAAAAGCAAAAAATATTTTCCCATTACCGTACAACGGTTATCCACACCACTTTCTTGGACTGTACCGGTAGGTGTCAGAGCTGGTAGCTATCAATAGCTAGTAGTATGCTTTATATTAGTTTGAAAATGTATTCTTCACATTTAGGGTTTGGTGTTAGAGTTGACACTATTATAGCTAGAACGTATAAATAAAACATGGCAGTATGGTGGAAATTTTTTCTTTAAAAGAGTTAGGCAGTACGGTTCCTAAATAAATATTTTGTTTCAAAAAGAAGGACTGAGATTATATACATTCGTTGATTTTAACATTGGTTCTCAGTTGTCCAAAATGTAGGTAGCCGTTCAATGTGTAAGGGGAGGAAGTGAAAATGTATTTCATTGCAAATGAATAGAGCGAAGTAACAATAACAAAAACATGGCAAGTAACACCAAGATGGGGTGCCTCGAGCCTTTGTCAGTCGTCCAAGATGATTCGACTGGCTCGCTCTAACTTTGGTTGACACCAAAGCAATCACTTCAGAATCATGCTGAGCGTGTGTGAAAGCTGATGATGAAAACGAAAGAGTTTCTTTGCAGTTTCTCCAGCAAATGAAGGTAAGTCCCAACTCGACACTCATGCAGCAGGGCTTGCAGCGAATGGTGGGCGGGCCAACCATAGGATGTTGGATTGGACACTTTCCCTTAGTTCTGGTTCCAAGTCTGCTGATAGCGCACTGGTGAAACTCACCAAGTGGCCCATACATTTGGCACAGCCGTCTTGGTCACCATTCTCATAGCACCAGACTCCAATGTTGTTCATCAATGAAATACCCAGAAGCTCCACGTTGTCACCAGCGAGCAGTGTCATGGACAGTTCGTAGAGAGAGATGGCTTGTTCGGAAGACCTTGACTTGAGATGTTCGGTGAGCGCTAGATTGAATATGATGGCAGCACTTTCTCTTTTTGTGGTGATGTTGGGATCCACACCCAACAGCATGGGATCGGTAAAGAGAAAGGGAGTATAGAGCGAAGCATCACTGGAGAATCTCTCCCACGTTTCGATGCTCTGCATTCTTGGAGAAATCACAAGTTCTTGTTCTTGGGGAGATAACTGAAATTCCTTTGGGAAGCATTCGAGATTCATCAGATGCGCCTCTGCTCTGGCAATATAGCTGTTGGACATCTGGTAGGATCTGATATCCGCATAAGCTTCACCAGTCCGCTCTATGGCCAACTTCACCTCGAGTGCGCCCTTGAACAAATCCCAAGCGATGCAATGCTTGGCAGTTTCGAGGCATCGCACACCGGCGTTGTTGTATTCTATTGATCTCTGAGAAAGAGAGGTATTTTCTGTCATTCTGAGCGTATTTGATGGAACACAAGATTGGTTGATAGTTGATTGGGGTCTTCTGGTTTCTGATTTTTTATGATCGTGGGTTTAGAACTTTTGATCTTTTGTTGGGACCACAGGTTTGAGGGTTCTTTTTTGTGGACTCAAGGTGCAAAACTAGCTGGCTTGGGCCGATTAAGCAGAAGAGAGTGGCCTTGTGTCGTTAAGTGCATTTTTGAGAAGGGTACGCATGTGTCTTCATCTTTATTAAAAGGAAATTAAAAACTGTTCATCGGCGTATCGCCACAAGAACTTGAAAAGCGCATCTGCCTCCCAAGAACTTCGCCTCATTTCATGTTGATAGAAACGAGTGGAAATTCGGGCGAATCTTTGGGCACAAGGTGACGAATAAAAGGCATCTGCTCTTGCAATGTTGATTACTTTGTTCTTCGTACATAAAAGTCAAGGTTTTCGCAGATTTTGGTTGATCATGGCGGATTGATTGATTTCCCGAAATCAGTTGGCACCAGCATGTCTGCTTATGAATGCCAGACTGGCAGTGAAGGGTTAGAATCATTTGACACATGCAGTAAAGTTCCCATAATTTGAGCGACGGCCAGGTTCAAAGGGTGCTTCACAATCTCATGTCCATGTTCCAATGTCCAATACAGTAAGAACCATACATGTGCTATGGTCCTATCGATCATTCTCATCAAAGTTTTTCGCGATTTATTTATATTTAGCCAGTCTATCGATCCAGTAGGACTACTGTACTGTAGTTATCAAAGCCCTGTCACAGTCGTAGTCGGATTCCCTTTATGAATCCTCCAGTACTTCGCCCGCTTCCGTAGGATCTCATGCGCATTTCAATCTGAAAGTCCGAAACATCTGCATTGCTGATGCTATCTCCTATGTCACCTACCTTTTCTTGCATCTTGCGGCGAAAAGCTGTCACCAGTTCTCGTTCATTCGTTGCCTCGCTCTGTTTGACTGCTGCGACACCTTGAGGAGGTTCCTGACCGTACAACAACACGGATGACTCCACAAAGGATTCGACGGCATTGTCAATCTTGACGTCCAAAAGTGCTTCTTCCCTTGTTGGCAAGGAAGGACGACCAATCTCGTAAATCATTGCAGGAATCACCAAAACGCCAGCCGTCGTTGTGGAATGAGTAACGGATTGCAATGCTACTCCCAAGACCACAAACAGTAGGGTTACTGCCAATTGGAGTGGGGGTGGCGCTGAAGCGGATAGTCCAGCATCGCGCTGGGCCAGCCAATCATCACCACCCATCTTCGCCAAACCCTCGACAGTATACCCGACGTTGGCACCAGTCCCAACTCGACTTCCCATTTCGGGGCGTTCTCCATCTTGGACGACCTGACTTTCCTTCATAGCTTCATCTAGTGGAGCACCACTGGAAATCTTGCCAAAAAAGGTAGTAGCTCTGGTGGCTGGATTAAAGTCACTGTCCAATCCAACTCCAATGGGTGCCAAAAGCCAATCAATTCCTAGATATCCATTCATAGCCCACAATACGGAGCCGCCGATGAATCCGGCATCCACGTCATCTATCGACAATTTTAGAGTTTTACTTTGCTTGTTCCTCTGTTGATGGTAAATAGTGACATGGTTCAGTGCTGAATAGGACGAAGTTCTTGTTATCATTCTTGTGCTGGGGGATGCTGACGATGAACAAATGATCCCTTCCGGTGAGAAACCTTCACATCCATTTGTAAAAAACACCGCTGCAGTGGTAATCGCAAGAAAGGTGACGGTTCTGGCTCTAGAGGTTGCCATCATTGTCGTTGATTGTTACCAATATGTTTCAGGATGGTCGCTGTCGCTGGAAGGTTATTGATGTGTGTGTGAGGATGTGAACTTTGAACTTCCTCCCAACCTGAGTCAGTCAGTCAGTCAGTCAGTCAGTCAAAAATCAAAGCGACACAGATACGACAAGCCGCAAGTTTCTTGGAGAACCAGCGAAAAGGAAATATTGTCTTGTCCTTGCTTGCAAGCAACATTGCCGCAACGGTTGGAAAAGAAAATCAAAAGTCACGGCCAGGTGTGGGACTGGTGCCATGACACTTTCTCAAATCCCCTCTAGTCCTTCCTTTCGGTCTTCTGCTGTGAATGCAGTGGCAATAATTCCATTGCTCAGCAGTGATCGGAAAGGACAGGATGATGATACCACACACTCGAGCAGATCCTTTCAAGAACTCATGGAGGCACTTGGACGACACAAGGATCAATCACAACCCTGCTCACAAACGGGAGATGACATTTTGATAGTTGTTCCAAACTCTAGTTTGACTCGCCCTTCAAACTGGAAGTATGATAATACTCCTCTCAAGAACTTTCATTGGGAATATGGCTGCCAAAGATTAGCCGTCTTTGATGGACGACCTTACAATTCAAGAATGGCCCATGACAGACTCATCAATCACGATTTGACTCGAAACTGGATTGATTTGTGTCCTCACCGGAGAACTGCAGCATTGATTGGGGTTCTCAATATGCGAGATGTCCCAGACATTGAAACACTTCTCAAGGCGGAACAAGAGTGGCAACAATGGGCGGAACGGTATTCCACCCCGCCTTATGAGGTCACAGCTCATGGGCGTGATTTCGAGCGTGATTTTGTAGTACAGAGACTTTTTGTGTTTGATAGTTTCCACGAAGATAGCAAGGTTGATATGTCGACGACGTCATTGGGATCCAGTTTGGTGGCTTTTCCACCGGCCGAAGGCGACAGCTCTACCAAAATGATGGACATGCACACCAATGTCGTCGTGACGGATCTTGCAGTCGCCATCTTTCAAGAACTAGAGGACAGAATTCGAGAATCGGACATGACGATTGGTTCGGATGGACAACCTTTGTCTTCTGCGGCTGCGCGATCTCGTTTCTTTCAATTGGCTCAAAAGCAAGGCGAGGGGGAAGACGAGGAGGGTCCGCAAGGTTCTTCTCACTTGAATGTTAATGGCTTAGCAGCTGTCGTGAGCTCTGATAATCAATTGGCATCATCCGCTTCCGCGGCGAACAAGAATCGGCATCCAAAAGACCGCGAGTCGATTCAACTCAAGCTGAGCAATGCTGTTTCCAAGGGATCCAGTTCGGAGGCACAGCTGCTGACCCCACTCGATGATGTTTGGGACTACTCCGAGTTGAAGCCTTCAGACGCCCAAGAAATGCTTCGCCGAGAAGTTGGACGACGCGAGAAATTTGCGGCCGATCTGTCATTGCTCGCTGGATCGCCCTTGGATGCCTACGAACGGTACATGAAGGCGGCAGATTTGTGCAAGACTTCCTGTCCTGATCCACTTTGGTACGCAAGTGCGCTGGAGGGATGTGCGGCTGCTCATGTTGCCATGGTGGAAGCTGGGGGGTACAATGTGGACACATATTTGGAGTCGGCATTTCAGGTATGGCAAAAGTGCTAGAGTATTGTGAAATTCTGATGAACGATGTTCAGTACTAACCACAATTTCTTTTTTCAGCTACCCGACGAATTCATGGCATGTTCTGTTGCATCCGGAGAAAAGACAACCAAGCAAACAATGTCCAAGGTTGTCAAAGCGTTGTGTGACGATTCGCTACGAGTCCTGAGTCGACATCCACGATTGGCATGCTTTCGGGCCGAATTGCTATTGAAATTGGCTTGGTACACGGGGGAAGTGGAAGATACTCACATTCGCTGCAAATGGGGAATTGGCGAAGGCTGCTTTGGCGGAGATCCTGCCAGTGAAAAGCGTCGCTGGGAGGTCCATTCCTCGACTCAACTTAGTTTCCTGGAACTCAGGAACAAGAACGGGGAGGATGTTGTTCGTCTAAACACGTTGCATCGATTGCAGGAATGGACAAGGGTCATGCACGTTGCTGTAGCAGCAGGCGCTTTGGATCCAGTCACTCGTGCTGACGTTGCTTTGCGTTGTGCTTCACTATGTCTAAAGGGATTGCGAGTACGTTGCAGATGTATTGCACCAAATTCTTGCGTCCATCGATGTATTTTCTCAATGATTTCTTCCCCTCTTGCATCTATATAGCCAACCGATAAGCCAACTTCTGCAGTGCGATCCGAAGAGCGGATCATATTCAATAGAAAGGCATCCTTTTTTGCCACTGCTGCTGCGGAAGCGCTTTCCGAAATTGATGGACAGGCTCCTGATGACCGAGCAAGTGCAATGTGGGTCACTGTATCGAAATTGTTATCAAAGAAGAGCAATGTATCGAATCCAGGAAACTATGGGTGGGCAACACTAAGAGCTGTTGCACTCCATGCGCTCTCGATGCAGGGGCTGAAAGAGACGTCGGAAGATGCTGCGGTACAACTTCTTTCTCTCATGGGTGAAATCAAGCCTGTCAAGACCAAATCTGAGTCAAATGCTTTCTTTTCAAGATACGAATCGCTCGAGACTGACGATGGTGAGAGCAAGCAGACGAACGATGACAGCAGCGTCCGGTCAGACTACGTCGATGCTGGAAGATCTGTTGCATCTGCCGCTCGAACGTTTGTCAGAGAAAAGGCGAAAGACGCGATTCGAGGTCGTCAAAAGGACTTTTTCACTGGTCAAAACCAAAACAGCAACACTTTGTTAGCTGTTGCACAATCGAAATGGGTAGACGACGACCCAGTCCCATCTATCCTGTTGCCAGTTGCGGACTTTTCGGACATTTCCAATACTATTCTTGCTATGCGAGCTGTTTGGTCAGCAGTCAAATTTGACAGCTGCGCCACTGCACAGCAAAAGTTGACAAGACAAATTTCCAATCTTCGAAAATCGAATCCAACCTCTTCCTTGCTCACTAACACTCCGTCAGATATTGCGCTGCACCTGCCAATCCAAATCACCGCTGTTGAAATTGGTGGTTCTGAATCCAGGGCTCCTCTCGAGCGTAAAAAAGTGAAAGTAGCGAAGGAGGGTGAAGAGGGTGGTGCCATGGCTACCTTCTTTAATCCGTACGCAGCCAAGAGCAAGGAAGTTGAAGCAACACTGATTCCCGAAGGGGAAGAGCGATATATCTTGGTCAAGTTTGCAAACAAGCTATCGATCCCTATGGAAGTCCCACGCTGCCAACTTGAATTCGATGTTCCCAATTCTGTCAGGATTAAGGCTCCAGCAATCTCGTTTGTGATTCCTGGCCAGACATCTGATTTCGCGGTACAGTTCCCTTTCATCTTCTTGAATGAAAGCGCGGAAATCACCAAGGAGCAGAATTCGCAAGTCTTTGGGGTCAAGGGACTTTATGTCACCTGCCTCACTAGATCGTTCTTCCTCCCTCTCGAGGTATCTAGCTCGGAAGATGACGCTGCGAAACAAGAAGAAATGCACAATATTCCAAAATCTACCTCGCTCTACCCCAGACGGGACTATGACGAGGCAAGCTTGGAGATCAAATCTCCGCGTTTGGAAGTTGTGTCTGCACAGCCGAACTTATTGATATCTTTTGCCACATCTACCAAATCTCCTCTCAGCGAAGACGTCGTTATTCCCGCTCCAATCGCAGATGGCGAAACCTTTACCATTCCCAAATTGTTGTTGAGCAATAACCCTGGGCTTGGCAGCAATGGCCAGATTGAAGAACTTTGCATATCTGCGATTGGTTTGCCAGGTCTTTCAGAGGTTGTTTTGTTCGATTTGAACAAGCCTGTCGAAACTGATAGCTCCAAGGAACAATCGAAACCTCTCTCGCTGAAAGCATTGTGCACTGGCATTGACACGGCCAATCTGAACAATCCTCTGAGAGCTGCGAAAGAGTGTTCCATTTCACTCCAGCTGAAGGCTGCAACTGATATGGGATCACACAACAAGGGAGCAGAAGTGAAACTTCGGTTCCGGTATCGAGGCAAGCAAGCTTCTTCAGCGCTAGAAGTTTGGAGGACTACAGAACTCACTCTACATGTCTTGAGGATCAAGGGTCCTCGTGTTTCATCCATTACATTCCGCCCGGACCTGGCCTGGGGCAGTGGGTATTCTCAGCTGTGCACGGCACTTGCTGACCAAGACAAGCATGCAAGGTATCGATTCGCCAGGCAAGAAAAAAAGGATCTTCCAAAGGCTGGAAGTTCGGACAATACGGATTTTGTTCTGAATCGCCTTGGCAAAGACCCTGGTGTTCATATTTGCGGCGAAAAGGTGGTCGTTATTCTTTCCGTTGCGAATGAGACTGCTGCAGCGATTCGCCTCTCTTCTCCAGACGGTGCCATTGGAGGATTTGATGGTTCGCCTATCGAAACCATGGAGGTCACTTCGGGAATAAGTGCCAAGATTCCAATTATTCTTCCTCGTGTGGATCGTTCCTCCGATATTTGCGAGCGACTCCGAGAGTTGACGACCCTTTATTGGGAATCGGAAGAAGCCGAAGGAGATGCGAAAGCTGAAATTGAAAGCAATGGATCGATGGTGCCAGTCAACAAGCGCGTCCGAAGTGGTACCATCAAAATCCCGATGCACTGCTTGAAGACCATTGTGGACGAGCACCCTACGTTTTTGTCTCGCATCTGCAAGGCTCCATGTGCCATCGCAGTCGCTGGTGGTGGGGGAGCTGCCGGATCCTCGCAAGTACAAAAGGGTGACTCGGTAGACTTGTCGGTCCAGGTGGAACTTGCCGATTGGATTCCAGCTGGATTGTTGGACAATAATAATTTGACTTTGGAATTCTGCTGCGCTCCCAAGGAGGGAAGCAGCAAGGGAAAGTCATTCATTTGGTGTGGCCAAGTGAAGAAAACCATTCCCAAGAATTCCAAATCTTCCCATCGTGCCCGGGTAATCTTCCTCAGCGAGGGCGAGTATGTTGTCTCGGCATGCGTCACATTTAAGAGAAACGATGTGGACGATGATGTCAGGGAGATCTGGTGGGCTCCCAAAGCACATGCCGTCAAGGTTGGAGACAGTCTACTGAAGCAATAAAAATTTGAACGAGTGGATTGATGGAATGAATCTACTTTAATGCTTGTGTGATTGCCTCCAGTGCTTCCTTTTGCCGCGAGTTGGCGGCATTTTTTATTTTGGTAGCCAACAGTGTAACACTACTTGGCATGTTATTGATTCCCAACAGAAACTCGAGTAATTCAATTATTGCCTCTGCTTGCCTCCGCAATTGTTCTTCTAATTTGTCGGGAGAGGCCAACATTGGAGGATACATGACGCTTCCAAAATCCGTGGCTCCTTCTCCGACTGCTCTTGCATAGTTGTATAGTTTCAAAATGTGATCGAATTCTTGTTCATCCTGTGTTTCTGTTACTCGTTTCCCCAGTACATCACTTGCCTCCAACGTAGCTTTCATGGTCCCCCGAGAACACTTCAAAATACCCATACAGGCCAAGGCAATTGGCAATTCACTTTCGGAATATTGATCCTCCTCGTCACCACCAAAATAGTCATCTGCTTCTGCCTCATCCACATCTCCGTCACCTTCAACAGGTCCCATGTCTATCGTTTCTTGAAACTCCTCCATGGTATCTTGACACTCTTGAGTCCAAGTAAAGAATTCTCGTCGCATGGCATTCCGATTTCCTTGTGGCACTTGTTTGTTCAAAATCTTGTCGCAAGCGTCCCAAACAGCACCCGTCTTTTGAGCCCCAATGTTGTTGTCTCTTGGTAGTGCCGACTCATCTTCAAATGAATCCATCAAATGTTTGACATTTATGCAAATGGCCAAACTGGCTTTGCGAGTGGCTTGTCGTACCGACCGAGAACATCCCGTACAATCTTGCAAGAGTGAATGAGTGGCGGCTCCCAAAACTTCACACCCGCGTTGCAAGTCGGCCGAGAGTATCTTCTGATCTTCGATCGATATTTTTCCAACAAGTGTGTATTTGGTCGAAGTGGCATGCACCAAGGCCGCACCTTCATGCAACAAATTGTAGGCAATTTGGACATCTTTGGGAATCTCACGAAAGTGCGACAAGATTGGAGCGGATTTGGAAGCATTTGGATTGGTTTTCAAGTGATCAATCAGACGATCGAGTGCAGCAATGACTTGGGCATTGGTAGGTTTCCGTTGCTCTGACTGTGATTTGCTGGCCATGGAGATATCTTTCTGTTTTTTTGGACTACAGTAGGTTAGAGATTTTTGTTGCTTACAGTGTTTCATCATGCATGTTTCGGCTCATTCTTTCGTTGGTTTGACAAAGCTCGTGACTGAATCTGGAATCACGGGGTTTAGAGGACAGACAGATAGACGACAAACAACGCCATTGGCCCTCTACCACTACGGGTACGATAGTCCAATGACAGTTCAGTTTATTGCAATTGGCCAATTTGATACGTCTATCAACAGACCAATTCATTTTCTTTCCCACCATTACCCTCCTGTTGGGCACCGTCGCCTTTCTTGTAGTCGGCGATGGTGCCCAGTATGTAGGAAAGCAAAAGCAGGTCTCAGAAATCCCGTTGACTACGGGATTCCTGAGATTAGTCTTCCGGGTCCCCCTTTGACCCAAAAGACCAGCTTTGCACCACAACAGACGAATCACTCCTTGCAGACAGATCCAAGACGAACATTCAACATCAAGCGGAAGGCGCCAGTGGGCTATCTCAGATAGTATGATTTACTGTAGATATTCTACCGGTACCGGCGGTACTGTTGTCGCAGAATGTCGAAGCTCCAATTTGAAATTGTGATTTGATTCCACAAGATATCCAGTCCTCTCAGCGAATGAATCCACCTAGTGCCTTTTGCCACGTTTGTTTCATTTAAAATTTGAGCAAGTTTTCAACGTTGTGTGTTTCATCAAGGTTTCATCTGGTTGTTGGGTGTCCAACGATGAATTTCTTTATGTCACCACTCTTTGATCTGTGCGTGACTGTTGGAGTCACGAATAAAGACGGGTGAGGGCAGACCTTTTCACAAACGACGTCATTCACAATCAATGATGATGTTCAAATTCACACTCCACCTTGTCACTCAACAAAGAAGAGACATAGTTGAACCATTTTCTCGTCATTGAATCGAATTCACCGCATTTGCATATCTAATCCAACGAAACAATGGCACCTAAAGAATACCACGGTGAGTTTTTGCCGGATGCACCGGCAATTTCATCGACAAATACTGAATCTATTCTTATTTCTGACAGCAACACTAACACATGAAACTTTTTTTTGATTCTTTCACCATCGCTTTCCAGCCGGCCATGACGTGAAGTCACTTGCATTGAATTTCATGAGCATAGTCCTCATCCTTCTGCCCTGTGTTGCCTACTTTTATTCCGAGTACATTCAAATAGCGGTTGGCTTTGCCGCCGCAACCACGCTGATTGCACTAGTGGCGCCACCCGTTGGCTGGAGAAGACCCCATCCATATTCCGATGACCCAAACAATACTCCCTATCCCAGAAAAAGCGAATGAAGAAATATTCGAAAAGAAGAAATTATTTGTTTCATTCCAAGAACAAGGCTCCATCCTCGCTCCATATATTATAAGATTATATAAAATACAACCGCAGACAACATCAAGAAACATGTTTTTTTCGAGAAGAAAGTCGCTGGAAGACACCCTATTGCCTTCTATAGCATGCATTGCTTAAGATATATTTTAGTGACTGATTCAATAATACGAATGCAAGAAAGGTCTCTCTTATTGCCCCGAATAACTAATTTCACTTTTCCTGTTTTTTGCAAACAAAACCTTTTTCTGTACCTCCACCAATGATGATTGCGACGAGACTTTTCAAGTCCCAGCCCATTTCGATTATTGAACAATAAAATAATCTTCAAAAGCAACAAAAAAGGAAGCTCAACTGTTGGGGTGTCATTGTAGCGGTCAAAGTTACCCAGCTTTCTCCCCGGGTTCTTCTACAAGCAAAATATCCACGATTGGAATGATTCAGTGACTCTACTCTCATTAGAAAGAACACAAAATGCTTACAAACGTCTTTCAGAATCACATGACAAAGTCTGGGTCAAATCCGACTGGTACTGCTGGTAGGCTTCCTCCAAAGGGACCCAAGCAAATCGAGCAAGGCAAGACAGAACAGCAGCTTGAAGATGAAATTGCCGATGAAATGTTCGTCCAATTCCCTGTCTACGGAAGTCAGAGTCCTGCCAATTTGAACCCCACAGCGGACTGGTTGTTGGGCGGAACCTCCAACATTCCCAACCAACAACAATTGCTGCTGGAAAAGGAAAAGGAGAAGAAACAACAGGAACAAGAAAAGCAACAGGTACCGCCCATGGACAACAAACCTGCTAATAGTACTACTTTGTCTCCTACCACCGCCAATACCGAAAAATACAAGGGATGGGACGAACATGAACAAGACTTGTGGCGATCTCAAAAACAACCAAAAGGCAATGTCCAAAGTTCTGCTGCTTCCAGGGCTAGGGGACGGGATAAGTATTTGCGAGGCAGGCCCAGTGAATCCAAGGACGATTTCTCTCAAGATTGGATGATGGCCTACTATTACCACACTGGTGTCAAGCCAAAATTGGACATTAAGGCCAATTCTATCAAAAAGCCTACTCGACAACGCCAAATGTCGCCCTTCAGCACCAATATGAATGCTACTGCGTCCGCAAACACACCATCGATCACTAGCGCCATGACTACGAGTGTGACTCGTCAGCCGGGAGCTCCTACCATTCCGGAACAAGACGAGACTGCCTCTATCAAAACCAGTGACACTGCAAGCATGTACCGAACCGTGACAACGGCTGCTACCTCCGCAGTAGACACGGATGGATCCTTTGATGAGGAGGAGGATGCCATTGCCGAGGCTGACGATGATCGACAGCATTGGATGCCTGATCACTATGCAAAACAGTGTTATGCTTGTGATACTCAATTCACTGTTTTCCGTCGAAGACATCATTGTCGTATCTGTGGTCAAGTATTTTGGTACGTCCATTCCATTTCTACTCTGCATTTCCTTTAATTTCCGAAAGATGTCTTCTTACACACTACTTTTGCCTTAACTTCAATAGCAATGTGTGCTCTGGGTATTTTGTGCCAGCTACGAGCAACCAAGAACTTCCACAGCAGAATAATCACAATAATGCTCCAGGACAACCTGGATCCTTGCAGCAACCACAGCAGCGCACACAGTCCACACCAGTGCCGAGTACTCCGACAGTCGTAGGGTCTCCAGTCATTGCTAGCAGCAAGAACCTGTTGAGAACCTGCAAAATGTGCCACGACCAAGTCGCTGCCAAGCAACTGGCTCAGAATAAAGTCATTCAGCAACAAGCAGAAGTGCCGAGACAAAAAGCTCCACAAACCCAACAGAGCAAAATGAAGACTCCTCAACGTCCCAGTCTCCAAGCAGAATTGGAAACTGGGGACTCTGTTCTAAAAGACTTGTCCAAGAAGAGAACCGAAAGTGCCTATGCCAAACGGCGTCTCTTGTCGCAACAAAAGGCCATGGAAGAAGAAGAGAAGGAACAAACTTCCCTGCTTTTACAAGGACAAAAGGAAGAAGAAGATCGTCAACTCTATCACGAAAAGGCATCCTCCCGGGGTGTATTCATGAGCTCGCCTCGACACGAGGAACGGAAGAATGCTCAAGGAATTGCCATCCAAGATTCGTCGGACGATGATCGTCAAACGGCAGTGAAAGAAGGGAACCGTCAATTGGGATTGTCGGCAGCCACGCATTTGGAACAACTGGCAGAGGCCTTGCTCGCCAGTGATGCACCCCTCTTGTGGAATCAATTGACTAAGGACAGTAGGGATTTGGGAGACACCAAGTTACACAAGAGATGGGTCAACAAGCTGATGCATCTTGCTACCAAGTGCTGTACTACTGTTCAGCCTAACGTTAAAAAGGGTGATTTGCTGGACATTCGTCCCTACGTCAAGACCAAGGTGATCCCCGGCGGTTCCTACAAGGACTGCGCCTATATCAGTGGAATCATGTTCCGCAAAACTGTCAGTCACAAACAAATGGCCCGAGACGTGGATCAACCAAGGATCATGCTCTTGAGTGGTGGCATTGAATTTACTCGTACCGAGAATCGAATTGCGTCCTTGGATTCATTGTTGGTCGGAGAGAACAAGTACATGGAAATCTTGGTGGGTAAGATTCTAAAGCTCAAACCAGATGTCTTGCTTGTAGGCAAGGCCGTGAGCCGTAGAGCACAAGAGCTCTTGTTGAAAGCTCGAGTGGTCCTGGTCCAGCATGTCAAGGCATCATTACTGAAACGAATCTCCAGGCAAACGGGAGCTACCATTATCAGTAGTACAGACCACATCATGAACAAGTTTGGAGCTCACGTTCTTGGAAAGTGTCATCGATTCCGCACGGTTGTAGCAAGAGACAACGAAGTATGGGTTGACAAGCTAGAGATAACTTATGGAACTAAGAGCGAGAAGCGTGAGGTTCAAAATTTATTGATGAATCCAGACCTACCCAATCATAAGCGTCAAGAAGCGTTGGCTGCCAATATGCTTGGAGAAAATGTCATGGATGGATCGGATGCCATACAGTCCGGACTAGCCAAACGTGGCGTTGCCCAAACCTACGTTATGATGGAAGGATGCCCCAAGCATTTGGGCTGTACCGTTATCTTGCGCGGCGCAGATCGCGAAGCTCTGAAACAAGTCAAGAAGGTCTTTCGTTTTCTGGTTAATGTCGCTTACAACCTCCATTTGGAAACCACTTTTCTGAAGGAACGCTGCGCATGCTTGCGACCTGATTTCGCAGTGCAACCGGAGAACTTATGCAGTTCATCATTGTGCGTGGATTATGGATCGCCACCAAATCCTCGAAAGGCACGGCCTTGGAATGGTGGACCAAACAATGAAGGAGCACAGCGTTCTATCACTGGTGGAATATCAGTCTTTGACCATCAGTCAATTTTGGTCAGTTCAGTCTGGATGACTAGCAAGACTCAATGCTGCCCAGCAGAGGTCAAGGGTATCTGCTACTATTCCGTTCAGGATGTGTCTCTTGGCCAGTTTCTTCGTGATTCCTGCTTCAACTTGTCCCTAAAGTGCCAAAACTCGAACTGCAAAAAGTCAGTTCTTGACCACTCTCTTTCCTTTGTCCACAATGATGGTTTCATCAACATCACAGTGGACTACATGGACGAGCCTCTCCCTCCAGCATCGCTGGATAGTAGTCGCCATAGGAACGAGACAACGCGCAAAGATGCGAATTCAGGTGATGACGAGGACAGCCCTATTGCCACATGGACGTATTGTAAGCAGTGCGGAGAAGTTGTAACTCCATTGGTCTACATTTCGGACAAGACTTGGAACTATTCGTTTGGAAAGTTTTTGGAATCCTTTTTCTACAACGGGGACACGATTATGAACCCGAAACAGCACAAGTGCTCATGTTCTGTACAAACCGAGACGAACTTGTTTTTCGGATGTGGTCGATTGTCGGCACGGTTCACGTATGAGCGTCTTAAGCCTTTCAATGTTTTCGTGCGAAAATCTCTTCCTCTTGATATTTCATATCATAGAACAGATGCACTCCGGCAGCTGGATCTGATATCCAAGGCATCGTCTTCATTGTTTGTTAACTTTGACGAACACATCAACAAGGTATCCCGTGAAGCGATGGCGCTGTTTGGAACCTCCACAAGTAGGCCAGAACATATGGACACAGTCCTTTCGGAGCTTCAAAAGATAGCATCCGAGGTCGACAACGCAGCGAAGACATTGCAAGAAAAGATTGCATCTGTTTCAGACAAGTGCACAAACGAAGACGAAGAGGTAATAAGCGACGCCCTATTTCGCTTCCCTTGGTTTGCAAGACGATATCTGTACATGCTAACGTCAGCCTGGAACGAGAAATTGAGTGCTGCTGGCCAGGCGATTGTGGCAATGAAAAAGATCTCATCCTCTGCATCGAATAGAAATGACAGCATGTCATCAAACGTTCCTCTTGGTGCGAGTGATCAGAACGATGAACTTCACGAAGGAATGAGACGCCTTCGCCAGCTTCGCGAAGTATACTCAAGCTACAACATCACTGATATCACTACTGTGATCCCTACCATTCCAGGTACTGGCAATGAAAAGGCTCAGATCGAATACGATGATGATTTTGATGATCACGATGCTGCAGTTGGGGACTTCAGTGAGACAGTGGATGCTGATGTATTGGCATCTCGTCGACGCCTCCAGACTGAAGAAAAATCGAAAGCAAAAGGCTCGGCAGAAACCATTCCCAATACAACGATCACTGCAAAGGTTACACCGGGTGGTGCAGTGAAATCAGCAATCACCCGATTCTTTAACAGAGGCGGGGACGAGTCGGATCCTTACATTGTCGATCTTGGAATTTTCAATGAAGGGAGACCTCGGCTGGAACCAGGAGTTAATGGAATTATCATTCCAGTTGTAGACGAGCAATTTTCAACTTCAATTGCATACTCACTTTCGTCAAAGGAGTATGCTCGACAATTTGATGAATTCTCAAAAGCGGAGCCCACCACGTCAGAGCCCAGTACGACTCCTACCGTATCGGCAGAACATGGGACTCTATCAACTGGACAACAAGATCTACCCCCAACAGGTCGAAATGCTTTCAAGGAGTCCAAGACATCTGGATCTACCAGTAGTCGCGACAAAGAGGGAATCGAGAGACGAATCCTTGTACGAAACAAGTCTCATGTTAAGCACACTTTCCGCGACTTTGATGAAAAAGGAAACAACCTTTGCAAGTTCGTGGTGACTACGTATTGGGCGACCCAGTTTCATGCAGTGCGGGAAGCTTTCCTCACTCCATCTGGATCCAAGAACGACTCATTTGTTTATCCTCCTGGAATGAACGTGGAACAAGGATACGTCCAGAGTTTGACCGCGTCTTATTCCTGGGCTGCCAGTGGTGGAAAGAGTGGAGCAAGTTTTTCTCGAACTGCTGATGACCGATTCGTCATCAAGCACATTTCAAAGACAGAGCTCCAGATGTTTTTGGAATGCGCTCCGGCCTATTTTGAATATCTAAGCAAGGTGTTCTTTCATGGATTGTAAGTTGTCAGCGACGCCGCAATACAATCAAATCTCATGCATGTGATCTAACTGTTTTATTCCCCGCTTAGACCTACGGTTCTGTGCAAGGTTGTAGGTGTTTATACCATTTCATTCCACAATCGTGTCACTGGAAAGCGAAGCATGGAGCAGGTAGCTGTCATGCAGAACATATTCTGCAATAAAAAGATTACCAAGACTTTCGATCTAAAAGGTTCGCTTCGAGGCAGATTCGCGGCTCTCATCCAAAAGGCAAAATACAGCAGTAGCAATGCTGGTTCAACCAGTTTTTCTGAAAGCGCGTCGGCTAAAGGGAAGGGGACCGGAGATAAAGGATCGGAAAATGAAGCCAGAACGAATGAGGGAGAAGATACTGAGAAGCCTATAAGGTCAGGCAGAACTCTTTTAGATGGCGACTTTTTGGAGTTTACAGCGGGACGGCCCATGCCAATGAATGACCGAGCCAAGGCTGTATTCCACATGAGTATTCTCAATGACACTCTGTTCCTCTCAATCATTAACGTTTTGGACTATTCCATCTTGGTTGGAATTGACGAAGAGAACAATGAATTAGTGGTTGGTATCATTGATTTCATGAGGCAATATGACATTTTGAAACAGATGGAACGTGTCGGAAAGAGTTTGCCGATGGTGGTGGGTAGCGAGGCACCGACGATCATTCAACCTCCACTCTATAAGGCCCGTTTCACGAATGCTATGGAACGATACTTTATGACCGTTCCAAGTAAGTGGACAACAATCTAATCATAGTAATATCATAATATTATCAACAAGAACGAGTGCTACCTGTACCTTCCAGACTACTTTTGCTACGAGTACGATAAGGACTGTTGTAGTCCTAATGCACAATTCTGACGTCAACTGCGAAACTCTCGTGGTCGGAAGTAAACTTCTTCTCTTCTTCATCGACGCATACGCTCTTCTCAGTTCTCAGTCGACCAATCTCTTCTATACCACCAAAAACAAACCAACTGCTTGACAAGAACCATGTGCACACCAGATTCTGAGCGAGACTCCTATGACGAGCGTCCTTTGGTCGACGATCTACTGGACAAGCATGCCAAAGCAATCGCCTCTGTTCGCGAAAGCATTCTGGCCGACGACGAATGCAAGGAACTCTATGAAAAGGGTGATAATACCAAGCGCTACGACGATATTTGGATCCTTCGCTATGTATTGAGTCATAAAGGTCATACTAAGGCTGCTTCCAAGGCTGCAAAGAGTACAATCTTATTTCGAGAAGAACACGGAATGAACGAACTTGGCGACCTTCGTCCTCGTATGAAGCAACATGGTGTTCCTGACAGCGAAGCAATGGCGAAGATGGAGCCATTGCCAGGATATGAACTATTCGAAAAGTACTGCAGTGAAAATGCAGTATGCCTGACTCTCCCTGATGAAAATAGAGGACTTATCATGTATTGTGATGTTGGTGCACTCGACCAACATGGCATAACAGAAAATATTGACGAAAGCGTTATCAGAGAAATCATGTTATATACCAATGAAGCCATCTTTCAAATTTTGGATGACGTTACTCGGCGTACTGGTCGGTTGACAAAGGTTACCAAGATCATCGACATGGGAAATACAACCTTAAGGGGGATGAGCCGAACCTACCTAAAGCGTGACGCGGCTTGCTCTAAATCATTAGAGGACTACTACCCACAATTACTTGCTGGTATGTTGATCTTCAACGGTCCAACATGGGTCAGCATGCTGTGGGCCGCTATGAAACCTTTCTTCCCCAAGCGTGTGGCAGAGAAGGTGGACTTTTTGCCGTCGGTATCCAAGTTGAAGGGCAATAAGAAGGCTTTGAAACCTTTTTTGAAGCATGTAGCAGAAGAGAATTTGCCAGAAAAATACGGTGGACTGAACAAGGAATGGCCACTTCCGTGTGTAGCCGAGCGTTATATTACAAACTAATTATACTTTCTTTCTGTTAGAGGCTTCTGTGTTTTTCTTCTTCAGTGTACAGTCGCCGCGGACATGGGAGTAATCCTCTCTCTCTTTTCGATTGATCCTCCTTGAAATGAACTGAACTACACAGCTCCCTAAAAGGATATCTATCCACCAAGTCTGATCCGTGCCGATCATCAGCGAGGCAATTCAGGATGTCGGGTTGCTTATGTCGACCATTGTCATTGGCATTCACAGTCCCCATGAAGCAAGATGATTGGAAGCAGCTATATAGGTCGGGATTTCTCCCTCGTCCATCATGCCGACATATGAGGAGATCTTGTCAATGTATGTGGCCAGGGTGGCTGGCCCTTGATTCAGCATAGGTAGAAAACAATCATTCTGTTCTTTTGAAGATGCCCTCATTGATGGAAGGACATCATTGTGGAAGGTCCAGTACTCGCGCAGTTTATGCCGTACCTTTTGAGCGAACGAAACGAGGGTCCCGGTATCTTCAAATTCTTCCAAAAAGTAGCCAATGCAATGGGCATCTTTGCTGATTGCCACCATGAGTAAATCCTCTTCCCAAATTAGGATTGGGTTAACGCGTTCAATAATGCTCGCATTTACGGCCAAAGCTTTCGAGATGAATAACTCGTCTTCCAATAATTCATCAGAAGCCATACCGATGTCTTCCAACTGATGCTGTATTGCCATCAAAATTAGTTCTTCATCGTTGCTAAACTCCTCTGGAAAGAAATGCTCGGACCAGCCACCACCAATCTCTAGCCAAGCCATAACGACCTTCCTATTTTCCCATAACTCTGGACAGAAATCATCGAACCTCTCTTTCAGGTATTCGGGGTGTTTCTGTAGCGCCCGGATTACCATTTCAGGGTGCTGCATTTGGTATTCATCTTCGACACATACGAACACTGACGGACATTTTTCGGCAAGTTCGAGCATGAAGTCTCTGTCCTGTCGAAGCACCTCAGAGCACCCATCCCAATGCCAATGGTTCTGCGATATTGCCACCAGCATCATTTCCCTGTCATTCCAAATATTTACATCTGTTATCCCACTGATATATTCAAGCGCACTTGTAAGGTGACTATGATTCATAAGGAAGGCTTTCACGCATTCGCGACTGAACAACACGTCGGGGCATTCTTCTATCACATCCCAAATCATCTCTTCTGTGCAACTCTTGTTCTTGAGCATCTCTGATCCTACACGAAGCTCGTCGCGCATCTCTTTTGAGAGAGAATACCACACTTTTTCTGGTTGAAGTTTTATCGCACGGAGGATGAAATCAACATTGGATTGCAATTCCTCAGGTAACATATCCCATTCGATTTCCAAGTGAAACAGTGCAAGGGATAATATCTCATGGTTGCCATTATACCTTTCCATGCACTTCATGGCTAGATCAAGATCAGGTTGTGTGACTACGGCCTTGGCGATATCAATATGCTCCCACATGCCGTCAACAATGGCTTCAGGCAAACAATGTGCAATTGCTTCCCTATTCTCCGCACAGGCTGCAGCAACAATTCTTGGATCTCGGCGAAGATTGTCTGAAGCATGTCGTAAGTTCAACCCTGACTTCTGGACACATTGTAAGACAAAATCATAATCGCCTCTCAAGCGCTGCGAGGCATACCTCATAACTTGTGTCTTTGGCTTCCCATGGGATGGCGATACGTCTGGATGGTGAAATAATTGGAGCACAAGGACAGGATCTGACCGCACCTCCTCTGAAAAAAGAAGTAAAAATTTCGGCGCCAGAGGGCTGGTCTTGAGAACCGCGCGGAACATATCCTTGTCGTCTTTCAAATCATCTGTCAAACATTCCACAGCTCGAGCATTCCGTTGGACGCATTCCAACATGACTTCTTTGTCTCCGTGCAGCGCTGGTGGAATTAAGGACCTAATGCTGTATCTTAGAGTGTCAAAATACCCAAAATCCTTGCGACGCACCCGAGCCAGGAATATCTCTCTGTCGGACCGAATGTGCAATGGAAAGTCGTCTTCCACAAAACGATGCAGGCCTGCCGGGATTTTGTCGGACTGAAATGCAGCAATAATATTCTCCTTCTTCATCTTTTCTACATGTGATAGTTGAAGCCACTCGAGTTCAGCACTGCGTCGCAGTCTGGCCAATCTGTAGTACCTCTCTTGCTCTTTCATCAAACAAGCGAGTTTCTCTTTCCAATGTCGGACTTTTATTTCACACTCCAAAATTCGACGACCTCGTTCCTCAAATTGCTCCAGCTCTTTGAGTGAGGGAGATAAGGAATTGAAAGCGCCCACAGTATGCGAAGAAATTGTCGCTAGTGTGGCCGCCATGACAACTTTTGTTGCTGTTGTTTGTTGATAGAATATGATCAGAATATATATTACTCGGACTGCGTACCGGTATAATAGATATAATAGCAGATTTGATTGTGCGCTGAAATTTTTAAACAGGCTTATGACTAATCCGACTGAATGTCCCATTCGACTAGAGCTACAGCAGTTCGACAACTCTGATCAGACGACCGAAAATGATCTTGGAAAGGATCGTTTCATAATCGTTTTGAGTATCATCTTAGTTGCGGTCCTCTTCCTCGTTCAAAGGTTACTTCCTTGGCACCTCTTCCCTTTTCTTCGCTTTTGCGTCTGAAGAAGGGAGGGTATGACCACAAGAAGTCTGCCAGCGCCACAGCAGTTTTATCAACAAGTCATTCAGAAGTATGGTTGGTACTCCAAATACGACACGAACGAGGATGATTGTTGGTTCTTGGAAGTCATTGTTGGCTTAAAGTCGAAATGGATCATCCTGCAGTCTCAAGAACAAGACTTCAAAATTGCCAAAACAATCTTGTCGGCTCGCGCCATGCTCGTCTTGCAAGATGATATTGCACAAGAAGAAGCCAAACCGTTGCAGTCGTTGTCGGAAGTATTTTCCAATCCACTCGTCATCTATGATTCCTCCAACGACAACACATGGAAGCGTTTTTGGGAATCCAAGCCACCCGTGGTGGGTATTGACGTGGAGGGCAACCAAAAAATTCCACCCGTGTTGGTACAAATCTCGACCAACGACTATACCATACTGGAAGTACCGCAAGGCGAGCTATCCGCCAACTTGGTCCGACTCTTGGATGATGATGATATAACCAAAGTATTCTGTGACAATGGATCCCACAAGGACAAGAAATGTTTGGGAATATACAATTCAGAAGCAGAGAAAGGGGGAAATGAGACTTTCGACTTGACAAAACCACCTGTGGTCGACCTCGAAGTCTTGTTCGGAAGCTTTGCTGGACAAGTCAAGGCAGCACGTGGACTATCCAAAATCATGGCCATGTGTCTTGGACTACCCACTAATTCTGGAGGGTTTACGGAAGTCTTGAATGTGAGAATCGGCAAACCAAGACAAACCAGTCAACGAATGAAAAATGTTGGTCGATTTGCATTGATTGAACAAGGAAAAATAAAACCCTTGAAAGGGCTAAAGGACCTGAATCATAAGGAAAAACAATACGCGGCTCTGGATGCGTGGTGCACACTCCAGGCATATCACAGGCTGGAAGAGTTGCAAAGGTCAAGCGATCAACTTGCCGGTCAAATTACAATGACCGTAGAGGGGAATGGTGAAGACGACGTAGACATTATGCCTCCAATAGATCCAAGCGCAAGTTCAAATGAAGAAACGATATCCGTAGATAGAGATTCCAAGGAATGGTTGCTCACTGAAAACAAGCGACTCACGACTCAGTTGCAGGATAAGGATAAGCTGCTGAACGATGCACAACGCCGGATTGCACAACTGGAAAATCAGGTGAAAATTGTTCAAACTGGAGGCAACCAAGGGAAGAAAGGACCCAATTCAACTAGAGGCAACCACGGAAAGAAAGGAGGAGGAGGAGGAGGAGGAAGAGGAGGAGGAGGGAACAACAATCGAAAGCAGCAACAAGCAGCGTCCAAACAAAAGCAACAAAATTGACAGTACATACAGGAAGCAAATTAGGAGAGGAACAGCTCCTAAATCGTCAGATGATGATGATGCCATAGACTCGAAGTCATCAACTGTGAAGTATTGTGAAGTAAAATGACTGGGGAGCAATTATGGCGTTCTTCATTTGGTGCCCTATTTTAAAAACATTACCAGCAAAATCGACGCAGTGACGTCATTCCACGAATGAACTGACATTTTTCCAACCATCAACGGGTCATCGTCACAAAACAACTTTTTGGAAGGCATAATCTCCTCTCTTCACAAATTTTCCTTCTTCAAAAATAAAATGTGCAAACCAATTTCAGAACCAGTCCAAGTCCTATCATCCTATGATGAAAGGCCTTTGGTCGACGATCTACTTGACAAACATGCCAAAGCAATCGCCTCTGTTCGCGAGAACATTCTTGCCGACGACGAAAGCAAGGCAATCTATGAAAAGGGCGACAATACCAAGCGCTACGACGACATTTGGATCCTTCGATATGTCTTGAGTCACAAGGGTCATGTCAAGTCGGCTTCCAAGGCTGCCATGAAGACCATAAAGTTTCGCGAAGAATCCAAGCTGAACGAAGCTGGCGATCTTCGCCATCGCATCAAGCAACATGGGGTGAAAGACAGCGAAATGATGGCCAGCATCGAGCCATTACCAGGATATCAATTATACAACAAATATTGCGAGGAAAATGCAATATGCACGACGCTGCCCGATGAAAACCGGGGAATTGTAGTTTACTATGACATGGGAAAGATGGATCAACATGGTCTGGCCGAAGGCATGGATGCCGAACAAATGAAGGAAATGGTACTTTATTCCAATGAAGCCATGTTTCAAGTGGTCGACGAAATTACACGTACGACGGGTCGTTTGACCAAGGTCATGAAGATTGTGGACATGGTGAGTCATAGTACACTACAGTACCGTTCTGTCTCAAAATCGCATTGTCAATTGCTTGTTCTAACAACCATCTAGTCGAGTACTGGCTTTCGCAAGATGAACCGGGCTTTTCTCCAGCGCGATGGCGCTAGTTCCAAAGCCTCAGAAGATTACTATCCGCAATTGCTAGCTTGTATCATGGTAATGAATGGTCCCACCTGGCTCAGCACCTTTTGGTCGCTCCTTCGTCCTGTCATCCCAAAGCGTGTGGCAGAGAAGGTAGACTTTTTGCCTTCCGTGGCCAAAATGAAGGGCAACAAAACGACCTTGAAGTCCATTTTGAAATATGTCTCTGAAGAGAACCTGCCAGAGAAATATGCTGGACTAAACAAGCAGTGGCCATTGCCTTGTGTGTCGGAGCGCTATGTCATGTAGTGCTATAAAATATGGGAAATAGAACGGATAAATCTTATAATAAACACATTGTGCACCAGTTAGCTACACGAATAGTAGATCTTCTTGCAATATCTATTGACAATTCCATTGCTTCTCCAACTTTCCGCTCGCTCCTTCAACCCAGAACGACTTGCATCTTACGTATTCGCCCCTGTCGATCTTGCCAAACGCATCGACCGGCTTTCCCTTCCGCTCTGGTGACATTCCTGCCCGGACACAGGCTTTACCTGTTTCGGGGCTTGGCGACCCGAAGCGGCAAAGAGCTTCGTCAGCGGACATACCTTGATCCGGTTTTGAATCCTTCTGAAGTTCTGAATTCATGAATCCGTCCATATCCAAGGCATGAACATTGTTTGCAGTACCCATAGAAGCAGTAGCAAACACAATTGGTGCAAAGAATATTGATCTTCTAGAAATTTCGGGTCCTTGTGTTGATGTCTTGGGGTTGGGGTTGGGTCCAACAGAGTAGGCAGAGACCGCTGACAAGCACATATAAATGGTAACCAGTGTCGAAAGAAGGATATGGTGGAGTGGGCTCATGGTTCTTGAACTTCGTTCTGTAGGATTTCTGTAGCGTTGTAATGAGTTGGATAACGGCTGGGTTTGGGTGTGGAAATGGAGTTTGAGATTGATATGGTCATCACTGTCGTCTTTCTCATTGGGTTGGATGTCGTGTTATATTTTTGGCCTGAATCATCATCATCGTCGTCACTGATGTTGGTCGTTTGAGTCCATTCACTAGTTGGGAACGAAAAAGACCAATGAACGCAAACCGTCCCACACGTCGCACCATTTCAATGCTTGTCATACAGCATTGTTGCCGATCGAAAGATCCTGAGTCCAGGGTGAAAGCTTCTGTTGCTTTGTATTATCTGGTGATATGCTGATGCATCGAATCTCGAACCCAACGCAATACAACTACCTACGATACAGATCATGACAACATGGAGATAGGATGCAAGATGTCGCATACAGTACTTCCAGAGCTCGTGTCTCTGACCTGGGCTGCACCCTTGATACTGATCGCAACAGACTTTTGTAAAGTAGCCGTTGTTCCGACGACCACCATTTCAATCAAAATGCTGTACTGGACTACATACTGTATTATCTGGTATTTACAATGATCTCCTACTGAATGAATCCTTCTAGACGTCCTCATGTGCATGCAAAGCATGTGCAAGCACAACAGTCACACGTCAGAGTGCAATCATAGAAAATGGCCTGGACGGAGCAGAAAGTCCCAGGCAAACGGCCTTCGAAGTTGTTTCCTGCAATGGAGAATTCGGCTATGTGCGGACAGGATGATTAGGGATCTTCGAGCTTTTGTGTTGGTGCGGTGACGATGACATATATGGCAAAGGAACTTACTGAGTTGTTCAAGATTGCCAATATCTGCTGAAATGTCCCCATCTAAATTGTTGTCCATCAGATCTAGTCTCTCCAACGATGTCAAGGATGCAATTTCAGTCGGCAATGTCCCCGTGATCAAGCCTCCACTTATGCGAATGTATGTCAGGTTCGAAAGCTTCCCGATTTGGCTGGGGATCGACCCTGTATAAGTTGTGCCCTCAATCACAAGATGTTCTGGAACGGAAGGAGAAAGACAAGACAAGGGGATGCATGTATTGAGATGTGATTGATTCCAGACAGTTTCATTCATGATCGAAGGATTCAAGCAAAATCACTGACCAAGCTTTTCCAGATTACCAATCTCGGATGGAATGCTCCCGCCATGGGTGCCTAACGCGTGAAGTCGCAGAGACTCTATGATCATCATCATCAAGTCGTTGAGAGTCTTTCTGTTGTTGACACGAGGCCCCATTACTAGCACTACTTTCACTTACGCATGTTTGTCAATTTTCCGATTTCAGTTGGAATTGTTAAGTTGACGTTGCTGCCATCCAGCAGAAGTGCACCTGCGGTTAATTTGAAGAGAAACGATACACGAGTGAGTGAAATGAATGACTCCTTCGTCAATGCCGATAGCTGGCTTTTTCCGTGGAATGTTGCATGACAATAGTAATACATACGAATCGAGTCTACTTCTCCAATTTCCGAAGGAATGGATCCATTAAGAGGCGACTGTCCAATATTGAGATGCCCTGAAACAATATATACATGTGTAACATCATTCGTGTTTGTGCGTGCCATTAGTTAATCATGATCCAAATTTGGTTGGTAGGCGGCGAACGTCGACGAATACACACATGCAGTTCTTGTTCACTTACGAATGTTTGGCCACCTCTGTACGAAATCAAAGATTGGGCCTTCTAGATTGGTTCGCACAAAGCCCACTGATAGGAGTTGACTCAAGTTCTTGAGTGACTCCGGCAAAGGACCACTTATGCTTGTGGAGGAAACCAGGAGCACTTGCAAGTTGACGAGGGTTCCGATTTCTGTGCTTAGAGTGGATGATAGTCGATTGAAACCGACATCGAACCTAACTGTTGTTTTGCGTTTGGTGACAATCAACATCAACATCATTTAGTGGACATCTATGCAGTCATCAATCATCCTTTTTGGCGAAACAACAACAGCAACTGCTACTTACCCAATCTTTGGCATCCAGTAAAAATGGAACTGGGGATACTTCCTTGTAAATCGTTTCTTCCAAGGATCAGAGTCTCCAAGTATGAAAGAACACCAACTTCCTCTGGAATGGTTCCAGACAATCTCCTTGCCGACATGGAGAGCGCGATCACACGCATCTTAGAATCGCAATCAATGCCGGAAAAGCTGCACTCACTTGTTCCCGTCAGCTCATCCCAGGTTTCCACCATGGTCCAACCATTCCCATTTGTCGCAAAAAAGAATACCATCAATGCATACCGTTGCTTGAAGTTGTTGTTGTTGTTGTTGTTGTTGTTATCACTACTATGATCGTAATCAATATCAATGGAAAGGGTATCAGTATCGACCAACCAATCTAGAGCTCGTGACTGGGCTGAAAAGGGGTCGAGCAATGTAAGTGGATCGGAGATCATTTCCGCCATGGATTCCATTTTCGCACGATATTCCATCCGAGACAACGAGGAGTCGTCACTGTTGTTGCTGGTGAGAGAGAAAGCCTTGGCATACGCAATTCCGAGGACAGTGACTAGAAGGATGGCAGCAACAGCTGCGGCTTTTTTCCAGTGATTGGAGCCTTCTTGGTGGTGGAACAAGTAGCAACACTTATTTTTATTGGTTTCCCAATGATCAGTCTCAGTTGACAGCTGATCATCGAGATTGGGACGAGAAGCAGGATCGACTGCAACGGCGTCAAAGGGGGTTTCGTGGTCGAGTTGTGTCATGATGATGAATGAAGCTTTTGTACGTCGATGCAATAAGTTGGTGGTGAATTTTGCAAAATGTAGGAAGGTTTGACTGCTTTTTCGTTTTTTGTTTCGGGTACAAAACCTTCGCATTGACTAAAGCGAATGGAATTCAAATATCGAATCCAGTCACGAGCTGGAGAACGTGCTCATGTGTCGAGTCAGTCAGACGTCAGACGTCAGACAGTCGCAGTCGCTCTAACAGTCGAAGTGTTCAAGAAGAATTTCAAAAACTTCCGGTCTCTTGGATCCAAAATGAAATAAGCGCAAGCACAACAACGATCACAAGAGCGCCAGTACCAGTGTACTTGTAGGTACTAGAGAAAACAAGGCATAGCAAAGCACCACCACCACCACCACCACAGTACACTTGTATTCATCACTCTTGTACAATGTCTTCCAAGTCCAAGAACTTGGTCGCCCAACTCTTTGAGTCTCGTTTCAAAGGCCAAGAGGCCATACGCAAAATTCTGGACAATCCCGTGGGTCCCAAACGATCCTCGCTCCGCGCCACTCGCAAGAGACGACGAGGGAATTACGTCAAGGGCGTCCACAAGGGTAACTTTTTCCGCATTCGTCTGCCCAGCAGTGGTCGTAAATTACCCAATTTGCCCAAACTGCCGCCCACGCAGCCCATGCTCAAAGCCCCAACCGCCCTGCCACCCGCCCAAACCGCCGAGGCCACGGAAGCCATTTTGCAGTCCCACGCCGCTGGCGGAGCTGCTAGTGCACAAACCATTGCACAACGAGGTCCATACAGCGACTTTCTCCGGCGTTTGGGGAGATGGTTTCAAGACAATTGGGCCGTTTTGGTGCTGAATGCTGGATCCATTTGCACATTGATGGGATTCACTCGTTCCGATATTTTGGAATTGCGCACGCTGTCAATGACGGGAAGTATTGCCTCTGCCGTTTATCTTTTAGGTCAGCAACGCATCTTGTGGCTTAGTGTGGGCTGGTCTGGCATGTTTGCCTCGGTGAATGCCTTCAAAATCTTTGGAATCTATCAAGAACGTAACTCGGAAGTGCACATGAACAAAGAGCAAGAGCACGTGTATGTCGAATATTTCTTGCCCCACGGTATCACTCCTAAGCAATTTGAACGCATTGAAGCAAAGGCTACAAAGTTGAAACTGAAAAAGGGTGCTCATTTGGTCCGAAAAGGAGAAAAGCTGGATCATTTGTATCTGATTCTGAATGGCAAGACCAGGGCCCACATTTTGGGCCGTCACATTACAGCAATGACCAAGGCAGACGATACGGCATCGTTTGACAATACTACTACTGCTGCAGGGGAGCAATCAAATAGCTCTCCACAAGTCAAGAGTGGAGCATGGATTGGTGAAATGGCCTTTATGGATTACTACTGGGATAAAGAACAACGGCGCAACAACAAGAATGCTCCTCAGAACTTTTCCGGTCGCGAAAGCTTTTACACCATTGTGGCCGTAGAGGATTGCGAAATTCTTCGTTGGTCCCATGAAGAAATGAGTCAATTGATGAGTACGAGCAACGACATGCGAAGTGCTTTGACCCGTGCCGTGACTTCGGCTTTGGTGAGCAAGGTAGTCCAAATGACGGTCAGCAAGACGAAGCAAATGCCCACTTGGTCGACCTGGTTGAAGGATTGGTCACACAATGCGGGAGCCAACGTGACGGTTCAACGAGTGGCAGAAGGGCCGACGTCGTCGTCGCCATTGCCACCAAGAGGAGTAGAGCATGAAGAACATGATGATGAAAATACAAAAGACAATGATGGCAACGAGCAAGATGCAATGGTAGCTTAGATTAGTGTAGTGTAGCTATCACTAATGGTTGCAACATCGACATCTGCAGTTGCGATGCGAGATTAGAAACCTGACGAGTCGAACGAGTCAATTACCACGATCGGCTTAGTCATCAGTGCCAGTAGAAATGTACGATTGTTCCACGCACGGATCGCCGCTACATTTCAATTATTCTCCCAAGCAATCGATGACAGTCCGTCACCGATCAAAACTCACCATCATCCTCCAGCAAAAGTGTTCCGCGAGTTCTCGACAACTAATACCTCTACAATAGAAACAGCTGACTTGTCTTGCCTTTCATATCAACAGTAAAATCACTATGCGGTCGTTATTTCCAATAACACTATTTCTTCTTTTGATATTGTGTTTTCTCACTTCCTTGTCATCAGCGGAAGAAGAAAAAGCAGAGGGAGAAAGGCCAAATGAATTCGTCAGTCCATTGTTGGAAAACAATAACACTCCCGTGGAGACTATTCCACCGATACTACCGGTGGATATGAACCTTGTTGAAGAAGAAGAGCCAAATAGTGTGGAACTGACAAACTCGGAAGATTCAGATTCCAACAGTAGTTCTAATACGAATGATCAGCAGGAAGACGACGAAGAACAAGTGGAAGTCTGGTTGCCAATCATTGAAGTTCAATTTGTTTGTGACCACGATACTCGGCCTCCCTCTGGTGGAAATGTTACGGAATACATGTTGAACTTGTACGAAAACCTCTATAATGAGCTACTCCCAAATCAAGTGACTGTCACTCGGTCCAGTTTGCACCATTTGGAACGATTCAGTACCATGTCGGAAATTTCGTCCACCAAATGGTACTATTCGGATTGCAACATGACCTCTCCTCAACTCTTGGCCAGTCTCAAAGTCAAGGGCAAGGGCGTCTTGAACAACGCGCCCACCTCGATGACGGAACTTGGCATGACGCAGGTGCACGAGAGCATGAACGAAGCCTCTATTCAGGAATTCTTTGCCAACAATGTCTGTACCAACATGACGGAATTTCGAGCATCCGTGGAAAGTCCTCAACACCACCATCAGCAAAGTTTGTACTATACAAGTCACTCGGCAACTGGGCCACCCAAAATGACCTTTGAACACGTGGATCACTCGTTGTTGTTGCTCTGTGGTGGGGAAGATTTGGTGTATTACGAAGAAGGCCCACCCGATGGTGGCTTTTTGTTTTTTGGATTCTTTGTAGGATTCCTTATGGTCAGTATGATTGCTACCGAACTACAGAAGTACGATCAGCGGCCTCATCCATTGGGGGGACGGCGTCGCGACTACGATGGAGTCTCCACTAATGACAACAACAACAACAACAACAACAACAACAACAATTCCGAAGTTGAAATGGTCTGAGACTAACTGCGAAGGAATGAAAGGATTCAATCAATCAATCAATCATTCATTCATTAGATGGTATCATGAAATACAATGCTTGCTACCTAAATGGCAGCAGCAAATCGGGGGTGAGGAGGAAGTCGATCAAAGGGGTATGCCAATTTGTGTTTGGACTTGATTCCATTCATTCATCCAAATATGCCTCATCGAATTTTCCCAGACCACAAATGACAGAAGGAAGCGACTTTCAATGGAATGGTCGTCTGTCTCCCATAATAGCACAAGTGTAGATGGCCAGAAACGCAGTATCCTGCCGATGAAAATGGATCAGAAGCATACATCCCTGTGACCGATTTTGTGGTACAGTAGTAGTGGAGCATATGAGTAACAAACAATCTGCACAATAGGATTGATTCATTCTGGAATTTGGCCATTCCTGAAGTATCAATACGAACTCTCCTAGTGAAGATAAAACTGGAAGCTACATACTGCGATTTCTGTACTAGTTCCGCCTTGGTACACGCTATCTTAATGTAGTCGAAGTAATCGATTGACAGTTGACCGATCCGCATGCATATTTTTCAAAAATGCCATTTGCTTCCCAACAACAGCCAGAACATTCTTTGTTAGAATAGGTGTAGAAGATTGCAATCAGAAGCTTTGCCTTCCTCACCAACCATACTCGCAACGATGAGGATAATATACTTTCCACGAACACGATTTCTATCGCTTCTTGTTCTTATTATTCTCTTGCTCATCGGTCCACAAGCAAAAGGAGAAGAAGAGTTGAATAAGAATGATTCAACAATGAATCATCATCCGACTGCACATGAAGTCAACAATACTATTACTACTACTACTACTACTACGTCTGCTGCTTCTACTACCTCCAAAGAAACAAACAATGTCCAAGTCTTTCTGCCTACGCTCGAAGTCGAGTATATTTGTGGCCACGACATTCGTCCAACCTTTAATGCGACCGAAACCTTTCAAAATTTGTATCAGACACTCCTTCCGGACATGCAAGAACCTCAACTTACTCTCATCGAACGCATTACTGGAATGGACTTTCTATTAAGGGCATATGGCAAACAGAAATGTAAGCTCTGGGGTTGTAATACTACTTCACCACAAGTATTAATGACCTTTAAAGTCAAAGGCTTTGCGTCCTTTGATCGCTCTTCGGAAGACATTGCTGCCATGAATGAAGTGATTAATCATCAGACTGTCCGATCCTACTTTGACACAAAGGTTTGCAATGATAATGATCTGAGTCAATTTCGAGTCTTTGTGGAAAGTCCCTTTCGAAAAGAATCCAAATCCGAAAAGTTTGATCAAGTTCAACACCATTTCAATTTACTTTGTGATGGCGTCAAATATGTCTACGATGCCGACGAAGACTATGATGGAGATCCTATTTTCGTGCTCTTTGGCATCGTTGCAGGATATTACATGTTCCGAATGGTGGCCATTGAACTGCAAAAATATGGGCGCAACATTAGACGAAGCTATGAAGGGATTCCAAGTAGCGACGACGACGACGACGAAGAAGTGGAAATGATATGATATGATATGATGCTGTGCAATAATAGCAGACAATATGTCCTTTCTACGTGAAAGATACAGGCTATTGAGAGAGAGAGAGAAGAAGAAGAAGAAGCACGGCTCAACATGACGATTAGTGCTGATTGGGAGCTAGGAGAAAATTGGTTGATTGATTGATTCAAACGGTATTGTGGTACTGTCCTTTTCCTCTTCCACCACAACCATCCGAACATGAATCCCATCCCTGCTACATGAATATATGAGATGAACAGAAGTCATTGGACTATTACAATCAGAAAGAGTGCAAACACAGCGCAGACAGTTGTACCTACTGTACAGTATGCTTCTTTCGATTATCGCGCGAATCTGCGCGTATGGAACAGATGAAACTCAAACTACATGTAAAGTGTAAGAGTTTCTTTTTATTACGCCATCTCGTTCAGGCAATCATACAGGATGTCGAATGAGATATTAGAAAATATAATAGAATCTACCAACAATGGATCTTTGAACATAACAGCTCAGCAAGTGATTGCTCCTTTAGAAGAAGAGAATGCCAGCTCTAACGCAACTACGGACAACAACGAAGGTGCCAATGAATCAAGTCGTGATGCGGCCAACATTAACAACAACCCAGCTGAAGGGAGCAACAATATCAACAACACCAACAACGCTTCAGCTAATACCAATACATATATCAACAATATCGTTCAGCAGCCTCAACGAGTACCAGGTCGAGTACCAATCCGAATCAATGTCCGCAACCATTCTGGAAGACCAATGCCACATCCGAGAATCCACGTGGACGGGAATGGACACATGCACCTCAATATTGGACATATGGTCAACATGCCGCTGCCACAAAACGCAAACGCTACTGTGAATATTTCGCCTCCTAATCATGGTACTCCACACCATGCTCCCAATGGAGGACGACGAAGGGTCCAACCGGAACTCAATCCATTGGTGCCAGAACCCATCGAGGACAACCACAACAGCAACAGCAACAGCAACAGCAACAGCAACGGCAATGCTCAGAATCCACTGGATGGAGACCAGTGGAGCAAATACAAGTGCGTCATTAGCATGGAATTGTTGGAGAATCCAGTTGGTTGTGGCAATTGTGCCAGTCGATTTTCTCGATCTTGCCTTCAGAGATATGTGGACGAATTTCTTCAGCGTCAGCAGCAACCACCATCTCGGCTACAACAACAACAACAACAGCAGCAGCAGCAACAACAGCGGCCAAAGTGCCCCGCGTGCCGAGTCGAAATGATCAAAGGGTTGGTGCCCGATAAGGAACTACAAGAAGAAATGAAGACTTGTGGACCTGTTGCGTGCCGGTTTGAGGGTTGTCTCGCCCAACTAACACTGTCGGAAATTCGAGAACACGAACAAACCTGTGCCCATGCCATGGTCAAGTGCAAGTACGCTCCCTTTGGCTGTGATTGGAAGGGCAAGCGGGGCGACTTGTCACAACATGAAGCATCGAGCTGTCACTATGCCAATGTTTCGGGACTGGTTCATCAATTTCGCTTATTGTTGGCCACTAATTCGGCTCGCATGGATGCCATTGAACAGCAAACCGGATTGAACTTGAGACTGGAGGCTGCCCGCCAACAAAACTTGCAACGTGGACAACGAGTCTGCAAAACCAATATATTTGCCTTGATGGAGTATTGTCATTTGATTACCTGCAATACGGCTCATTTCATTTTCTCCCAAGACAAATGGGCACCCTACTGCTATACCGACGAGGGCCGAGCCTTGGTGACCAACTCGTGTGCGCTCGCACCACTGGCCATTCTCTTTGGCTGTACCTCCTTGGGGGGAATCCGGGATATTTTGCGACTGGTAGAGGTCAGCAAAGAGAATGAACCCAACAAGGTATACCTCTTGGCTGACTCGGCACTTTGTCTATGTGTGGGATTGTTGGGGATGCTCATGTTTGCAGCCAATTTCTCGGATTTTCGATCCAGCAAGACGTGGCATCGTTTTGAGCTCGGCAGGAGACTCGGAAAAGCTCCGGTGATTGGAGATGTAATGGCATTGTCCTCCTTTACCATTCTGGAGTCTTCGTTTGAAGTGCTGTATGTTGGTCTTTTCAAGTGTGTACTCCTTTGGTGGCTCTTGACCTTGTGTACTGCTTTTTATCCCGTTGTGATCCTGACTCTTTCCGAGTCCATACCCCGGACACCACGGCATGTACCGCTGAGTTCCAACACGGTCTTGTCGCGAGCACGGGCAATGGAACCTCTTTTGTTCGGATTGCGGTATGGTTTGTTGGGATACTTGTTTGGCCCAGTTCCTTGTCTGGACGCAGCCATGGCCATCAATCTCTTGCCTCAAGGACCAAGAACCGATCTCTTTCGAATGCGGAATTCGTTCCTGGGAGGTCTGCCAAAATCGACCTATTCCGCCTATCTGGGAGCTCAACTTGCCATTTTGGTGGCGACCAACTATGGTCATTGGAGGGATGGTGCTTTCAATTCGGCTCTGGCAATGATCTGCTTGCCACTGATCAACTGGATTGACCACAAATTATTTGAATTGGCCATTAAAACTGGTCAAAAGATTTACATTCAATCTTTGGCTGCAGTTCAAGGCCGTCCCCACGGTCCCGATCGAGACTACAACTTGTTGGGGCTTGCAGTGTTTGGGTCTTGGGTATGTACGCTCTTGATGATTTCCCAGTTTTGATGATTGATTGACAACAACAATAATAAATCTAAAGGACGATATGGTCTAGGATATACAAAATGTGTACTGGATAGAAAAACTTTTCTCTGTCTATGTACTAGCCTTGGCCATGTTACGGTATCCTGTCCCCAAACAACTCATCAAGATAGTTTTGGAATCCTCATCGGCTTTCAATTTGAACTCGATACCAAAGAATTTCTTCAGTAGTCTCAAGGTCTCCACCGAGTATGGTGACAGACTTCCAATTCGAAGTCGTGAAACATCTTCGGGCGTCAAGGTCATCCACATGAATGCTAGAGATTGGACAGAGGTGTCAATGCATCCGCCCTTTTGCACCTCATTCAACAGCAAACAAGCACCTCGTTGCCCCAAGTCTTCTGGTAGTTCTGCCCCTCGCTCTGCTTGATTTAGGCAGCATTCTGCTGTCAGAATAACCCCAGTTGTAGATTCTGTAGATACTACTAGTGATAACCCAGGACTTGGCCCACATCCATGATTCTTTTGTGTGTGTGCATCAGTATGAATCCAGACATCGGGCAGAACCTTGTGAAAGACTCCTTTTGCAGCGTATGCCACTCGAGCAGCCATTGACGAGGAAACGATCTTGCATGATATGGAAGTGCCTCTTATCCGCTTGATTCTTCCAGGATCTGTAAAGTTGATAGGTGTCAATTCCTTGACGATCGGACATTGAAAGTGGACCTTGCCCCCACCAGTGGGTGCAGCTGCTCGTTGTAAAACTCGGATTCGTACAGCAGAATCGTCGTCATCGATACCAATTCCAAATTTCGCAAAGAGAGGGATTGCAGACTTTTGAAGGTAGTCTGCAGATGGATCCAATTCGCAACATCCATCCGTGATACCCTCAAAGTATATCGATAGTTCTTCTTTTCCGAACGGGGCCAAAGGCATGATTCCTTCCAGAAACCACCCTATTGATCTTGAATCAGGACATTGATGTTGAATATCCCCTCCCAATAGAACCCCAGGTTGAAATCTGAGTTGTGTACCAGTGTTGTTGATTTCCATTTTGCTTCCATTGGTCATGCTGTCCAAAAGTCGCAGAAAACTTGCTTCGTAGTCCTTCAGTCCAGGATTCTCCAAATCTTCAGCCCGAATATTTCGAATCAAGACGGGTCTGTGTGATAGTATACTAGCAATGAGACGTTGACGGAATTGTGTGGCCCCATCGTCGAATCTGATGGCCTTGCTCATGGTTAATATTGGTTTGCTTTTGAAAATTGTGGAGTGAGTCGAATGGTGGTCAACACGAGGAATCCGGAATCCAAACATTCCCAATTTTCTCATTTTTCAATCATCAGATTTTTGGCACATCCATCAAATAAATCAATTCTTCAAAATATATAAGAGATACACGACAAGTTGAATCTCTCTTCGGTTCACACATCACATCCAAGTACACGGTATATTCCTAGCGGAAAATGATGAGATTCAACTGCTTTTCCTTACTTTTCTGGATGCTGAGCACTGACTCAGCGTCTGGTCTGCTGCAGCCATCAGCACTCAAGACAACAGGACAGCAGGTGCATGTTGGACGGGAACTTTCACAACAAATAACGACATCCTCCACTCCTTTTTCTCGTTGTGGACATATTATTTTAGGAGCAACCAGCGAAGAAATAGAGCTCGACATGGATGAAGAAATAGAATTTGACGAGGGCGATCTCTTGGCACAAAAAGAAGACTGGATGGAAAGCTTGCGTCAATGTGCAAAAACTTCATCTCGAGATGCTACTGCTATTGAGAAAGCACAAGGAATCTTTGATGAAATGTTCCAGGCCTATGTCAAAACCGACGACATGGCCTTGTTCCCTGGTCCTGAAGTGTATAATCTTCTTATCGAGACACATGCCTACGGAAGCGACGAGAAAGGCGGCGAGGAGGCAGAAATGATACTTTCCAGAATGGAAGACAGTTCTGTAGCGTTTGTTGCACTTCCTAATCTGCAAACATATCTGAATGTAATGGATGCTTGGGCGATGAGAAAGAATCCAGAAAAGGCAGAAGCAGTAGCCACAAGACTGAATGAGCGCTATGCTGAAACAAACGACGATGCCGTCAAACCAACCATTGCGGTCACCAACAAGTTGATCAAGTCTTATGGAATAAGAGGAGATATTGAGAAAGCCGAATCAATATTCCGAGATTCTTTGGAGAAAGAAGGGGAGCTAAAGGCAAATCACAAAACCTGGGTTCAAATCATGAAGGCATACATTCCTCAGAAGTCGGGGTATGAACAAGTCGGGGATCTTTTCTTTGAAATGCGCAAAGCTTTCCGCATGGGAGAAGAGGAGTATCTTCCAAAGACAGAAGCCTACAACGCGCTGATCCGTGCTCTAGGCTACAAACGAAATGGTGGTCCAGAAGCAGAAGAACTCTTGTTCGAAATGATCGAGCAATACCAAGCCGGCGAGGACGATGTGAGGCCAAATGCAGATACCTTTCGCAACACAATTGCTGCGCAGTTGAATCGACGAAACTTCTCCAGTGCCAAGGTCGAGCAGCTTCTGCAAATACAGGAAGGTCTTTACATGACTACTGGATTTCCCGATCTGAAAATTGACACACGAGTCAACAATGCTGCACTCCAGGTCATGTCGAAAACTAAAGATGCCAGGAAAGCAATCCGTGCTAAAAGAATTATCGAAAACATGAAGAACAGCGGCGACCCTGAAAACATGCCCACGAAGAGAACCTACAGGTCCCTGATGTCAGCATGTGCGTTTACAAGAGGAAACCCTGAGGAAAGCCTCGAAACCTTTCAAGTGGCCATCGAAACTATTAAGAACTTGAAGGAGTTTGTGGGAGAGGAACCGGACAGCGGATTTGTTGGATTATTTTTGAAAGCATGCTCAAACTTGATGCCACCAAGCCGCAAGCGCGACGCCGTTGTTGAAAAGATTTTCGAAAAGTGCTGCGCCGATGGTTTGTTGAATGATTTCGTTCTGATTGAATTTGAAAAAGCAGCGTCTGAGACTCTTCAGCTCGAGACTCTGGGGGGATTCCTTGAGGATAATGTGAAGCTTCCTGAGAAATGGAGCCGAAATGTTCCCCAACAATAGTGTTTATAACCTTATTTGAACTTGTCATTATACTACATAGACTGCTACAAAACCGCTGTATAGCTTTACGGACGGTCCACTGGGCGTCTCTTAAAAAAATTTGTACCTCAAGCTGGTCCATGCCATAGATCTAGAACAGCATGTAATCCTTGGGCTTCATGATCAGCCTCATGGACTCTTCTCGCTCTGCCAAAGCAGTGTAGCCCAATTCTTTCAGCACGTCACAACGTCTCTGTAGCAAATCAGACTTGGACAATGGTCTCGCCCCGCCCGTGTCTTTGCCATTGTTCTTTGAAATAAGTTTGTTCAGGCGCTTCAAAACGAGGCCGAACCTACCCAATCTACTGTCACGTTCAAGAACTAAGGCAGCAAACTTTCCATTTGAATCAATATCCACCCACTCCTTCAGCTTTCTCAGTGTTTCTTCGAACAATTGCGGTGCGTTTTGTTGATCCTTCAGGTCTATCAATGCCAAGGACTTCCGAACTAAGGCCTCGACAAGCTGTTGCTTTGTCTTTTCCAAATCCTTGTTCCGCTGTACCATTTTTGTGTCGTCCTTGTCCAATCGCCTGCCAAAATGCATTGCCAACTCATCTTCCGCTACATTTTCAATAACAATGTCTGCGGCTTGCAATACTGTTGGGAGAATTTCAGATCTGTTCTTCAAGGAGTCCAAATACCTGAGATTTGCTAACAGCAGTGGCACATATCTTGGGTAATCTTTCAAGAGCCCGCTAAACGTAGTTTCGAAGAGGCCACTTTCTTTTTCAGCGCTTGTCAGTTTTGAAAGCTGGTCCACCTTCAAGTCACGAATTGCCTCTGCTAATCGTTCGTCTGGGGTCCGCTCATCCTTTTGCTCAACGGCTTCTCCTTCTGAAGATTGTCTCTCCGTCTTCGGTCCTACAGTGTAGCTAATGGGGAACCCATCGGGCCGTTTACCGTCGCCAGGAAGAGTCGCGTCACCACTACAAAAGTGGACTGTGCCCATTAAAACATCGCCCTCCCTACAGGACGGAATCTTGGACGACGAAGGCTCGGCGAAGAAGATGCTTGCACATGTGCCTTTTCGCAGAGTCCGCTTCTTCATACTTCGCTTTCCCCCTACCAGTCTATCTTCTCTAGTACTGTAACATGATACTGATATCTCTTTGTCCAGCTTTCGATCAATCCATATCGTCATATCTTTCAATTTTTCAAGCATGGTTGGGTCGTCGTGGCGGATTTGCATCTTCAATACTACAAGACCCTTCGGTGCACTGATTGAATTTGGGTAAGCATCTGTGTAATGAAAGAACAGGATGAGTTAGATTACAAACTCTTTGCCGAAAATATCACGAAGGTTACTGAGCGTACCACAAAATCCGAGATAGCGCTTGTCGCCATCATATGCAAGGATGAGCTGCGATTCATACGTGGACTCGTATAGGACACCTTGCAGCGCCGGTACTCGCGGCGTGAAGGAACCTTTCTCATCTTGTGAAAACTCATAGTGAAGTATCAATTGATAAGTTGTCTTTTCATTCCAAGGCTGGACATCTCGTTCTCCAAGCGGAGAAATGGTCCCCTCTTTGGGTCGCAAAGCTGTTTTCCAGGAAGCCAGCTTTGCTGTTGGACAAATGATCTCATCTCGAAGGTCACTGTGAACTTGCACTTGCCTGAAGGAATCTCCAGCTAAGAGGCAGACTTCATTTTGGTCTGGCCGAACCCCACGAAATTCAATTATTACATCAGCCTTGCTGATTCCAGAAGTCGCCCAATACCTACCGATGTCCACTTCGCACGTAACACCTGCTTCCACGGATATGGAGCAAATGCTTGTCTGGGATGGGAGTAGATTGAGGTACTTTTGTGTCGAAGATTCTCGATAGGCTGTGTGAGGCAGCAATTGTACTGTGTGCAAAACATACAACTTCGTAGTCCCATCACCATCCCTCTTTGCACTCCGACAATCCTTTACGGTTATGTCCATCCATGTACTGCCAGGTGGTGGCACGACAAACAAACGTTTGATTTCCGTAGCTTCGAACTAGATGGGTGTGAGTACAAACGGCAATCATTCAGCAGTAGCAGTTACAAATTTTTGAGTGGATCTTACCTCAAGCGAAGGAAGTTCAACGGTCGGTTCCTCTGGTAATGGTTTGATCACTGTGACCGGACAAGACCAGAGAAAACCGCGTTCAGGATGTTCCGAATCGGACCCACAAACCCTCGCCGTGTGGACTCCCGGTTCCAGATTGCAAGGATTGACCGCAACTTTGAAGGTTCTTCCATTGTTCATGCACATGAAATGTCTTGGAACCTTGATCCAAGAAGCCGTGGAGCAGAGATTGAACTGCATTTCAAAGTCTATCTGGTAGCGTTGGGAAGTTTCATCTATATCTGCGACTCGACGAAATTGCGGGTTGATGCGAATAGAAAATATTCGTTTGGCGGAGACGTCTTCATTTTGGCGTAGATAGATTCCTCGTGGATTAGAAGGTAGATTTTCCACATTCACTTCAAAATATACATCTTCACTGGCTATATCCCTGACGGCCTTGAGTTGTTGAAAGGCTCGTGACACTTGGACCATCCCCCAACCTTGTTGTAGATTGGTTAGATTAGGCATAGATTTTGCTGTGTTTTCAATGGCACGTTGTATTCGAGCAGGGGATATCTGTATGCCTTCTGCTTTGCATGCTGATACTAAGAGCGCCACACAACCACAGGCGTGTGGACTTGCCATACTAGTCCCATTCATGAGCATAGACTTTTGCATTGTCCAGTTGGAAACCGAGGCAATTGCACCTCCCGGGGCGCAAACCGAAACCCCGTTGGCGCCGTCGACCGTTGGCCCAACACTGCTCCACGTATATGACGTCCCCACCAAAGCATCAGGATCCTCGCCATTCTCGTCCATCTCCAAATCGTCGTCAGCCTTCGTAGTGTTGGAAAAGAGGCTGTAATCGGCCTTCATCATATCGGGGGATACATATGCAGCCACCCCCATGATGCAAGTTGTAATCCCTCCGGGTGCATTCAAGGTTGTCAATGCTGGCCCATTATTGCCCACAGCGGAAACAAACATGATATTATGCCGCCAAACTACTTCTTCCGCCAACCTTGCCACCCTTCCTTCATTAGCCAATTGACCTGCCTCCCCATATGAAAGATTGATCACATCGCATCCCAATTTGACTGCCGCCATGATGCCACGAGCCACCGACGAACCAGATTCCATCGACCCCATGCGGGAATCCCCAATCTTGATGGACACCAGTTGTGCCCCAGGTGCAACACCACTGCGTTCCCCTTCGGCAGCAGCAGCAATCGAGGCGACGTGGGTTCCATGCGGTGTGCAGTCCCCGACGATACTCAGTATTTGGTTGTCGTCGTAAAAGTTGACCCCATAGTTGTATTGATCCAATGTAGATATGGTTCCATATTGGAATTCTTTGGCAAAGGATGCCATTGGCTGTATTGTTGGCGACCCGTCCTTTGCTACATCTTCATCACTCAGAATGACAGCACGCATATCTTCTCCATCGTAAAAAACGATGCAGTCTAATATCAGACCAGGGTCCTCTTCCAAATCTTTCTGATCCATAAGTATATCCAAAAGTGCCTGAAGATTGTCTTTCTCGCGCAATTGATCGTGGGTGGCCGTTCGTTTATCGTAAGACTGTTTCCATCGGTAGAGCTGCCGTGCGACTTTGGCCACCTCGCTACCCAGTGCCTTTTCTAGTTCTTGTTTTCGATGTGCCTTGACGCGAGACACTAAGCTGCTTGGGAAAAGTTCATAGGCCCGTTTGATTCCCAGTTGGACGGAAGGGAGTCTGTCAGAAGCTGGAGCATGTTTCCACCATTCCTTGCGCAGTTTCCATTTCCTCCCTGACAAACCCTCTATTTGATAGCACTCTTCATCGCCATCATTACAGGGTGTCACTTGTGCCTTGCAAGAAATATCTACGTCTCCACTCCCCGTACAATCCACCAGGTCAATCAGTTTCGGAGTCTTTCCATCTTGCATATACCGAATTCCAGCTGCCGCAGGGTCGATGCCGGTGTCCAGAATTCCAATCACAACATTGCGTCCATCGTATTCTGGGTATTGCTGAAGGAATTCCAAGGTTTCCGTTTCTTTCTTGGGAACCAAATCAATAGCTGGAAAGGGTGGAGAATGAAGTGGAGATTTGCTCATGTTATCGTTGACTTGTCTCTATATGTTGTCACTTCTGTCTTCGACATACAGTATTTCTCTGTGCGCTGAAGACGACAATGGCTTATTTATGGGGTCAAAGGAAGGGAAGCAACTTTCCTTTTGGATCCCCCGAATGGATTGAAAGTCAAATTTTTCCACTCAAAATGAAACACTACTAATAATCATACTGAATACCAGGTAGATCTTATTGTTGCTGTCTCCCTCATTGCAAGATATGGTCGTAGTATTAACGACCATGCATATGGGGCAAAAGAAGATTATCTGCCTTGTAGCCTGCATTTAGAAGGAAAAAACCTGATTGACCCCAATTGCTTGGACCACCGTGGAGTTGAAAGGTTCTGTTCCCAAGCCGGTGTTGAAGCACTTGCGTGAGACAATCGACAGCTTCGAAGTGACACGGGATGGGGCAAGCTATTGAATTATTCATTTCAGTTACGATTGTGAAGCAATCAACATCGTCGTAGTTCCTCCCAAAGCAAATACTGCCCGTGTCTATTTCCGGCGATAGCTATTGCGGAATGCTTGTGCGATAATCTTTCGAATCTCGCTCTTGGATAAACACCTCCACATATCACTTTCACGCTGTTTCAGAAATCGACCTCCGGAATCATGCACCAAATGTATGGCACGGTTGACCAACGCTTTTCTTGATTCCACGCTTCCAAATTCATAGGATTTGGACAAGTCCTTGACAAGAGCTCGAAGGCGGATGTTTCCCGTGTTATTACTTTTGTTGCCACCAATGATAAGAACGTCATTTTCAGTAGGATAGACAATCCGCTCATTTGGTATAGCAATTTCCGATGACACACCATGGTCACTTTTTCCCATTTCGAAACGAGACTCGACCCATTTGAGGTGACGGTGCAAATTGATCTGGTTGGTGCTGAGCTCTATCGGCAGAAAACTTCGTGGGATTCCGTAGGTAGACAGACGATACAAACATTCTGTGTTGCTACCAAAGTGCAACCTGCAATTCGCTCTCAGTTTCAATGGAGCTGCTTTGATGACACAATTATGACAGAGATGCTCCTTCATATCGTCTGAGCAGACATGCAGAGCTATTAAGCGAGTCGGGATCGCCTGAATTTCAATTGTAGAGTGAGATTAAATGCAGTCAAGTGAATGGAATGTAACTGTGTAGCGTGGAACGAAACTTACAGCTGCCACTCTGGCATTTTGATAATACGCACTACCACCGAATCTATCCTTCATACTACCAACTGTGTACAAAATTGCTATGATACCGCGAATTTGGTTTGCCTCCGATTCTAACATGCTCATTGTGAAGTAATATCGTGACCGAAGCCCATTCTGGAGAGTAGTCTTTAGATCTCTCAGCCCCGGAATATTAAGAAGTATTTGTCTACCAGACCTGTCTTCGCCTGCGATTTCTAGCCGCCCAGATTTTAGGCAAGCCATATCACCCTCATTGAGATCATCAAGCGTGATATCTTTCACTAACTTTTCACTCCCAAACAGTTCCTGCTTTATCGTAAAAAACTTGAGCATCTGGTCTGCTGCAGCTTTGGCATCATATTGATTGCCTCTGAGAAACATCACTCGAAAGGCTCTTGCACTAACATATCCATAATCCATAGCCTCAGCCATCTCATACACGCTACCGGACTTGGTGCTTGCAAGATGACTTTCTAGATCTTTAAGCGAAGCTTCAATGAAGGTGGCTTCCTCAGCAATTGATGCTTCAACTCCATGTAGTATCTCTTGCTGTTCTTGTCGTTCTTCAAAAGTGAGCGCGTTCATCGCTTCAGCAAGTAGTTTGTCTATCTCCTGTTTCTTTTGACGATCCATGCCTGTCAAACTATTTGCTTGCTGAAGATCTTGTTGGTCGGGAGCATCGTTCGCAATACGAATACCCCTTTCATTGCAAATGCCGAAACAACTTGAGGAATTGTTGAAGGAATGATCGAAGACACTCATCTTGCAGTTCGCTAAGTGTACAATACTTCGCTGGTATATTGTTTCGTTCAAGTCAATATAGTATAAATATGTTCTTGTCTGGCGTATAGTTTGGAACTGATTTTTTGCTTTTGGTCGTGTCCTACAGTACAATACAATTCCTGTCGAGGGGGAATTGAGGGATTGAGAGCCCTTTCGACGCGGGGAGCATGACGCCGACCCAGTGGCGGATGTGGCTTCGTTCGATTCACATTCGCGCGCTTTTACGAAAAACAATATTAATGGTCACGGTCATAATAAAAATTACAATGTTCTATATATTAAAATGTCTTTCTCCGTTCGATGACAGGCCTGGTACTGGTATTTTCTGTCCCACAGTGCGGATTGAAGTGTCAGAGGATGACGGATGACAGAGGATAGCGATTTTCTCGAAACGCATCGAGACACGATCCCAACTAGAAGACATGATTCTCACCAGTTTAACAATTTTGAGGGTGTATCTCTTCCTGGTAGCTGACAGCAACACCGAGATGACCCCAATCAGAACATTTCACACCTGTGACATACAGTTGAATGGTTCTGTTCCCCAACCGACGTTGAAGTACTTGACTCAATTGTAATTGTGAATCCATCAACATCGCAGTTGTTGCTTAAAGCAACAACTGTCTGTCTATTTCCGGCGGTAGCTATTACGGAATGCTTGTGCGATGAGCTTTCGAATCTCGCTCTTGGACAGATCTTTCCACACACCACCTTCATGCTGTTTCAGAAATCGACCTTCATTATCATGCACTGAATGCATGGCACGGTTGACCAAAGCCTTTCTTGATTCCACGCTTCCAAATTCATAGGATTTGGAAAAGTCCTTGACAAGGGCCCTAAGGCGGTTATTTCCCGTGTTATTACATTTGCCGCCACCAATAACGAGAACGTCATTTTCAGTAGGACTGATGATCGGCTCGTTTGGTGTGGCAATTTCTGATGGAGCACCACGGTCGCTCTTTTCCATTTTGAAACGAGACTCGACCCATTTGAGGTGACGGTGCAAATTGATTTGGTTGGTGCTGAGCTCTATGGGCAGAAAACTTTGTGGAATTCCGTAGGTAGACAAATGATTCAAACATTCTGTGTGGCTACCAAAGTGCAACCGGCAGTTCGCTCTCAGCTTCAATGGAGCTGCCTTGATGATACAGTTGTGACATAGATGTTCCTTAATATCGTCTGAGCAAACATGCATAGACGCCATGCGAGTCGGAATTGCCTGGATTCCAGTGGCAGAGTGAGATTGATGCAATCTAATGAATGGAAGACAACTGCGTAGCGTAAACGAAACTTACAGCCGCCACTCTGGCATTTTGATAGTACGCACTGCCACCGAATCTATCCTTCATGCCAGAAACAGTATGAACAATTACAACGAAACCCCGAATTTGGTTAGCCTCCGATTCTAACATGCTCATTGATAAGTAATATCGCGTCCGAAGCCCATTCTGGACAGTCGTCTTTTCATTTCTGAGCCCTGGAAGATTGAGAATTATTTGTCTACCAGACCTGTCTTTTCCAGCAAATTGTATCCGCCCTGTCTTTAGGCAAGCAATATCATCCTCATCGAGATCATCAAGCGTGATATCTTTCACTAACTTTTCGCTCCCAAACAGTTCCTGCTTTATCGTAAAAAAGTTGAGCATCTGATCCGCTGCAGCTTTGGCATCATACCGATTGCCTCTGAGAAACATCACTCGAAAGGCTCTGTCGCCAACGTATCCCAGGTCCATAGCTTCAGCCATCTCATACACGGTACCGGACTTGGTGCTTGCAAGATGATTTTCTAGGTCAATAAGAGAATTGTCAATGAAGGTGGATTCATTAGTAAATGTTGCTTCAACTCCATGTAGTATCTCTTGCTGTTCTTGTCGTTCTTCAAAGGTGAGTGTTTTCATTGCTTCGGCGAGTAGATCGTCCATCTCCTTTTTCTTTTGCCGATCCACGCCCGTCAAACCATTTAATTGCTGAAGCTCCTGTCGCATAGGAGCACTATTGGCAATGCCCCTTTCATTGAAAATGCCGAAACAACTTGAGTGATTGTTGAAGGAATGGTCGTAGACACTACTCATCGTGCAGTTTGATACAATAATAACAATATGGTCATTGTATTTCGCTCAAGCCAATGCAACGAAGGGCTTTTAGAGTCACCATTATTCCGTGGAATACCATAGTACACCTGCTGCCTGGTACCAGGTAGTCGTACAATACCGACACGGTTTTGAAACATTTAAAATGTTGTGCTTCTGCTGTTGACAGACCATTTGTTCCATACACAAGTCGATATATATATATATCAAAGTTGACTTCGGATTTCGACACTTTCGCTCTTTGATTTTAAATAAGCGCTTTCAAAATAAATATGGTCACTTCTGATTTCGCTCTCTTTTTTTCACAGCCTGACAGCCTACCAACGACAGACGGGGAAGAGTGAGTGAATCGAATGAATGCCACAGATGTGTATGGGGACTTGCCGGTAGACCTTATTGTACCATTCATCAAGATCTATTGTGGGCATGAGTTTGTTCGATGTACCATCAGCGAATCAAATCTTCGGAAAGAAACTAGCCTCATTCTGGTGAAATCACAACTGCTGGGCCAAAGTGATGGAGTAAGTTCACACTCACCACGAGACGTCCTGCGATTATAATAATCGAAAACCACCGTGATACCTCCGATTTTGCATTTCTCATACGAATTGACGATGGCAATGTCTGAGTCGTCGCGGTTGTCCGCCGTAGTCCATAAAAATGCAGGGCGGACAGGTGGTGGGTACAAAAACTTGCTTCTCCCCCGATATAACGTGACACAAGCTTCCGGGACTCCAGCGATCTTATTTGCGGTCTTTATTCAACTATTTGGTCAACACCCCAAGACAAAATCCAAACTTGTACTGTACTGTAGTGTCTTCTTACAAGATCGGAGGTTACGTTCTACAAGAAACGGGACATTACGGATAACAATGAAAACTTCTTCTACTTTCGTGCTGTTGTTCCTCCTTCAACTGCTCATCTTATTGGTTGACATGATTGCTGCCCGAAAGAGTGACCTTCCTCATCCTCACAACGGAATCTTGTCGCCATATAAGCCTGGACCATTTTTCGCACTACGTCTAGACAATGCTGATCAACAAGCCCTCGCATCTGGAAAGCCTGTTTTGAAGCAGTCGCAGTCCACAGGAGAAGGAGCTGCCGCGGGTGGTGCCATCTGCGTCCAAGATATTCGAGCTCCGAAGGATCAGGTATGGGAACAAATCCTGGGGCTCAATGCCTACAAAGGAAAGGTTCCGAAAGTTAACGAATGCACAAACTACTGTGATATCACGAACAAAGATGGGACTCGAAATATCAAGACCAAAATGGTGGTTGGAGTCATCCCAGGCTATTCGGTAAGTGAAAAGTAGTGGAATGGTTCACTGGTATCTTGCTTTGGATGAAACAAACGATCTCATTTCTGCATTCATATTGCAACAGTTCACCTCATACTACGATCACATATATTTGCCAAAATATGATTCTATGATATGGGTACTAGACTACGGCAAAACAAGCGATTTTGACGATGTCTCTGGTCACTGGCACTTGGAAGAACATCCTAAAGATCCCAATTGGACCAGAGTCTTTTACGCCTGTGACATACGGTTGAAAGGCACGGTTCCCAAACCAGTAATGAACTACTTGAGTCAGTCGGCACTTCGAACTGCGACGGGGTGGGTCAAGAAGGAATCAGAAAAATCATCAAGCCGAGCTGAACAAACGAGTGAAACCGACATAGAATCCCCTTCTCCTACCAGTGGAGAAGAACCGAAAGCGCTCCAATTGTCGGGTGCCGATATCCGAGCGTTGTTATTAGGGAGAACGATTAAAAAGAAACATACTCTGAGTCTGAGTAAGCAAGATATGAAGACTTTGAGCTCGAAGCAATTTCTATCCACGCAAGAAGCAGCTTTCAGTACAAAGTTGGATCAGTCACCAAGAGCCACAATTGAAATGGCGCAATCATTGGAACCACCAAAGATATCACTACTTGCACGCTGTTTTCTCGTTTTTTGTCTAGGGATCCTCTCTTTGGATATCGTTTTTGCTATCCTTGCTCTTTTGAAATGGGAACTATAAAAGTAGCATGCATCAGAATCTCTACAATACTAGTGGCTACATATTGTAATAGAGCGGTGCTAGGACAATGATGGCTCCAGTACCTGCGAATAGAATCCTTGACCGGGTTGAGCCAATGTCATGTGTATCAAATGATAAGCTGGGACAACCCCCATTGCCACTCCCAGAACTATGTGGAGAATGCTTGAAGGAATACCATCCTTGTGAAAAGGGTAGAATGCCCTCCGTAGCATTGACTCAGAATGCCTTTTAGATGAATGCTTGGTCCATGACTTGAGCAAGACCAAGAGCATCGCTCCTACCATTGGACCAAGAACCACCATCGATGTCAAGACGTGGCAGTCCATTCTCGTAAGTTGTGACCCATTCACCAACGCGAGCGTCAACAGAGCGGGGGAAAAGATACAGAAAATCAAATTAAAGATAAGCTGGTCCCATTCTGGTGCATCAAGGAGCGTCGCCTTGCGGTCTAGTGTCGCAGCCGTCTTGGTTCCCACTCCATCGGCATTTCCATGATATTCCTTGGACTTTGTAGATAGATTCTCCCGAAAGGTACCAAATAGACTGTCTAGTGGAAAACTCGTCGTACCGTAGTTACATTCAAAATATCGGTGATGCAGGTAATGATGTTGATCCGAGTCGATATGGTCTTCGTATCCAGAGTGGCTCGCCCCTGGTGCAATGATTAGATGAATGCCGTTCCACACGAAGGCAAAAGGAGTTGTGCAAAAGTAGAGAGACGGGGCCATGGAAGTAAAATAGTACAAGTGCTCTACTGGGTGCATGCAAAGACCGCTGAATGGTTCGATATCCGTATTTCGATGGTGAACGGAATGGACGTAAGTATACAAGGCTCGAATATGAATCAGTCGATGGGCAAAGTAAAACTGAACTTCGCGGTACAAGGGCACCGCAATAGTCCATCCCACCACGTGTAACATTCCCCGCATAGGAAAATCCAGTAGTTCTTGATCGGAAACATATGGCATTCGACCAGTGGCATAGCAATTCAGCATCATCGCCTCCCAAAAAGTCCATTGAATGGCTCCCAACGTCGAATACCAGATATTGTGGATGAGCTTGGACCATCGATAAGCTTCTGCTTGGTTGGGATTGAATGGACGGTGGGACCATCCAAACCAATATAAACCCATGTGCCAATATCCATAGTACATCAGAACCAGGGAGACATTCAGAAGCGCCCGAACGGCAATCCATTCGCCAAAGGCTGCATCCCAATGTTTCGAAACCTCGTAGTCGTACGGGAACACCAAGTACACACCAATTGCCATTATCAGCCACACCAGATTGATACTGTAAATGATGTATTTTCCCGTCAATAGGAATCCCCAATCAATCTTGGAGGCGAGGCGTTGGGGCGTGTTGCCGGCAGGAAGTGATTTGTCGACCCAATCTGGACTGGTATTGAAGATAGCAAAATTTGGGCCCAATCCACAGATACCATGATACCATTTGGATTTCTTATCTGTCGTCATCGATCCTTGGGCCATTTTATTGTGTGTAAGCCCCCCAGACGAGACGTCAACCACGAGAGGTGATTATTGATGGGACAGTTATTGGTGTGTCAACAGGAAGATTTTTCGCTTCCTGAAGAATGTTTGATTCGTTCGATTCAAATAATTGCGGCTGGGGTTCGTAACGAAAAATATAGATCAATCATCGCATCATCATCAGAACCATCTTGAACACGAGAACACTATGGCTCCACCTGGATCGGCTCATCTCAACTTTACCCTTGGCGGTTTGGTCATGATCGGTGGCGTCATGGGATACGTCAAGAAAAAGTCTGTCATGAGCGCAGCCGGAGGATTGACCTTTGGGGGTTTGTTGATTGGATCTGGAATCTTGATCTCGCAAGGTGAATCCTACCAAGGTCACGCGCTTGCTTCTGGGGCCACGGGTGTCATGACTGCGGCCATGGGGCAAAGATTCTTGAGTACTGGAAAGTTTATGCCAGCGGGAATGGTTGCTACACTTGGAGCAGCTGGATTGGCCTACAATGTCAAGAAGACTTTGGAATGGATGCCAACGAAGGATGGTACGTGAAAGTTTTGTTGACCAGACTAATATTGCATTTGGCCAA